CCATTTCTCCCGGCGCTACGCCTTCGGAAGACGGCGATCCCAGCGAATAACAGAGGAACCCCAGCTTTCCTCTGTTTTTTTCTCGAAGGAGGACTCGAAATGACACTGTAACGAGCCGTGTGGTCATGGAGTTCAAGCCAATCAACCCCAGCGATGGGGGGGGGGGGGGGAGAGGAGATTGGGGATTCCCCGTTGGGGTGGCCCCCGGCGAGTAGGCGGGTGCTAGCAGTAGGGGGGGGGGGGGGGGGGGCCGGAAAGGGACCGAGGCGGGGGGTGGGGGTGGGGGGGTGAAGCCCATAACCCCCCGGGGGGGGGGGGGGGGGGGGAATATCAGTTCTGCATGATCCCTGTCTGGTATATCCCCGAGAAAGTGCGTGTTATCAAATATTGGGCAGCGAGATGAAGGGGAGGCGCGCCAGGCTTCTGTTTGATACCTACGGATACTGGCACACTGGTCTAGGCACCACCTCTGTTCCTTTTGGTCCTTTTTGGCCCCAAAGAGACTCACAAAGTGGCGCTGTCATGCGGCGACAAAAGTGAAATATGATGGGCGTCCCGAGATGGGGTTCCGCGCGATTGGGGCAGACGATCGCCCGGGTAATCCACCCCGGCGAGCCTTTGCCTTGAAGGGACCAGGGTGACCGGGGGGGCCACCATTCCTCGAAATGGGGTGTCCACAGAGACGGGGCGGAAAAAGAAAGTATTCCGTGGCAACGATAGCATGAAGCGAGGGACACCCCCAGGCTGACACCATACCATACATATTTCGCTTCTCCTTGCGCGTATCACTGCTTTCTTTCTTTTGTGCGACCAAGGCAGAATCTTCAAAGGCTCACACCCCCTTCCTTCCATGTCCGCGTATGACGTTCATCCTGAGATACTATGCCGGATTGCTACAGGGACATATATGTATCCGTACGGCTGAAAAGTTGGCTAGGCCTGTCGACCAAGGCAAGACCTCGAGCCTTGCCAAGATGAGTGAGACATGATGGGGGAAAGGCACGCAGAGGCAGAACTGGGGTAACGGGAGGGAGAAGAAAAGCTTCCTATAAATGAATTGTTGATCCATCCTTGCGGGCAAATCCTACGACTTGGATGGGGGGCGGCCGGGTCTCTTCTCTCCCTTGGGATCAAAGACAACGCTCCAGCTGCCTCCAGCCCCCCCAGCTCATTCCGTTCCGCCGCCTCTGCAGCCATCCAATCTTCATTTCAATTTGGACGACGCAGCCAGCATCAGGACCCGCGCGCGCGTCGTGTCGTGTTGTCGGTGATGGTACCGAAACCCTTGGCCGCCAGGAAGGAAAGCCGAAGAAAACAAAGCCCTCCTCGGGAATACAAACAAAAAACAAACGAGGCTGTGACTTTGCCGTCGACCCTGGTTTTGTCTGTGGATTAGATGACGACAGATCGACCGCTAGACCTCGTGAGCTCTTTTTTTCACTCATTCTTTTTTATTCGTTTACTGTTCCTTACTCCCCCTCACACTCTCTCTCCATCCACTTCAGGCCTCGCCCAACCAATCAACAACTAACATGTCACGCACAGCTTCGCCAGTCAAGTATCCTTGCTGTATCCGTAGGTAGTCGCCTGTGTTACCGCCGAGAAGCATCATCTCTCCTCAGCCATGCAGCTCCACCCCCGAACCAGCACGCCTTCGGCCTCGACGGTCCTCCGCGACTTCCTCAACCAGGCAAAATGCACCTACTGCACGGTGCGCGTGGTGGAGCTGACCAAACAGCGCGCCGTCGTGGAGTGGGGATCAGTTCCCTACTTCACGGCGCGGGGTAAACGGGCCGAGTTCGTCTACTACACGGCCGAGCGCGTCGCCGACGTCCGGCCGGACGTTCTCCGGACCTGGGCGGGGCGTAACGAGAAGCCGACCGAGTGGGTCCGCGACCGCCTCCGCGACAGCTGGCTTGTCGAGCAGCTCGCGTATTGGGTCGAGTTCCTGGAGGAGTGGAAGTTTTACCGCGAGTGGTACGTCTACAGGCCCGAGCTGTTCGAGGGCAAGGTCCCGGATGTGCTCAGTCCCGGTTGCGAGGGCTGCGTGAAGCCGCACTGGCCCGGCGGGCTGCGGCGACGGGCATCCTCCTGCTCTTGAGTGGCCTGGAGGTCACTTTTGTCGGTAAGCTTTTTTGTCGATGCGCAAGGCTGAGGGCGCTTACGATCGAAGCACAATGGATGGATATCGGGAAAGGGGGAGCGGTTGGGGAAAATGGCTGGGACCGAGGGGGGCTCGCTTGTTCGTTTCTTTGAGCTGGAGTGCTGTATCCCCTCGGTTAGTGCGCGAGGCTTTGACTTGCAAGGTTTAATCATCGTTTTTGATATCATTTCTCACCGAGGGTATTTCCGGGAAGGTGGTGTCGTGGGACCAGGGGGGCGGGTGATAGGGGTGGTGGCTGCATAGACAACGGGCGAGGCCTGGAATGAGACCATCCGGATTGCTTCAATAGTAGGTAGGTAGCCGTAGTTTAGCTTAGATAGATACCGTAATTGTAATGTGATGATGGCCTCTAGCCTAAGGATTTGTAGGGTACCCGCCTCGCTTCGATTATTTTCAGCCATCTGCGTCCATGGACTTGGGAGAGCAAACATCGTCAGCACCCGCACCACAGCCTCGCCTACAATTCATCTCCTCTCACCAGATCCAAGGCTTTGCTTGTAGAGCTACAACCAAAGGGCCGCCCCCCACGATTCCGATTTCCCGCGCGCCCGCCCCAGGCCTGCATACCAATCGCAATGCAGATGACCTCCCCCTCGGCAACCACATCCCGCATGGGAGAGACTCAGATGAGGGATTCAAAAGAAGAGTTCAAGACGAGCCGAGAAAGGCATGGATGAATCCCGGGCGCGGAGCAGGAGACCCCTGGTTCCCCGAAAGAAACCCCATGCTCCCGTCCTTCAACCTCCCCTGCGGCAGATCTTCATCTCACCACCACCCATCTCCCAAGTCGTAGTGTAAGTCACGGGGCGCGCCGTCTAGCACATCACCGTAGCACGTACACGGGAAAGCACGATAGACTTTCGCGGGCAAAACTCTCACCTGGAAACAAGAAGGGGAAGAAGAAGAAGAAAAAACGGTTCCTTGACCCCGAGTCGTCCCCAAGATCCCATGTCCTTGACGACAGACTCTGGTCATCCCGATTTAGTAATCATGATTTCACTTCGTGCGTGCGCCCGCCTCATCACGGCTATTCATCCTTCGAACCCTCGATTCGGATTTTCGTCAATAAACCATCCTGGTACTCGCCCGGTACCCGTCATGCGTCTCTCGTTCGACAAAAACACTTGGCGTGTGCCACGCCTTCAACGTCTCCCAGGTACCCTCATCCCAGGCTTCCCTTTCCTCCTTCTCATTGGCTCCCAGGCCTGGTTCATGACGGGAACTTTGCGTGGCAAAGGACCGGTTTGCTGCAGATCCTTCTTCCGTTCACACAAGTCTCTTATTCTCTCTGCAAGTCTGCCGATGCACACAGGCACGTGGATAGAAACCATGTTTTTCCGCAAGCCAGCCACGTCAGAAGTCGGTCACCTGCGGACATACCTGCGTCTCGCTCTCTCGATCGACAAACGCATTCCTAGCCCGATGAACAGCTCGGCCTCGCCAGGGCCAGATCCTTTGGTCTATCGGAAGCATACCGCCTTCCCGCTCATAGCTCCCTTTCCCTTCCTTTCTTTTCGATATTACTCGGCCCCTTTGCACTTCGGTTGGAGCATGCTTCCTTTCCAGTCCCTGGTTTATGCTCTAGATCGAATGCCGTAGACTAACGGGAGTTTCCGTTCTGTCAAACTTTTTACAAACACTGAATCTGAATCTAAAATCGCCATGTTAATTTTGGCTCCCTGAACGCCTCTCAAACGCCTCCAAAACCCCTCGGGTTGAGCCTCAGCCCAACCCCGCCCCTTGCCTCAAAAGACGTCACAATATCTAGTGGGAGTGTCTAGTCTCGGATAGCGACATGATCGATGAAGAGAGATGATCTGAACTGCCTCAGGACATCGATACCCGATTTCGTGTTTGAGCCACCATCAGCCAGCCCTCAAAGATCCGAGACCGAATCTCTCTTCCCTCCAAAGACAAGCAACCCCCACCAACACTGGCCAAAGAAAAGGCAAGAAAAAGCAATTATCGCGTCAAGGTTCGGAACGCCGCCTTCTATCACCACAACCCTCAACCCCCCTGCTCCCCATCCTTTTATGAGCACCTATCCCTGCTAGACGGCAAGGATTATGACTATGTTCCCAAAAAGACACATCATTTTCACAACATCTGTGCGTTTGTTAGCCCCGTGGCCTCCTCCCTCAGTTGTCCATGCGCTTGCATGCCACGATCTTGGGATCTTCCTCCTGCCCGCCTCTTCACTCGGCTTCCCTTCTGAAGCGTATATTCCCCATCCAGGTCGGCTCCGCGATGTCCGTTTTCTTGCTCTTCATTGGCCCGGAGAAATCTGCCATCGGCCCAAAGGTGGTCGGACATTTGACCACATCGGAACATTCACCTCGATCGCGAGATCTCTCGCTGTCCCTCCGGCTGGGTATGAGCAGTGGGGGGGGTCATCGTGTCATGTACGGCGACATAATGATAGTATATCGATCTCGATGCGGGAGCTTTTGACGCAAGGCTCGCTGCATTATGTGGCTGAAGGGCTTTGCATTAGATCCGTCAAATTTCTGCCCTTCTGCGGCATAAGCATCCCGCATGAAGCCACGAAAAGGATGACGCCCCCCCCCCACCCCCCGGGACCCAGCAAGCTCCTCCCTTTCCGTTCGGGTGCGAGATCACAAACCGACGCCGACTTTTGGACCTCGAGGTGGGAAAGAAGTATAAGGTCGCAGCAGTGCCTGCCGCCGTTGTGCTACCTCGCGTCGATGATCGCCCATGCATATCTCGCGGTGCATTTCTGTCTCGTGTACTCCATGTGCTGTGCCGCATGCTCCTCACGTGTCCGTATGTGGGCGCGCATATCATCGGTTGGCAGTAAGACACGCATGCTGGGATGAACTGGTGATCGAATACAGACGAGTCCGCGAAACATCAGGGTAGCAGGAAACCTCACCGCTGCAATAGGACCGTCCCGTCATCACCTAGGACAATCTCCCCCCCTTCCCCCCCTTTCACTCGCTCTCTTGTGGAGCTCAAAGCATTAATTCACTTCTTCTTCTACTCTTAGAACGTTCTGCCGAGTCCTGCACAACCCCAGTCAGGTCCCTCAGAATGTGTCTGCCTAGTTCCAAAGGATTTGAGGTGAGCGGAAGTTGTGGATGGCAGTCTGGCAGAAGAAGCAACGAAAGCACACCCAGCCCCGTCTGAAGTGTAACCCCTCCCCATCCAGAAAGTTTCCAGAAAAGCAAAAAACCACGTGGACGGTGATTCGAAGCCTCAAAGGCGAGATCTCAGACTTGCCAGCACTCATACACGACTGGAGCTGGCCCCTCCTACAACCCTAGTGTCTAATCTCGGCCATGGATTGCGGCATCGCCGGTTGGCAGAAGCCGCGGGACGAAACTTTCCACTTTTTTCCTTTGAATGCAGAATGTCAAAAGCAGAAAGGGAAAGAGAGGAGAGACAAGTAAACAAAACGAACCGTTAAGATTGAACAGTCTTATAAAAACGTTCCATAGTGTCACAGAGGAGCCCAAAGGAAGCTCACTCCTTTCCTTTCGCCGCCCTGCAACCCGTCGCGTCCATCCCGATCGGCCCATTTTCGACCTTAACAGACTTCTTGCTTCCTTCAGTGCCTTGCCTTGTCTCGCCCTGGTTTAAAAAGCTTCTTGTTGCTTCTTCCCAGATACCAAGACTTGATTCATCCTCTCAACTTTTGGCCCTTCATTTCTCGTTCCCTCCCCGGGGCTCCTCGCCTCTCCATCCGGCTTTGCAACTCCCTCGTACCCGGCTGAAGATGACTAGAGAACAAGCGAAATGGAATTCTCGTCAGAATCACATACCTCATCTTTTGTTGATGCCAGCCACTCGGCGGAACTCCGAGATCCGCCTCCATGGAAAAGCAAAACCGGTCTGGTTTTCCATTCGACCGTTACACGTAGTTCGTTGCGCTGGCATCAACGGGGTTCCATTTCAGCTCAACCTTTGATCCACTCCGACGTCGCGTTTCCTGGCTTGATGCAGGCACGGGACGATTCCTTCGCGCCATCTGCTAATTGCGACCCTGCGTTGTGAAACATCGGATGGCAAGTCGGCCATACCGAGGTCGGTGAAGTTCTAGATTCTTGGGTTGTACAAGACGAAGATGAGTGCCCATACTCGAAACAAGATCACCAGAGTCGTGAGGTCATCTATCTAGAAGTTGATTTGATTTTCTTCGACCATACGCACTTTCTAATTGCTCACTCATCTAGATAGCCGAGGATGCGTGTAGCATTGAGCAGCGAACTAGCTAATCGTTTTGCCGTCGTTTCCCCTATCATTCGCTCTTCTGAGGAATACCTCTGGGCACGAAGAGCAAAGTGAAGAGATCAATGGAAGTGCGAATGGGCTGAGTAAAGAAATGACACCGCGATACAGACATACGTAGACACCGCAGGTAGTACCTAAATAGACTGGTGCCATACAAATTGCCTTCTCATAGGCAGCAAATTCGTGACCCAAACCGCCGGTCACAACATGACAGAATTATATGAATGTCAGAGTAACTAAGATCAGCCTTCTGCGGGATGACCCAAAATGCAATCTCGTGAATATGCAGTCAGCCCAAGTTTTCTTTGGCTCGCGATGAAGCGGTCAACACCTTGGACGAAGGCGGCTGGTAGGTGGTGGACGACACAGCCTTTCTCAAGTCAATTATCCGTCCAGGACTCGGAACTCGGTCGCAGCTCAATATTTCTCAGGTAGTCTGGACTGCCAGCTTCGTCAGAAGAGTCGTTTGAGGCATCCAGATTGCGAATAGAGCAGACAGATTCGACAGAGTCTCGTGAGGAGTGAACGCTTGACTTGTATCAGTGTTCTTGACTCCAGCCCTAAGGACTTCTTCCTGTCTTGGTATCTTGTTGTCTGTCGGTCTCCAAGAGAAGCGGCATCTTTCCCTTCCCGATTGCGAATACTATTGGAGTTGGCACGCCGCTCGAGTGGCAATCATAGGTAACACGTAGTGTCTGGGCGCACGTAGTTTGGAACAAACCCCATATATCTACCGGGCGTAGGGCTGACAGCATCGGCAGATCTGCTGCGCCTGGGGCGAATCTCTCGAAAACCTCCTTTCCAGATACTTATAAGCAAGTTTAGATGATTTGCCGGGCTCCTAACATCCTCTAGGCTTCCGTGGACTGTAGCCTTCAAAATCATCTGGTCAACACCGGTATCTCAAAATGGAACTTTGCATCGCGGGAAGTCTGTCTTATGGTGCCAAGTCGTTCGCCACTCTGCCCTTTAGTTACTGGAATGAGCGTGCGCAGACTTTTGGGGCATCACCACCCGCCATATTCGATAATCGATCCGCTGAGATACTCCAGCGGGCGAAAGCAGATCCTAATGCGACGCGTTAAATATCTCTCCGGCCTTCGAGATGTTTATGGGAAATGTCCCGGTGCTCGGACAAGACGAATGGGCCTGGTGTAAGCTCTCCTGTTGACACGAACGGATGTGAGCTTAAGTCTTCATCAGGCGTGAAAATTACCGACATAAATCTCCCTTAACTTGAACGAAACATATCGGAAGGCGAATTTGACTGGAATATCAGTAACCCCCATTACATCAACAGCTCATACGACCTCAGCTGGCCCGGGGAGGCAATCTCTCTCAGGGGTTGCGGGGTCCGGATGCTCCCTTCTGCGACACCTCCTTGGACGTCGACTTCTCGGCCAACTTCATCAATCTCTTGACCAAGCAGAATACGAACAGCACCGACTGAGAACCAGTGCTGGGTGCAGACTGTCTTGAGGCGCTCCACGGTGCAGACAAGACCCTCAGTAGAGACGACTGTGGCGGCCGCATGCCTTCATGGAGATTTATTTCCGAATGTAACGCGATATTTGGCTACGGCGCAACAATCTACGGCGCCAGGACGAGAAACCTCAATACCAACTGCACAAAACCCACCATACGCGGCCGTGTGCCGGTTATGAGTGGTAATGAGCTTTTAGGATTCGGCAGCGGGTTGATTGACAAGGCTAATGCGACTCAAGCCTATCTGAATACAAAAAACCGCGCAGATTCCCATTTTCAATACTTGGGTAGGAGACAACGGCTACGAACTGAAGTTGAGCAGGCCGAAGAAACATTGTGCGAGGGTAAACTCGACCAAACTCTCCACGATTATGGCGTACAACTAGGATCTGAGTTGGGCATTTATGCTGGTTGCCGCCACTATAGCGGTGTTTTATTTGCTACTCTAACCAAGTAGGACAGGGATGGCGAGTATAGGTTTTGTTCGGACGCTCGTCCCTGCGGCTTACTCTTCAGCGGAAGACAGTAAAAAGGCTTGTCTATTGCCGGTTCTCTCGCTTCTCACTACCTTCAGAGTTTCTCCCGTCTGTCCCAATTCGGAGCTTCACTGGTAAGCCAACCAAGATGAGGAGCTGCTGTAAGAGAGGTTCATAGAGGCGCGTGGGACGAGGCAAGATGATACGGAGAATGAAAGACACAGAATAGGGCTTCGCGCTTCCAAGGGCTTTTCTGACTTGGACACATTCATCCTTCCCTCCAGTGGGTACATTCTTCCCGAAATTTGTGCTCTGACCTTGAGCGTCCTATCTAAGAACCCAATAATAGATAGGATCATGCAGGTAATAAGGTCAACTACTGGCGTATCATGAATGCCGCCTAGATCACTCCCAAGTCAAGTTCTTCCTAATCACAACTCAAACGCAATCACCAGTCCAGACTTTAGAATTAGCCTTAGGAGGTCGAATCCAACCGAGCTCACGGCCGTCTCTTAACGCTTTCTCCTTCAAGCGAAATAAAGGGAACCTGCTGGATCACGGCACTACTCCACAGAATGATAGAGCGACATGTCAAACCTCATATTGGAATAGGTTCAGGCTAAGTTGTCCAAGTACACAAAGCATCAGATGTATGGCCGTTCCCGAAGCTCGTAAATGGATACCCGAGAGTTTCCATTCATCCAAGTCCTTGTGCTTCTGTTATGTGTCGTACTCTCGTAAAGAAATGGACCATTCTATCTCTATTGAGCCTCAAACTCTCTCTCTTTCTTCCCGACATGGCTCTCGTTGGTCGTTGAAACTTTGTCCATGTAAATCCTTGTTCCTCGACAACCTCAACGTATCAAAAACACCAAACTAGCACCATTAAATTACATCTGCCTACCTGCTCGTCCTCCGGCTCTTTTCAAGGGCTAGACAAACATCCCCCTACTGCTCGTCTGTCCTCGGACTCAAAGACCTCCAGGCATGTCACATCATCCAGCACCACTGCTGAATCTACCTTACCACTTGGACTACATACCTACCCAGGTGCAGATTTGTCAAACCAAATGAAACTAATCAAACAGCTAGGAAGCGTCATCCCCCAACAAACATCGTAGAATAGAAAGAGCCTCAGCCAGCACGCACCCGAAAGCGAACTGAAACGGAACTCAACGCTGCCGAGCCCCAGATCCTATCCCTACACTGTCACTATCTTTGCACCCTCAGATTTCATATTGCTATCAATTCCAACCAGGGATTGCTGTCACTTTCACCGAGGTCACCCAAACATTGTCATATTTTTTGCAGGCGATTCGAACACAATAAACGATTGTGACTCATCAAAAAAGAGGTTGATGAATAATTATATATGCTAAACGCCAAACATTGACTGTCATGCCAACCCGCTCTCGGACGAGATGGCGACATGAATGCTGAAAATCCAGCCCTTCGTCAGAGCCATTCTTATTCCATGGCCTGTGTGGGGGTGAAGGAGAATATGAATGGCCTCCCAATCCAACTAAGGAGGCTCCCATACAGAGGAGGAAATCAGACTACCCTTTGCCCAGAACGCCAGCGTAGCCATTCCCACTCTCTCTTCTCTTTCGTGAGTCTTTTCTTTCCTGTTCCGAGTAGATTGTACATCTTGTTGTCGGTTGGTGCCGTACAAGTACACGTGGGTTGCTCCTCGTCGTCTCTTCGTCCTCTGTTCGTGGTCGTCGTCGCGGTCGACACAGGAACCCAGCCCGGACCGCTCGTATTACATCAAGTTGTTGCGTTGGGTACTTGCTCGCCGTCTACATGACGGAACACTCGCCCTCTTGTTGCTTGCCGATCTTGCTGCGAGAAATACGCTCGCGCTGTCGGGGTCCGTTCTTCCCGGCGCGCTTGAGGTCTTCGAGCCGCTCACGTGCCTTGGGGAAATCTTGGGCTGTGAAAAGGGGTCAGCAAACATGCTCCGTCATTGGTACCATCACACTTACCAGCTGCTCTCCAGTACCATCGCTTTGCATCCTCCATGTTGGCCGGCACACCAATGCCCACCTCGGTAAAGTAACCCATCGCGTACTCAGCCTTGGCCAGACCGGCCGTGGCGGCCTTGCGCGCCCACAGATATGCCTCTGTGTCGCTCTGCTGCAGGACATTATCGGTGCCGGTGAGATACCATCCACTCAGTGACAGCTCGGACTGGTGCTCGCCTTGCTGAGCTGCGCGGGAATACCACATGATGGACTGCCGGGGGTCAACAGGGCAGCCCATCAAACCGTACTCAAATGCGCAGCCGAGACGGTATTGGGAGAATTTGTAGCCGAGGTCGGCCGCCTGTCGGAACAGGGAGAAGGCCTGGGCCTCGTCCTTGACAATTGCATCGCTGGGAGCTGCAGATTCGTAGAGCAGACCCAATTCGTGCAATGCGTGGGGGTTCTCCGCGTCGGCTCGTTCAGCAGCCCGCTTAAGCCATCCGACAGCCTCGCGAGGGTTCTTTGGCTGGCCAAGAAGCCCCTTGAGCAATATCATGCCGACCTTGTACATGGCAGGCGTGTCGCCGAGCGTGGCGGCTCTCTTATACCACTGAATCGCCTTGAGGGGATCCTTTCTCGTGCCGCCACCCTCCTCGTGGCCAATCTCACAACACACTGCGGTCCTGTACGCCGCAGCCGCATGTCCGACCTTGGCAGCCGATTGGTACAGCGTGAAAGCCTCCTTGTTATCAGGCTCCAGTCCAAATAAACCACGGCCTAGGCAGTCGGCGTAGAAGAACATGGCCTCAGCGTTTTGCGCGTTCGACAGCTTCTTGAGAATCTTGTTGGCGTCGGCGAGGTATCTCTCGCGGGCACGAGTCTTCATCTTCGGATCGGCAAGATTCGGGGCCAGAACGTCGGCAGCTTCTACCAATCGCTTCGCCAATCTCATGGCGGTCTCTTGATCGTTCGGTGTTGACTTGACAACCTGGCGCAGGCGCTCCAGCTCTTCCTGGGTTACCGGTGTTGTCTCTTGGAGCGAGGCCTTGCTCGGTTGCTGAGGGAGCATTTGCTGTTGTGGCGGAGGTGCACCGCCAGGTCCAGCGGGGGGTGTCGGTACATGTACGCCCGGGGCGCCCGCGTAATTGCGCACAGGGGCGGGCTTGTCATTCATATTGACCATGGAGTTGGGCATATGACCAGGTCGGACTGGAGCCGGATGAGATGGCAGAGTATCGGGGAGTCGATTGGGAGAGGGTCCCTGGGGCAGGCCAGGACGCCCCATCTGCGGCTTCTGTGGTTGGTCCCAACCGTTGGGTTGATGGTACACGTCCTGGTAGCCATTGCCCAATGGCGGCATTGGGGGAGCGTCGCCGGCCATCTCAAAGACGGCCTGCTGTGACTGTCTGAGATCGGGTTGCGATTTGGTTCGGCTCATTTCCGGAACGCGCTTAGCGCCCGGCTGGGTGTGCTCGGCGATGCCTGGTCGCATGTGCTGTTCAAAAGAACCACGAGGAGCATGCGAGGGCGCGCCGTTGTATTCAGGAGCATCATGGTGGCCGTAACTGGCAGCGCTCTGGTTGCTCATGCGAGAAGGCTGGTAATAGGCGTCGTAGACATCGCCGAACGACGCCCTAGTATCCCGGTACCCGTCCTGATCGCCTCCGTACTCTACACCGTAGCCTCCATTCTGAGGGGGTAGCGGCTGCTGCTGCTGCTGCTGCTGCTGCGGTGGAGGCATCGGGTTCGGAGGATACATACGCTGCGGTGGCGGCCGATTTCCTTGCGCTGTTGAAGGCCGAGGGGGAACACCGCCCCGTGGCGGTCCTCCCGGTCCATTATATGTGTCCTGGCGTGGCGGAGGCCCGCGTCGTTGTGCTTGCTCGTTTACCGGCATAGTCATGCTCCGAGAAGGGGGGCCGAAGTCGCCTCTCGGAGGCCCTTGCTGGCCGTAGCCGTCTCCTCGGAAGTCTTGCCCATAGCCCGGATCAGGTCCCCGCCGTGGGTCTGGGTAGCCACGGGGTGGTGGCGCTCTGCCATTTGGAGGTCCACCAGGAGGGCGTTGTTGGACAGGCTGCGACGAGATATCGATTCCGGCCATCTTGGTCAGAATCGCATTCTCAGCATCTAGGTCCGTCTTACGGCCCTGCCCTGGGAATGACGGGAAAGCGCCACCGCCGAATCCTTGGGTTCCAGGAGGACTTATCGGTGCGTGGTCCTGCGGTCGGGAGCGACTTGCTGGCAACTAGTCAGCATATAAGGGCGCAAACAAGCAGATGCGCAACTCACCGACAGGATCCGAATTGGCCGATCGCTCATATGGAGCGGGACGACCGCCTCGACCCATGGGAAATCCTCCTCGGCCTCCAGGACCGCCACGAGGCGGGTATCCGCCGCGAGCACCATCTGCCGTCGGAGGGCGTGCGATGGGACCACTTCTTCCCATTTGAGGCGGTCGTCCTCCTCTTGGCGGGCCATTGGGCCCTGGCCCTGGACCACCACCATAGTAATCCTGTGGCGGGTAGCCTTGGTTCGGCGGCGGACCTCTGGCCGCGTAGTTGGGGTCCTGGTACTGTCCGCCATAACTTTGGTCGTAGCCTCCATCATCGTAGTAGTCGTAGCCATATCCATCTTGCTGATAGCCGTCATACTGCTGAAGAGGGCCCCGCTGCGCGGGCGCAAGGCCGGGCCCGGGCCCGGGGCCAGGACGAGGCGCGGGAGGGCCACCGCCGTAGGGACGCTGACCCGGATATCCTGCCATCGTCTACTATGCCGCCGCTTCTCGTGTCGAAACCGTGCCGTCGACTTGTCGATATGAGTGGCGCAATCTGCGAGTATCGTTCGGGTGTCTTTGGGGGTTATGTTGAGGTCAAGGTAGGCGGTTCGATGTCAGGAAAGTGCCGGCTTTGGTATCTCCTGGACTGCTCAGGATCGCACAAGGTCACCGTAGATGAGAAAATAAGGTATAGCTCCACAGCTTTACAGAATTGGACGAGCTACCACAGGCGCATAGCTGACGTTGTTGAGAAGGCCAAAGGTTGGCGGGGGTTTGTGGTCTTGTATGCTGGGATTCCGCACGTTTCGGCTCAATGTTGATCGACAGTTTCGGCGGGCCACGCTATGCGCGAGAGCGGACGATTCGACTTGGTTTCCGTGACAAGAGAACAGTCCACTGCAATTTCGGGGGGGTTCGGTGCGCAAGGCGGAGTGAGCCAACTTCGAAGGGGAGTGGCAACCAAGCGAGAATAAGAGAAAAAAGGAAAGAATAAGAAAGAAAGTAGAGCGGCGCGTTGGGCAACGCCGAGTAAGGTAGAAAGGTCAATAGATCAACCGTAAAGGGGAGATCGCAGGTGTTTCCAGAACACGGCGTCTATTGGTGGCAGTGACGGATTGCGGCAGTGGGGATGCAATGTTGATGCTGGAGGGGGTTGGGGCCTTTGGGCCGAGCTCGTCTGGGCAGTTGTTATGGCCGTGCCGCTCAAGGTCGGGAAATGCGTGCCTGGTGCAACTTGCTGGACTTTAAGGAGAGTGAGTGGTAGGAGGTATTCGTAAAAGGTAACGAGGTAGAGAGCGAGGAAGAGGTCTGGCTCATGCACGCGTCCACACCCCCAAATGAGCGACGTGTGTGCGGTGCGGTAAGGTACCAGGTAATAAGGTAAGGTATCCGTACGGAGGTACGGGTGTGTGGATTGGACGAGTGGGAGGGAACTGGAAAGCGCAGGAGGCGCTGTCGGATGCGGTGCAACTCGCAGGTGAACCAAGACAAGGCGGATGACTGGGGGAAGGAGGATTTTGACTGGACTGGGCGGGATGCGTGAACAGGATTGGGTTGTTGGACGAGGTCGGGACGGGTACCTCGATTCGCGCATGCAAGGCACGGGGGAAATAGGTACCTTTTGGCAGAGTGCAGAGCGCAGAACGCAGAGGGACGTGGGGACGTTGTGTCACGCTTTTCCAGGGTCCCCGGTTGCGAGGCGTTCCTGCGGCGGTTGTCAAGGCAGGTGCTCCCACCGCGGCATCGCTCCTTGTATCTGCAGACTGCAGGTCATGTAATTAGGTACTCCGCACCTTTTCTGGGCAGAGCACCACAATTATACGTTTCCTCGTGAATCAGGCAGGTCATTGAAGCACTTGTACTAGCGAGTTGGATTGCCTTCAGGAACCTTTAGCAAGATACACTCGGCTACGGCACTTTAGAACCGCGAGCTGCGTCTTGTCTGTTGCAGAAAACAAGAACAAAATGAGGTCCCTGAGCAACAGCAACAAAATGACGACAGCGTGTTTGAGAAGGCGCCTGCCGGGGCCGTGTCCTTTCCCATTGATGTTGCAGCTGCTCCTGTTCCGATTTGTGATTTGGCCATAAATTTACAGAGGTAATTACTAAGTATCGAACCATCTCTTGTCAACACCATGCCCTGAGTGTGTAAATACCAGTATTAACACCGCTTCGACGCATCAAACGGCGAACATGATTGGAATCTCTTCAACATCACCTTCTTCAAAGTACCCTCCGTCGTTACATCTTGTCTTTTCTTGCCTCCTGGCAAGATGGTTTCAATACCAGAGACGGAGCTCACCCATCCGATACGACGCTACTTCGGTACTTGCGCTACTGAAGCAAGCAATAAAGTACCTCACTAAGGCAAGGTACGGAAGCAGCGTTCGCACTGGCGCCGCTAGCTCGAGGTTACTCTGCCTGAATTTGCAGACGGAGGAAGGGGACACTGGCACCCTGTGGCACACTGGGAATTCCTTCAGAAGTTCAAGCGCATTGGAATAGACGGGATCCAACCAAAGCACGGCGCTCGACCCATGCCAGCCTGTCCGTTACATCGACGAATACAACAATATTAATCTTTTCCTCTGCGGCTTATTTTCTCTGGGGCCTGCCGCGACCCGCCCTCAGCTAATCAACCGGATAGATTACACGTTCTGATCGAAAAACCGACCGCCTCTCATCAAATGCCTGGGTATTGGATGGTCACCGCTGCGAGAGAGAGGATATCCCGGATCAGTTGGGCAACGATGCCTGAGCCGCCTGTACCCTCTCTCTTTTCTTCCCTCTCTCCAGCGAGGTACACCATGCTCCTAGACAGCCGCAGGGCGAAGCCCTCACAGGAAAGGTTCATCCGAGCGCTACAACGAGGGTCTTCCCGGCGTCGCGGCTTGGAACTGAGGTCATGGCCACGGTAAGGCACGGTACATTACTGGGTATCCGTACTCCGTCACGTCCGTATGGTTGGACCCATTGACTCCACGCTTCACAGCTTGAACATTCCACAACCCATTTCCCCCCACACCCGTTCATTCACCTGCGAACAAAAAGGAAGTCGGTCCAGCAAACTAACAATGGAATGTCACAATTGTCTTTAGCAAGTGATTTGCGCAAAAGCTATACCGTTTCCGTCTTCGTCGTCACGAGGCAAATAGGACCAGAGACATTTCAACCTCGATCGGGAACCTCTACAGCAACACCCCAGAAAAGCTTCATCCGACAACCTCTCCATTTTTGCTCATTGCATTATTTTTCAGCCACCACAAGCGATGCAGTGTTGAGCCCTAAGCAAAACGACGCTGATCAGGCATGTCGCCTGCTCTCACCTGACTACCTGGCCCGGGTCGCACAATGTGTCTTATTAAGACGCAGGGATCAATAGCATCCCCCTAGGATCCGTTGAACGAGCATTGCTGCATTGCGTTCCGGCTCCGCGTCTTTCTTGGATACACACAACCAGAGCGCTGTATCAGAAACTCCCCAGTGGCAAACCTGATTGGCCTGTTGCCCCTTTTGAGTCTGCTGCTCCCATGGAGTCTGCCCTTTGGGGGTCCAGTATTATTACGCGTTAGCCGTCAGCCGTGAGCATCAGGGGCCCGGCTGCTATTCGGCTCCTGTTCACTCTTCTTCGAAACAAGAAGCAATATATGAGGAGAGTCCGAGGATAACTATATTCCCAAGGATCGAAAACCGAAAGAAGCAAGGGCGTGGAAACAGTCCAGGCTCCTGTTGAACCCCTTCACCCCGTCTTCGGGTGTGTCTGGTATATCGACGAGACCCTCGACGAGACGAGGGGCAATTAGGTTCGCAGAGTCTCTGTGCGCCGAGCCTGTCCGCGACATTTCGTCTCATCTCTTTCGCTTCCCGTCGACTCCCGTCTTGTTGCCCGGAGCGCGGGCGCTGGACTGCTATTGGCGGAACGGTTGCGGTAATCTTTCAGTGACAGCAATGCCTATTCATGCAGTCACCCCGAGGCAGCGCCGCTAGTCTATCCTCTGCGTTGCGGCATTCCTTGTGACTTGAAAGTACGCCATCCGGCGGGCAACTCGATCCCTCTATAAGACCCTCTAGAGGGACAATTAATCTCGTTGTGACGGAGTCTTTGCAGCGTTGCTATTCGTCGATGGGATATCAGCCTCTCTGGTCACGCTCAGGAGGCCTCTACCCTATAGTATTGCTTTACGACGGTCGGCTTCGTCGCCTCCACTTCTTGACCACCTACAATGTACGGAGTGGAAACGACCAAGGTCGAATAGGAAGGACGTTCGGCCCGGTCAACGCACGGCGGTGAGGTGGATTGGGGCATTTCGTCAGCTCCCGTCCCATGAAGCGTTTTCCAGCCCGCCTCGCAGGAAGGGCTGAGCGGCCAATACCGGCATCTCCATGTGGGGTTCATGGCTTTAATCCTCAACGGTCAAATCACGATGCATGTGAACGATCCGACGCGTGGAAGATGCTACGCCCCTGAGGACGGAGGCCTTTTGTTTCTTTTGCCACGGCAACAGGCATTGGCTAATCGTGATCGAATCCAGAGACTGCTGCGCCGTCGTCGCTAATGAACTAGTTCGCCGGCATATGGGTTTCTGATAGGCGGGCAGTAACTGACTTGGTGTTGCTCTCTCTGGGAATATCCCACCGCTACTTGCGGGGGTTGGTGCTCGATTTCGTCCTGTCAATGTGAAGGGAGCACGGGAGGCGTCTCCTTGCGGTCCTGCATGCCGATCTGGAGCGTTGTCCGTCTCCAAGATGGCTGCGATATCGTCCAACCACGAACATTTTGTTCGACGTTGGTGACAATAAGCACAGCCCCCTCGGGCATGTAACCTTCCGCTTGCGCCATGCATGCAGAGATGCGCTGGGAAGATGAGGGCTGGTCTGTTGGTTTGGCGATCACGGAAAGCTACTGGTGTGCCACACTTTCCAACGGACTTCAGTTCAGGTCTTGTTCGCATTGGTGCTTGAGTTTCTCAGCAGACGTGGATGAGAGCTGATGCTAAACAGAGAGCACCAGCCACACCCACCCCTGCATGGACCACTGTCCGCCACTGACCTGGAGCTTACTTAAGTAAAATGCGGCAGCTTCCCACCGCCTTCCACAAAGGGTCGGAGCCGGGAGATCGCCAATCAAGCGCATCAGGTTCGTCATCGATTAAGAAGGTTGCCTCTGTCGCAAAGTCCGACCTCCAGCCTCCAGTGCCGGAGCTTTGGCAGATTACCACATTTTACCTCCAATCACCCCTGCATCGCACAAACTCAACCATCATGGCGACAAAGAAGGCTACGAACTGGAAGTTGTGGGGAAAGATGCTGCTTGGGTACGTCGAGACTCCTGTAGGTCTATAGCGAACGACGGACTGACAGATGGGCACAGTGGCGGAATCTTTTGCGTTGGCGGTCCGGCCTTCACCATGTGGGTGTCGCCGACAGAGGAGGAGCTCTTTAAGAGATACAACCCTGAGCTGCAGGCGAGGAGTCTGGCGAACCGCGAGAAGACACAGGAGGAATTTGACCAGTTCGTCACAAAGCTGAAGGAATATTCCAAGTCGAACAAGCCGAGTGCGCATATGACAACTTGAGACACGTGGGGGAATGGAAAGCTAACACAAACCAACAGTTTGGACGGTTCGAGACGAGGATATCGAGAGACAAAAGCAGGCACGGGTGTATGAGCAGAGGAGGAAAGAGGCTGAACTCAAGGCGCAGCAAGCGGCGATGCGCAAGGAGTCGGGTATGTCGGATGACTTGGACTGATGTTGTGTCATTCGAAGAACGACTGTACTATATCAATGTGGAAACAGAGGGTCTGGGATTATGCCATGCGTGGCTGTACAACCATGAAAGATACCATACCGACCTCTGAGGGTTGCTTTCAGGCGTTTGAGGGCTCGAGGATACTAGGATGACTTTACTGAGATGCATAGTAATAACGTTGCATGCTTGAATTAAACGTCTCAATCCCAGCTTGACGAAGCAGACGTGCCAGTATGTACCTCATCTGGGGGCAGTGATTGTCATTGGGAAAGTGAAGACAATCAGGCCTCTGCAACAACACTCGGAAACAAAAGCCGAAAAGCTCATCGTCCAGTCCGCCCCACCGAACACGGTGAGCCCTCGGTGAAGCAGGAAAAGGAACGTACCTCGGCACATACTATTTCCGTAAGCGAAGAAATTCTTGGCACGCACAAAACCTCCATCAACGCATCACCCTCGTCACTCAGAGCGCAAAGAGCCGGCTTCAGCCTTGTGCTAGACAATAACGCGTGACGGACGGACGAATCACGGTAAGTATCAACTTAGTAATTTTCTCCTTGTCCTGGGGCCTGCACACACAGACGGGTGGGAAAGAGGGGGGCACAATATGCGTGTGGTCGTAGCTCCCGTCCCTTCGCCTGAGGGGGGTCGGCCGGCGGCTGCCCGCCCGGGTTTTTCCCACCTCCATACCACACATTTTTGCTAATTGCCCTGGGACGACCGCACAGTATCAGCTTCTCTTTCCCCCACCCGCAAAACCAGCCAAACCGACCTACCCCCCAAACTCGTCAATTTTCGAGCCATCTGCCCACCATGTCGGACGTCCAGGAACGCCTTAAGAAGCTCGGCGCCTCCGCGCGTATCGGTAAGTCTGATTGAATTCTTTAACTTTGGCATCCAATGACTTTATGCTGGTGTTATGCTGTTGGAATGAAATTGGTAGCTAATATCCGCGATGCGCAGGGTATGTGTGAACCTCCGAAAATTGACCCCTCATTTTTACCCTTCCCTCATCGAGAACCGCGAAATATCAAAAGATCAAAAAAAAGACAAAAACAAATCAACACTCAAAGACACTCCGAACCGCCATGGCGAATTTTTATCCTACAAGAGAAATGATGACTAACGTATCGATGTTTCGCCCGACGATAGCGGCAAGGGCACTCCCCGCCGCAAGATGAAGCGTGCGCCCGCGCGGTCCGCCGCCGACGACAAGAAGCTCCAGGCCGCCCTGAAGAAGCTCAACGTCCAGCCCATCCAGGCCATCGAGGAGGTTAACATGTTCAAGTCCGACGGCAACGTCATCCACTTTGCCGCTCCCAAGGGTAAATGACCACTATCACCATCATCATCACCCTCCCCCGATCCGCCTGTACCTCCCACCGGGGGATACCTCTGCCCTCCCATCCCTCACCCACCAAGAAGAGTCGAGGACGTATGCTAAGATGACGTTTTACCCTTTACCACAGTCCACGCCGCCGTCCCCGCCAACACCTTCGCCATCTACGGCAACGGTGAGGACAAGGAGCTCACCGAGCTCGTCCCCGGCATCCTCAACCAGCTCGGCCCCGACTCCCTCGCCTCTCTCCGCAAGCTCGCCGAGAGCTACCAGAACATGCAGAAGGAGGGCAAGGATGGTGAGGAGGACGACATCCCCGACCTGGTCGAGGGTGAGAACTTTGAGAGCAAGGTCGAGTAAAGGCAAGACACATTGAAAGAAGATGGATTGCCGAAAAAGATCAATTAAAAGAAAAAAGCTCCAACCAAACAGTTCTTCCCACACACCCCTTTCTCCAACTTTATTTAGCCTTGGAGTTTTTGAGAGACAAGGAGAGAGATTTGATCGAAACTGCCCGGGGGTTCTGTGGATTACCTATCATCTATGAACGAGCGTGTGGGTTTAAGGAATGGGAAAAATTTAACGATACAAACTTGACTTCCAACGCAAAAATCGATCGATACCAAAACGCTCATTCGTGCCCCCCGGCGGTTGTCACTGTGTCCGAAGATGACATCTCAAGAAGGCGATGGGAGTGCAAGCTCTGGGAAAACGCGTGAGGCTCATTATTCAAGCCCTACCCTGAGCCATATCGGTTTCTCTGCACAGTGAGCAATGCTAAACCCTCGGTCACGGAACGAGATGAGATGTTGAGTTGTGGCAATATGCATAGTCAAAATGACTTGGCATCCTTCGATTGAGTCGCTCGTGTGCCTCAATCTATGTAATATCGTAACGAGTCCATCCAACCTACAACCTCGCAAAGTCCTCGTCCCCAACATTCACAACCCACCCCGCCAATGCCACTCTCCTAATAGCCTTCTTGACCTCACGCCGATCCGCCAGCATCTCCCCGCCCTTCACCAAGCCATACGTATCAACATCCAAAGCCTGACGCAGCAGATGCCCGACCTCAACATCCTCGCCCTCTAACCGCTCAGCAATCGCCGCCGTCAGCTCCCACATCCTCCGCCTCGACACCAGGCTCGCCCCCCGGACGTCGAACGCCCTGCGCCCCTGGAGCACGCCCCCCATCGTGCCCTCGTCTACCCCGCCATCACGAGTCCACGCCGCCGCCAGGTTACTCGCCGCGATCTTCTCGGCTCCTATTCTCCCCCGTACGCTCTTCTTGGAGAACTCGAATTCCCTCGTCGTAGTGCGCACCTCGAACGGCGAGAACCGGTACCCGCCGCTCCACCGCGGCATCCCAGGCGCCGTCGCGTCAGCGGGGACGTCTAACAGCGCCCTCATCCGTCCCCTTTCTGAAAAGGCTCGCTCGCAGCCCGCGGCGGAGTACTCCGACGCCGGCAGGATGAGGGACGAGATGTAGGCGTTGCCCGGGTGGATCAGCAGCGAGATCAGCGAGGCAAGGAGGGAGGTGCACTGTTTCAGGGCGAGCTTGTCGGAGCACGATTTCGACATTGTGGGGGGCGCATCGCCGCGAGCTGGTTTGCGGCGGACGATACCTAGTTGGGAGAAGTAGGCGCGTCCGGGGAGAGTTTCGACGTCTGTCGTCCTGGGAGCTGGAGAATTGGTGCTAGAAGGGGACGAGGAGGATGGGCGTAGTTCCCAGGGCGAGGCGTCTTCTTGCGCCGCCATGGTGAGTTCCATGCTGGCGTCGCCGCAGGGGGCTTCGGAGCAGTACATGTGTAGCGTGACGCCGTCCCTGATGGCGAAGGGTTGGGGCGAGGCGGTGGACACCTCGGAGGGATCGCGCCTCGTGATGATGTCTGAGGAGGAGGTGATGGTAGTGCCGCCCTGCGAATGGCTATCGCATTCGTCTAGGAGGTAGCGGTTGAAGGCGCGGATGGCGAGGACCTCGGCGTGCCAGTCGTGGAGGGCGTTTCCCTTTGCCAGGGGGAGTTTGCTGGCCGGGAGACATTTCATGCCCGTTCTGCGGTTTGTGTTAGCCAGTTGGTCATGGTTGGGTTCTTTGAAATGGAATGATGTTTGATATTACTACGGATCATGGAAGCTACTAGGAGTATGGCCCATGTAGAACATCATGGACTGAACAAGACGAGATCCGACGTCTTCAACGTGTATCACCATGAATAAAAAACTAGACATGCGGTCCAGAGCCCGCTCACATGACCATCTTACTTACGCGAGTGAGAGACACGTCAAGATACCATCTTTCTCGGCGACGATGCCGCTCAGGGGAACCCATTCATGTAGCCCATTGTCTCTGACCTGGGGCCTGCGTTTCGCAGGCAGTTTCTGGAACTGCCGCAGGACCGCGTCGGCAATCTGATCAGGTTCGGTTGGCATTTTCAGCGGCCGTGGTTTGCTCATCAGCGGTCTTGTCGCCTTCAGCCAGGCTCTCATCACCGCTATCTCTTTTCCATTTTTGCGCAGGCATGAGCGTGTGTCGCGGATCACCCTGTTCAACTTGCACCTAAGAGTGGGGTCTTCTGGACTGTGCCATAATACAAGCCACAATTCATTCGCACAAATGTGGCGCAGCACCAGTCGCTACCAGGATCTGTATCGGCAATGACTATCTCCACGTGACACCTGCGCCAGCCTTCCACTGGACCCACTATTCGTTCCGTCCGCGTAGGGTTGACGCCCACTAGGCTATTCTACCTTCCCACGACGAATTTCCCAACCAGAGTCGAAAATTGTAGATTCTCGCGAAGAGTGCCAGCCTGGTCTTACCCTCCCCTTCCCGAACCTTTTGACTTCATCGACAAGTCAGCCAACGTTCGCATTCAATACCGCCAATGTACGTACACTAAATCCCCCCTCGTCCGGTCGACTCTCGATTTCGCTTTTCCCGACCGCTGGCCTAGCGAATGCAACCAACCTCATTCCATTCGAAAGACGCCACTTCCCGACAATTTGCTGGGCCAGACGAGAGAAAACACAAATCGAGGGCCGACTTTTGACAGCATCGCAGTTTCAGCTTTTCGGGCAATTGTTTTCTGACTGATATTTCAAGATGCGCACGTACGACGACACGTTCTCCGGACAGAGAATCTACCCTGGAAAGGTACGATGATTTACAACGCCACCCACCCCTCCCCATCATCTCCGATGTCATCTCTCCCCCGTCGATCGAAGGAACTGTTGAAGCACGGCTGGGGGTAATAGTGGAACTCACTCCCAGATGGATATGGACCAGAAGGGCAACGACCTGGATGAGAGAGAGCAAGCCGGGGGTGACGACGACTGATCGACGGGAAGGGAGAGCTGATGAGAAGGAGTACTCACGGAGGAAGCAAATGGACATGACACAAAAGGGACAACGCGCTGACGAGACTCTGAATATGCAGGGTAAGCTCTACGTCCGTGGTGACTCCAAGATCTTCCGTTTCCAGAACGGAAAGTCCGAGTCCCTCTTCCTCCAGCGCAAGAACCCCCGTCGCATCGCCTGGACTGTTCTGTACCGTCGCCAACACCGCAAGGGTATCTCTGAGGTGAGTGCCAACCTCCCATCTCGCGACGCCGGACATTCAAAGACGTTTTGAATATCTCGAACCCCCCTCCACGCGTCGCGAGTCCCAACAGACCCGAGAGACGGATGACTGACCCCCCACAACAGGAGGTCGCCAAGAAGCGCACCCGCCGCACCGTCAAGGCCCAGCGTGCCATCGTCGGTGCCTCCCTCGATGTGATCAAGGAGAAGCGCTCCATGCGCCCCGAGGCCCGCTCCGCCGCCCGCGCCGCCGCCATCAAGGAGTCCAAGGACAAGAAGACCGCCGATGCCGCCGCCAAGAAGGCCGAGAAGGCCAAGTCCGCCGCCGCCGGTGGCAAGAAGGGCCCCATCGCCAGCAAGCAGGGCTCCAAGGGCGCCGCCCCCAAGGTCCAGGCCCGTACCCGTTAAACAATCGCCTTCTTTTTCACGAGTCTCTTGAGGATGGGAAAAAAAGAAATGGGTTATGGCTTTTCTCTTGACAATGATGAAATAAAAAAAGAGTAAAAACATATCTTGTCGAGACGGCGTGAGGCTGGTGACATGCGGAGCAAAAGAAACGGGCCCTGACCCAACCCCGGCCGAGGCTGACTTCCTCTCAAGCGAGGGGGGGAGGACCTTCTCTCTGGCTGGTGAGGGGAGGGGACACCTGCCGTTTTATAAGAGGAAGAAGGGGAACCTTTTGACAACAACGATGTGGGCATACACACACACAACGACCAGGTTCAACTGATTTGGAGTCGAGGGTCCTTTGTGTGCTTTGACGGCTTTGGTTCTATAACTACACAATCACGGTAGCACGGAATTGCATGGAATTGTCCCACGGGGATTTTTACCAAAGTTTTTAAAAAAAACCTTTTCGTCAGTGGTTGCTTGCTGTTTGAGTTTCCTTCCTGGTGAAAATTTGTTTGGCCATTGCTCGCCAGCATGTGATTTTGATGCAAACAGGTTTGTGGCAGGGAAGCTTCGACATGAGAAGGGAGTTTCGAGGGCGTCGAGGGGATGCATTGAGATTCTTCACTGAGCCCAATCTGCCATACTCTTTTCTCGCGAGGTCTTTGAAGATCAACTTGGAGCTATCTTTTGGTCCATTTCATCTCCCGTCAAGGTAGGGCGCTGTAGGAAACATCTGCTTGAGATACTCGAAACACAAAACACCGCCATAATCACGCTCGCGAGGCTAGTGAGCCGAGTGACCCTTTCCACATCCCGCGGGGCATTTTACTCGTTGTCACGTTTCCTCCCCATCATCGGACTCGTCGGACGAGACTCTGCCAGAACGGTCATCTGTCACGACCTAATCAGTATGTTCCAGAGATGTATAGATGACACAACCGGTGATTTTGTTGGGAATGGTTGGCAATGATGTGTCTCATGTCCCATTCTCACATGACTAAGATTCCTTCCTCCTTCATTCCCCCATGATCACGACATTGAGTATTGCTCCGACCTTGCAAAACTTAGCACTCCCTCATAACCTCCACCATCAACCTGTAAGCGTGTGTGTATATGAACACTGCATCCACATCGTGCCCGTCGAAAAAGCAAGATACATATACACATAATCTACGCAAACAAATACTTGATCCAGAGGAGACCTGTCAGATTGCCAACGGCGACACGTCAACGCAGCTCCATGCGGAACCATCGTGGTTCCCTTCCGTCTCTCCCCTCCGCGGCATTTTCGCATCTCCCTGGAAGGCCTTCTTCTTCTCATCGTCTCATACAACATCGCATCATGCCAGTCACGTCGAATATGGATATAAAAAACGGCATGAATATGACAAATGTTTCATGAACCATTCATTTACTCTAATTCTAATAAGTGGAAGAGTATTTCTACTGAAAGAAATCCCCGTCTAGCGAAAGTTCAATTCTATGGACTTTTGTCTAAACGCGCAAAGTTTCCTTTTTCTCTCTTCTTGTTCTTCGTCTTTGAAAGAGTCCATATCTTGGTTTCTCAAGAGGCATTTCTCATCATCAAAAAAAAAAAGAGACCGCCCAACGCAAAATGTCATTAATCTGTAGTTCTGTTCATAAGAACAACTCTTTTACAGAGCCTTGAGAACGGGCTCGGCGCCAGAGACCTCGAGGCCCTGGAGCTCAGTCTCCTTCTCGGCGTAGACGACCTTACCGTGGTCAATGACGATGGCGTAGCGGGCGGTGCGCTCGCCGTGGTTCCAGCCGATGGAGGTGGAGAAGGCGGCGTTGGCGTCGGACGCGAAGACCTGTGTGAGGCAATTTGTCAGCTTCAATTGTGTTCTTTCCTTTTCTTATGACGTGTATGCAGCGCGACGAATGTGGATTGGGGGGGGGAGGCGATGAGGAAGAGACCACGGGTGAGGTGACTTGAGCGTATCGTGGTATCATGTTGAGACTCTTTGCCCCCCCTTGAGGAGGGGCAGAGTGGGGGGTGGGGGGGGGGCGGCGGCGTTTATCGGAGTCGGTGAGGGAGCTCCACGGAAAGAGGGGGAGGGGTAAACAACAGCACAGCACAGCTAAGCAAGCTACTTGCTGGCGAAGAAAACACGTGGAAACCGCCGAAGAAGAAAAAAAACGATGAAGAGCGCAAAGACTAAACAGAGCCGGGGCAAACTCACAATGAAGTCGTCCTTGATGTTGTTGGCCTTGCCCCAGCCGGACATGACAAAGGGGTCGTTGTAGGCGAGGAAGATGACCTGGTCGACGCCCTTGGCCTTGAGCTCGTCCTTGTGCTCAATGTAGCCGGGCAGGTGGGAGGCGGAGCAGGTGGGAGTGAAGGCACCGGGGATGGAGACGATGACGACCTTCTTGTCCTTGAACTCTGTGAGACGCCGTAGAGTAAGCAAGACTGTCTTTCGTGATGGCTAAATCGACAGAGTTGGAAAATTAAAATAAAAAAGACTTACCCTTGGCGGTATCGTACTTGATGGGGATACCGCAGACCTTGAAGTCGGCAGTCTCCTCCTGGTGTGGGATGTACTGGAAAGCAACGTTCTCGGGGAACGGCTCGCCGACCTTGAGACCAGACATTTTGATGTTTTTGGGGAGGGGGTTTTGAAGAGGAGTGGTGAGAAAAGGGTTGATTGAGGTTTGGGAGTGTGTTGGTAGAGTGTCGTTGAAGAGTGGAAGGAGGGAAAGGGAATCAGATAAAGGAAAGAGACGGGTGGTCAGAAGCAGTAGGCCGAATTAGTAGTGCGCGGGACATCGAGGGATCGCCGAGTCAGGGTCCCAAGCGCAATTCTGCGAGCTTCCAGGGAAGTGGAGCTCGTGATGATTTGTATTTGAGATACGGATACTACGCTCGTTAGGCGCGGGGCGACCACTCCTTCCTGGGACCACCGCCGACCATCTCAGGCAGAGCCGGCTGCAAAACCCTTTTGTGACGAAATACAAGTGGGCAAAAGTGCGGACCACGGGGGGACCTACCGTTGCACTAAGGAAAGACTCGACGGTTTGATTTGTCTCGGAGTTCTGGTGAGCTGTCTTGTTTGCCCGCTTTCGCTTTGGAAAGCCGATGCCGTAATGCAAAGTCTCCTTTTCCCTGGCAGATAACAACAGCGCCTACCCAAGATAGAGTACGGACGTGACGGGACGTGGCAGGAGGTACCTTGGGTGCCTGGAACTCTGATAACACCAACATATGGTATGCGCACCCTTTCGGCCCACTGCGCGACATGACGCAAGACCGGGAATTTATGCCGCGTCCGTTTGGGCTCCGATCCCCGGCCTCTCTCCCCCGGTGGGGGGAGGGGCGACTAGGGCCCCTCTCGGCCGTCCGAGCATCCAGGCTGTCGGCCTTTTGTCAACGTCCTTCGGAGTTACTGTGCCAAGAGCCTGGACTCTGAGAGGTTTTGTCATCATGGCGAGGTCCGGGTGCCCGCCATCCGACGTCACGACTCTGATGTCGCGTTCGTTGGCGTGCAGTGCAGGTGGTACAAGTCGTGTAACAAGCGCTTCTCTGTTTTCTTGACTTAACCGTCCGAAGAACCAGCTGTCGGGACCCGGGACAGTCGACCGGCCAGTATTCGATTCACAACGTCAGAGTGCACGCCAACGCGGCTCTGTATGCTCAGCTAAGCAGCGGCGCCGGCATCACCCGTTGAGCATCACTACCGCGCTCTTTCCGAGAGTCAACCGAAGTTTGAAAGATGCATTGAGCTCAAGTCAAATTTGTATTTCTCAGACCGAGCTACAAAGTCCAATTCTCAAAATTTCTGTGCCACATCTGATGTCATTCCGCAAGAGCATAACCCGCGGCGTTTGTGAAGGGCGCTGGTGACAGCTGGGAAAGCCCGAACTCCGGGAAGGACTGTGCCTGTGATTGGCTGCATCGTCCGTTGCTTCATGGTGTATCCTCTTCAACCGTCGACATCAGCAGCCGCATAACTGAGGTGTTCATAACCTCTTTCCATCGCCATCGTTGAAATTGAATACATTAGGCTCAAGCATCACCACTGCCAGCGCTACATTTTTTGAACACTGTTTGAATCATGGCCAGCCAAGACGAAGCCAGACCACCATTCCCGCCCTTCACCGAAGAAACGGCGAGGACCAAGGTGAAGGCGGCTCAGGATGGATGGAACTCAAAGTCCGTGCCCCTTGTTTACTGACGCAGGCACCGACTTACATCACCACAGGAACCCCGCAAAATTGAAGATGGCTTATACGCCCGACTCAATCTGGCGCAACAGGGACACATTTCTCCAAGGTCGGGATGAGATCGAGCAATGGCTCACCAAGAAGTGGGAGAGGGAGAATGGCTACCGGCTTCGCAAGGAGTTATTCGCCTTTACCGACAACAAAGTGAGTTCCCCAAAGTCACCGTCGACCCCCAGCTGTGACTGCGCTTCAGAGGAACTACTGACCATTGAAATTAGATTGCTGTCCAATTCTGGTATGAATGGCATGATGAGTCGGGTCAGTGGTGGCGGACGTATGGCCTCGAGGATTGGACCTTTGCTGAGAACGGGCTCATGCGCAAGAGACAGATGAGTGGGAACGATGTCAAGATTGAAGAGACGCAGAGGTGGTTTCGGCACGGCGTCGATGTGAATGCCGTTGACATCTCTGAGCGGCACTGGTAGGTTGTTGGCTCCATAGCGCGACTGTGACCGTGTCGTGTCCCCTGAGCCAAGACATAGTCTGAATTGGAAAGACCCGGATCCTTTCCATAGACCAGTACAGCATGACTTCCCAATGGTTCATGTTGTGGCTCATGTTGTGGCTCATGTTCCAGGCGGCAGGAACTTTTGTCTTGAAGGTATGACTTCAAAGGTTTGTCGGCTGATACTTGTGTCTCTATCGAATAGACTCACTTAATTTGAGATTAGCATCGCAATTTTGAAGTGGTGTCTTGAGGTGTGTCGAAATATCATCGACCAGATGTCTAGTGGAACAGCCACATGTCCTGTCAGAGTGTAACATTCCACTATGGTAACCAAGCCCAAGATACGAGAGACAGGTGGAAAGAATGTGACCAGCAATTCGCCCACGAGAGATTCGCGAGTTCTCCACGAGGCAGGAAAGATGCTTGGGCGGTGCTCCAATCTCGCCAAGTCAGTGGCCTCGGGCTAGCACATGGACGACACGCTCTTGACATTGCCGGAAGCGATTGCAGAGAGGAAGGTGATAAAAGTCAACGCCCACGCCAGAGAATTTTTTTAGGTTTTGAGGAAAAAGACGTAGGGGAGATTTAGCGTCGTTCGGTCCAGGTCGCTAAGACCGTGACAGAAGCTTGACGCCACAGGAGATCGAAGAGACGTTGTGAGCTAGGGGGAGAGAGCGGCCCCTGCGCGAGGACGAGATGATCGCAGAAGAACGACCCCAGCAAGCGGTTGACCAAAAAAACCGCACACAATAAGGATGAGACTATTCTATATCCGTAGTATCATAATTTGAAAATTATAATGAACATCTTCAACTTGGTGAAAGTTAAAACGCATTTTCAAAATAAAAGTTTTTCATTAACTATGAACTGTCTTGATCTTGTCGTGTTTTGATATGGTCTTTTTGAGGATACTTGTACAGTGTGAGGGTTTTTTTGTCAATCGCGTGCCCTGTCGAGGATGTAAGAAGCGCTTGAGAGATGAGATCGTCCGAACCTGGTGTCGTTTCAATTCTCCACCAAGACCTTGGGTAGCTTCGCCAGAAGCACTGGACAACAGAGCCAATGTGATTTGTGATAGAAGACTGGAGCCTGCAGAATATCATGCCGCGTTCAGAGCAGTCATGGAGAATCTCATTTTGCGGCAAAATAGGCGAGCCAATGCAGGATGCCGCTGGAAACAAGGCCGGCGATCTCTCCCTCTCGGGCCGGAAGCAGCGTCGCAATCGGGTAACGTGTGACGTTTGGCTCGGCACAGGGGTTCTGGCCACTCGTTGCACCGTCCGTCCCGCTGGAGGGGGGTCGCTTCGACATGCAATGAAAGATTCTCTCAGCTTGGGGACCTGGAGGGCGGCGAGAGGATGCTATCTTGTCTTCTGCACCGGCAGAAAGACTCTGCACCGGCAGAAGCTGCAGTGGATTGGCGAGATTGGAGTAAGACGTGGTCTTTATGAATGCCACAGGTGGCCGATCCGCGAAGCAGAGCTACAGGTACTGAGAGCTGGCTCGATCGGATAGCTGGCTTATCGACGCTACACAGACAAGGCGCTGCCCGGAAGACGGCTGGTACAAGTCTTGAAGGGGGGATGGACACAAAGACTGGCTCGGGGTGACGGCGGCGGCGACCATGGTCGGCGACGCTAAGAAGCTGGAGCAAGCCGTGGTAACAGGCCAAGGCCTTTGGTTTGACAGGTCGCAGGCCGTGACAGGCTGGATATGAGATTTACTCCGGGCTCTGTCTTGATTGGCCGTTGGTCAAAGCAGGGATAGATTAATCGATTGGCCAGGAGACATGATCGAGACGGCGCTTCTTCATCTTGTTCGCAGGGATAGGTCGAAGAGGCTAGCCGTGCCGATATTGCTTTCCGCCTTACCGATCTGGTTCGCTGACGGGGGACCTTGGACCAGCTTGGTGGCCGAGCAGGGAACCATTTTAATGAGGTGATATTTTTGCAAAAAGCAATTGTTGTTTGGGCCTTGTTGAAGGTGGCCTGGGAGGGTGGACGGCATAAATCTGTCTGATCTTTGGATGTTGGGATTGTCGTTGGAATCATCTGATCAGGTTTGCGGGGGAAAGGAATTGGATGTATGAGGCTTCGGATGTATGAAGATTTGAGCAAGATTGGTAAAGAAGCGAAGTGAACCTCGCTCGTGGGAGTCACAACGTGAAGGCAGGTCCAGACTCCATATGAACAATGTACTCTCCGTACATGGTAGGTAAGTAAAGTAAGGTACCTACCTACCTGACGTAGACTCGTACATCGTAAGGTAGAGAGGGCAGGGGCAGGGAAGTATCGTTCCTCGATCTCGGGGAGGATTGTGCACAGACCATCCATGCAGGGGACACTTCCTGCCGTCCACCAATGGTCCGCTCCTTCCTCGTGCCTCCCCTACGGTCTACGGTGCCTGGTCTGGGAGTCTGGGTGCCTGCTAGTTACCTATGTACGGAGTAGGTGCCCGGGTGTGACCCCTTGCCTCTTGTTCCTCTTCCGCCTCCACCTGGGCAGCGTCTTGAGCGTCTTGAGCTTTCTTCTCAACTCCCCCAGTCCTCTCCCAGGTCCGATGGGCAGGCCGATTTCTCATCAAGCAAGCCTACGCCTCTCAGCCATCCTGCGCTTGTGTCGCAGCTCCACCATCTGTTCACAGCCTGCCCTACGCCGGATCAGTTCCTCCTGAGCGCCGTTAGGCGAGCGGTACATCCAAGCCCAAAGCCAAAGTTGACTAGGATTCGCTGTGTGGCCGTGGAAGAGGAGACACTTCCAGGCCCTCCACGATCTGACTTGACGGGCGTGACGGGCTGACGGACTGCAGCCTCCCCAGCACGGAAGCCTTCACCTGATTCCATTGATGAATTCAGCTCGACGGAGAACAAAGAGAGTCCTGCCTCGGTTTTCCCGGACCCGGACCTGGACCTCGTCTCCGTCCACTAGCAGACGACGACGACGGAAACCCTCCATCTTGGGACGCTTGAGGTGGGAGGCGCCGCCTGGTCTCGTCATGGTGCACATCCCTACGGCCGCCGTCTACGCCTCCGTGCCCCGTGCCCGGTCCCCTGGAGAAAGCAGAGAAACGAAAGGATTCGCCCGTGCTTCGCTCGACCTGAGCGAACCTGTATTGCTCACTGTCGTGTTGTTGTTGCTGCGACAACTCGAAGCGAATCACCACCCGATCAATGGCTGACGATATCCCCAAAGACATCACTCATCAGACCGGTCTGAGAAGTTCCAGGCCTTTGGTTCTTCTCTCCATGCCCTGCTCTTGCCAATCTCCTGCAATCTCCCACGCAGTACCCACTCCGTACCCGTCGACTCTGGAGTCTGCAGTGTCGATTTCCCCAAGCAGGGAAGACAAGCCCAGCTGTGAATTGTCTTAGCTGAACAGACGACTTTTACTCGTTTAGGAAAGCCTCGATGCTAGTGCCGGCCACTCCACCAATCGCCACAATGCTGCAAGAGATCGACAGTGATCTCGCCGCTTCAGGAGGTTCGTCACCTCTGGGCTGGTACCAGGTCTGCAATGGGAGAATGGGGCGCTGGTGAGGCGCCCGGTTACTCGACCACCTCCATCGCACTGTCTGCTCTTTGCTCCTGCTCGTCAATCCTCGTTTGCCTGTATGTAAGGGCATCGTAGCTTGGGCCTACACCTTGCAAAGCGCTGTGTTTCCTCGTATTCTCCAAAACGAGAGCCAACGCAGGTAAGCAAGGGCTCGCTGCGCAAACTCTGAAAACCAACGATGCGGATGCTAGCGCTAGTCTTGCTTCTTCTTCTTGTCCTTCAAGCCCACATGCATCCACAGCCATGTCTCTGGCAGTCTCTGATATACAGAAAATGCAGAAACACGGATACTAGTAACTACGCGGTACATCGCCCCCCCTTCCCGTGAGCGCACTATGCCTTCTGCGTCGTCCTTCATGCCTGCCAAGCTTGCCTCAATATCAGCATCACCAAGCAAGACCGAGAAGAAAGCACATCCCTACCTACCACGTCGTTCCCACCCGTCCGCATTCCGCTAGAAAATAACAAACGTCCGGACGATTCACCCATCCCCAGTCCCAAAGGAACCCCGGCCAAAGGTCGATTTTGCACTTTCTGGATTGGCCCAGCTTCAGCCCTCTCCGTCTACGGAAGCCAGTCAAGGTCGAGCAAACTAGTCTTTCCGTCGCAAAGTGTGTGGGGTCTGGCCATCGTCCTGCCCGTCAGCCCTTGACTCCCGAGATGTCTGGGCACGGGTTGACAGCCACGCCTGCGTTTCTCCTCTCATTGCTATATCAGTCTCCCTGTGCCCTCACCCGGTTCCGCCGTTCCTTCACCTCCAAGTGTAGTTGTGTTCTACGCTACTCCCAGACCCTCCCCCCCTCCCCTGGCAAAGCGAGCACCAATCTCGACCGTGCAGTAGCTTGTAGTTCGTTCCAAACCTACATCAAACCCGGTATCACCCTTTTTCCATCATCTTTGTCCGGTCTTGCTCGTTGAACGTTATCGCTGGACCTTGATACCACAACTAAAAGGCGGCCTATTTCGACCAAAGGTTCTTAAGGTACCCGCTCGTCTTCAACACCCTAAAATCTAGAAACCAGAAACCACCTCCTCCATTCGCTCCTCCTCCTACTATCAACAAGACTGCCATACTCCGTGTCGCCTTTATCGAAACTCCAACCATGGGTCTCCTACCTCTTACCTACCGCCGACCGGTATACGTCAACAGCACCAGCTCAGCCCGCGGGAGCACCTCTGACGTATCCGAGAGTGGCGATGAAAAACAGAGCAACACTTCCTCCTCCCTTCGCTCCGGCAAGTCTGGCAAGCTGCAGGGTATCCCGGAGTCGCTCACTTTCGACAAGATCATCAACGGTGGCACCTGCCCTGTAGGTTGCACCCGTGCCTTGGCTACTTGATCTACTTGCTGACCCTTCAGCCCTGCACCGTGCGTGACTTCATGAACTACTTGATTTACATCGAGCACGCAGCCGAAAACCTCCAATTCTTCCTATGGCAACGGGATTTCCAGAAGCGGTTCGGGGAAACAAAGTCGTCTGACCTGTCTCTCGCCCCTGAGTGGACCGAAGCCATGGAGGCCGACCTGCTCCAGCGCATGAACAAGGAAAAGTCGCAGAGGATGCGCAAGAAGCCTGGCCAGGAGATTTTCAAGGGAACCGACTTTGATAAGAAGGGTGCCGCTGCCGCCATCGTGAACGACTCTACCAACCCTTTCCACACCCCTCCGCGCACCCCGAACGACTATGAAGGCTCTGTTTTCACGGGGTCCCAAGGCGCATCGAATGCTGAGTCGTACCGCTCGCAGGCCAGTGATGCGTTTGCGGCCGTCGGCGCCAAGCAGCCATGTAAGTTGCCAGACTGGCGTGCCCTATGCTACATGCTGATGTATCCTTAGTCACCATTCAGCCGTTCCGTGAAGAGATTGACCGTGTCGTCGCCACGTACATTATGGAGGGCGCGCCACGACAGCTCAACCTCTCGGCCAAAGAACGCGACGCTACTCTCCATGCCCTCGCCTACACGACCCATCCCTCTGCCTGCCGCTTGGCCATCAAAGTCATTGAGAACTCGCTTCGCCAGCAGGCCCACCCCAACTTCATCCGTTGGTCCATCTGCAACGGCAACCCTGCTCGTGTCTTCTTCGCCCGGGCTCTCGGTGTTGGCCTCATCGCCATTGCCTTTATCGTCGCCATCTTGATCACTCTCAGTCGTGCAGGCCGCGGATGGCGAGCACTGGCTGCTATTGGATGGGTGCTGGGCATCTCTACCTTGGTTGCGGCCTACAAGGGTATGTGCGTTGTCCTACACGGCATGCACCATCGCCACGTTCGTCCCTGGGAGCTCTTCGTGGACGAGGAGAATGACGACCGCAAGACCTCCTTCGACACGTTTGGGTCCAACAACAGCTATGAATCGGAGCCTTGGGTTATCAAATACGAGAAGCGCAACATTGTCCGCAAGGTCTTTGACCGTGAGATATGGATCGAGGAACCTGCCCTGCGCACCATCCAGGACACCATCTTTCTCCAAGCTATGCTCTGCGCCGTCCTCGTTGGTGGGATTTTCACCGCCATTTTCGTTGCCATTCCACAGCGTGGTTATTTCTAAGTGCGTCTTTTTATTTTTCTGAGATGGACAGCTTGGTCAGCTTGGAAAGGTTGTATCACAAAGCTTCTGTTTTTTAGTGGCCTTGGTAGGTATAATTGAGAATGCTGAGAATGCTTGGAACGGACGATTGGAACCAAAATACCATTTTGCTTGGGCGCGGCGTCTACGGTGGAGGAACCATCTATGGCTGTAGGCTTCGAATATGTAATACGTAGTTGACGTAGGAGTTATTAACTATCGTTTACTTTTGAGGAAATCATTTTGCCGTTGTAGTTGCAGTTGCAATACAATGCTGAAGATGCTAATGTGTAATTCAACCATGTGCCGGAAAGTAAAAAAATTCTGCCCCTGCCTGCTGTTTGTCTCTTCACGTGTCGGGCAGACATATCTCAATATTCGAACGTGCCTGTGGAAGGGAAAGGAATGTGAAACAGTGTCTCACTTGTAAATTATGGGAAGTGGGTTAGGTTGGCATGGTTGGGCTGGGTTGGGTTTAGGACGGACGTCTGCATGGAGGAATGTCTTACTCTGCAAAAGCTCGAGCGAGGCGTGAGCAATGGGGGGCGGGGGCAGAGTCACGAAGATGAGACATGAGAAGGAAAAGCAACGCGAGACAGAGGTCCTGGGGGAAGTTGAGGACTAACGGAGGATGGGCTGGGGGGACTGGGGATGATGTGTAGGAGTCAATACACACCCTAAAGCTCAGTCGCCAAGAGTTCCCTTCCGAAACTTTGTCGTCGGAACCGGGTGGTGGTGTACTTGCCTCTTGGCAGCACCTCGGGTTGCTTTGAATCGAGAGAATAGGTAGGTTACTAGTCGGGAGGGGTTCGGGTTTTGGTTGGTCTGCCGGCGGAGTTGCTGCTATCGCGATGCTTGAGGAGCCGTGTGTGTGCCAGCCAGTCTTGTGGAGAGCAGTGCGGAATCGTCAGTGACGGTTTTGCGGAGCGGGATAAAGTGGGTGCCCGGGACCGACCGGCGTGGAGCGGAGTGGCGGGTGTCTAGGTAGTGTCTCATTCGGCGGGCACGGCCCCGGGATGGGTGGGAAGGGGGCCTTGGAACGGCTGCTGATGAGCGGGTATCCTTTGGTATCGGGCGCCGCCTTGGCTTGCTTGCTACTTTTGGTATGAAGCTTGCGTGTTATTTGATGATATTGCCATGGGTTACAGGTGCAGTCTAGATTAATTTTGCTTTTCGATTGAGGCTTTTTTAATTTTGCCGGAGCGCACGCATGTTGATGCTTAGCTGTTTAGTTCCCCAAAACCCCCCAAAGCTGAATGGCAAAAATAGAAGGGGGGGAAGGTGGGCATCAGAGGGAAAATAGGGCGTCGCCGTCATGATTGTGTGTATGATTGTGGAGTTTGTGTACGAAAAGACGAACCTGGGAGTTGGGGCCGTTTGGAACTCGCTGCGGACGAATAAGAGGCGAAGTTTCCTCGGCGACGGATTCTAGAACGTGTGAATGTACATGTGCATTGGTTCCAAGCTTTGAGAGTTTTGTTGTATCGTATCCTCATGATGAATTCCTCGATCCATTTCGTTGCAGATTCATTCGTAGGCTGCAAGACTGAGAAACGGGCATTTCACCCGTGGAGATTGTAGCTCGTGACTCTGACTCTCCCTCTGCGCTGCCCGTCTTCATTGCCGCATCAGGTAGTCGCATTATAGAAACGGCGCGTCTTACTGGCTCGATGAGAAAGTCCCGTCGACAGGGGTCGTCTTGGGATTCCAGATCCACAGCGGCCGAGCCGAGCTTACTCAGGACACTGAACGTCGACGAGAACAGAACACTTTACAAAAGTTCTGTCACGCTCTGACAGATGGCCTGGAACAGTTTCTAATCCTGCATTTGTAGTTTCGGCTGACGAGGCCAGAAGATTTGGCCCAACAAAATATACCGGCGGATACGCACGTGGGACAACGGGTCGAGGTGGGGAGAAGCGTGTCCCAGAGGGGCTCAACGCTTAGCAAAGTCCAAACGTCGCCCAGGGGGGGACCCAACATCGACGGTATAGCCCGTTTCTTGAAGTCAGTTTCGTCTCGAGTTTCCCTGTATCAACCACACTCGCAGCGCCGGGGGGAAACGTCTCGGCTTCATGTTGCACAGTTTAGCCTCCCCCCCCCCCCCCCCCCCCCCCCCCCCCCCCCCCCCCCCCCCCCCGCCCCCCGCGCCGCGGCCGCCGCCACGCCCTCCGCCCGGGCACCGTGGCGGCGGGGGCTCCCGCGCCCCCGCGGCCCCCCCCCCCCCCCGCGCCCCCCCCCCCCCCCCTTCCCGTCGCGAATCCTTGGCGGCAAATCCTTGGCGGCGGGAAGTATAAGGTATTCGAGGGCAGGATCAGATGTGGTTGTGTTCATGCACGATGAGGGTATCTTTTCGCCTCGAGAAGTTTACCTAGGCTGATGGCCGGTGCCCCCACAACCTACCTTGGACAAGATGGGATATCCTATGAGGAGACACAGGTGCTGCGAAGATGGGAGGAGCATTTGCTACCTGCTGGAACCGACCAAAGCATGGGCATGGTAAGATAGGAAATAGGACAGCCACGGTATTCCCGCATTTCAGGCTTCGGAGCTGGTTTCCTCTGAGTTGATTCCATCAGGGAGGGACCAAAAGTCCAAACTTTTGAGAATATGTCCTGAGAGGGAGGTCCCATCCTCACCTACAACTTCGCCGCGGGCTTCACCTTCCAGCTTTTGTTTATTCGCCGTCGCCTCTGCCTGTTGATCTGATGCACCACTGTCAAAATGATGAAGAGTTTACACCACCTTGATCAACTGATCTCCGGAAGGTTCTGGGTAAGGTAGGAAGGTCGCCCTGTCTGAGACTTTGATGTGGCACCTCTCACAAGAGGTCGACGCGATTCTGAGCCATTGCTGGACTTTTCCTCGCCATATTTTTACAGCCTCGCCCTTGAGCAAGCGTCTCTTCTATCTCCGCCCGCCTTTGGCTAAACCTTTTAAAGTCATCAAATAGCACTTATACTTTCTTCTTCCTCACACACGACTTTACCAGCGAGCATACCTTTTTCCGGTTGCCGATTGCGCCTGGACTCACAAATTAGTCGTGGTCTACCGCCTACCTACCACTAGAACTCATATTTTTTACTCTTTACCCGATTTCTTCACCCGTCACTCATACCTCGAACAAGACGTCACTTATCACTCATCATGGCCTCCTCACACGACGGCTGCCGCGCTGCTTTCCAGCAATGCTGCACAGAGGAGAAGCTAACACCCTTCCCTCATTCGCCGCGTTCGCCGCCAGATCCCCATGGCAACTGGAGATACGAGGTTCCAGATGGCCTCAAGACAGAGAAAGAAAAGCACGAAAAGTCCTTTCCGCTTCGGCCGAGAGACATCCCCTTCCCTGCCGTGCGAATAACCACCCGTGACCGGCGGTCATCTGCAATCCATCGGAGGCAGCGCCCCACTTCAGCCCCCCGGCCCGAAGACCATGCCCCGCCACGACGACCCGACCCCGCGGCTGGGCCAACCTCCCGGGTCCCCCCTGAACGCAGCATGTCTCCTACCGCCTCTTGGAGCTCCAGCCCCGCATTCCTGCGCCCCCCGCACCCGGCACTGTCAAAAGCCGCCTTACACCGTGCTCACACGACCATGACAGGTGAAAGTACCTTACCCGAGCTCCATGAGAATCGCGACTCCACGCCCGGCTACCTCATCTCGTCTACACTCACCTCCTCACCCAAATCACATCTCGTCGTCTCATTCACCCTCACATGACCTCATCCACCTTACCCCAACTCCTACTGAAACTTATTTGCAGCTCAACCTAGTTTATTCATCCCACACACACACACACACACACACAAAATGGACGATCCCTCAGACCCATCAACCCGCATCCTAACGCACCTCTCAAAGACCCTCTCCCTCTCCCCGCCCCAATCAACCCACCCGCCCGCGACCCTCACGGGGCTCCCGACCTCCCACACCGGCACAGCCTACCTCTTCCTCTCCGTCTCGGCCCACCACCCCCGCCTCCAGGTCCACTCCTACCCGGCCATCCACTGGGCCCGCGCCTACATCTCCAACATCCCGACCCCGTCCGCGCCGCTATCTCTGTCTCTGCCCCACGCCGAAGAAACAAGAGGCGAGGAGAGCCACGGCTCCGGCCCCGTCATCGGCCTCTTATCCGACGCCCTCGCCGGCCCGGCCATCCGCGCCTGCGTCACAAAGGACCTCGTCCACGTCCGTAAATTCCTCGCGCTACTCGCCCCCGTGCTGGAATACATTGTCATCTCCAACAACGACACCACCAACTCCACCTCGGCAATGGAAATAGACCCCCAAGAACCCACGACCACGGTCACGACCACATCCCCACCCCTCCCAAGCTGCCTCTTCCACGGCCTCGCAGGAACCCTCTACCTCCTCCGTCTAATCCGCCACTGGGTCCCCTCCTCCGCGCCCCTCGTCTGCGGCGCAATCGTCCACGTGTCAGACTACCTCCTCTCCCCCTCGCCATGGACGTGTCCGTCTCACCACCCTCCCCCTTCGGCACCACCACCACCACCGGCGCAGTCCTCCGCACCCATCCCGGAAGACCGCTACGGCACAGCCCACGGCGACCTAGGCATCATCACCCAACTCGTCCTCACGTCCCCGCCCCTCGCCCCGTCGTTGACAGACCGCCTCGCCGCCCTCCTAGACCTCCAGCTCCCCAACGGGGACTGGCCATCACCACCACCACCCTCATTCTCCGCAAGCTCACCTCGCCCACAAGAGCAAGAACCCCCCAGCGATCCAGAACAGTCCTCCATCGCACCGCCGACACCAGACCAAACACCAACCAACCCCCACAACCACGCGACACCCACACACCACCCTACGCCTTCACCATCGCAGCGGCGCGGCTTCGCCTCCGGCCCGCAAGGCCTAGTCCTCTCCCTCCTCTCCCTCCGGCCCTTCTTCCCACGTCTGCACAGCCGCATCGACGACGCCGTCGAAAGGGCGCGCGCGTTCCTCTGGGCCCAGGCTGTTGATCCTGATGTGCTTCCCGGGGAGGCGAGTCTCTTTTACGGGTCGTTGAGTACTGCATTGTAAGTCTCTCCTGTTTCATTTGTGTTACGTTTGGAAATGCTGGAGGCGTATGGTCTTACCCAACCTCTATTCCTTCTTTGTCTCTTTCTCTCTGCCTCTATGTGGATTGTAAACTACGAGAATCAGTGTATATACCCATTACACCATATCGTGATCCCCTTTTCGAATCACATGGTTCCTCTTATATCAAACCTTCCCGACCTTCCTTTCAGCCCTCCAAACTTGATCCCCCACATATTCCCCTTCACGTATTCAACTCCTCACCATAGTCATCCGTCCAAGTCTCCTACCAAAGACCCAACATCCCAACCCTCACTCACTATCGAATCTCCTCTACCCGATTCCACAACTAACAAGAATCCCCCCCTCCCCTCCAGAACCTTTCCAAAAGGCCCCCAAAGAACCCACCTCCTACAAACAGCATCAACCTCGTCGCCGCAAACCCAACACGCTCTCTCCCCACCCTCACACTCGAACACTAATATCACGCCAACCTCCAACACCAACACCAACACCACGTCCCAAACCTCATCAACACCATCCGCCGCCGTCTCGACAACAACAACAACAACAGCCGGTTCCGTAACAACCTCGCCAAACCCCGGCTCAGCATGGCTCCACGCCGTCTGCGAGCGCGATTTGCCGCGCATGATCTTCTACAATGACATTTAACCCAACCCACTCGACCACCACCCCCTCCCTTCCTTCTCTCTTAATGTTCCATAGAACGCATCCATGTAACTCATCCATGTAAATAAAATTCTTCCCATTGTACGCTCATCACGGTAGACGAAATCATCAACCGCCATTTGTACCAGCTCATTCTCGATACTCCACTTCATGGCATACCCCATAATGACTTACCCTCCCTCCAAACCCCCCTTCACCCCGCCATCTCTCCCCCTTTTCCCAAATCTACTTTTCAAACGCGGAGATAGTGTGCGCTACCTACTACCCTCTTCATCCCCGGGCTGGAAAAACAGGCAGAGCAGACAGCCTCCTCATCCAACACGGAACGGGCGCCAAAAATAGAGAGCGATATGGAAACGGGAATGGAAACCAGCAAGCCCAACCCCTCGTCTCCCTCCGCCTTTTAAAGCAAGGCAACTCACACAAGAAACAATATAGACTTCATTCGAGTATAAGGGATGATGGATACCCCCCCAAAATAGATCTCCTCTTCTCCTCTTCCCCTCTTAAAAGGCATCAATGATCTTGCTCACGTCACAATAACATGCCCGTCACCGATCGATTCACCCCGTAGGACAGACTCACCAATCACAAGCCTCACCAGTCACAAAAAGTCACAAACTAAAAAGTCTCAAGATAATGGAATTCATATTCCAAAAGCGCGTCCGCCCCCGATCGCCAGTGGGGGGACGAGACGACGGGTATAATGGCTACACCACACCACACCTCAACCCCGTGACCCAAGGCCCTTGGCCCTTCTCACTTCCCCGCCTCTACTCTCTTCCCTCAGGCCAGACGGGAACACGGATATCCCATCCCATCCCATCCGTTGACCTCCAATAACAAAAACTACGTCCAGGACAACAATCGAAACGAGTGTAGTGAGGTCCCTCTCATTTCTCTCCCAGGCCAATGGAGTCGGTTTTTTTTCCCCCCGGCCATGCTGCCCAAAAACAAAACCCTTTGCCAATGTAGCCCAAGAGAATCCTCTCTCTCTCAAGAAACCCCTAATTACGCCATGTGTCCCGTGTCCCGTGGGACTGTGCTTCCAGTCCATGCCTGTGCAAAGAAAGAGAAAAAAAACCTCCAAAGTGCCAAAGGCCAAAATCAGAAAAAATCAAAATGCTAGCGTGGAGTGGTGATCCGACGTCCTTCATGCATGAGCACCCGAATTCACCTGTTACGATCATCCTGCGACGATCGACTGGCGCGGGACGACGCCCCGAAATTGCCAGACAGCATCCCCAACCATCCATCGGGCCGGGCCTGGCGTCCCCTGGGCGCGGGCGATAGGATGCCACCCTGCTCCACGTCGTCTTCTCTGTCTCGCGAGCCGGACGCCTCGGCTTCGACCTCGTCGTCAGAGTCGTCATGGTACGGTTCGTAGCGGGGGCTGGACGGCGAGCCGCGGGCGAGAGAGCGGACCACATCACCCTTGCAGATGGGGCATGTGCGGCGGCGTGTCGTCAACCAAGGCGTGCTGGGAACGTTAGTACGAAGAACATTTACAAATGGGGGCCTCTAGTTATAATGTAAACTTACATGCACTCTGCGTGGAATTCGTGGCCACAGGGCAAGCTCATGACGCGGCTGACGCCGTCGACGTACTCCTCCAAGCAAACCACGCATTCGACCTGTCTGCCCATGTACTTCTTCCACTCGCTCGAGTAGCTGCCATTGACCTTTTCGTGCTCCGTCCGCAGTGGTGACCTAGGCATTTGCAGTGCCGAGTTGACAGACAGCAAGCTTTCCGACTCGGGAATGCCCGTCGTCGTTCTAGAACGAGGCCGTGGTCGGGAAGGGGCCTGCTGCAGCAGAGGCGTGGTGGGTGTTGGGGTCGTCGGTGACGGTATCCTCGGCGAGGGAACGGGTGACGCCGCAACCGTATGGTACGTGCGAACGGGCAAACGCTCGACGACCGACTTGGGTGCCCTCCAGCGTCTTCTGCGAATGCGTGCGCGCAGGATCAGCAAGGCATAGACAACGCTCAAAGTGATGAGAGGGCTGATGACGAGCACGAGCAGTGTATCGAAGAAGGGGCTGGAGCTGCTTGAAGGCGTAATCGTAACCCAGAGACCATCGTGCCCGATAGGCTCGTTCTCCTTGTCATTCTCGTTGCCCTCGTCGGCAATGGGCTCTTCGGGCCGCGGGGGCTCCTTGGGCTTGTCCTCCTTGGAGAAGTCGGCGCCGTCGTCTTCTCCAAAGATCTTGGACATGATGCCTCCGTGGGCTGCGGCCTCCTTCCCAGAGGTGGATCCCTTGGTCTCAACGGGCGGCATATCAGGATTGTACTCGCCGCTTCCGGGAGTGATGCTTCCGCCCTTGGGGCCGGTGACATCCTTGCCGCTCTTCGCAGTACTGCCCGGCTTGCCGACCTGCTGCTCCTTGGACGCGCCCTCGGTCTTGTCTTTGGAGCTTGGAGCGTCCACCAAGTCGGGATCCCGCCAGTCCTGGACGCCAATTTGGAAGGTGTCCTCACTCTTGCGAGCGTCGGGAACCTTGTCTCTGCCCCTTTTGGCGGCCTTGCCGAGACGGTCGCGGATCACCCTGTCCTTCTCCTCGTTCCAGTCGTCAACGAGAACCCAGTTATGGCGACCGCTGCTCGGGGGCTGAATACTGTCGCCGGATCGTGAACTATGGCCCCAGCTGAACAGCCACCGGAACAGGCCGGTGCGGGATTTGGCCTTGTGCTCGACCTTGGCCGGCTTTCCCTTTGCGGCAGCCTTGGCCTTGGGCGTTGGCGTGGCTTTGGCAGTCGGTGTCGGCGTCGTTGCCGCAGCCTTTTGCTTGTTCTTCCTGTTCTTCCGGCTCCCTCCGTCAGATTGCAGCACCTTCAGGGCCGGACGGCCGTGCTCGTCGAGGGTGTCTTCGATGAAGCTACCAGGCTGCGTCAGAGACGACAGCAGATGTGCCGTGGTCCGGGTGGTGAAGACGGAAGGAATGGAGACGTTGGAAGTGTCGCCCCTGGCAAACATCTGGATCAGGGGACCCCCTTTAGTGTTGTCGCCCACGATGAGGGCCATGGCGCCACGTCGCTGCGCCCACTTGACCTTTTCCAAGAAACCGCAGCCGCCGCGACTGAGCAGCACGATCTTCCCGGCGATCTCCGCGGCCTCTTGTATCGATTGGATATCGGCGTGGGTCGACTCGGTGGACAGGGCGCTATCGCGGTTGGGTTGAGGCTTCCGGGCGAGGCCTTGGTGTAGGTAGTCGTCCGTGCCGTCGTCGGCTGGGCGAATCTTGGACCTGAGGCGGGTGACGGGGACGCCGACGGCGTCGGGCACGGCGTCCTTGTCGGCCTTGTCGCGCTTGTGATGGCCAGGCTTGCCAGCAGCAGCAGCAGCCTTGTTGGAGGACTTGGACATGCCCTTGGTGGCAGTCTTGAGGACGGCGTTGGCCTTGCCGTTGTCCCAGCCCGGTATGTCACTGCATCCCAGCTCGCCCTCGCCCTCGCCTTCCTGGAGGTTATCGTCGGCAAAGCCACTGCCAATCCATAGCTGACCGCTCAGGCCCTTGTTGGGCAGATTCGGGCCAAAGGCGGCAGGGCGCGCGACAAAGGTAGTGCTATTATCGTCGGTCAGGCTGATGGCGGCATTTGGTTGGAAAATGGAAAACGGCGCTGTAAAGGAGAAGAAGCTCGTGAATCGTGATCGCGGAACGGCGGCCGGGGCGGCGACTACGGGTGAGGATGAGGAGGAGCGCGCCAGCGAGGTGACGGAGCGGCAAAAGAGGAAGAGCGAAGCGGCGAAGAAGAAGACGAGAATGGCTATTCTAGGAGCACGCATGGTTGGGTATCGTATCGGGTCGTAAGTAATGGAGAAAGGAAAGGGGTCAGAGGTCGAGACTCTGTGGCGTGGGTTGAGGTATCTACAATGTAGAAGTGAACGGAGAGTTCGGCGCACGGCGCAGCAGCCGAGGGGGGTGATCGAATCTGGCGATAGTGGCGCGAGTAAGGCACGGGGGGTTAAGGAAGTCGACGTTGGGTAAGGTGTCGACCTGCAGCCGGCAGTGGCTCAGCGGCAAACTGCACAGGGCCCGGGCATGCGCAAAGTCATGCGGCGAGAGCGAGTAGAGGCTGTCTGGCAAGCTGTTGTGTCTGGAAATATATGACGAGGCTGAAGTGAGGTAGTGGAGAGGAGAGAAGAGGAGGGGAGGTGAAGGTACGACGGTTGGTAGGGCCTTGAACCGGAGGGTTGGAGGGTTGGAGGGGTGAAGGGGTTGGGCAGCAGCCTTCCACACAAAGACATACACTCTCCGTGTCTCTCGGTGTGCCGGCGGGAAGCGTCGGGTTAAGAAGCTCGAGGGCGCGAGGAACGAAAATGGGATTGAGGTTTCGGTGGTCGGGGAGCAGCAGGAGGCACAAAGTAAAGTTGGATAACGAGGTCGTGCCGATCAGGATATTCGGGTTCGGGGCCGCAGTGGGACGAGTGAAGGCAGCGCAGAGCGATGCAGCAGCGCCATGCAGAGAAGAAGAGGAGATGCCGGACGGAGCCGGTGACGACAGGTCAGGCAAGTGCTCTGTAGACAAGTCGAGTAGCACCGAGACGTGGGAGGGAGCGACTCGAGCGAGAGAACGGGACGGGGAGAGAGACAATGGGAAGTCTACCTGCATTTGGTGGCGGGGCCCTCCACCGTCTCTGTGGTGCAATTCCGGGCTGTCAATGACACACCTTAGGCTCAGTGGGCTGGGATGACTGCCTGGCGGGGAGTGATTGGGGGGTTCGGGGCTCCCTGTCTGGCTGAACTTGTAGAGGACAGGGTGAAATTCGGATACACTGCGCATCGGGACATACCTCACACGCCCACTTTGATGGCGTGGGCACGCGGGCACGCTGGCACGCGGGTCACTGGTCATGAGCCGTTGAGAACTTCAGACAACTCACTTCACTCACCTCACAACTCAATCCAACTACATTACTCACTGTAATCCTCAAACGAGGGTGGGCAATCGGCTCACTCACCACTTCACCCCAGACACAAGTCATAACAAACTCTTCATCATCACCGCCGCCGTGCTCACAGGACACAATCTATGCAGCATGCAAGCATCCGTAGCTTTCTTCAGGTGACAGCCCAACCCATTCCCGCCACTACTCTGTGCTGTCAAAAATACACCATCCCAGCGGACCCAGCCCAGCCACGTTCGCCCACAAGGTGTGGCAGGGAAAGAGTTGCAGCGTCGACCGGCATTGGCGGCACCCACACGGTCTCACTCAAGCACCAGGGGTTTCCCCCCCTCAAGCGCGTGGTGCATCTACGGATATCTATCAGCCTATCGAGGGGTAGACAGACTCTCGTAGACTCGTAGAGGGGGAGGGAGGGAGGACAGTTTGTCCTGGGTTTGCTTGTCGTCGCGTGCTCGTCGCTGCTGCACCAGTGATTCATTGAACCAAGTTCATGTTCCACCGTCTCAACTTTCCCTCCCCCCATTCCCCACATCCGATGCTTCAGGGCCGACGGGCGACTCACCGAGTCACCCAGGAGAGTCTATGAGAGGCAGACTTTGACGCCCAGCCGCGCATGGGGAGATTAGTGGAGCGCTGTTATGCCACCACCCAAGGGGGGGCCTGACTGTTGGTCCTCGTCTCACAAAGCGCCAAAGGCCGACTTGACCCGGGTCCGATTGTGGCCAAGTAAGGTACTCCGTACATACCCAGCTATTTTCATGTACTGTACTGGATTCCTCAAGCGGCCTTTCTCCCTTCCCATCAAAATTCCATGAAACGCCAACGATGAGTGGCTGACTTACAGAATACGACGACCCGGGAAATGAGGGTGACGAGTCCCGTATCCGCGTACCCAAGGCAGCAAAGTCGCCCTCGCCTCTGGCAGCTTCCCCGAGGGACGAACCACCCTAGGAACTGGGCGCAGCAGCTGAGCTACTGCTCGAAACGCGCGATATCCGTCCTGAATTGGGGTACCAAACACAATAAAGAACCTCTGCCAAATGTCAATGACCCCACACGCGACCACACTGGACTGAATCCCTCCGTCCCTCGTGACCAAATCTCAAGCTTGCCATCAAAACCGCCAAAAAGGGGGTGTGTGCGTTTGTAGTCCCCTTGTTGGATGCTAGACGCCCAGACTCGGGGCCTAGAGGTCCTGAAAGAAACCTAACCCAAATCTCCAAAGTCAAGGATGGGCGGGGTGACTCGACAAGGTCATTATCGAGAACCTCCTCCCCTCAAAGAGCTAGCGCTAAAACCACAATAGGTCAGAGAGACACCAGCAACAAAGAAGAAAGCACAGTCATGCCCCAGATTTCTCGTGCCTGAACGGGAAAAGAGCAGCCTAATCCGGGCGGGGGGAGCAGTCGATAGCCAGGCGGGAACAGCTCCTAGACCCAACATAGCGTGTGAGTAGCCGTCATCGAGAGCTTCCCACCGAGTCCAAAGTGCCTGCATGAGCTAGCTACCTTGCCTCACCTCAAACGCTTGTCGACGAACCCCCGCAAAGTCGAGCATGTCACCGAAAACGCCTCTCCCAAAATCTGCAAACCTCACGTGCCCATCATCGTGAACCTCTTCGCCTGGTCAAGACTCGAGTTCTCAGCTTTCAGCCCCCATTCAATCCTCGCAATAATCCGTGCGTCGTCCCATTGTAAATCACACCGCACGCCATATAAGTCCATGCACGAATACCTTACCTCAAAATAGAGAGGAGCAAGCGAACAGACAATCACAGTGCGTCGAGGCGTCTCACCTCGCCAACCCTTCCCGCCAGCGCCAGTGTTTACCACGTTTTCAGTAACAACAGCAAGGTAAGCTTAGTTCGAACCGCTGCCGCACGAAGAGAGTGAATGAGGGGGGGGGGGGGCGCAGGGGAAACTCAATTCAAACGTGAACTCCTCTGACCCATCCGGCCGACCTCACCTTGAGCTGCGGCTGGCTTGACCAACCAACCGCCAACCAAACAAAACAAAATAACTAGTGTAGCATTCTACGTCGTATCCTCCGCCCCTTCACCAGAGTTGGAAACGCGTTACAGAACTTTGCACTCCAATGTATCTCGCTCTCCCCGATCTCTTCTCTATTCTTCCTTCACTCGAAACCACAGGCGGTCTGTGGACTCCACAACGTCTCTGCGCCTACCTTACTCCCCTAAACCACCAACTCGCAACACTTCAGTCAGTCCCCGTCCGCCCTCCGCCCCCCGGACGTCACCCCGGGATCCATTCCCGCCGTATACTCAATCGGCGACCGCGATCCGTGGCAGTGCCGTCCTCCCCTGCCGTCCCAGCTGTGGCGCAGGACCTTTATTCACTCTCATTTTTCATCCCACATTCCTTCTCTCCCTTCACTTACATCCATCACATTCAAAGCCCTTGGCATCATTCATTCCCCTTGCATCCGCATTCTTTCCCCTTCTCCGTACCTGAATCCCCACAAGCCTCGAGGGAACGGCATACCATCCACTCACCATCACACTCTTGTCCTTCCTTTTCCATCTCGACCATCTACCCACAAAGGAGTCCCAATACGAATAAAATCATACCTCCAAGTGCTCCCCCTCCTCTCCGAATCAAGTTAGCCTCCACTCATGAAATGGGTCCCCGCCCCTCGCCCTAGACCCATGGGGACCCCTTCCACTCGTTTGTTTCATAGCCATTCTCAGGGTAGGGGTATCTGAACGTCCCACCCCTGGCAAAGGAAAGGTGAAACGCCGTTGGCGAGCATATTCCTCCCGCCTGGCGCCTGCAGACCTGAAGTTGAAGGTGAAGGTTAAGGGCAGAGTGACATTTCTCCCCTCCTGCGCGCGGCTTGAGAACCCCTGCTGTTGCAGCTAGACTACAACGATATCTCAGAGTTTCGGTGCCTCGAAGCTTCACAATGCGTCGAACCTACGCTATCCCAAAGAGCAGTGTGGCTCACAGCCTCCTGCCCCTCCAAGTGAGGCTGAGATTGAAAAGCATAGACGAATCTTCGTCGGCATGCTCTCCTCTCCATATCTATCTCGATGGCCTCATCATTTCATCCGAGACGCTGGGTTTGACCATGCTTTCTCGCAACGTTCGGATGAGGCATCAAATGCTAACCTCAATTCATCTCTTAACGTGACCAAATATGCAAAATACGTGGAATGTGAAAATGTGGAAGACGCTTGGTTGGTAGGTACCTGGTAATCGTTCTAATAATCCCATTGAAGGCTGATGAGCCTGTACATGGCCTGTATAATCTAGAAACTTTTTCAACCTATTCACATGTGCTTCTTGCTTAAAAGTACCCAACCACTCTCATAAAAAAAAAATCATTGTGAACCTTCCACGCAACAATTCAAAACAACTGATGCAAGTGCTTCAAATAACAGATGCAGTTCAACTACGCAGACGCCTGCTAGCCATGACCCAAAAACCGCTCTCGGAAGACCAAAGACAAGTAGCCATACACACCCCATCCAATCCGAGCCCCCAGCCCTGCAGTGCAATGAATCACTTGGACTCGGATGACGCCCAGCTGAGTCCGACCTCCTTGCCACGATCCCACTCCCGCTTCTCCCCAGCCTTGGCCCATCGCACATCCCGCTCGTCCTTCTGCTCGCCGGCCGTACCGCCCTCCGTCCACTTCTTAATCATCTCGTCGCTGTACCCAGCCGCCCGCATCCGCTGCTCCTGGTTCTGCCGCCACTTCTGCCGATCCCGGAAGGCCTCCACCGCGTCGTCCCAGTTCTCTCCAGGGTGTTTGTCGTTGTCCGCCATCTCCACGTCCGTCTTGGGGTTGTAGTCCGCTTCGAAGCGCTTGTCGATACCCGAGGTCCCTGAGGCGGTCCCGCGGCCGCGCGACCGCACTGGCTGCGGCGGTTCTGGCCCGATGAACTCGTCCAACGGGTCCGAGTCTGACGCTGTCGTCGCCAGTTTCCGGTCCTGCGCTTTTCCCTCGTCGCGACGGCGGCGGCTGCTGCCCTTGATCGAGAATTCCGACTGTGGCCTTTCCCGGCTCCTATCTTTGCGTGTCCGGTGGCTCTTTGACATCAGGTCGCGTCCCTCTTCGTCGCGGATCCGTCCCCTATCGCTTCGTCGTGACTTGGACATGGTTTCCCTATCGCCGATTGGCGAGCGATGGCGGTGCCTCCTGTGCTTCTCGTCGGGTGAACGTGACCTCCGCCGATCGCTTCTGTGCCGCCGGCGATCCTCCCGCTCTGATTCCGATTCATCCTTCCTGCTCCGATGGTGCCTCCTAGCGCTCTCGCGTTCCGGTGATTCGCTCCTGCGTTTCTTATGGTGTTTCCTCCGCGGCGGCGAGCTTTCCTTCTTCTGCGACTTCTCGTCCGACCGCCTGGACCGACTGGACCGTCCCCTGTCCTTGCAGTCTCCCAGGATGGACATGATATCTCCCATCTGCCTCTTGCGAATATCCTGCGGGCCCGCCCTCCTCCGCCTCTCCTTCTCTTCGGCGTGTTCGAGATCCTTCAAGCGTGCGCGGGACTCGGCTGCCTCCTTGGCCAGGAGGTTCTGGTTGTGCGTGTTCGTGTCCTTGATGATGTGGCGCAAGAAGCGAGTGTTTGGTTTGGGCATGTTTGCCGGTCTAAAACGGGGTCGATTAGATGGTGATGTGAGGGATCCGGGAGAGTCGTTAGACGTACTTCTTGTCTGCCGGGCCCATGATGGCCTCTTTGGCGAGCAAGTCGGCGACGTAGTCGTCCGTGATTATGTCGTGATTTGACATTTTTGAAAGTCTCAATGTCCCAAAACGTGGATCCAAAAGATGGTAAACTGACCGCGCCCCTGCCGAGCACGCGAGATCACGCTGATAGTTGTGGCATCCGGCGGCTAGCTGGGATAGGTGCCTCTCTTTTTTCGTATTTGAAGGTTACCGCGGAGGCACTCAGAGGCGATGGTCTTGAATCAGTGAAAGAGTTGGAAAGTGATAATAGCAAGGTTCTGAGGCTGAGGCTGCTGAAGGAAGCGATGAAGAGGGGCGGCAGGGGTTCGCATAGTTGAAAGGCGGCGTTGTCGCAAAATGCGGCGTATGGAGGGACTAGGTAATCGACGACAGCAGCAAAGGCCGCCGGAGTCACATCGGAAGGGACTGGGCGCAGTGGGATGAGCCTGCACAAGGCCCTCCGCTTGTCGCACGGTACAGGCCGATAAGAAAGTGGCGGAGATAACGATAAGATCAGTCCGCGCCTTGCCCCTTCTGGACCTAAGTAAACAAACGTCACACAGGTCCCCCTGACACCAAGAATCAACATTGTGCCCACCATCTCCTGCCCGCGTAATCCTCCGACGCGCCATTGACGAAGCCCCCATCTCCAGCAGACCTACTGAGACCGAATCCCCCAAGAACATTGCGCAAATCTTGCGGCCCCCCCGAAAATGGACGCGGGAAAAGCAGCCCAAGTGCTGCGCAAAATTGAAGATCTCAACGAGAACCACGAAATCTCAATCATCAGGCTCAGCGAACCCATCTCCAGCGCCGTCGCGCAGGAATCACGGCAGCGTACCTCAGATGCCTCCAATGCATCCCAAGATGCCGCGACACCGGCCAGCCTAGAGGCTGACCTCGAGCACTACAAGGAGCTGTTCGCCAAGCTCCGGTTCTCCTACGTCGAGCAGGTCACAAAGGAGAAGTTCATCCGCGCCATCGTCGGCGACCCGCCCGTCATCGTCACGCCGCAGGAGAATGCGGAGCTGGAAAAGGCGAACCTGGAAGCCAAGGCGCAGCTCAAGGCGCTCAAGGTGGAGGTCGCGGACATGGTGACGGAGCTGGAGAGGAAGGGCAAGGAGCTGGCGAAGCGGTACGAGGGCGTCTCGCTGGACACGACGAAGCTGAGGGAGCTACCCGACAAGATTGCCGAGTTAGAGGAGCAGGTTGCGGAGCTCAAAGAGGCGCAAGCGCCGGGGCAGAACCCGATGATGAACCTGCCCCTTGCGAGGACCCTCGAATTGGTGGACGAGAAAAAGAAGCAGCAGCAGCAGTTGGATCGCGAACTGGAGCAGTTACAAGCCAGGGTGCCGCGCAAGAGAAAGGAGCTGGAAAGGTTGCAGGCCGAGTTGCTACCGTTGGAGGCCAAGAGACAGAACAGCACAGCGGCTGCCAAGGAGGCGCGAAGGCGGAAGGAGGGAGCTGGCGGTGATGCGGACGACCTCGAGGAACGGGGTCGGTGGTTGAGGGCCAGCGAGGCGGCACTCAAGCAGATGTTGGATATTCAGGGTTAATGGTGATGCATTTCTAACAGGGGCGGATGGGAAAATGGTGGACGGCATGATGATTTTTGTATACCCGCACACAGCACGCCCAGTCATGGGTTGGGAAACGGCGTTACCAGGCGTTTAGAGATGACATGAATTCATCGACTCGCTTTACTGATGCATGCTTCATCTCATAGCGCTATCACACAACAGCCGCCTCAAACAGACGGGTGACAGGTCGATTTTTTTTTTTTTTCATCTCTTCGCTGCCCTTCATCCTCTTTTCCTTCCCCGATGCCGTCTGCTGGCCCAAGGATCATATAAGGTATGAGGGGAGACTCATGAACAGGAGCATCAGACAGAGTCGAGAACAGTCAAAATAGAGCGTTTGAACGGGGCTGTCCAGGGGTTTGTCACCAGCACAAAGTGACGGATTGGCAGCTGGAAGACCGGACCCATCAAAAATTGAGGACAGGGATGCGACGGCGGTGCACAGGCAGGTCGAGTCCACTTGCTCGCCGGGGAGGGCGGTGATTGGACGAAGATCGAACCCTCGGTCACGTGTGATGCCATTCACGAATTTTCAGAGTGGCCGAATGGGTAGGCCCCACCAAGCCCAATCCTCTCGCTTAGGTCACGCACCACGAAATTTGACAATCGAGCGTCTTTCTCGATTGATTCCTCCGCGAACCAACTAACCGATCAGCAACCACCGAACACCATCGTCGACCACCGAATACCGCCAAGATGAGTACGTTTTAGCCGCCACCGCTGTCGCCATCGTCTTCGCGACGAAAGGTTTCCCGTTTTTACGACGTTCCGATGGACTGACCGAGATGTTTTCTTTGTGTAGCGAAGGGTACCTCCTCGTTTGGTAAGAGACACAACAAGACGCACACCTTGTGCCGTCGTTGCGGTAAGTGACATCTCCCTGGGAGGAAGTTGAGTTCCGGTCCGCTGGGACGCGACAGCCTCCCGAAATTCGAGACTAGAGGAGGTGCAAGAGACTGATCAATATTTGTGTGTTTACAGGTCGCCGATCGCTTCACATCCAGAAGCACACCTGCTCTTCCTGCGGTTACCCCTCGGCCAAGACCCGCAAGTGTATGTGTTTCCTCCCGACGACGAACCCAATCCCGAATCCCAGGCAAACAAAACAACCCCGATCTACAATTACGCCACCTCTCCACCTCCCAATACACGCATGACCACAGAAGATATGAGCCGAGAAAGATTACTGACGTAGGATGCGATTACAGACAACTGGTCCGAGAAGGCCAAGCGGAGAAAGACCGTCGGCACCGGCCGCATGCGCTACCTTAAGGGCGTCTCCCGCCGCTTCAAGAACGGCTTCCAGTCCGGTGTCCCCAAGGGTTCCGCCGGCCCTACCGCGCAGGAGTCGTGAGCGATGATTGGAATGTGAATCGGGTCGACATGGGGAGGTATCTGTGCAATCGAGGCATTCGGGCGATGGGGGGGAAATGAACAACTGAGGGGGCGTGGCAACGCCGCCGGTCTACTCGGGGAAACGATATCACGAAAGAAAAAGGAAACTACTGTTTTGCTTTCTTTTTCCCACCCCTCACACCCTCCCTCGTTTTTGACTCGGAAGCAAAGCCAATATCAAAAAAAGAGTCAAACCAAAGCATTTGGCCAAAATCAACGGGTGTTTTGCGTCTTCTCATATCATCTCGCGCGCGGGCTCTTCAAGGGGAAAAAATCACTTTTTTAAACACGGGAAAAAAGGATCCTGGGGAAAAGAGAAATGACTTTGCTTGTCTTGTTCACTCGCTGATTCCACGCGCAACTGGATATGTGGTGACTCTGATCGATCCATAGAGCCTGTGCCGATCGGTGTCAATATGATGATGGTATTTTGGGTGTGAAGACAGTCCTGCCAGTCTTGACTACTGGTCCTTGGAGTGATCTGTAGAGGTAACGTCCTGGTGTGTGGCGAAAGCTACGTATGATGGGATACACCAGAGCATTAGTTCCTTGGTATGTGACAGTGCTCGGTAGGAACATTTCAATTCCCATGTTATGTGTACCAACCCCTCCAAATCCTCTCTGCAGCATAGAAAGCAACCCACCATCGACGACATGCTACTTTCACGCCTTACCTCGCCACATCCTCGCCATCCCATCACTGCCCTCTCCCAAAGACCTTGACGCTCCCATCCCCGCCAACAAAGTACAACAGCTCCGTCTCCTCGACCGCCCTCTCCTCCCCGTTCCCGCCATCCCCTCCCGCAGTGACCCTCAACACCCCGCTGACGTCGCTCGCGTTGCCCGTGTCAAGCAACCTCAGACCGATGACCGTCTCCGCGGCGTGCGCCAGTCCGAGGACGAGACTCGCGTGCTCCTTCTCCAGCGTCGTGGTCTGAGCCGCGATGAGGGGTTCGTCTGCGGCGACGGTGATGATGGAGGCGTGGACTTTCTGTTTGAGGTGTCAGTGAAGGGCCCCCTCTCTTTTCGAGATGGATGGCACAAATGAGAAATATGTCGCAGTCGATGAATTTCCACTGAAAGCATAGTGAATGAAATACGGACAAGCCGATGAGGGAGTGAGAAGAAAACATACCTCTTGCACATCAAGCAGCATATTTCTCAACGCAAGGCCCGTAAGGTCCTCGCCAGACGCAGCGAGCAAGAGGTCCGGCTGGTCCACGATCAAGACCGTCCTGGCGTCCCCCGCGGCGACATCCGATACCGCCCCGTCGAGCTCGCGCTGTATGTCGGCCAGCCTCGCACCACGGAGAGTTCTCCGGCCCTTGATTGTCGTCGACGGCGCCGCCTGGTTAGGGGAGGAGAATAAGCCGCTCAGCCCGTCCACGAAGACGAATCTACCGCTTCTTCCTAGACCTTCGAGGTCGAGTCCCTGTTGGTGCGTGTTAGTTAGTTCTGTCTCGTTGGATTCAAGAACGTTGTGTACTGGCGAAGGGCGGACGGTTGAGAAAATCTCATCAATGGAGGGGTAAAGAATATGAGTGAGGGGCATGTATATAAGGGAGCGAGACGGAACAATTAAATTATTAAAACAAGAACTTACCAGTCTCCCAGCGCCCTCTTTCCAAAAAGCAAAATCTCTCATGAAGCTGACGAGAACGACGCGGACGTCCCCAGCCTGTGAAGCTGCAGCCCCCCCCTCCTCGGCTGCGGCGTTGGGTTTCCTGAGGTACGTGTACAGGTACCGCAGGACGAGCCAGTTGGTGCTGGCGCCGAGGACGCTGGTGAGGAGGATCTGGGCGTATTCGGGCGGGAGGGCGAGGTAGCTCTCCAGCAGGTGGGGTATTCTCGTCGCCATGTTTGGCCTTGGCCTCTTAGGATGCGCTTATTTGTGAATGGGATATGAGATGGGTATGAGATACGCTTGGTGATTTTTTTGGGGGCATGTAAGTGAAGGCTTCACTTGGAGTCAGTCATTATGCTATTTTGCGCCGGGTGTGGTGGGGCTGCTGGGACAGTGATGAAGGATACCTGACACTGTGCTAGAAGGGTCTGTCGTCTCATCGCGCCTGAACCCTATGCAGGTAATCAACTTGGCCTATGGTCTTTCTTGTACCTCAGGAAGTGTTTGAGGTATGCTTAAGAACTAGAGCTTTTGAACTTGTTTCTTATTGATCGGAAAGACATACATTTCATATTGTGTCTTCAAAAATTTGAGAGGTCAACTTTGGCCTAAAGAAACTTCAATTACTACATTACCTAAACATTTGATAACTCAGATGAGCCTCGTAGAATTTGTTGAATTAATTAGATGAATGCCTCCTAACGGCAATTTTACAGCTACGTGAGTAAAGAGAGTGATCATTGAATCCTTCACCTTGACTTGTCAGTCTCTGAGAAGGGTGTTTCACGCCTCGAAGTTGGCGAGTGCTCGACCTGCGGGCTGAAGAATGCCTGCACTGGGTCGGATTCAAACGTGGGAAGTTGCCTAACGGTGTCGAGATTAACCCTCTTCATGTATGATCCGTTCTTGGGGCTGTCTTCACTTCAGTAAGATAATAGAGATGACATTTTGCAAGTCAAATATTTATGACCCTTGAATTTGATCGCAACCGCGCGATAAGTCAAGCCACAAAAACAGCAACCAATACCTGGACAGCCGAGGTGAGTCTAGGTCACAAAGGGAGCAAAAGCAAAACAATATTCCGAAACCGAGAATCGAACTCGGGGCTATGCCTAACCTCTCAAAGAGATGAGAGGGCATCATGTTGGCCACTACACCATATCGGATTGGTTGATATTTTCTTCATCAGAGTAGAATTTGTATAGTGGGTGAAATGACTGGTGGGACCCTCACTGAATGTGGAGATCTTTTGCAGGAATTTCAAAACAGGGTAATGTACAATGGAACAAAAGCGTCGGGCAAGGGAGGCTGGTCGCCTTCAGTTTACCAATGTATAGCCGTTGATATATGTCTTTCCAGCGTGGAAGGCTCATTGTCTGGCAATGTTGTTCAAACAAAATCATCCACTTCAGCATTGGATCAACACCAACAGAGTCATGTTACCCAGTTATGTGAGCCTGCTAATCAGCCCTTTCCTAGTCTTCAACACAATATCAACATACGTTCTGTCAGCAGTAGGCTTCTGGGCTGGACTGTCCGTCTGGGAAGTCAGGTCCTCTCAGTCAGGAAGACTGCCATCTGTCGTAAAGGGGAAGGCTGAATATGTCGCGGCCCATTCTTATTTATGTTTGTCGACATTCTTTCTGTTGAAGAAGAGCAAGATATTGATATGTACTGAGTTAACTTTGTGAGCTGCCACTGAAATAGGGTTGCCGGCAGCAACGAGCTATCTGAGATTCATTCTCATGACACATTGCTCTGGGTTGGTCTACGATTGCAATTTGAAATGGACTGTTAACACATCGAACTGGGGTATGAATAGGGTATCAGCTTCAGAAAAGAGTCATATTTCACATGGTCCATGACTTTCCTAGGGAGAGCGTTGGAGTTTTCAGGTCTTGCTCGTGGCTTACCTTCATTTTCCCACCACTCCTTGGATTTTCTTCTTTCCTGTATATCCCCCGATCTGATGAGCTTCATAAGTCTAGACCGTGGGTCCCATCCGCAACGGTAGCAAAGGCTCTGTATATTTGACCCGGCGTCGTTTTGTCCAACGAGAATCGATTTGGCGGGTAACTATAAGCCTAGGAGACCAAAAGTGTCTGGAGATGTTTGAAGCTGGTAGATCCGCCCAAAATACCTGGCGGGATGGTCCAGGACCTTGATCATAAAAACAGATTTGGTGAAAAGGTTGATGGAAAATTCGAACCTTTCATTTATGACTCTGATTTCGACTATAACATGACCTGGCGAGCTCACCATTCGCGTGCTGCATGTTTCACATGAGTTCATCTGAATACAGCATGTGGGGTCTCGCTATTCGGGAGACGTCGGCCGAGGCATCCGCCACCACCACTGTGGCTTTGGAAACACGGTACAAGAGGGTGGGATTTCCTCTGTGTACCTTACATCACCTCAAACCAAAACTTATGCTAAGAGAGCAAGCATCCAAGCCCTCCTTATCCAGAAACCGCTGATATGTCAGACCTGATCCCAAAACTCATCACGGTCGAGGAACACTTCATCGCGACGGAGCTCTTCACGGAGCTGTCCGACCTCTACGCAGAGCAACTCAAGCATCTCCCCGAAGTAGCAAATCGCCTCAAAGATGTCGGACCCTTGCGGCTCAGCAACATGGATACGAACCGCATCGGCCTACAGATCGTATCCCATGCGCCCGGCCTCGGCCCCCGCGCCCCGCGGCTTAGCAGACTAGCCAACGACCAGCTCTCGCAAGCCGTACAAGCCAACCCGGCCCGCTTCGCCGGGTTCGCCGTGCTGCCAATGGCCGACCCAGACGCCGCGGCGACGGAACTCGGGCGTTGCGTCCGGGAACTGGGCTTCGTTGGCGCCCTGGTGGACACGCACGTCGACGGAACGCACTACGACGACAGCCGCTTCTGGCCCGTCTTCGCCGCTGCCGCCAACCTCGACGTGCCAATCTACCTGCACCCCACCTACCCGTCAGAGAGCCAGCGTCCCGCGTACGAGGGCAACTTTGAGCCCGGCGCGGCGCGGAGCCTGGGGTCCAGCGGGTTCGGGTGGCACTCGGAGACGGGGCTCGCGGTGCTGAAGCTCTATGCCGCGGGTCTTTTTGACGAGTATCCCTCGCTGAAGATCATCATTGGGCATTTCGGCGAGATGCTGCCCTTCATGATGGAGCGCGTGGAAAAGCTCTCGGTGCGGTGGGGGCCGCGGCGGCGGGGCTGGCTTTCGGTGTGGGAGGAGAACATCTGGGTCACGACGAGCGGGGTGTGGGGCCTGGCTCCGTTGGCGTGCGTGTTGCGGAACACGCCCGTCGAGCATATTCTCTACAGCGTCGATTACCCGTTTGAGAAGAACGAGAACGGGCTGGCGTGGATCCGGGAGCTGCGGGACAGCGGGATGGTGACGGCGGAGCAGCTCGAGATGATTGCGTATCGCAATGCTGAGAAGCTCCTGCGAGTCAAGGCGCCGTAATGTTTGTGAGAAAGGACTTGAGGAGGAGCATGAATGACTGGGAAGCGGCCTCGAGGCATGCCAAATCTGGGCTGCGTTTGGGCGCAAAGCACGCACGGCCAGTTCGCTCAACCGTGAGGAAAAGAAAATACACCGTTTCCCTCTCCATCCAACACGATCGTGAGTCGTGACTGGCCAAGAACAATCTCCACGGACCCGTTCCCCTCCCACAACGACGATCTCTTTCTCTCTGTCCCCGCTCATGATGCCCTCTCTCGCTTCTTGTTACAACCTCCCACGGCCCGTCCCACACAGCACAGTCTCTATGGCTCAGTCGGTAGAGCGTTGGTCTCATATTAAACACATATGACTCTGGAAAACATTCTAGGGACATCCAAAGGTCGCAAGTTCGAGCCTTGCTAGGGACATTGTCTTTTGCCCGTTGCACATCTGATTGACATTTTGGCCACTGCATGTGTCGGTAAAGCGCATACGTGAATGAACGCGTACACATCTCAAATTGAATCAAGTTTACCTACCTTACATACATAGTATGCCATAAACTTCATGCTATAGGTAAGCTGCCACTGCAAGTTGAAGGTAAGATACCTTAATTTGCTCTTTGATCTCTGCTCGAATGCAACAAAGCTCGGTGGTGTCCATATTGCAGGTTTGAATAACAAGATAACATTGCACTCAGAGCCGCAAACCAGAACCCCCTCCCTAAATACCAACTGGCCTTCTAGACATAATTCCCTTCGGAACGCTCTTTGCGATGCCACATCAAATGTTTTGCAACCGCACATAACCCGGACGAACACCGTCAGATTTACTCTTAGAATCGGAATACTCGACTGCGTCTGAGTGTGGTTGTAAGGTGGGGTCATCCCCCCCACCCGCAACACACAAATTCTCACGCAGGAAATCCAAAACTAAATCGTAAACCAACTCTCGGCGACCAAATTCAGCAGTAGAGCAAAAGAAATGCGTCGAGGGGGAATCGAACCCCCGGCTCCCCGACGCTGCTGGATGGCAACGGAGAATTTTACCACTAAACCATCGACGCTTGATGATCTCTCGTGATTTGAGATGCTGGTTGAGGCCGGAACTGAGCTAATGTTGGGTGGGTGATGTTAGGGCTCGAGTTCGTGCCGGGATGCTCATAACGACGGCCCATCGGGGCGACTTGAGTAAAGTCGGAAGACGCCGAATACTCACGGAATTGAGACTGTGATATTTGGTTGACTCGAGCCTTGGAAATATTCATCATTCTAGTCGGAATCTTTTGAGCATAAGGATTATTTCAGTCATGAGTCTATTCAATTGTATGCATTGTCGGTATCACCCTGGGCTAGTCTCTGCAATTAGTTGTGTGATGTATATCCGTCGCTATCCGTCGCGACTGAAGTGTGAGAGACGCAAGCGTATGAAAAGAGTCTGTCATAGCGAGCTTTAGTTTGAGGAGCCGTGTTGGGATGGCTTCTGTGGTTACCGAATTTCACCTAACTCTCGCACTCATGCGAATCAAAGACAATAAGCTCTCCTCAAACACCAATCCGCCCCTGGTATCATCCCTTCCCCTTCAAAGTGTCAGAGTCCATGGGAAAGTCTTGAACTGTGTTGAGGCTTGGGAGAGCAGGCTTCCATTAAAGACCTGGCGTCTGTCAATGTCCCTTTCAGAAGCTTTTGCAGAATCATGAAGTAATTCGAGAGAATGGAGATGAGCTTGAAAAATCAGGTAAAAGCCCCTGATCACATTAGGCTTGATCGAAAGTGTGGTCGGCGAGATAGTTATAGGACTGCTCCTACGTGGCTCCCAAAACATTCATTCATGATGACGTGTTGTGGAACGAGGAGCTTCATCAGATCTCAACTCAACTAGGTCACAAATCGGCCCTCCTCTCACATCACACCCACGACCCCTTTTCGGAAGGGAACACCTAGTAGCAACCCTGGGAACATATAATGAATTGCAGGATTATATGTTCACCCGAGCTGTCTGCCAGTCAATTGATATTACCAGCTATGCGCGGGACATGTTCAGTCGTCACCGTACTCGTAAGCAAACGTCCACCATCACCAGAAACTCTCAGTGCGTTGTGGGGGAGGCAAACATAATCATAAATGAAGCTTTTGCTTATCACTCCATTAGGGGCAGTATCATGATGCGGTAGGTACTCCAACCAAGTGCAGCCGCCGGCCTCTTCCAGCGCCAAATTCTAGTTTCCGCAATCATCGATATGAAACTTCTAACAGAGTGATACTTGGGGTGGGGTGGGACTTGAGTACAATCACACCCCGCCAAGATACAGCATCAGCCAATTTCACAGCCAGACCATGGGCCTCATCCTACTACATGCTCAATGATATGGAACTCTCGCTGGAATAACGGTGTGTTATCAGTACCACCCTCCCGAATCGCCCATCGACCATAGTCTTCCTCCTCATCAGATCCAGCAAATTTTTCAACCGACACCTTGGAAAGAAGTCCCCAACTACTACCTCTCGTTAGACGCCAGAAGATCTTGTACTTCATTGTTCTCAGGCATTATGGTTCCTCCCCTCCCTCGACATACGTGTTCTCGCACAGGAGCGAGATTGTTTGGTCAACTGCACGGCGTCGGTGAACTTCCCTGTTCCGATCCCACTTCCCTCATTGCCTTTATTGAAATACCACTTACCACACCGACATCACAGGCGACAGCCTGACCGGGTAGCTCCCGACGACCACGAACACCAGTGCCTTGACGAGTAAATACACTTTGCCCTGTGTCTCGAACCTAGCTGTTGAAAGACCTTACTCGCAGCCCTCGCGGTCCAAAACAATCGTTAGGATCACATCTCATCTCTATCAGTCACATCGTGCCGTATCGAGGGGTTTGCGTCGTGTTAGTCGTTTCGACCCTCATCTCAGCCCTCCTCTACGACGTCGACCCGGACATTCTTTACCGTGCTCCGCATCCTCTCGGCACCGGTATTGGGCGTCACACGTTCCGGCGCGCCGGAGACTTTACATTGTCGTTGCAGACGTCTGCTGCGCAGGTCGGAGCTTGGACTCGCACCGCAAGATGAGCCACGGTCGGCGGGTTCACTTTCGTCTGCAAGGCGTGTGTAGCAACCGCGGCAGCATCGAATTTACAAGTTTAGCAGTGCTATTTACATTGAGCTGAATATCGTGTGAGGAAGTTGAAAAATGAAGCGGTCCGTCCAAGAGCCCTCTCTGGCTGGCGATGATGCTGGAGATGACGACGATGAAAGAAAACAATTCCTGACAGGCCGGATAACAGAGATTTAGATCAACAGACACGATTGTTGAAGAGAGAAGCTTTATGCTCCAAATCACCGTGAGAGGGACCGACGGGCGCTCACATCTCTCCATCTGAAGATGCGACTAGGCTCCAACCTGAGAGGCCAATCATAGCCCATTCAAGGTTAATGGAAGAAAACTTAAGATGGGGGATAAACATGAAACATTTCAGTATTATCGGTTGCAGATGGTGTCGCGTGCTCATATATGAGAGGGCGCGTAGCGCGACAAAGACGTCCAGTTTGAGAATCACTGTCGCACCCTGCGGAAATCGATTTCTATTTGAATCCTGAACATTTCCATTTGGAAAAGAGGCCCCCCTTTGAAGCTCTTTGCACCTCTTGGGAGGGGCTGTGATAATGAACACTAGCAGACATATCCTGACAGTGGAAAATAACAGGCAATCAATGCCAACGAGAAACCAGTCGAGCCACCCCAACCGGTCTACGAATACGAATCGGCGCGGAACGTCATGATTCGCCGATCAGAACTCGCAAATGCGGGCAGATAACCGACTTCGCTTCGCCTGCAGCGCGCATGCGATAACTCGACAAGCGCACCTCTGTCCTGTCACCCCTTCTCGGTGCAGCCATCGGGCCAGATGAATACACCGTTCGTGTGTGAGCCGACAACAATAAGCTGCGCGTTCCGTGTGCCTCCCGCGGATATTACAACCAGACCCCCTGATTAGCGGATAAATAACGTGAATCGCATCAGAGAAATCTAGAAGTCCATTCAGGCTGAAAGAGGGAATATCGGGCGGGTTTGGTCACTTGGTCGGGGGTGAGTTCGAGATTCGAACAGAGTCGAGACCGGAACTCCGGGGCTGGCTGCTGGGGGTAGTAGGGCCTGGGATAATTGGGAGAACTCTACTGGCTGGGTTATTTGGGTATCCCGTCCCAGACACAAAAACATAGTAGAACCTTGACAACCCATCTGCCGTTGCTTCTGCGGCTCCGACTGCTCATGGTTGTAGGGCTAACTAAAGTTGGACTTTAAGAGGTGAACAAGTGTGAATGAGACGTGCCCGGAGACGCTCAGATCGTCGAGTTCAGACGGTGCGGCACCGTGGAACACTTGACGCGGACCCCGGTACTGGAGCTCTGTTGCGATCGTTGCAAGCGAGGCGTACCAAAGAATGATACCTTGGGTTGACAAACGTATAAGAAGCTTGTCGAGTCTGCCACGCAACTGCGCGCCAGCGACCCGGATTGACGACTCCCACGAGTACCGCCCAACAGATCGCTGCAGTTGACTAATTCGTGTCCCAACCGTACGACGTTCTGCTGCATCGTATCGCACATCGCACCATCGACGAGACCTGCCCGGCGAATGAAGCGGAAGAGAAGAGGCCAGTTCCCGTGCCAGCATCAGAGAGAGCATCCCCTCGTGGTCCTTTCCTCTCAAGTCGCTCGGCGACCTCTTCACGCACAAAAGTCGCAACAACGGCTCTTCAACAGATAGGTAGGTGTGCATTATTGTGTGCAAAGGTTATTCACCCAGCCGTTTCTTCATCCCGCGCTGCAGAATTCTTTGTATATGTGTGTGTGTCCTGCGTGTGTCTCGTGTGTCTGTGCCGTGTGTTGGTGGGCGAAGAGTCCCCCCCCTTCCTCCCGCCCTTCCCCCAATCCCCGCATTCTTTACCCCTCGCGCCCCGCCTCGCGACAATCTTCCCCCGACGTGGCCGAAATCCGTCGCTTTCTCCGCCGGCCCTCGAGTCGAACTCCCCCGCTAATCGGCTCTAAGCAGACGCTCCAGCTTCGCGAGGCCGACGCCCGAGTCCACGGGACACACTTGGGTCAGCCCTCCGCCGAGCACATTTCGCGAGCAAAAACTTCACCACCGCCGCCATCGACGACGAACCCTTTACACGCGTCCAACGAGCATCATGTGGTCCAACAAGCGTTCTTCTCCCCCCGAGCCCAGTAGCCCAGCCGAGGTGGAGGCTCCTCCGCCCGTATCCTCCAGACAGAAGAACCCCGGTCGTCGTATTGCCCAGATTGTGAAGCTCAAGCCCGAGTTCATCGACAAGTACAAGGAGGTCCACGCCAATGTCTGGCCCGAGGTGCTCAAGCAGATCAAGGAGTGCAATATTGTCGACTGTAGGTCACACGCTGGTGTCGGCCCGAACCCACGAGGCCGCAGATTTCGACATCGCAGGACTTCGCAGGACTTCGCAGAAGCTAACTCTTAGCAGACAGCATTTGGCACGAGCCCGACTCACGCATTCTGTTCGCCACCATGAAGTACGTCGGCTACGACTTCGCCGGAGACATGGAGAAGATGAAGGAGAACCCCAAGGTCCGCGAATGGTGGGCCATGACCGACGGCTGGCAAGAGTCCCTGGTTCCCGGCGCAGTGAGCAGTGAAGCAGGCGAGCCGGCGTGGTGGAAGCCCGTCGAAGAGGTGTTCTACACGCCTTGATCTTGAGGTAGAGACGGTGAGACGGGGTATCGAGTGTATTGCATTATTAGTCAACGACCAACCGAATGATGAGCGTTTCGTCCTGATCACCTTCGATAGCCTGGTCAGCCTCGTACCGGCGGATGCACCAGGCACATGGCATGGCTTCGCTGGAAGCGCGTCCGATTGGTGAATGTTCGTCCGCCTTGATCATTTGAAACCACCAAACAATCCGCCGAAGACGCCGCCGGATCCCCCGCCCCCTCCACGCTGGCCGTGCCGCCGAGCCTCCGACCTGATCCACTCTTCGAGGAAAGCGCCGTCTGTCAACTTCTTGGCGTCGTGAACCTTGGTCTGTATCTGGGCCTCTTGGTTATCAAAGCTCAGCAGCGTCGGGATGGAAGTGATCATGTAGGTCATGCCCAGCCCTCCGCTCATGACGTCGGGAGAGTCGAATTCGACGGTGCAGTAGCCGACGCCGCCTTCAGCTTCACCGACACCAGACTCTACAATGGATCGAATAAGAGGAGCGACGACTCGACATGTCCCGCACCAAGACGTGGTCCACAGTGTGATCAGTGGTATGCGAGAGGAGGAGGAGAGGAGTTGATAGGTGTGGAAGTCATCAGGACGGCGGACACTGGCATCAGAAGCAAATGTTAGCGGGAAGCTGATATCAAGGTGCCAGGGCATGGATTGGATGGACAGGTTGGAGAATCTGCAGCGGCCCACTTACGATGCGTAGATCTGGTTTTTGGCCGGCCTAGTACGAGACGTGGAGAAGTGGGCAGCGGCGGCAGAGATGGATTGTTTGAGGGGTGGGATGCGGACGCCATTGGCGAGATTCGTGTTGCAGCCCCGGAGGGCGGTGCGCGCGGTATGTGTTAGGAGTTGCATGGTGAATTTTGATGCCGGTTGTCTGCTCTGCTCTGCTCAGGTGCCAAGGATGCATGCAGTGTGCTGCCGACTGACGTCGTCGAAGGCTACCCCGTGATGTGTCGCGATGCGAGTCGTAAAGCTGAGATGCAACAGAATTCTTGCAAAGGTGCCTGGGAGTAAGGCTCTTGGGGAATGGGTCAGGCCGTAAAGTAAAGTACCTTGGAAACAAGTGGCTCGCTGTAGAACAAGGTGTATTTGGGTAGCGTCAACGGCTTTCCGAGCAGCTGGACAGCTTAGTAGAGGCAGGGGGGATGTTAGCTGCCGTTGTCAAGCCGGTGTTCATCTGGAGGTTCGGTAGCAATCGAAGGCGAGCTGCACCTTGCTTCATGGCAGACGACGCGGTCACGCTTAAACTACGGGAGGCTCCATTGGGGAAGGCGGCTTGAGAATGTGGGGTCAGATATCCTCACGCACGATGACGTTGAGGCACCGCGAGAGGACGCATGACATAAGCAGTACTCTGCAGGGGTCCATGGTAGGTAAGTACCCGGTGCTCTGTATCCGTGCTGAGGACAGCAACGGCAAGTGCGTGAATCCTGGGCGCCCAGACATGGCGCCTGCTGTTTTGGGTCTTCAGCTTCATGGCGCACCCTGTGAGGTTCAAAAGGTTCCGCCAGATTCATTCTTCCTTGGCTTATTTCCGTCCAACTCAGCCGCATTTTGATCGTGGTGCCATCCAGCGAACGACTGTACATCAGACACAACCAACCTTTCTTTATGCGACACGCAGAGATAACACATGTGCCCATTTATCATGAATCTCACCATGGCGTCTCACCTTGGGGGGAAACAAGAAAGCTCCATTTCATCCGAGTCCGAGGTCAGCAGAGACAGGCACACATGCTCCAGGTGGTGGTCTGGCACTGGTCGGGTTGCTCCGAGACGCCCAGGCCATTAACGAATACACTATCCGTACTCTCCGAGCCTCGATGACTGGATCAACGAAATACGACTTGTCGACGTTGTAGTCACCCGTCACCCGCGGTAGATGGTGGATGTTGGATTTTGCATGTTCCTTGGATCTGGTGTCACCGCCTTCGCCACCATCTTCGACTGCTCTGATTCACATGGGCCCTGTGGAGAAGATGCACCCAGCACGCACCCACGACCCACGGTCCACGCACTCAGCAAGGGATTTTAGCCTCGCTTTTAGGGGTCTTGCAATCCGGGGCCAGCATGCAGACGTGTATTGGCTGTTGGGTGTGGACATGTGGCCCTCTTCCCTCACCTCCTTTGTCGACCAAGGCCATCCTCCACAGGCTTTCTGAGGACAGACACCGCCGCCAATGCCGCATCCATCTCTGATGACACCTCGCGCCCACCCGCCGACGTCGAGTCACCTGCCAATCTGTCCGAGTTGCGTCGAGTTTATCTATCCAGTGAGTGAAGGGCCGTCTCGACCCCTCCAGTTAGTTGCTCGAAATTCCCCACGGAACCCGCCCGACGCGACGCCCTTGGCACCTACAAACAGAAAACTCCACCATTTGATTCTGCGAGGCCTGCAAGCTACCAGTCTACCTGCGGATACCTACCTTATTACGGATACCTTGCCATACCGCTGTGGCATGAATTGCGCATCTCTTCTCCCTGGGCTCCTATGCGCGGTGCTTGACTCGGTGGCTGGCCAATCCTGACAACCAAGCGCCGATATCTCATTTCATACCGTGTTCCCCCAGTCTTGCGGCTTGCGGCCTGCCAGGGCACGATAACATTGCACCTGGCTCTGCGGCCCTCTTTATACCAACATAAATGCTCGAGGTTCATCCTTGATCTCCTGGTCGCCTGCCCCTACGTGAGACGCAGCCCCCCTCGTTCTCTTAATCACAATCAAACGGCGCGTTGCCCGTCTGACGCCATCGCTCTGCACGGACCTGGATAGTTCTCCTCTCTGCGCCCAGCATCTGCCATTGAGGTTGGCCTCGTTGTTGACATCCAAACCCTATCTCCATCGACAGCTTCGTTGCGGCGCGCCACCTATTCTGGCGCATATCATCCCCCGATTCTACTCCCTCCTCTTTTCTGAGATATCGCTTCTTACCTCCTCCTCCTCCTCCTCCTCCTCCTCGGCATACACTGCCTCGCATCGGCGCTGACCTTTCCAAAAATTGGATTTCTTCTCAAACCTTTGCACTGCCCCGGCATCTTCTTCCGGCTCTTGGACATCTGCAACCTTATCTCATCTTCTGGATGCACGGCCGAACCACACAGCTTATGCCCGACCGATTTTAGGAACAAATCTTCAGTCAACCCCTCGTTCCCTACGCCATCTTTCCTCGATTTAACCCCTCCGCTTGCCTTTTTCTTCTCTCCATCCCCTAACAACTTATCCGCCTAGTTTGCCATTGTGGTCGACAGAGGCGACAGTAAATAAAATCTTGGGCCTGTCAGCCCTGGTTGGGAAGACTGCTTAGAGACTGCTCAATATGGCGGGTGTTCTCACGTGGAGGAGTCGCTTCGGGGGCGTCTTTGGGAATAAGACCAAATCCGACAGTGCCGAAGCCACAGATGACGAGAATGTCAATATTCCAAAATGGAGTATGGGTGTTCTCAACGACCCCAAAACGATTGAAGTTCCTGGTAAGAAACCCTGTTTCGGTATCCCGCCCACACCAAACCCACCGAATTGACACCTGCAGGTTCGGTGCTTCTCCTCGCCGCGCATCGCAATGAGCCACTCGGCTTGCGCAACGCGCCCGCAAGGACTTCCCACTCATCCATCCCCACCGGTTTCCCCGAGCCGATAGACACACCAAGCGGCCGCCAGTCCCCGGCCAACGCGGCCCCACTAGAGCCCGATGCAAAGACAACCAAGGACGGAATCATCCTCAACCCCCAGCCGGAAGAGTCGGCCAATGACCCCCTTAACTGGCCTTCCTGGCGACGCGATTGCGCCTTACTGTCCCTCGGTTTCTACTGCATGGTTGGTGGTGGCATGACCCCCTTGCTTGCCGCCGGCTTTACCAACGTCGCTCAAGACTACCACATTGAGACGGAGACCGTCTCCTTGACCACTGGTCTGTACATGATGGGCATGGGCCTTGGCTCCGTCATCTTCTCGCCAACAGCTATTCTCTACGGAAAGAGACCCGTTTACCTCTTCAGCTCCATCATCTTCATTCTCAGCTCCGTGTGGGCAGCCCTGTCGCCCAATTTCACCTCTCTTATCTTGGCCAGAATTTTTCAGGGTGTCGCTGTCAGCCCCGTCGAGTGTCTGCCCTCGGCCACCATTGCAGAAATCTTCTTCCTTCATGAGCGGGCGTTTCGAATCGGCATCTACACTTTGCTGCTGCTCGGTGGCAAGAACCTCATCCCGCTCGTCAGTGCCCTCATCATTCAAGGTCTGGGATGGCGATGGACTTTTTGGTAAGCAGTGACAGTGTTGGAATTTAACTTGGCTCCGGCATTGACGCGTCTGCAGGATTGTTGCCATGGTCGTCGCCTTCTGTGGCGTGCTCCTGTTTCTGTTCGTGCCAGAGACCTTCTGGGATCGGACACCGCTTCCCAAGTCACGAAAGCCATCCCGCAGACCGAGTTTTAGTCGCCGATGGTCGTCACGCCATCAAGTACCCCATGCGCTTAACGGTCATGACGATGCCGTCGAAGTTCTCACAAGTCCTGCGCCCCAGTCGCCGCACGCTGCTTCGCATCCGCACAAAGATCTTCACGTTGGATTCGCACCAGACCTTCATGAGAAGCAGGACGACAGTGTTGATACGCTAGCGAAAGACACGAAGAGCGAGACACCTGACTCCTCTAACCCAGTGCCTGTCTCTCGGACGTCTGGTGCGTCCGGTACACCTACTCCTGGATCGGAATACTTCCACAACGCCCCGGCTGTCGAAAGTGAGAAATTCAAAATGCAGGCTTCCGACGTCAACTCGCCACCGAAGGCCCTGGCCTACACCCACACCCTCCGTCATCAGCCCGCAAAGTCCTTCACTGAACAGCTGAAGCCTTGGAACGGCCGTCTGAACCACGACAGCTGGTTCAAGGTCATGCTCCGGCCCTTTATCCTGTTCGCCTACCCAGCGGTGTTGTGGTCCGCCGCGGTCTATTCCCTCTCCGTCGGCTGGCTCATCGTCGTCTCCGAGTCGGTGTCCCTCATCTATCGCAACCGCGCTACCTACAACTTTGATGCCCTGCAGACGGGTCTCGTCTACATATCCCCCTTTATCGGTGGCATCCTCGGCACCGCTGTCGCCGGCAAGGTGAGCGACATCATCGTCAAGGCCATGGCCCGCCGCAACGGTGGCCTCTACGAGCCAGAGTTCCGCCTCGTCATGGCGGCGCCGGTGCTGCTGACTACCGTCATCGGCCTGATGGGCTTTGGCTGGTCCGCACAGGAGCGGGACCTCTGGATCGTGCCAACCGTCTTCTTCGGCCTCATCTCCTTTGGCTGCACGCTAGGGTCCACGACATCCATTACCTTTTGCGTCGACAGCTACCGGCAGTACGCGGGCGAGGCGCTCGTCACGCTCAACTTTAGCAAGAATATTTTCCACGGCCTGGTGTTTAGTCTGTTTGTCACGCACTGGATCACCTCTGACGGACCCAAGATGGTGTTCATTTGGCTGGGGGTGATTCAGCTCATTTTTCTGGTTGCCACCATTCCCATGTTCATTTACGGGAAACGGGCGCGCATGTGGACTGTCAGGAAAAACTTTATGGAGAAGTTCTAAGGAGCATGCACATGGGGTTTTGTCGGGTCCAGCATTGGTATTGTCTTGCTTTTGACGCATGGAGTTGGAGTTACGGGATCTTCATTGCATTGCAGCGTCTTCCAAATGTCTTCCAAATGTCCACCACTGGATGGTATCATCAATCGTTTGCATGTTCATGTGGGAGTTGTTAATTGTCTTATGATGGGCTTCGGGAGAGAAATATCTGGCTTGTTTACATTGTTCCCATGATACCTTTAGAGTTTGTCACAACCTGGAACACTTCAGAACAAATACAATCATCTAGATGAAATCTTGTCGCTTCTGAACATGCCTTGAAGATTTGATTGTGGAATGTGGGGCCTGGTATGTAATGGCTCGTGACAAGATCTCGTGGATTGGACATGAAGGAGCGTTGGTGCGTTGAGCTGAGCTTAACTGCGGGCACTGAGCTGAAGACCGGAATCGATCGAGGTACGTACGGCTCAGCTTCACGAGCTGCGTCGAGCCCGGTTGTTGAATGATATCTGGGCCCGTGACAGTACAGGTATTTTTCGGCATTTCCAAACTGTTTCTCTCTCTCTTTCTCTTCCTGATATTACGAGATGAGGGAATCGGTTTCAGCTTTCGAGATTGGCCGGTGAGGAGCGTGTTGTGAGGATGAATTCTGTGATGGGTTTGTCTGATGGGGGATTGGGATTGTGCCGGCAGGTAGGGCCAAGGTGTAGATGAAAAGCCAGATGGCGGAGGAGCAATCGAGTCCTAGCTTCTGTCATGTTTGGACGACCGCGTTATCCCCATGCTCGTACTCATCCTCATCCTCATCCTAAACCTCCCCATCATCACTGTCGCAGCCCTCCGGATAAAAGGTATAGTTTGAGTTGCTGTCTCCCAGATGATCTAAACAGTCCAAGACCCAGTCGTCAAACGACTTTGCGACCCCCGTCTCCTCAGTAGCCCCAGGCCCACTCGCAGCTTGGATTATTCCTGTAGTTGCAGCTCTTCGTGACGCTAACTCTGGCAGTATTTTCCTCTTGTACCATTCCTCTGGCAGCCAACCGAGTAATGGACTCATCTTACCGCGGATAGCAAATTGTTCCCAGGTGTGGATGGGTGGGGAATACTTCGAAGTCATCAAAGTCGGCTGTTACCGCAGCCTTCCCGGCTCGGGTCTGCACCCAGAGAGACGAGAACCTATGGTCCAATATTTCTCACAGTCCCCTCTTGTTTCCATTCCGTACAAGCCTAACCAGCTAGCTTGCAGCTCATCCAGGCATCTGCCTTCTGGTTTTCCGACTCAATTTTCTTCATTTTCATCTTGTTAAAAAATTTGATGCAAGGTAAGAAAAATAAAGACGCAGTAGATCAGCTCGAAAAGGAACACCATGTCTTTTCGTCTCAGGAAAGGTGTATATTGCTCATCAAATATGATACTCGAACGGCTCAACCCAGGTATTCCAAGTACCTCCCTTGATTATGTGCCTTTCGTGACAAAAGCCTCGCGAAACGATCCTTCAAAAGTAATGCGCCGAGGGGGAATCGAACCCCCGGCTCCCCGACGCTGCTGGATGGCAACGGAGAATTTTACCACTAAACCATCGGCGCGGTTCGAGTTCACATGTCTCGTGTGGATGCTGATTCTCCAAACCAGGTTCAGATCATGTTGCGTTGCGAATTGATGTGTAAGAGAATTAATTTGCAATTTCGTGCGTCGTCGGTGCCGCTGGGTCCAGTCCGGAGGTGGATTGTGCGCGCGGAAGATTGTCGGAGATTTGGGGGTGTTGCGGGACGGGTGGAGTTCGTCCCTGAGCTGCACCGTGTGAACCCTACCCGTTGGGTCCGCATCCACTCGGCGGGAGTGGGGTCCCTTGTTTCCACCCGGCGCGCTGTGGCTGTGGCACTGAACCATGGTAACCCGATCGTGCTCGACTTTAATCTGACATCCTCCATCCAACGAGGTGCCACATACCAATTTCGGAAGCTTTCATATCGTCACTCGCCACGGTCTATCCGTACCTGAACCTACCGTAGAATCTATGCAATTGTCAATGTGCAATTAATCTAGCCAAACGTTCCGAGTAGCCATGCAGTCAGGTATTCATTCACTCCTTCACCCCCATGAAGCTCCGCCCCAGCTCATCGCGCACGCATCGGCGGTGGTGGGGTTGGGGGTTACACAGTGAGATCTCCCGGCGCGATTCCACAGCTGCGCGGTGACTGGGTTTCGAAATAACACAAGGATCTTTGCATTGAGGCTCAACGGGAAACTCGAGTCATGCTTACCCCCCGTCATCATGCTCCCCGACGACCACATTATCGAGAATCGTCGCGATCTTGTCGGTTATGCCTACCAGACACGCGTGGTTAAACGAAGCCCACGTATAGCATCTTTCCGTCAGCTTGCCTAGCCAGCAGGTGTGCAGTACGAAGGTCTCACTCACATGTGCTGCGTGAATCACAAAATCTCACAACATAGGTCGCTTGCAGAAAATAGACGTGTCGTGAATTGAGGTATCCCACCGCTCAGCTCCATGGTCGAGGAAGAGGCTTGCCTCCCCAACATCATCATTTTCACATTCATCACTCGGTAACGTGTCCAGGTCATTATTCTGGCGAATATCATCCATTCGCATTGTTCTCATAACCTGTCTGGTATCACGATTCCAAGTCTTCGCATCTAGTCCACCGAGGCGTTCTCGATCCAGCCCTCCTCCGCAAACCCTTCCATTATCCCAAGTCGGAACCTGGAAAAAAGCCCAAGAAGTCCGCCAAGAAGAAGAGCCGCAAAAAACCAAAGGTGTCCAGTGCCCAAGTGCAGTTCACTTTTTAGAAGCCGACGCTGTTCAAGAGGAGAGCCAGGCCGTCGCAAGTCTCCTTCTGAGCCTTGGCCTGTCTGTCAAGGAACTCAGAGATGGCAAGCATCTCCTCAGAGACGTGCTCACCCTGAGCATCGACGTTGTTGGGGCCTTCTTGCTCAGAGTGCTGGAGCTGGCCGGGGTTGGCGATGCCGGCAGTGCTGTTGGGCGCCGCAGCGTAGCCCTCCATGGGCGAGTCCTCCCCGCTGGTGGGGAGGACAGCATTGGCCTTGCCAATGCTCTTGAGGAACGCCTTGTCGTGGAAGCGCGTAATGAACTCCTCAACGTGGGTGCCAAAGTAGTCAATGTTGCGGGCAGCGCTAGTATTTACCATCAGTATGACTTTATTCCGCTATACCACATGTAACCGCATGAGAAGGTGGAAAGAGGCAGCGGCGGTCGAGTTGAGGGAAGGCGTAAGATATTGGTAATGAAACAAAGGAGAAGGATAAGGAGAAGGAGTAAAACTGACCGGTTGGCGATGAGGGTGTTGACGGCGTCCGACAACATCTTGAGCTTGACGTCACGAGATCGCTCATAGATGTAGTCAGACATGCTGGAGCGCTTGATGCAGGTGGTACGGAAGGCACGGTACTCCGAGAATACCTTGGACTTGAGCGCTCTCTGCTCAGGAGTCTGGTTCTTCAGGTAACGGCGAGTGCGGGCGGTGTTGGGGTTGTCCGAGTAGGAGCCGCCCTTGCGGCGAGCGTCACCGACCATTGTGAAGATTGGTGGTGATTGATTGATTGATGATTTGTGGTTTGATCGTTTGGGAATGAGAAGAACAGACTTCTCACAGAGTTGTTTGTTTGGGTGAAGGAGTGAGTGGGTGGAAGGTAGAAGAAGGAGAAGGGGGATTAAACAGGTTGGCTGTCCGGGTGAATATTTTTGGCGGATCAACCAAGGAGCAAGATAGATATTTGTGAGGAAGGAGCAGAAATAATTAGTAGAAAGGAAAAAGCAAATTCTGAAAGAGGAAATAAAAGAGTGGGATGTGAAGAGTTGCACATACGTGAGCGGTGAGTGAGTCTGCTTTGGGCTACTCAAGATGTTTTTTGCTACCTGGGCGACAGCTGGTCATGTGATGGAAGTATGATCAAAGAACGTCCTCGAATGATAATTTGTTGCTGCTCTTCAATGGTATACTTGTGTATGGCAAATATCTTGTATTTCGCAGGCCAGCTGAAGCTACAAAATCGCGACCAAGAACCTTTTTATGCTGCAGTATATACCAACACAAAAGAGTCAGGCACAGTGGGAGAATCTTAAATCTTTGGACATCACTCTCAGGGAGTGCTCCCCAGGTTCCTATATGGACGAGACTGGCTGTAGGACGGTATATCTGATTTCATTTTGGTTATAATATTGCCGACGCCGTATCAAGCTCATCATCGCCAATTGATATTCTGTTGGAGAAGGTGAAATTAAATCCTCTTCTCATCCATATCACCGAACTAATCCTCCTCCGAGGTAACTTGTGTCCAGTCTTGAGCTTCTTGTTGGGTGGGTTCATCGAGCATGTCAATCGGGATTTCATGAAACCAACTTTCGACGACATCTCCAATACCGGGCTGGGCCAAGCAAGCTGGTCTCCTCACTGCCAAGCCTTCATCAGGCTTTTTAGGTCCAGTACCTTTGATAGAAAACACGGAGGTAGAGAGGAGACCACAAGCACAAAGGACCTTTTGATATCGAAAATACAGCCTCAATGAGGGGAGTCTTCTGCGTATCGGCCACCCTTTGGGATTATAGTGACGACCATCCTTCTATTGCACCTACTGAGAATCTGGAAAGGTCAAAGAAAGGTTAGTTCGGAATTCATATAATTTCCAAATCAGGTCTCTTGCTGACAAAATACAGCGGCTTGGTCTACAGCATCAAGAGAACTCGACTAAAGCGACAGCCCACAACGATCACTGCCCTCTGCCAACCGGCCGGCTAGGCTACTTCAGAAAAATTCGCTCTCGTCATGATCTGGAGCGCTGTGGCAGCCGCGGACAGACCTCCACCAACGCTTTACGATTAACCCCCCTCCGAGCCGATACACACATGCCTCATACAGAATGAACGAAAAACTTGGGACCCCGCAGCCAGTGTCAGCTCCGTTCCATTGACGCACGAAAAGAGGACTGGTCCAAAGACTTTTCTACATCAGCCAGAGCCTGGCGGACATTCCCTGTGCCTCTCGGAATCTCCACGTTGAAATCGAATTATTCACGAGATTTGCCACATGTTTCTCGCAGCTTGTTTCGGGGGTCACTGACACCGCGTCGAGTGAAGCAGATGCTTGCGGGAACCTGCCGAAATCACCTACTAATATATCACATCACTCCCGTAAAAAATACTGGTCTCAGCAGACCACTGAACCAAATCGTGGTTCCTCACGGAGGGAGTAATTTCATCACCCACGGAACGCTTTCGCCATCAGGCAACATTGGATCACCCAGATAATGCGAGCCTGCTGGTAATATTTCCCGTGTTCTTGTGGATTACATTATCACAAAACATACGAATCGACTCTTGACTCTCGACGCTCAAAATCCAATTCTTCACAAACACGCCTCACAATACCGAAACCAAGCCACGCACCCACCGACACACGTCCAAACAACCTCTTCACCCTCGAAGCGAAACCTCTTCATCAAATCCCATCCTCAAACCCCAAGAACCCACCTCAACCCAGCAACCATCTCCCCCTCCGCCTCAACAGCCCTCGCCAACCAAGGCGCCTTCAACCAAAAAGTATGCGGCCACCCCCTCACAACCTCAACCCTCACCTCGACGCCCGCCCCCGCCAGCGCCATCGCATAGCAAACCCCGTCAGAGTACAACGTATCATTACTACAAACCTGCACCCACGTCCTCGGTAGCGCGCCCAGCGTCTCCACCGACGCCTCGAGCGGCATCCTCTCCAGCCCGTCCCGCGGCACGGCGCGGCTAAACACGCCGAGAAGACTCGTGACGAAGGACGGCAAAGAGGGAGAGGTGTAGGCGTACCGGAGGTGAGGGGGTACAAAGTCCAGGGAGCTCCCGCCGTCGCTCGTGACTGGGCAGCGTAGGAGGACGCCGTGGAACGTTCCGCGTGGGACGGCCTGCGAGACGGCGGCGGCGAGCTGGCCGCCGCTTGAGGAGCCGATGATGATGAGTTTGATCGTGGAGGAGTGGAGAGAGCGGATGTGGTGGAAGGCGTCGATTGAGTCGGCGACGCAGGTTGAGGCGGGGAATGCCGGCATGAGTCTGTATCCTACAGAATACACCGTCGCACCCTCGAATTCCTTGGCGATGCGTCTGCATGATAGCTCTTCGCTGTCCGCCTCGCCGACGTAGAGCCCGCCGCCGTGGTAGTACACCACAACAATCCCGTCGCCGTTGGCGTTCTTGTCGGAGAAGCGGAGGACCGGGATGGCATGCTGGTCAAGACTCGAAGGGGCGGTGAGTGGCTGCACCGTGACGCTCGAGAGGGAATGGTAAGGGTTGCCGGGGGCCAGCATGTGGGCGTTTAACTGTCTGCACTCTTCTGCGTAGACGGGTTGGCGGTCGAGGGGCGAAGCGTACGTCTTCTTTGGGCCTTTGGCTTTTGCTTCTTCCTCAAATGCCAGCCAAGCGGGATCTAGAGGAGGTGCCTCTGTGAGGATGAGGTGGTTTAGTGAATCCATGACTGGTGAGTGAGATATACGTGATCGATGACGGACTACAATTTCAAAACAATAAGTGCAACGATTTCATCACGCATGGGCCAAGAGCGGAGGACATCACATCATTTATGCGCGGCGTTGGTGTTGGGATGCTTTGTGAGGTGAGGTTAGACTCAATGCCCGGTAGTGGGGAAATCGGTGCTTCCGGGCTGTTGTTGCCGCGACGAGATCCCGTTTATCCGGCCGTAGTTCCGGGCTGCCGGGTGGGTGAGCTCGGTCCCGAGGGCTATCCAGTGATAATTGATGATATTCACTGTACTCACTGCGTGTATATAGAATTAGCGAATTCAACGTCTTTGCTGGGCGAGACGTATGAATGGTGAGGTTGTCGAGGTTGGTGAGGCTCGGTGAAGGACACCGCTGCGGTTAGCGCCGAGGAAACAAACTCCGAACCGGAAAAATTCAACCGAACATCAGCATCCGCCAACCAGACTTTCCAGTAGTGGCCGCTCAAGACGGACGATGAAATCATGAGATGGGCAGAGGGCTTGGTACAGCAGGTCGATATTAATGTCCACTGGGTTGATCCCCTCCCCTCGGACCGATCGCCTATCTACAATGCTAGAGTACACAAAGGGAATCGAAGAACGGACACGTCTAGAGCACGGAAAGATCGCCGAACTTCTCCTGCAGAGGGTATTAGTATGTTGAAACACGTCCAGTTGGTTATTTGACCGTACCTTGTATCCCGGAACGGTCCAGCGGCCCTTGGAGACGAGCTGGGAGGTCTTCTCGTCGATTGAGGGCTCGGCGGCGGCGACGTCGTCCTGTATTCATAAGCATCCGACCATTCGCGTCCTCCACATCCTCTGGCGGCACGTACGACAGTGAGGTCCTCGAAGGGGCGAGCGGACTCGATGTTGGTCAGGGTCTTCTCGAGGTCCTTGAGCTCGAGGTCGACCTTTTGCTTGGTAGCCTCGGCGTTCTTGACGGCCTCGACCTCAAAGGCCTCGATGGCCTTGATCTGGCGGGTCACGTCGTAGGTGGCAGGCTTGAAGGCGGAGAAGCGCTTCTCGATCTCGTCGACGACGGCCTGGTTCTTGAGGACGGAGCGGTACTGAGCAAAGTCGACGGTCGTAGGGAGCTCCGACAGCTGCTGGACCCTGCGGCGGGCGTTCTCGTTGCGCTGCTTGAAAGCCTGGAGGGAGGCGGCGGTCTGGCCCTTGAGGCCGAGGGAGGTGGTGACCTTGGCCCAGTCGAGCTTGAGAGCTGCGCTTCGCTGTTGCAGGAACAAGGAGAGAAATTAGCTCAGATGGCCCAGCTTCAAGGGAGCGGATGCGCGGGTGCGCGACCCAATTGGCGGCATCGACGGGAATTGCATCAATCGGCGGCAATAGACGAGCGGGATTCGATGGGATACACGTACTGCGGCCATTTTGGAGGATATGTTGAGCGTTCGGGGGAGTGGAGAGGGAGTTGCGATGTCGTGAGGTTGATGGTTGACTTTGCCGAACGTAGAGCAGAGAAAGAGCCGGGATGGACAGTGTCACGCGCTTAGTCACGTGATGTCTCCCCGGCCGAGGGATGGGAGTGTGGTTGGCTACCTTAGGTAAGTACGCGGGAGCGAACGGTTCAATGGTGGGGCAAAGCTCTCCCGGCTTTGCGAATTCGATCTGAGCCAATTCCCGCGCGATCGAGGGGTACCTAGGTAGGCTGTAAACTCGACCACAGGAGGCTGGTTTGCAAAGGCATTTCGAGCAACATCAGCCCACGACTCGGCATGCGCCAATCACATATCATTCGTGACATGACACAATATCAGCCTGCAAAAAAGTGCCGATTATCATGACCTCTCATTGCGCGAAAGAGACTTTTCGGAGTCAACTCCCTGGGAATTGTACATGCCAACCCATTCCGTCCTTTTTGTCGTGTCGAGATTTGAGAAACTATCTTTAGCCAAGGCCGTCGCTAAATACTCAATGCCATAATAGAGTTGACGATATCGTTGTCGTTCTCCTTCAGGGCCTTAATGGCCTTCTTCCGGCTAACGTTGGCCTGGGTCATGACGAGTTCAATGTCCTTGTCCTCGATGCCCTCGGCATCAACCTCCTCGCCGTCATCCTCCTCCTCGTCCTTCTTGGCATCGGCGTCAGCCTCAACGGCCTTGCCGTGGCTGGAGTGGTCGTGGCCGGCGTGGTCGTGCTCACCACCGGCAGCGGCGAGCTGCTGGGCGGCGGCCTGCTGGGCAGTGGCGTTGAGGTCCTCGATCTTGGCCTCGCCGAAGACGCTTGAATGCACATGTCAGCTCCCATACTTCGTATAATCCGTGGCGCAGCATGCTACTCACATGTAGGTGTTGCTGTTGGGGGACTTGTAGACCTCGGGGTTGTTGATGACGAAGAGGATCTGGGACGTGGGTCAGCCTTGTTAAATGTCCCCCCGCATCGCACCGTGCCACCACCACCAACAACGGCCACAACACTATTCCAGATAACTCACGTTCTTGGGGCGGCGGAGAGTGACGCGGGTGATGCCCTGCACTCTGGTCAGGTGCAGCTTCTCGAGAGCCTTGCGGGCCTTCTTCTCGTTGCGGGAGTGGATGACGGCGGTGGAGCCGGAGGGAAGGCCCTCGGCATCCTCGCCCTCAATCTCGGAGTCGGAGCTCTCGTCCTCGTGCTCCTCGACGGAGACCTTCTTGGTCTCGTCATCGGGAAGCTCTTCAACGCGGGGGTTGGCCATTTTGTCGACTGCTAAATCGAGAGGGAAAAAAATTGTTAGCTGCGGGGTTGCTTCTTCTGGTGGTGGTGGGAGCTAGGATCGCGCGCAGAGCTGATTTGGCGAGCTCGGATTTGGGTGTCTGTGGGAAGGGGAAATTGCCAACTTTCCGCACAAAAATTCGTTCGTGCAGGCGCAGATTCGTCGATCGGGGGAATGGCGTCAAAATTTCGACAGAAGGACAGCAACACTTACCAAAGACTAGAACGAGGGATCCTTAACTCGGCGTGGGGGAATATGTTCGGTGGCTTTGTGGTTTGTAGGAAAGATCGCAGAGAAATTCTAGGGTTAGCAGCACCTTCTGTGTCAAAGTGGATTAGGTAAGCAGACAACCGCCTACAGTCCCGAATGCCCCCCCCAGTTCAGATCCCCCAGATGGGACGCGGTGCACGCCTTGCTATGTGCCACGGCCGCCGCGTCGAGCAAATGGATGACATTCATTCTGCCCGTCATTTCTACAAGGCTGAAGCAGAGCCTGGCCGTACATGTGCTGACTACGAAATCCGGGCTCAAATGGGATGGATAAACACCGGGATTTTTGAGGATAGCTTCTGGCCACGGCATTCACGTCAAAAATAGGTTCGTCATGATGATTTACAGAGTCTCAAAAGGAAAACCGAAAAAAAAGTCTTTACTCCGTGTCCCCGTCACGAGCCAACCAATCTATTTTTCTGATTGTGCCATGAATTCATTTTTGTCTCTGAATTTCCGTATTTGACGCCGGTCATCATATGATTGATGATGAATGTGACATACAGCCCTTCCAGTTACGGAGCAAAAGAGATGTGCAGCAACCCAATGCTGCGGTGATGCAGACCAAACCGGATCCCATGCTGTCACGCTCTAAACCAGCCCCGTAGTCTTCAAAGTCAACCCCATAGACATCCCAATCGTGAGTCCATTACGCCGAGGCCTTGACCTTGACCAGAGCCTTGCGCTCTTCGAAACGGCGCTGCTTCTTAAGGCGGAGGACCTTGAAGCGGTCAAAGTCGCTCAGGTTCTTTCTCCGCTCGATCTGGGTGCTGCGCTTGAACCAGTTGGTCTCCTTCCACTTCTTGTCGATCTCGGACTTCTCCCAGAACTTCTTGACGGTGCCGGTGCGGGCGCCACGGGGCAGGCCCTCGACGACGAGCGAAGAGAGGAGAGCGTTGGAGAGGGAAATGGGCTGGCGGGGAACGGCGAGCTGAGCGTCTGAGGAGGGACCGTCGACCAGAGCCTGCAAGTTGATATTCATGTTAGTCTTCCAGGTTTCCATATCGTCCAGAGCGCGCGCGTGCGTGCGCCCAATTTCAAAACATCGAATCGTGTCGGGGGAGGGAGGAGATGCTGTCGCAACGTACGCGCTTGTGGTCGATGATCTCGACAATAGTCGCAAGGCGGCCGGCGTAGGGGCTGTTGCCCTGGATGAGGACGACACGGCCGACCTCGACCAGTCGCCACTTAGAACCCTCGATGGTAGCGTCACCCATTTTGCTGGTCGGTCTGGAGTTGGATCGCAAAGTTAGAATCGGGGTTGCGGATTTCGAGGTGTTGCGTGTTGCTTGTCTTGGAGGGGCGCGTCAACTTACCAGACGTCGAAGATGTGCTGCTGGTGGTTAGTGGTGGATGGAGTTCGAAGTCACTTCGGCACACTTCTTTTTTTTTCCCTTGGGAGGATGGTGCGACTTAGGGCAAGTCAGAAAGCAGCATGAGGCGGGTTTGCTGATTAACCGAGCCGAGTCCCTCCCTTCCTGAAGGGGCTTAGCTAGGGCGGTCAGTGGCCACTCACCGCGCAGGCTCCACCCACGACAGAACTTTTTTTCTCACTCGCATAAAGCTGCAGCTTAACGAGCTCTTCATCTACTTTGTTGATCTCTTTCTTCATCAGCTTCGAGGTGCCCAAAACTTGACATCTCGGTATGAAGCTGCATCAAAACAAAAGGTATGTTTATAATCATCGACACCCTCTTCTTGGAATGATGAGAAAAATTTGCGATTGATTTCTTTCGGTGGCTCTCTTTCGCCGGAGTGGCTATATCGTCTGAATACATGATATTTAATTCTTACATATTCTGACCTCCAAATCAACAACCAATTGTTTATCTTGGCATCATTTGCAAGCAAGTTGCTAACTCAATATTCAGGAAAAGTATGACGGTTAGAGCACTTGATCAGTTGACAATACAATATCACATTCACATCAGAATTTTCCACTACTGCAAATGCTACCCATTCACGTGCCGTATTTGGGTTATTATTAACGTGGTTGTTGATTATGATTACTACGAGAGAGGCGTAGCCTTATCAACCGTCGTAGACATTCTTCCTAAGCACTCAATTGGGCTCGTCCTCCCTGCAACGCCGGGCCGGAATTCATTTTTGCTCGTTACTTTATTTGCCCTGCTTTTGTCTCAGGCGCAGCTCATCCTCCTCTTGGAGTTGCTTGTCAATCTCAGCGCCCCGGGAAGGCTTGTTGCCGTGTAGCTTGGCCTGTAGTTATTAGCGTCAACATATCTTCCGAGAAAGAATGCTACTTACGGGCAGTGTGGGGTCCTCTTTGCCAAGGCGGGTCTCGAGAGACTCTTCCTCATTGCCCTCCTTATGCTTCTTCTCCTCAGCCGCAAGTCTGTTGGCGATGGATCGTTCGTCCTCTGATTGGCAATTAGTACTGTGGAGTGCTGAGCATTGCATGGACAACTTACTAGAGTCCGTAGCCAAATGGGAGTGCTCCTTGCCCTCGTGGAAGCGCTCGGTATTGTTGGTCTCGTCGTTCTTCGCGTTTCTCTGGTCGCCAGCCTCGTAGACGGCGCTGTTGCCAACGTTGGAGTTTCCAGACATGATGATGGTTGTTTTGGTGGTGGAAAAAGGAGGAATCGGTTGACTGCTGGACTGCCGGAAAACGGGGAAAGTTTGTGATTGAAGGGAAAGGTTTGGATTTGATTGTTTGTGATGAACGGAATGACGAGACGCTTTTGTGTTCAGCAGATGAGCATTCTATATGGATGGGAAGGAAGCTGTCTTAGGTGCACCTGCGCGACGACCCCCCTTCACTGCATCTACGTCATGACGTCTCCAGCGCCGATTCTCAGCTCAGACGGGTAAAACTCCCTCCTACGTCATGCAATTGTCATTCACCGCAAAAAGCATTGACGGATCTGCTCAAGCCACATGGAAAAGCGGCGATGCACTTGGGTAGGAGGTAGCTAGAAGGTCTGACTTTCCTGTGCATCCTCGCTGCTACTTATCAGCCCTAGCCTGGCAACCTGGATGCTGAACCTGGGTGAGCTTGAGTTCAGCTCATCGCATGCCTCAGGCCTGACTACCCCTGCTCCGCGGCCGACAGCGAATGAGAATGAAGGCCTGAGATCATTATCTACCTACCTTACCCAGCTGCTGGTTCTTCTAGCAAACTTCTATCGAAAAAGAGCGTTGGAAGTGAATCTGCCTTGTGCCTGTAAATCTCTACTCGCCGGTACCTTGACAAAGGACCTGCCACCTAAAACCTTCAGACCGTGAGGCACCCTGGTCGCACCCTTCACTTCCAGTGTACCTCAGGATATCGATAACCCTGTCGCTCTGACAAGACATCATGACATAGGTAGGGGTCCATTGGAGTCATGTTCCCCATTAGTTGCAAAAAGCCAAACCGATGTCCAAGAGGCTCCAGACCCATCCAAATGACGGGAATGAGGGGTCCAAAAGGAGAAGCTCCATCGCTGTGCCTCTTTGGCCGCTTCCAGGTGCATGGGGCCAGGGGTCAAGCGCTGGGGCGGTAATAAGCCCCGCCTGTGCGCTAATCCGGCATTGGCGTCTAAAACTACCTGAGGCCGCCCGGCTAAATGACGTAAACCTGAGAGCTCCATAGTTCCACTGCCGACTTCATCGCATCACGCTGCACGAAGCAGAGCTCGCGCAACACATACCCACCACCAAAACAGCTCCCCAACGACCTGCCACAATGTTCGGATTCGTAAGACAGACAGATCATATCCGATACAGAGCAATTGATAGCTGACACACGCTCCAGCGCAAGACCCTCGACATCGTCACCGTCTTCCACAAGGCGAGCTCCCCCGCATCCGTGAGGGTCGTCAACCTCCTCAAGCAGGTGTCGGCCAACGCGGCCGCCGGGGCGACCGAGGATCAGGCCAGTGACCACAGTGTCCAGACGAACCCCAGGAAGTCCCGCGCCGACTTCGAGCTCAATATCACCGAAGACCCTCCCACTGCCGACCAGGTCAAGACTATCTTGGAATACGTCGGAAAGAGCAAGATCCCGTCAATCATCAAGGGCGCCTCCACCGAGCAGGAAGCTTTGAAGAAGTTCCAGCAAAACGCTGAAGTCTTCCAAAGACCCGTGGTATGTGTTCTTCCAAGGCAGCTTGCGCGCCTGTTTATCCCTCTGCTGGTTTGGGAACAAGTCGGACTGACCGAGACATACAGACTGTGGACTGGAACAACGGCAATGCTGTCTCCGGTGAGAGCGAATCTGAGATTCTCAAGATGCTCAATGCATTGAGCAGCGAGAAAAGCTGAAACAAGAATGCTCTTTCGTGATGTTCAACAGCAACTCCTTTGTCCTTGTAACCCAGATACCTGCACCCTCTTTCCCAAGTGGTACATTAGTTAAATGATGAATATACTCTTCTCTATCCTATCTGGTCCGAGATATCCTCCAGTGCTTTCTATCAGCCTAGATACGGCCGGCACAACTATCTTTAGGCTTCCACCAATATGTCGACAGCCATCAGATGACGGTCTGAGATCGATTCCCAGGACTGCCGGCGTCCCGTAGACCTAATGGCATCCCACTACGATGTTGATCCTCGCTACAAGTGTGCTCCATCAATCCCACTGGTCCTTCATCGTGATCAAACAGGTAACACTTATCCCTGAGGACATTTCGTTAGGCAGCCTCATGGCTTTGGGACAGTTTCATATTCTCAAGTCATTGAAGGGGCTGAAAGAAGATATCTTCGACTTTTCGAATATGGAGTTCCCCTGAAAGAAGCCTCAGTAAGGGTCAAAAGCGCATCTAAAAACTGTCACAACTCGGAGACATCTGTCAAGATGGGATTCAGAAGGCCTAGACCTTCGCTTGATACCAGCTGTAGCAGGTCTGCTCAGTACAAATGTCAACAAATGTCACAGCCAGGAAATTGTATTGCAGTCTCACTCTGGCATCCTTTATCTCACCATCTCATCGGATGTCACCTTTGGCGTCCGAATACTCCGTTATCCTGTAGAACTCATCTACAGGCAGGTGCACCCGCCCATGGTTCCTTTCTAACCCACTTCTTTGGCACTTGCCTCCTCCCCCTTCCTTCCTGCCTGCTTCTGCTACCCTTCACCTGCCTTGTGAATCTTGCAACTTTTCTTCTTCTTCTTGTCCCAACAACAGCAGCAACCACTTCATCTTCCTCTTCCCCTTCACTACCAATCCAGTACATCCTCGACCCCAGAGTCGCCATCAGCAATATCCTCATCTCTTCTACTTCTACTACCCTTGAACCCAGTCCGCAGGCCGTCTATCCCGTTGCCAGACGACGTTGGATATAGACAGCTTTGTAGTATGGCTTCTAACATTCATGGAAGGCCTGGCTCCTTCCAAGATCAGCGCTTCCCCATGAACAACGCCGATCGTGACGGTCGGGGTACGATCACCAAATTTCTGCCTGCTAAGTCTTCCTCCACGCGTTCCAGCTCCGCTCATTATTATCCCAATGGAATCCCCGGCGGTTACAAGATGGTCACTACGAAGGAAGGAGAGACACCCAGACTCTACATCGAAGATAACCTTCCGATCGCCTTTTACAACCAGCCTGCGAAGGAGGTCAAGGCCATTTTCAGCACCAACAATGGCGAATTTCCCACCCGCGGTCTCAGCCAAATTCTTCCGGCACGTCAGATCGATTTGTGGAGCGCTGAAGAGCTCCAGGAGAGGGCCAATGGTATTCGAAAGAAGCACTGGAGCCTCATGAAGTCCATGCCAGAGCTGCAGTTCTGGGAAGATCTGTACGATTACTTCGACTGCTACGACATCTACTTCCAGGGCGCGATGAATCTGTGGAACCTGATGCTTCATCTCTACCACGAGAATCAATGTCTCCTTCGTAACCTTCATCAAGCTCTGACGGTCGAAGTCGGCATTTGGTGCGACGAATGGGCTGCAAAGAGCGAGAACAAGAAGAAGCTCCTTGACTTCAAGCATTGGCACGGCAATTTCATCGACCTTCTCAGTGCAGAGGATCGAGTTGAGCTCCAGGGAATGCCCCCCTTCAATATGGAGCTTGTCCGCACCGCTTTGAACTATAGACACGACCAGCTTCTGGGCAAGTCGTGGGCCCGGCCAACCTCTTACCCGCAAAACAGTCTCGGATTCCAGTGGGAGGAGGGCACGCTGCAGCATTGGCTTGGTTAGTTGACTCCATTTCTTGTTTGATTTATATCTCAGCTAACCTTTTCAGCGGGCCAACCCGTCCAAGATACTCCTAGTGGACTGGCTCCTGCATTGACAGCCTCAAACCTGACAATGGGAGACCCCGACTCGCCGCTTTCCCAACCAAGCCTAGCCGCCAAGAATGCTCCTCCGAAACCTCTGATCGTGAGTGGCACATACGGGCAGAATCCAGTCGATGCCATTCACCGAGGCCATACTGCAACTTCGAACTCTAGCAACTACCCCGAAGGCTCCTCTGTAGACAACCGGCCGACCTCTCCAAAAAGTCTTGGCAGCATTAGTGATGAGCCTCGCCATCTCCCTGGCCATATGCGTCCAGCTTTTGCGCAATCGAGTCAACCTCCGATGCCCAGAGATGGAAATGCAGATCCTGGGGGACCGATCTTCAATCCTCATACCATCAGATCTGATGGTCACGCTTTCAATATGCCATTCACGGCAGGTCCTCGTGGCGTGCCTCGCCCGTATCTTGGTCCCGTTGGACCCCCTTGCGGTCTCCTTGGACTCCATAATGCACCACTGGGACCTCCTGCTGGTTCCGGAAATCGTCAATCTTTCCCGCCCTCGCAAATAACCCCGTCTCCTCAAAGACCTATTGATAACAGATTCAATAATGCTGGCCAAGTAGCGCAAACGACTAACCCTGTTTTCTCGGGCGGCGCACATAGCTTTCAGTCTGCTGCTTATCTTGGAGGGGCAGCTGAACCCGTTCCCTTCCAGAGACATAGCGGTAGACGGAATGCATCGACAAACCCCCATTTTGGTCCAGCAGGCGAATGTGGCCCACCGATGGGTCCTCCGCAATATGATGCCGGACCGAGCCTGCGAGGAGCGCCTCACTCAAACGGACTAGAACAGTACCAACAACGCCCCCGTGGCGAGTCGAAAGGATGGGAGAAGGTCCATAACGCAGACGATTCAATTCATGGGCCCGTTTTCCGCCGTTCTCCAACCAAGGAAAGCAGTCCACGTGAATTGTCGCGTTCTTCCGGGCCCAGACAAATCGTCAGTTGCACAAATCAGCATGAAAAGTTTGGTGACAGATGGGCATACACCCCTTGCGAATGTCACTCTTGCGAGAAGCGTGAGCGTTCTGTCTTCATTGAGTTTACATCTGCTTTGGCCGGAATATCCGAGGACGATCTTTGCGAGAAGGTTAAAGCAATAATGTCTCGGTGGGGACACGTTGAGAGAGTTGGCCACTTGCCAAACAAGGAGCAGGGAGATCACCATTCATTTTTTGTCAGGTAAGTAGCAATGTTTTCGTCCATGCTGGGAATTTTGCTGATTATAGTTGGTCCTTGCTTAGATTCAGAGACGATTCTCGCCTCACTGAGATGGTGTCTGCAGACGGTTTTGAATGCGCCGAGTTTCGCTGCCTGCTCAATATTAAGCCTGTTCACCATACGCGATATGGAAGCCTGATGCACTCCGATTTTGTGCGGAGAGCCAATGATCGACGTGAGATCGCAAGCCATCGTGAAGGGTCTCAGCAGTCTCCATGGAGGGGCAATCAGAACTCATTCGGCCAGGGTCAGCCCGCTCCTGCTCATAGGGATCCAAGATCGCAAGTATCCTTGGAGCAGTACATCATCACTCGTCCTCAGAGACAGCAGGGAAGAGCAGCACAGGGCTCTCAGTCCACAGCAGTACCCGATAAATCGGTTTCAATGCCTTCCGCCGGCCAAGTCGCCCTTCAGGAAAAGGCTGAACTTCCTGAAGATACCAAGCAGAAACAGACCAAAATGACTGAAGAAATCGCCCTACAACGGTCTGCTGAAACCCAGTCGCAATCAAAGCCGCCTTATGAGGAGGTCATACCTGATGAAAAGAAGGTAATCGAGTCTACCAGCCCCCAGATTGCCGACAGTCCAAACACAGCCAGTAGCAAAAGTATTGTCGTCAACTTGCCCGCGACCCCCCAAAAGAAGCAGAAGGCCAGAACGGACATTGAGGAGCCTGAAGAGACTGACTCATCTAACAATGCTGTCTTGACTCCAGAAGATGGCGAGGCGGTAGCCTCCCCGGTCAAGAAAGGCTCCCCGGATTCTATCAGTGGCAAGGAGACGTCCGAGACTCAGTGTGACCAGAGAGAATCTGAGGTATCCAAGAATATTGTCTCTGACGTTGCGCCTGTCCCGGGAGAAGACGTTCCAGTCCCTGAACCTCTTCCGCAAAGTCCCACGTATGGCAAGGGAAAGTACAGGAAAGTCTTCTCTCACAGAGATGCTAGTAGTGTCGAGGTCTTTGATGTGGTGCCCTACATGCCCGGAAGAAGCAACTCCTTGCTTAACAAGACTTCCTCTACTGGCGAACGCTTTGATGAGCCTAGCGAGAGCCTTCGCATACATTCTGGACATACACTTGACAGCTTGATTGATGCAGGGTTGCTCCCAGGAGTCTCCGTGACCATGCTGGCTGGAGATTCTTTGAAGAAGAAGAGCAAGAGATCCAAGAAGAAGAAGAAGAAGCCGACATCAGAAATCCAGGATGAGACTCATCCAACTAGCGACGCTTCGACGACTACCGCCGATGACAAGGTCCCTCACGTCCCGAAGGCAGCACCGGCCGGCACAACAGAGATGACCGACATCATCGCGAAGGCTAAGGATATTGTTGCGACAGAAGCATCAGTAGAAAAGTCAAGTCTTCTAGAACCAGCTGCTAAGAGCTTTCGCGCCAATGCTGGCGGCTCACTTCGGCTGCCCAAGAATCGCAAGAAGCAACCGACCCAGCTGAATCTTGCTCCGCGGGAAGTCTCTGCCTCTGAAGGAGCCAATGGCTTGAAAGAACCCCGTGTCTTCGACGGTGGTCTTCCCTCTACTGCGAGTACTTCACAGATGAGCTTCATCACAGCTCAGGAGAGCCGCTCCAGCAATAGTTCACCTAGGATGCAATCAACCCCTCCGACACCACCGTCAGCCGAGACCCCTGAATCGAAGGCCACCCCGATGAAGCCCACCATTGAGAGTGAGGCGACGGCAAAGACAATTGTGCTGCTTAACCCCAAAGCAAAAGAGTTTATTTCACCTGCATCGCGCCCTGTTGCTCATCGAGTGAAGCTTGCGCCAATTCCATTGGTGCCGATCTTGGTGAAGACCACTCAGCATTATCGCAACTCCTCCCGCAGTTCGTCGGCCACATCTCGAACTATCACTCCTGGACCAACGCCTCCCAGGAATAGAGCTGAAGAATGTCAGGAGGGTGTCACTGGAAACTCCGTCGACAAGGGCCAGGATCCTGCAATTCACGTTTCGCCGACTCGAAACAATGGCGCACAGCAGCCAGCCTTGGAAGAAGCGGAAAAGGCAGAGAATGATCCTCTCGCTGAAGGCGCTACATCTGTCTCACAGGAAGCATCAGCTGTCAGCAACAGCAACGGCTACCTAAAGCGTCAACAAAAGGGCACTAGCAAGAAGAAGCTGCGACAGCCCAGCATTGATAGCCAGCAGTACGGACAGCAGAGACAAGGCAAGCAAGAACCTGAGAAAAGCCACCCCTCGCCTAAGAAGCAGAAGTTTCGGGGACACGACGACCGTAATGTCTCTGGTGCCAACAGCAAAACGATTTCTGTCGTTAGTAAGGATGAGTTTCCCTCTCTACCCGCCGCTCCCCTGCCTGCTCCCGGCCTTCCCGCGAGCAGCGTCTGGGGCAAAGCGCATGCGATATCAACTGCCGCCACCACCATCCCTTCTACCAGCAACCTGGGCGTTCAGGACGAGACTTCCGGAAACCCGCGCCACCAGGAGAATGGAGGCAAGCATTAGAGAAGGATGTTTAATGTTTGGGAGGAATGGATCTGGCCGCGATCGGACAACTACGGAACGATCAAGCAAGATGTGGCAAGACAGGGTTGACTAAAAGCTTTGCTGTAAATTGAAGAGCTTGTTGGGGAGGTGATCGGGAAGCAGATGACGGGGAGGATTTAGATTCGTTCCTCGAGAGGAATATGCGTTTGAGTGATACCCATGGGTCGTGCTCGTGGCTTAGGAGTTGCGCAGAGATAGAATGAACCATTTTCGGAAATTCCTTACCTTGTCTCTGGCGGCTTACATGGGTGGACGAGAATCCGTCGTAGGTGGGCGAATTCAGTTTTGTGGAAAGCCTCATCTGATTTATTGCAGAGGGAACGCCCCATATGACATGGACAACGTCCTGCCGCCCGTGAGGCGGATGTTCACGTTGATAGTACCTTGGGCAGAGGAAGAAAACTGAACTGCAGCTATGGCTCTTCATTCTGTCATTAGAAGCACGCTCATTTCAGTTTCAATACGGCTCCGGCTCGGAATTCTCAACATGGTTGGTAGTGGTACAAGGTTCTTTTTTTGATCTATTCGTTCAGCTTCTCAACCCGCCATATGATGCCTTTATGCGCCGTTCTTGACCAGGGTGGTGACTGTGTCCTCGATCTGCTTGTCCGACAGGCCTTGAATCGCGCATGTTAGTTACTTAGCGTCTGCGAGGGGCTTTTGGGAATGCTCACCTTCCAGCGATTGGCTCTTCTCAACACCGAACTCTGTATTCCCGAGGGCATTTCATCAGCACTCTGCTATCCATGTTGCTTCATCCGGAGGGGATTCCTAACCGTATCTCGCGTAAATCTTGGGTAGCGTGCCGGCGGCCTCGCGGATGAGGATGGGGGTCTGGGGGTTGTTCTTCTTCATCGTGGGGTAGGCTCTCGCGACGAAATTACTTTCGGGAGGAGAAGTTAGCGATTGGATCTCTAGGTGTTGCGGGGGGAAAAAATCGTGGGGATTCGAGGTGATGCGATGCGGCGTAGGCGGGAGCTTCGAGGTTGAATAGGGAAGCCGAGAAACGTACCGGGTTGCGGCGCTGTGCTCGCCCGTCTGGCAGAAGAGAAAGCGCACCTCCTTGAGGGCTTTTGTGAATGCGTACTTGCCCGACATCGTGGTTGTGGCTGCGGCTGCGCTGGGAGGTGCGGACGGGCGAAGGTGGAGGAGGGCGGGATCGTGGCAAGGTCAATTGGAAGCCTCTGGCGACAGCGACGGGTGAATTGGCGAGGATTGAAATTGACGAGATGCTCGCGGTTCGAGGTGGGCCGGGATTGCATAAGACAGTCGGGACTCGGGACGGGCATAACTGGTCTAATTGGTTATTTTCGATTGGTCGGACAGCTGGAGCTGCGAGTTATGCACATGCACAATTCGTCCCCCGATTTTGGGCTTTTGGGAACTGTCTGTTTGTCATGGTAGGAAGGCGGCTTGGTCAGTGCTTCCCCCGTCAACTTTTTTTCCCTCGACGTTTGTCCCCGCTTAACTCCGGTTGGCGGTGCTGCTGCTCGCTGATAGCTGCCGTCCACCGTACCTTACTACCTATGCGCTCGCTCGCGCTCCCGGGCCAAAAAAGGCTGCCCGCTCATCTTCGGACGTTCCAAATCTCAACGCTTCAGCTTCTCTCAACCTCGCTTCAACCTCCCCCCATCCATACCGTGCGTCCGTCGAAAGGAAAACCTCTCTGCTCCAAACCACCTATATCCCGCGCGATCGAGCCCGTTTCTCAATCGCTCTCCTCCGAACCCGAGTCTCCGACGATATATACCAGAAAGAAAAAACAGCTATACATTTGTCCGTCATAATGGCCCCCGCCAACAACTTCTTCAAGGCTGCGCGCCCTGCGTTCCGCCAGCAGGTTTTCGCCGGCGCCCAGATCCGCAACGCTTTCCGCACCTCCCAGTTCCGTGCCCAGTTCCGCGAGAGCTCCAAGAGATGGCAGAGCTCGACGGCGTCCGCCGATGCCCAGGTCAGCTGGTTCAAGCGCATGTGGGACAGCCCCATCGGAATCAAGACGGTGCACTTCTGGTGAGTAGATTACCCCGATTTGCGATAAAAGCAAGCTTCGGACTGTATTATCTGGACATATCGGCTGACTCCGATGGTTCCAGGGCCCCTGTTATGAAGGTATGATGAAGCCATCTCCGGGTACCTCCCTTGCAGATGTCCGGTCGCGATGTCGGAGCTCGATTAAGACCGGGGGAGGAAACACCCGGCAGGGTTGGGAATTCATACATTGAACGAATGCTGACCATCGACGACGCACAACACAGTGGGCTCTCGTCCTTGCCGGTGTTGCCGACTTTGCCCGTCCCGCCGAGAAGCTGTCCCTCACTCAGAACGGTGCCCTGACTGCCACTGGTATTATCTGGACCCGTTGGTGCTTGATCATCAAGCCCAAGAACTACCTGTACGTCATCGGGAACCTTACCAATGGAATTGATTGGCTAACCTTCTCAGTCTTGCCGCTGTCAACTTCTTCCTCGGTGTTGTCGGTGTTGTCCAGTGCTCTCGTATCCTCATGTGGCAGTCTGCTCAGAAGAAGAGCGCTGGCGATTTGGCCAAGGATGTCAAGGAGGACGTCAAGGAGGCCGTCTCTTCCTAGACCTAGAATCGCAAATACCGAGCGAAGTGGGGTACAATAAGGGGTCCATAAGAGGGACGAGGTAAAGTTGCAGCATGGTTCAAACTGACGTACCAGCTGCCGCCACGATCCAGAAACAGTCGCGGAGGCAAGAGGAAACGGCGCAGAGCGCATCGGATCATCCCCCTGCCATGTCATGCATCAGACACGTCACAGTTCTCAGACCTGATTTCTAGACACTCCCTTTTTAATTCGATATACAAGAAGGCCCATGTTCATGGCCGAACAGACTGCAAGGGAAGGAAAGCGACCACGTCCACGTTCACGTTCACGTTCACGTCCACTCCACGTCTTTGATCCGAAGCATGCGTTGTGGTCCTTGTACAGTATGTGCTTCATTCGCATAGTATAACCATACAGAAACGCCCAATGGCATCCGCGGTAGTATCCGGTTGTTCCCCGCGCAAGCAATGTGAATAGAGCACGGCTCAATTGTCGTCGACTGGACCAAGGTACCGCCAGTATGGATCCTCGACGGATATCCCGAGACATCTGCGCGATTGTGTCATTCGAGCCTGTGCGACATATCCACCTGGGCCCCCACGCAGGATCCCGCAATCGAGAGTCGAGGCCTTGGTCGAACACTTTTTTGAGTGAGGGGGGAGAGGAGAGCCGGCCCAGTCTCGATGCGCTGCAAATCGCTGAAAGATCGATAACCTACTAACAAGCAGATCGAACTTGTAAAACACGTCTTTAGCCGATGCGAGAACTTGAAAGACGGGCCGTGTCATGACCCTTGCAAGAGTACCAAAGTTCCAATGCCGACCACACCATCGGCGAGGGCGTTTCGTTGGGAATCTCGGCATGCTCAATCGTTGTCGCGTGGCGCGCTGCTCAGGCAGCAAAAACAACCCCGCCTACGACGATATCACTAGACGTCGGACTGGAGATCGGCTACATGCCTGAAAGGGTCAGCTGCATATGCGGGCATATGGGAATCCGTCCGAAGGTCCTATCAACGGGCCGGTTTTTTGGGGGACCTTTACTAGAACCCCCCCGAATCGGCGTGGCCGCCGAAGACAAGTGAGCATAGCCGACCTGCCCTAATGTCGTGAAACCCCTGGTCTACATCGCTTACGTCGAAATGCCTCCCTCTATGCTCTCTCTGTACCTCTCTCACACCGCCTACGACTAACATCATGGGGCCATGGAGGAAAGACGGATTGTTAAGCGGCACTTGGCCGATACGAGGGCTAAGATACGCCAAGTGGCGCATCAACCCAAGACGAAAGGTACCACTTAGTCGTACACCGTCGTTCGTAGGCGCTAGCACGTTTTCTTTTTCCTTACTTACTTTCAGCTTGCAGACCTGTACCAACATCTAGATCGCTTAAGGGTCTGGCCGACCATGATAGGACAGCCCACACGGGGTTGGAATAGGGCTGGCTACACTGGCAACATCGTTGGGTCATTGGCGTATGATACAGCTGTTAAGCGGTTGAATTATTGGCCTGCTACGACTCCTCTTGCCCAATTCCACCCCAGTGCCCTCCACGCAAGTAAGTTACATGAGCTAGCTCTTGCATCGGAGGCAGCAGTTTCGGCCTTTGAAGCCGATGATATGCATTCTCGGGAGTGATGTCATGGCCCTCCTCCGGCTTTTGCCCTGAATACCTGTCGCACCCCCGTCGTTGATGGACCTAGCAAGGCTTAAATGAAAGGGGGCCTTTGTTGGATGGCAAAGACACGTTGGAGCTGAATCTGCAGTCATGGCATGATTCACGACTCGGAACCCGCAGATCTACGTATGCCGCCAGTCAAGCAGGATCTGATTCTCGAAACTTGATTGAGTATTTACCACAACGTGTCTGCTGGGTTTCTGAGGTAGGAATCAAATTGCCGGTCAAGAGCCGTAGGAACCCTGGGACCCGGAACTGAACCGTTGTGTCGGTAAATCCTTCAACATGGATTTGGAACGTTTATAACGCGGCTGCTGCGTCGTTTGTGTCCCGTCAAGGAAATCTGGTACACTCGATATCGACGCAAAAATGGTGAATAGCAATAGCAACGATGGCATCAACGATTTGGGCGAAGTGGTCTCTAGAGCCGAAGAGACTGCTCGTACACTGGTCGACTTGGCCAACAGCAGCAAGACGATCCAATTACAGACACGGAGACAAATGAACCAGCTCCAGTCCGAACTGACCCGCACGACCGCCCTGTACAGACTAATCTACAACGACATCATCTGCCACCTGGAGACATCTTCCATGACGTTCCTCAGCCTCGCCCCCGCAGACCTGAGCCTTTGCAGACTACCCTTCAGGCGTATCAACGAGACCCTGCGCGTCTATGAACAGAGCCCGGCAGCGGCGGCACCCCTCACTGGCCCGCAGTACCCGAAACTCGTCCTCGAAACCCACAGGCAGCTCAAGGCCCTCAACGACGAGATCCGCGCCGACGTCGTCCTCGCCATCAAGCGCGTGCTCAACCAGGGCCTCTTTAGCCGGGATACCCGCGCCGTGCAGCTGCGCGACATCGCGGCGGCGCGGGACCAGAGCCTCGAGCATGACATTTGGCAGATTCGCATCCAGCGGGGGGATGCACCCCTGATCGCGAGCCTTCTCCTCCCAAACGATCCCGATACCCCCGACGGCGAGAACACGCCGATGAAGACCCCGTGCCTGCGGTTCCACGACGCGAGTACCATTGTCGAGACGAGGGAGATGCCGCGGGATGACCCGGCCATGTACCGCACGACGCTGAAGCTCGCGACGTTTCTGCACGCCACGCGATCGCCGTACCTCCTCCGCTGCACAAACTTTAGGGTGGTGGCGCACCACGCCCAGAACCAGCGGCGACGACGCCGCCTAGAGTACATTTACGACGCCGCGCCCCTGCAGGGCTGTCGTCGCGGCGAGATCCACAGGTTGTCGGAGCATCTCGGCTCGCCCGAGGGCCATTTTACGCGCGGCAGACGGGAGGCGGCGGCGAGGATCCTGTCGGACAAGATTCGGTTTGCGGGGTCGCTTGCGCGGTCGCTGAGCGAGCTTCACGCCGTGGACCGGGTGCATGGTGCGGTGTGCGCTGAGAATGTGTGGTTTGGGGTCCGGGGGCAAGCCTATGAGGCCAAGGTGTCGTTGCCGCTGCTGGTTGGGTTTGGGCTTGAGGAGGAGGTGGAGGAGGAGGTGAGGCGGTGTCGGGTTGCGGGGGATGGCGATGGCGGTGGTGGTGTTGGTGGTGGTGGTGACGATGGGAGGGCGGCGCTTGAGGAGGCCAAGAGGCGGGATATACTGGCGCTGGGGGTGTTGTTGTTGGAGATTGGGCTGGGGCGGTCTGTTGCGGAGGGCGGGGGTCCGTCTGCGTCTGCGGCTACGTCTGCGTCTACGTCTGTGGCCTCATCCTTGGGTGTTGGCGCCGTCGCGGCTGCAGAGCATCTTGGGACGTTGAACGCGGTTATGGGAGGGAGGTACACGGCTGCCGTCAGGGCCGCGCTGGATCCGCGGCAGTTGGCTGTGACTTTTCTGGCTATGGATAGGGGAGGCGGCGGCGGTGAGGATGAGGGCGTAGCTGGTCAGGGCGCTGGTGTCTTTGGTGCGAGGGGGAGTTGTGGGTTGGATCGGGCTTTCAGGGGGGTTGTTGTCGACGAGCTGTTGGGTGTTGTTGGGAGGGCGTGAGGGGCGAGGGTGTGGTTCTGATCTGGCCGGGCTGGTTTGATTCGAGTCGTTGAATTCGGTTTTGATCATGTCAATCAGCCTTGATCTGGGTGTGGGTTTGCCTCATGATGGATGGAGAAGCGGGGGAAATTCAACTAGGAGCTGCTGCAAGAGCTTGGAGACTTTGGATTCGAAAGGATGGCACTCAGCTTTTGGTAGTTCATGGAGACGGATTCTCGTAAAAGAAAAGAGGTGTTTGAGACAGGTTGAGGAAGAGAGGTTGCCCGTGAGGCAAAGGTGGCATTGGACCGAGTCTGAAGATCATGAGAAGAGAAGGCGGGCTAGAATATACTGTCAAGGGAGAGACTACTGGGCATACTGACAGCATCATTTGGGATTTTCCCACCATTACAACCTGGAAATCATAGAAGAAAGAACCGGAAACTATTTATCCTTTGGCCCCTACTCCACGTATACCATTCATCCCAGTCTCCAAGTGTCCCCTTTCCCTTGCATTTAGTTGATCCTCGATTGCGCTCTAGTATTCCTGACATCCGCCTCCGAATATGGCCTCGTACCACGTCCGCTGGGCCCTCACTATCGTCAAATCCTCACATCCTCACATCCTCATAAGAAACCGAAGATTCCGTCGAGGATGGATTTCGAACCGTCTCCCGAGGGGTGTGGCGAGCAGTCCGAGTATCGAACGTGACTCCTTCCTCGCCGCCCTTGACTGAAAGTCCGAGGGCAGAAGCAACAGAAGCAATTCTTCTTCCAGCACCTTTTCTCTTGCTCTTTCCCCAAGTCTGAGCTCTGCTCCAAGTGCCCCGTTTCTTTTGCCGATGTCCCTCAGATCCCTGAGCCGACTTCTCCTAAGAGCCAGGCTCAGGGGGGTGATGGGTCCTCGCAGGCTGCGTCAAGGCTAGCTGGAATCGCCCAGCCCGAACCCCGATAGAGTTCCCTCCGCATTCTAGCGTGCGTGACGATGGAGTCGTGGCGAGCTTTTGCCTCGGCTTGTAGTTTCTCTTTGGGAGTTGGATGAATTTCAGAGACATCTATAATCAGATCGTGTCTCCCCTCGCTGATGAGGCGAGGCTTCTCCATCTCATAGGTCCTTTGACCTTCCTCCCACAAAGCCCGCATCGTCTTGTCCAGCGTCTCTCGCGTCGAGTACACGCCCTCCCGCTCTGGATCCCCGAATTCGCTCGTAACCCAGACGTGGAATGCTTCCGGCTGTATCTTCCAGTCGACGGGAAACCAACCCTTGAATGGGTCTACGATCTGCATGTCGTACTTCCATAGAGGGTGCGGGGGTGCCGGGAGTCGCTGTAGCGGGTGCTTGTCGACTATATATCTTCTGGGAATCGGCGGGGCGTCGAAGTCCAACGCGTCGAGCCGTCCGTGTGTGCTGTCACGGGTCTGGGACCACACGACGCAGAGACTGTAGTCGAGGAGGACGGGCCGTACGGTTTCTGGGGTCCGTTGTCCGTCTTTGCCAAACGTGAGGAAGATTTCGCGTGGATGGAAAATGCGAAAATGGGCGCCGACGTACATGAAGCGGACACCGCCATGGAGGATTTACTTGAAAACTTTCAGTCGGGCTGGCATCTCGTTCAGTGGAATTCCTTTCTTTTCGCTGCCGCTTACAGAATCCGAGTCGGGAAAGGGAAGGAATGCCTCGTCGGTGTTCATGGCTCCGCCTTCGTCTCGCTTGCACATATGCTCGAGCGAGAGACCTTGGATGTGCTCGATGAGTATTGCTCCCGCACATCTCCAACGACGTGTCTTGGGTGAGCGGGAGCCACGGGACGGCTCGCTGACGTCGAACTTGAGAGCCCAGCTACCGTAGTACTGCGGCACCATGTGAGGATGGCCCGTCATGCCCTGGTTGTAAAAGTACTCGTAGGCATTCGCCTCCCGACTCAGGGACTGATTGGCAAGCTCGCTTGGCGTGCGCGCGCTCAGGTAGAAAGTCGGGTTGTACACTTTCAGCACGAACTTGCGTCCGGGAACGAGAGGATGATGAGCGCCGTGTCTGATGGATGGCGCCTTTGTGATGTTGCATAGCAGGACCAGGGCATCGCGATGGATGTCGCCCTTTAAGTATGATATGACCTCTACTTGTGCTTCGTGATCCGGCTGGTCGATTGTCGGGTCAAAATTTGGGAGGAGCCACTCGTTGGACTCGGGGCGGGTTTCTTCTCCGTACTCTGGGAGACCGTACGGTATACCTGGGTTTCGGGGGCAGAGCGTCAATGTTTCTTTGGGTTTGTAGCGCTTGAGCTCGGCGTGGAGGTGGCGGATTTTCTCCTCGTCGCCGTCGGTTTGCGATGTGCTGGAGTCTGACATGCTGGAGTCTGATCGGGCGTGGTGGGAGGGGGAGTGAAGGTTTCTCAAGATAGCGTGAGAAGGGGAGGGAAGAAGGAACAGATCGTCGGCCTGCTTGTGAAAAAGGATACGACAGTGAAAGAAAGAGAAGAGAAGCAGACGTAAATGCTAAGCAAAGTTGAAAGATACCGAGGTTGGCACCAACTAAGTAAGGTAGGTAAAGTACCTTGCTAAGGCAGATGCCCTAAGGTAAGTCGACTTTGGGCAGACGTGTGGATTCAATTTTTCTCGAAAAACCTGAAGGTTGAAGTCGAATGAGGTGCCTACCTACTTTTAAGGAACCTTGAAGGTAACTTGAAGGTAGCTGGGGTAAAGTTTTAGAGGCAGAGACTGAAGGCAAGGTCTATGTCTCCAGGCAAACCCAGCGAGTGCAGCTTCGTAACAAATGAACGAGATTCCATTTCAAAATCATGAGACAAGTCATAGGTTGGCTGGCCAAAGACTATAGAAGCAATATGAATGTGTCGACCAGTGTCTTATTACGAGAGCATTGTGAGGCTGGTGATAAACCCAGTAGTTCGTGAACCCGAGAATCCTCCGTACTTCCCTTCTGAGCTTCATATGGTCCGTCTCTCTCCCCTTCTCCGTCGCTCACTTCGATATTCCCTGCTGTATAGGCGCAAAGTCTACTTGTCAACGAAACTAACACTGATCAATCCTAATCCCAAACCACCAGCGATGAGAGAGCCGATTTGGGTTGAGAAGTAGGAGAAGACGCCAAGATAAAGTTCGAATATTCATTCTTCCATCCGAGAATGTCGACTGCCAAGTCCCTCGGATTACAGACCAGATTGGGTGTTTGGGATGGCGGTCGAGGATATTCTTGAGAACCTTGAGGGCGATGCAGAAGACCTGATCTTGAGAGGCTATGCCTGTGTTTCCTTCAGTGCCAATCAGAGGGTCTCTGATATGCAACAGAGGCTGGTAGTTTTTGGGCTCCCAACTCGGCGTTGGTTGGAAAGCAATCCTGTACTATGCAGATATAGAACATGGAATCGACGGGAGGAATTGATGAAATCTTCGATCTCTCGTCCAGTATCGTTCTCATCTGGCGATGATGGAAGAGATCCGTGCCGATCATAGCTACCGGACCATTGTGTAGGAAGATCAGATCCATGATACAAAGGACAGGGCTTGCAGGAAAGAACTTCAAAATCATCAGGTATCATGAAATTCTACAATCATAACTCATAAATCCCATCACCATCCATCTACATCTCACCCCGTAAATAATACAACATAAAGCCATCCAGCTAAGTCCTCTCCTTATGCTCCCCAAAGGCCATCTCCTCATCCTCGCTCCCCTTCTTCATCTTCTCCGCGGCGCCCCGCCTCCTCAACATATCCTCCGCCTCGCCGCCAGACACGCCGCCGCGGCTGTTGCGCTTCATAATCGCCTCTTCCTCTTGCGCGACGTACTTGAGCGGGCGCTTGGACGACGTGGCGTCCTTGTCGCGGAAGACGAATACGTCGTGGTTGTCGGCGAAGAAGCGGTCCACGTCCTCGAGGGAGCGGTCGGCCGTCTCGGGGTAAAAGAGGTAGACGATGGGGACAAAGGCAAAGTTGAAGACTGTCCAGATGATGTAGAATTGCCAGCCGAGGGCGGAGATTCCAGGGGGTGTGATTTCGACAACCTGTCAAGGGGGAGATTTGTTAGGTTCTGTGTTTCTCTGTGCTTGGACAGGATGACCGAGACGATTTAATCGGTTTGATGAGAGGGAACGTACCATGAAGTTGACGATCCAGTTCGTTGCGGTACCGAGGGCGGCACCCTTTGTGCGCATAGACAAGCTGTTGATCTCGGTGGGGTATAGCCATGGGACACCTATCTAATATGAGCACCCGTCGATCCAAAGTTGAAGGATAAGAAGCAATCTCACCTTGCCAGCAAATTCCAAAGAAGACATAGTACAAGAAGAAGAAGGCGATAGAGGCCTTTGCCCACTGGGACTGCGTCTCCGGGGCGAGGCCCGGCATCTCATTGTAGCGGATGCAAATTGTGATGACGGCGTAGCAGACGAACTGGCCAAACGCGCCGTCTGTGGGGAATATAATTAGCTGCCATTCACGTTTTCAACATCCGGATTTGATATTTCCACAACTTACACATCATCATCTTCCGTCTTCCCCACCTCTCCACGTTTGGGATACCAATCAAGCTGAACAAGAAGTAACTGACAGAGTTGCACGCCGCCAGCAACCTCGCGAGCTTATTATCCAGTCCAACAGAGTTGATGAGAACGAGGGGCAAGTAGTAGCTCGTGACGTTAATCCCGCTAAATTGTTGCATGGCTTGCGTCCCGCATCCAAGGACTATACGCCGTATAGTAGAGGTTCCAGACGACTCGCCGGTACGTCCCCGGAGGAGGTCTGACCAGGGGATAGTATTCTCTCTCTCGTAGTTAATGGCCCACTGGATGTCCTTGGACTGGGTCTGGATGTAGGCGTCGTCGACGGGCATGTCTTCCAGGTCGGCGAGAATCTGTTCGGCCTCGGGGACGCGGCCTTGGGCCATGAGCCAGCTGGGGACGGATGTCAGCTTTGGATTCTACAAGGTCTGTGGAAGGAATGATGGAAAACCGGGGGGGGGGGGGTGGGAACGTACCGAGGTGACTCTGGCAACCAGGGGACCGTGCCGTAGAGGATAAAGATGAAGAAGAATTGGAAGGCGAGGGGAACACGCCACGAGATGGAACCGGTGAGGTATGAGAAGCCAAAGGTGACCCAGTTGCCTACGCATGATTAGCATCTCACACTATTCAAAGCTGGCAAGCATCCGATGGAAGAGAGAAAAGAACTCACTCAAGGAGAAGCCGAAAATGTTCATAATCATCTCAATGACAATCAGCTTGCCCCTCCAGCTAGCCTTGCTCGTCTCGCCCTGCCACACGGGGGCCGTGCTGGTGTTGATGCCGTTCCCGATGCCCGCCACCACGCGGCCGACAAACATTTGCGGGAGGCCAAAGGCGGCGGTCTGCAGGATGGCGCCGATGGACATGATTGTGGTGCCGACGAGGATGGTGTTCTTGCGGCCGAGGCGCTCGCCGAACCAGATCGTGGAGATTGCGCCGAGGAAGCAGCCAATGTCGTAGATTGCGGTGACGGTGGATTGCAGCGTGTCGTTGCCGACGATGCCCATTGTTTGGAGGAAGTCGTCGGTCACGATGACGCCGCCGAAGACGCCTTGGTCGTAGCTGGATGGGTGTTAGGAGTTTGTGGATGAAGCATTTGAGTGGATTTAGTGAGTGAGGATTGGGGTGAAGAATTTTGTGGGTGGTGAAGGGTGAGAGGGAAGGCAGGCAAGACGTACCCAAAGAGTGTCATGTCTGTCGCGCAGGCGACGGTTACCCAGAAGGTGAGCCACCCGCCTTTCAATCCAAACCAGCCCATGATGAATGGCTCGGTCTGTTGACTGGATCGATACGGGTAAAGTTGTCAATTGGTGAGAGGGGTCGTAGTCTGTGAGAGTGAGGTTGAGCGTGAGGAAGAATGTGAAGAGCGAATGGCGAATGCGGACCGAGCGTCGAGTGAGAAGTAATGCCGGACCCCGTGCTGTATATTCGCAATCCCAATGAAAGAGACCAAGAAGAGAAGAAAGACCCTGGACTAGACTAGGCCGACGGACATCTGTCTTGAAGCACGAGAAGGCAGCAATAGACGCAGTCTATATAGAAAGCCAAGAAAAGAAAAGAAGGGACCTAGAAACGCCAACTCCTCCACTAGCGGGCAGCATCTTTTCCCGTGATGGGGTCCCCGTCAATTAGTCCCGCACCAACATGGAGCCGGGGCACGCCAGAGAACCCCAGACAGCCTACAGGGCGCCGCTAAATCTGTCGCGATTACCTGGCGCCAAGGCATTCGACGCCAGGCCGTGGGGTAAGGGATCTGATGGGCAATGGGTGGTGGTGGAGGGAGTGTGGACGCCAGGTGGTGGGAGGCACTGACTAGTGTGGATAACAGAACGATGTCATCGTCATGGTGCGGCGGCGTTAGTGCGGGACTGTGAATCCCTCACTTGACCTTTACCTAGGGACTGCGATGAGGTCTACTGCTGCCAAGGTACGTGTGCAGTTCTGCAGCCGCGGGAAACCAAGGCCACGACCCAAGGTGGTCCCGGGAAGCGATGACCGCTCGCTGGTATTGACGCTGATTAGGCCGGGCCGATTCGACGACACGGACAGACCAAGCGCTTTTGGAGGAGTGATGGGGAGTGGTAGGGGGGCGAAGAGTGAATGGCGGGGAATCAGTCAGTCTGCTGCGTAGGCAAAGACTCAGTGGACAGGGATATTCAGAGTTTCGGGGTTGAGACCGGCCGGCTGTGTGCGAGTGTCTCTCTCTTTCTCTGCGTGTTTTCCTCTTTCCTTCCGCTCTCAGTGGCTGGATGGATGGCAAAACTATTCGGCCAAACCGTACAGCACACGACTCGAACTGAGTCAAACCAAGCATGGCAGGAGGGGGACTAAGAAAAAGAAGGAAAGAATGGGGTCGAATCTGCACCCCGCATACTTGATCACCGCTACGTAAGGTACTTAATTAGTGTAAGGTACCTTTGCGCCTCACCGCGACTGCGTCGACGTCGACGTCGACGTTTGATGTTGGCGAAAGCGCAGCCATGACGTCGTTGGGGCTCCACCCGCGGCTCTGAAACGGGTGCCGGGGCCACCGCTGTCGTCGAAGCTTAATCCCGTCGATCCCCGTGGCGTCCTCGGCTGCTCGGCGCTCAGCGGCGTGAGGTGAGCCAAAGTACGTATTTCAGGTACCTACCTTACCTTACCTCACCATGGCAAGCGACCGACTAGGGTCTTGATGAGGCAAAAAAACACGGCAGCTGGAAAACAACAACGTCGTTTATTTCTATCGACTGTGTTGAGCATCGTAAAAGCAGAGATATTTGGTCAGGAGTTTCCAGGTTTCCTCCTATTGATTCCCGCCCCCGTCACCTCCCACACGAGGCGGGAAGAGCCCACAAATAGCGACTCACTGCATCGCGCACCCGAATCTTGCATCATCCAACCCCATTGGAAAGCCCGTACCTGATACCGATGGTCGATCGGCCCGAATAGCAACCCACAGCAGACGATGCATCGTCACAATGTCACGATGCGGGGACTCCACGTCGCCGCTTTTTCTCCTCCCTCTTTCTCTTAACACACCTTGTCCCTCTTGTCAGTCTGATGTAATGCCTCCTCCATTCGAGAGTGCCCCCGTGTCCTTGGAACTGGAAAAACAACCACCCTCATCCCATTCATACAAGCACCTCCCAATGCAACAAGAACTCGTAAAACACTTCCCAACTGAACAGCAACCTTCGTCATCCGGCGGCAACACCCCCACAATGGCTGCCAAGTCAACATGAAGAAAGAGGCTCTGCGGAAAAGGGAACATGGCTGCTCTCGCGGCCGTTGCCTCGGAGCATCTCCGGCCACTCGGACGTTGAGCCTCGCGCCCCCATTGAACCCCACGCCGCGCCAAGCCACGCCACGCCGCGCTTGCGGCTGCGGGCTTCATCAATTCGATTCGGTTGAGCCGCCGAGCGTATGGCCGAGCAATGCAGTGACATTTCTTATGTTTCATTCAAAATGTCTTCTCGCCCAAGGTAGCTAGCTGACTCTACATTTGATTTCGCGCTGATTGATAGAGAGGAGAGAGAGAGAGAGACTCTAGTTTCCACCTTCGAAACTCCCGACGTTGTCTCACCACCCACTCATTATTATTACTTCTCAACCACTACCTCTACACTCCAACAACACCCCATCCTACCATCCACCCGCATCGCCATCACATGGACAGAAACTCCTCCACACACTCCGCCGGCCCGATAAACCCAACATACCCATCCGGCCTCACAACCACCATCCCCGCCCCCTTCTCGAACCCGTACCGCTTGTGCAGCACGCCGTCAACGTCCTTGTACCCCCCCTTGCCGACCGTCGCCCCGGCGTAAATCTTGATAACACCGTACTCCTTGAACCGCCCGTCCGTGACAATCTTCTCCTCCGCCTTGTCCAAGCTCTCCTCGCCGTCGTCCTCGTCCGCCTCCGCGCCGCCCGCAAACAGGAAAATCGTATGGTCCCGCGCGCTCGTCATCCCCAGCAGCCACTTGCCCTTCTCGCCCCTCTCGTCCGTGACCTGCCCGTCGGGAGCCCGCCATCCGCCCTTGACGGGGCCTTCGAACCCGACGGCCGTGCACACGATGGAGCTGTTGCGGTACTTGATGGCCATCTGTGAGATGAAGGTGTACACCGCCAGCCGACGCGCCTTGTTGCCCCAGATCCGGGGTGCAATCCACGGCATCAGGCAGTTCCGCACTGTCGTGAAGATTGTGTTTTGCGACGACACCATGTTGAACATGCGATCCGTGCCCGTGAGAAGGTGCTGCCCGACGGGGTGACGTTCCTCGTTGTACGTGTCCAAAAACGCCTCCTCTCTCTCGCCGCGGATCACGGCAGCCAGCTTCCAGCCCAGGTTGATGGCGTCCTGGATCCCCGTGTTCATCCCCTGGCCCCCGGCAGGCGAGTGGATGTGCGCCGCGTCGCCGGCCATGAACAGCCGCCCGTCGCGATAGTTGTTGACGGCGCGGCAGTTCCAGCGGAAGCTCGTGAGCCACAGCGTCTCCGCGATATCCGGCCTCGTCCCCGTCATCTCCTCGACAAACGCCTCAATCTCCTCCCGGTCCGGGTCGCCCTCGCGCTTGCTCCGCGACGACCTCTCGCCGACGAAGCGCACGACGCCGTTCTTGAGCGGGAAGACGACCATGACGCGGCTGCCGAGGAAGAGGGAGACGCGCTCCGCGTCGTAGCCGTCGCCCCGGAGCCGGGCGTCGCAGAGCATAAACTGCTGCGGGTACTGCGCGCCCTCAAACGTCACGTCGGCGCTGTGCCGCACGACGCTGTGCGCGCCGTCGCACCCGACAATGTACTTTGCCCGGATCACCTCCTTTGCCGCGCCGCTCCCGCTCCCGCTCGTCAACGTGGCGCTCGCGCGGACGCCGTCCTGCTTGATGTCGTCCGCCGACACGCCGCGCTCGACGGTGCCGCCGTAGACCTCGAGCTGCCGCAGCATGGCGGCCTCGGTGTCGACCTGGGAGATCCACAGCGGCAGGCCGAAGCGGGTGTCGTCGAAGCCGAGGTCGTCAAAGGTGCCGGTGATGAGGTGGCGCTTGTTGCAGTAGATGTTGATGCCGGGGCCGGCGGTGCCCTCGGCGAGCATGGACTCTGCGATGTCGGGGTGGCGGTGGAGGAGCTCCTGGGAGCGCGGCTGCACGGCCAGGGCGCGGGACTTGTCCGAGGGGACGGGGGCCTTGTCGATGATGCGGAAGGGGATGCTCTGCACCGAGAGTTCGAGTGCGAGGGTTAAGCCCGTCGGGCCGGCGCCGATGATGAGGACGTCCGTTTCGCTCATTTTCGGGAGTGCTACTCTCATGGTTGAAGATGTCGATGGCCTTTTCTCTGTGGGCGAATGCATTGATGGGCTTGGATTTTCTGCGTAGACAACGCAACGGCAGCGGATGCGGGTATGTCGACGGGGAGGCGAGGGCGCGGGGTTGGTGGGACTCGCCAACTTAAATAACATCTTTTGCCCGCTTACTCCTGGCTTGATCCGCCCTGCGGAAACATTCAGGGAACTCGATTTGTCTTCACAGAGGACCAGAGTTTCCATGCCCGACATCAGCTGAACGAACAGGTCGGACACGTCGCCTTCACAAGCGCCCCTGCTTCTTCACCACCGCGTACGTCACGCCCTTGACGGTATGTTGGGGTAGGTGTCCGCGGGCGGGAGGTAGACCAGGATAGCAACGTCTTGGACGATAGTATGCAGGGTTGACCACAGATTGCACGTCAAGGACAGGTACGAACGCCGGGGCCGGATTGGGGCCTGGCGAATGCGGGGCGGTTAGGTTGTGGCATCCTGTCGAGTGGTGATTGCGATACTTTGAGTGACAAAGTGTAAGTGGTTGTGCCTGGCCTTGGCTATCCTCTCTGGGCCTGTTTGAGACGATGGATGCGTTGGCTGGTGTGGTTGGCCTTGGCTTGTAGTCGGCGGGCGGGAGTTGCAGCTGGGATCCCTGGGTGAAGGGGGTCACGTGAAGGGTTGGAGATCAGTGGTTTTGACTTCCGGTGGTCCCCCGCCGTTGTGGTCACCCGGTTTTGGCGGGAAAAGGCGCCAGGCTTGGGTCAACAAGGATCATCTGATGGCTCCAGCAATGATTTCGCGGAGGGTTTTTTTTGTCGCTCTCGGGCACTAAAGGAATTGAGTATGAATTCGAAGTAGTGTCCCGTCACGTTGGTCTCTGTAAAGCAAAGAAGGTCAGCATTCATGCCTTTGAGGGTTTGCTTGAAGTGTTTCAAGACGCATGTATCCAGAGGTTGTTATGTGGCCCTTGTGTGTTGGGCACAATGCGTCTGATGTTGTTCCTGGGAAAAGTCAAACAAAAAGACTCTGATGAATCCTCCAGATAAGGGCCATTGAGAGCTCATCACCCAGGGTCTGCCACTCAATTCACAGGACGAACAGTTCGGGAGGAATTGCTCTCGGCTCCGACACTGATGTAGATGTCCAGCTCCAGCACTTTACTCTGGCGCCCCAGAAAGTCTCGACTGAATGGCTCAATGCAGATTCGAGGTCGACGCTGATTGGGTCGTTGCGCATATCCATCGACTTCCCAATTCGGCATTTCCGAAGACATTTCATTGGTCTACAGCAATCTCCATCTTGAGGCCCCCTGCATGCCCGCCTACCACCCGAGTTTCTCTCCCGCCAACGTTATTCTCACTGCAGATGATTTTGCTTAGGGGTGCAAACGACTGCTATGTGATATCAGCTGCAGATGCGAGTCAACGACTGCCATGTATTCTGCCTCATAAATCTCCTACTCCACCTTTTCTTACTCGGTCTCAAATTGGAAAATCGACCCCTACATATCCCTTCCTAGCAGTCTTCGTTCTTCACCGAAGGGTTGAGGACTCCAAGCCGTGTGAGCGACAAAACAGGAGGGGAAGCAAATGCAGAATAAACATTTAAGAACAGCAAGGGCATAGCTTCACGTCGCTTCCTATTGAGCGCTTGGGGCTGTGCCTTCCCATAACTTATTTTAGATACCTTCCGGCGTTCGCAATGAGTCGTCGCTTCCAAGGCCTCTAAGTGGCTGCCCACGTCTCCCCAGACAGGGCCTTCGCCAATGTCCAAATAATGTCTTTCTGCATCTTCCACCTACCCATCGTCCTCATCGTCCCAACCTCCCAATCTTTTATTAGCACACTGATCCCGGCCGTCACGCTCGTTCCGTAATTTAAGACCATTCGTTATGAATCACCACTGCGTGTACTCCAGCATCCACGACCTCGCGGACGCGCAACTATATCATTTCCAAGACATTTGGTTCGCTTTACAGAAATCATTTCCGATTGCGAATTTCACAAGTAGTACCATCAACAATCTCTGGGACTTTGTCTTTGCTGAGGGATGGAACTCGACTCACCCCGATCGAGAGCCCTGGTCCCCGGCACCGCCGCCGCGTGACGTCAACTCCCTGCCCGTTGGAAAGGTTACCAAAAATGGGACGGTAAGACAGTCCCCCATGTGTAGCCTCTTGGTGTGTCTCTTCATTCTATGGAGCGCTGACAAGCCCTCCACTGAAGACTAGGCCCGTGTACCTCAGGGTGGGCGTGAACCACAGAGCCCACACCGTGAATTATGATTATATTTATAGTGACGACATACCCGTCGATACCCACTCTCCAGGATTCAAGTTCGATCAAGGCTTCGACCGATGTTCAACAACGACAGCCCGCGCCATCATCCATCACGACATAGTCGAGAAAGACTGGTACTGGAAATACAACGTCCGGATGGCCGTCTATCATATGCGCATGCGCCTTGCGTGTTGGACACGGGTGGGCTACACTCGCTAGTTGTGCGTATTGCAAAGTCCCGGGACTCTCCGAACATTGCGTTTCTGGCCTCTGAACAAAACCCTCGTTATTTGCAACTTGGACTGCACTGGACTCCACCACATGTTATTGGTCGTCGACGAGACAATGAAAGCTCGGCCTCAGCAGTCTGCGCTTCTACAGGCCTGGGCCCTGCCGTCCTTGGGTTTGGACTTGACTTGGAAGTAAGCTACCCAGGCTGTCATGACATGTTTGGATCCAAACGTTGGCCAAGGCATACCAGGATAGTGAGTAGCAGCGTTTGCGACTTAGTATGAGCTTTTCGAATTTTCTAGGCAGGGAAGAGAACTCAGGAGCGCCTTTTTACTGTTAGCTACACCAGCGTCCGATATTGTACATCGAGCATCTTCCTTCCATTTTGTTCCGCTTGTTATTTGTATGTGAGCTTTTCGCATCCATGCTCGGATATCATTTTCCTGGAATATTTCAATATCGGCGCGACCAAGTACGATAAGCATAGACTTCGCTCTCAACGTCGAAGATTGGTATGAAGAAGCCCGTATTTTCTAGTCCCAACCAGCTCGTACGCTGACATGCAAGTCGCGCATAGCGACATTAGGACTTTTCTTCTTCGTCTCTCCGGATCGGCGAAGCTTCCTGTAGATCGTGTGTCCAATATTTCCAAGCCAAGATGGCATGTACCGCAGCCTTTGCGAGGACCGGAAGTAAGTGCTCCTGGCAAATGAGGTACTTATCGAGTACGCCATCTTTCCTCATCAAGTCTATAGAAAACCTCGCTCCAGAGGGCTGGAGTGAATCGTCAGTGATCTTTCCTCAGCCATATGAGACTCTCGGAAAAGGCTCCATCAACGAACCTTCTTGGCTAGATTGAAGTGGTGAAACAGCATCACAACCTGCGAGTTGCTGTCGTCCCACACCTTGAACTGTGTTGCTTTCAGTCATTGCAAAACTTCCATCACAACCTTCAACAACGTCGAGGCTCATGATTGAAGAAGTCTTACATCCTCGGTCCTGTACAGTACGGGGTTTCCGTCCTCTTCTTTCCACTCCGTGAACTCTGGCGACCCAACCCAGCTTCGCCGGAACTTCAACCCGATCTTGACGGCGTCGATGGTCTTCCGCTCTTGGCGGTGGAGAAGAACGTCAGCAAGCGAGTGAAAGCGTGCTAGAATTCTTCAGGTTTAGAAACCGGGCGTCTTGCCACATCTTGCCCCATCCGACGATGCGAGCTGCAAGACCAAAACGGGGTTTACGTACCGATAGGTCCCCCCACCGGATAACGCTGAATCTCAATCTCGAATTGCGGATCCCCCCTCGCGAGAACCTTTGCGTATCGCTGAAAGCCCTTTTCGGATTCGCTTCTTGTGAAGATGAGGGATTCGCTTGAGCCGTACGGTAACATTGGGAAGTAGATGAGCAGTAATGCGTCGTCTAGGTTCAGAGGGTATTTCTCTGCCACTGCGAAGATGTACTTTTTGCCGCGTCGTGAATTGAGAAATCCTGTGGCGGTGTCGGCTTCTTTGAGTCGGAAGACCCCTCTGTTTGGGGTTTTAGTTACGGCGCTCGTTGCGGTGCTGGTAGTCGATGGACTTACAGTCGACTCGGTATCGAAGGCTGGCCCATGTTCAGTCAAGATGTCTGTCTTCGACAATCTGATACACCCAATTCAGTCTTTCCACTGTTCTATCTCTATAAGTTCCATACACGATGCCATTATCAGGTGGCCCAAGTCAGTCTTCCTCGCTCTTATGGTCTGCGAAACAGCGCTAGTGTGCGGCTGACACGACCCAGTTGAGCCATGCTGCCCCAAAAGAATGCCTTGCCAAGACGCCGTTCCGCATTCTACGTTTCTTCTCAGCCAGTCATTCCCGCATGTGTTTTGCACTAGGTAAACCGCTGGACTGCCGCGACTGTGTTGAAGTCTTCTGTGCGCAGTGATTCCAATGACTCTATATCTTTTCGGTCTCGCTCGCAACCTGAGTCAATTGGCAACGGGGCTGGTTTCGATCGACAACTGGTCTTACCCCAATTCGTGAGCCTAATTGGCGGGCCTACTCCGAGAGTCACTTATGGTCCGTGCTATAGGCTTAGTGAACGCCGTCAGACTTTGAACAACTCAAGATACCCTCTCTGCCAGTTGAAATTACAGCTCTTGCTTACAACGCACAACAGTGCTCTGGCAAGTCTTGATTTTTTTTGGACCAAGATCGTGTATCTTGGCATTTATGGAAGATGGCTCAGCGTATATCCGAGCCGAGGTTACAGTACCCTCGCGAATTGGCGGGGGTTGGTATCCCAACTCGGAAGTTGCAACTTCCAACCAACAAACAGGCCACATTCGCACAATTGTTATCTTGTCAACCAACAGGAATGTGACTGAAAAAGCGGAGAAAACGTATAAAACCAAGGGATTTATTGCGAAAGAGGGGTAAGGTGAGACGATCTCCTTTCATATTGCACTACAACCGTGTCCGCCAGTTTCCATCGAGCAGCCAGGATACCACAACGCCCGCCACCAATCGACAATGCAACAACAGGAGGAGAACCAGCCGCCTATTGAGGCAGAAGACTCTGGAGTTGACGATGCTTCCTCGGTCGGAGGCTTCTCATCAGACGAATCTAGCGCTTCGCTGAGATCGAGCATTCTAGACTATCGCCGCGAGAACGGTCGGACGTACCACCGCATGAGCGATGGGAAATACGCCCTACCAAACGACGACCGAGAGCAGGAGCGCCTCGATATGGCGAATCATATCTGGATGCTCGCCATAGACGGCGACTTTTGCAAATGCCCCAAGAACGACGGCACCACGGCCAAACGCGTCCTCGACCTCGGAACGGGAACGGGAGTCTGGGCGCTCGACTACGCCGACGCGCACCCTAACGCCATCGTTCTCGGTGTCGACCTCAGTCCCATCCAGCCCCAGTTCGTGCCTCCCAACTGCAGCTTCGAGGTGGACGATTTAGAAAAGGAGTGGACATGGTCGAAGCCTTTCGATTTCATCATGTCCCGGAGCATGATGGGAAGCTTTTCGGACTGGGAAAAGACGATTGCCCAGGCCTATGCCCATCTCGAGCCTGGCGGCTACTTTGAGATCCAGGACACCCTCTGGCCTCACATTTCGGACGATGGCACGCTCAAAGAAGACTCTGCGCTGTACAAGTACGGACAACTCATGGTCGAAGCGTTTAACAAGATGGAGCGTCCCCTCGACATTACAAATCAATTCCCGGCGATGATGGAGGCGGCCGGCTTTGAAGAGGTGACCAGAATCCCAGTCAAGTTCCCTGCATCGCCCTGGCCAAAGGATAAGAAGCTGAGGGAGATTGGCGAGTGGAGCCTGGAGATGATGCTGCCCGGCTTGGAAGGCATGACTTTGGGACCGTTCACTCGTTTCTTGGGCTGGTCTGCCGCGGAGACCATCGTCTTCTGTGCTGAGTTGAGGAAGGACCTGCTCAACCTCGACATTCATGCCTACTGGAACGGATCTGTCGTATATGGTCGGAAACCGTTGGAAGAAGAAGAGGAGGAGGAGGAAGAGGGATCTGATTGAAGCGTTAGGGGGTAACAATGTTAATACCAGCGAAGGATTGAGTGTAGCCCGATTTCGTAACAAGGCAAGAAGTATTCACACATGACGAAGTAGAGCCCAGCGTGCCACCTCGATGACGATTTCGAAAGTCGATACAAATGAGAGACAAAGAAAACCTTTTCAATTCGTCAATTCTTTCTACTTTCCTTGTTAAATGAGCTCTAATCCGACCGGAAAGCCCTCATATGAAGATGCATGTAACTCAGGAAAGATCTAGTGATAGAGTCTCATATTACAACAGCAGCTGAAGATGCTGCGAGCCTTTGCATGAGGGCAAGATGTTAATCCACCAAATACATCCGGGGTATCCAATCTGATGTTTCTCTCTTCAACGGATCAAAGCAAACAGAATTAGTCTATATCTCTTTTGAGATCAAGGGGTTTGAACGACAGCGTTTTGCCTCAATCATCTGGCTTATCACTACTATGCAGAAAAAAGGTATTGTTTCTGGCACTCAGCTTGAAATTCCTGGATGGGTATAGTTACCGTCTAGGTTACCTCAAAATGATTTGTCTCAGCCACTCGAGCACACCGTTTTTGAGCCCAAGTATTAAGCGTTCTCCAAGAACGGCGTATGAGCAGCAATAATCAGCCACATGATGCCAATTGCATCGGCCTTGCTGTGCTGCCCTGAGAAGACCGAGTTTGAGAAAGATGCCTCCTTCAGGCCCCATGCCTTCAAAAGGAGCACTACCATAACTAAAGTGTTTTGCAACCGCATTTTGGGCAGGGCAACTTGCACCAAGGATCCAGTAGGTAGAAATATCCTTGCAGCTATCTGGCATAAAATTCAAGCCCGCGTCCTCATCGAACTGCGATCAACACGGCGTAAAAAAACACCAGCCCCGTCAACCCTCTACTCGTTCTCGCAGAATCCAAACACACTCCATTACCATACTATCTTCTACTCCCAAGCAAGCTCCCAAAGCAGTTAAAAACTTTCGTATAACGCGTGAAACTTGAATCGGCTTCGAACACATCTCCCGTAGAGCTCGAACCCAGACTTCCAAACCCCTGAACATCTATTTACGTCCTCCAATTTCCTCCGTCCTCCTCCCAAGTCTCAAAGCACTCTAAATGTATTAATTCTCCTCTAAATGGGGTAAATGTCTAGTAGATAACTACTGATTCCATCCCCAAATAAGACTACCCCAACAACCTTTAAGTGCGACCCTCAACTTCCATGACCTCACACAGCATCTTCACCGTCCTAGGCCATCTTGCACCAGACAACGACACCGCAGCACCTTGTTCCATCAAGAAGAAAGAGTTCAAACGATTGGTTTTACAAGCTGTTGATATCCCATTAGATTTCATCAGGCTGTTACGCGGTATGACACCTTGTTGACGTGCCCATCCCATATGAGTAAGTGCCAGAAAAACGGGCTTGTATTCATAACAGACTCATAAGAAGACAGCCGTTGCCAGTCAGCCAGTTAGGTATTATTTCAAGCACGAAAACAAAGAACCATCTTAAGAAAAAGAAAATACTAAGAAAAAAAAATGAAAATTCTGTCCATGGCATTATGTAGGACCATGAGTCAACATTCATCTTTGCCAGTCAAGGCTAGAACTATACCCCTCGGCTATCGACCACAACGGACACTATTGAGAGCTGTCCCATCGCTGCTCCCTACAGCGGTCCGACAGAAACTTGATTGTAAAGAACTCGGATGAAGGGTCCGTCTGCAAAAACCCCAAGCTACCAGAATTTTCCCAAGACCCCAACGCCGAAGCGAACATAGCCCGTCTTCCTAGAACACAATCTAGACCCACGCACAGCCACATCAAAGCCATACGACGCATCATCCAACCCCATCTCACCTCACAACCCAGCAGCAAGCGTATACCCCCCATCAACGGCAAGCGTCTGCCCATTCAAGTACTGATTACACGCAAAAAACAGCACAGTGGACGCCATATCCTCATCTCTACCGGGCCGTCCCGCAATCACCTTATCGGCATACTTGTCCTTTGGGAGCTCGCTCTTCTGCTCCTCGTCCGACGGTGTCTTGGTCGTCATCTCGCTAGGGAACACCCCCGGCGCGATACTATTGACGCGGATCTTGAGCCCGTTGGACGCGATTTCCTCGGCGAGCATGCGGTTCACGTGGATCGTCGCCGCCTTGGACGCGTTATAGGAGAAGTGGTGCTGCGACTTTTTAATCATGCCGCTGATGCTGCTAATGTTGATCACGGTGCCGGACCAGCCGTGGTGAGCGTCTGTGGATTTCTGGAGGAGAGGGAGGAAGCTTGCGGCGACGTAGAAGACGGCGGCGACGTTTGTGCGGTACGTCTCGGTCCAGTCCTCAAAGTCTGCCGAGTCCGCGTGGAAGAGGCTGGCCTTCATGTCCTGCGCCGAGTCGCTCTCGACCTCGAGGGCTGCGCTGGAGACGCCGGCGTTGTTGACGAGGATGTCGAGGGAGGATTCCTTCGACGCGATGTCCTTGTAGAGCTTGTCAATGTCCGACTTTTTGGTCACGTCTGCGACGATGGGGATGATGGAGCCGGGGATGTTTTGGCCGTAGGTTTGGACGGTGTTGTCGAGCTTGGCTTGGTTGCGGGAGGTGATGTAGACTTTTGCGCCGTTGGAGGCGAGGGCTTGGGTTGCCATTAGGCCTATGCCTGTGCCGCCGCCTTAAAGAATGGTTAGATGGTGGCGTGAGAGGGGGAGGGGTGGGGGTCGTACCGGTGACGAGGGCGACTTTGCCGGATAAGTCAAATAGGTGGTTGCGGGTGAAGAGACTGTTGCCCTCCGGGCCCGAGGTCTTTTGGCCGGTGGACATTTTGACTTGATTCGGGTATGTGTGAGATTGTTGTACGTCGTGGGTGACTGGGCGTGATTATAGAAGAAGAGATTGTTGTGCGTGCTCGTGCTGCGAGGTGGACGGGAATTCTCAAGTTGTTCGCGTTTGCGTTGGTGTTGGGAGACTGTTAGGAAGGGGCGAAGTTGAGTGCACAAGGTGGGAGCTATATAACCTCGCACCGAGATGACGAATGAATGGAAAGTAAACGGGATGATCTCATAGTTGTCTATGGTTACAAGCCCAGATGCAAAAGGGGCGTCAATTGCAATAAGTGATACAGCAGGACCACTCGCCTCTCACGCAATGCAATGCACGAGCGGAAGCAACAAGCCCCAAGCGGTACTTAGAAGGAAAGCAGTCCTGTCAGGCTGTCATCGAGTCCTACGGTAAAGGTCGACATGGCCACAAATGAAATAAAATGCACCTTGGGAACGGTACGTATCGGAACAGTAGCAGCTGCGAGAGAAGGGCACTCGTGCGGAATGAGGTCAGTGAAGCCTCCATGACGACACCCACATGCAGTCAATCCCTGGGCCCGCGGAGGGAAACGTCCGGCGAGAGCTCCGGGCGCGGGGGGAAATGGAGCTAGAGCTGTGGTCGGGGCAAGGTTAAGGTACCTTAAGCCGACTCCTACCCCGCTAGTTTAGCATTCCAGACCGGCCCAACGCAACTCACCGAGCACACCTCACCTCACCTTACTCACCCCACTTGAGCCTCTTCAATCCGGCACGAATCGTCGTAAACAACACCACATCATCGTCAACGACATATCCGTACTTGGTAAGCAAAAACACAACAGTACCGTCCATCTGCGTAGGAACAAGCCATCTCGGGGTATTTATTCATACAAAAATTAATACAAACCTCGCACCCCGGATCTGGGGCAACCATCATCCACCTCCCACCTCACCGAACAGTGATGTGTTGTATGGCACTCTTCCACTTCTGCTCATCGTTCCTGTGACCTCCACGTTAGCCAAACATCACCCTCTCCTCTTTTCCCTAATCCAGGAAGAAACAAACTTACTTGTCAAACTTGAGAATCCTCCCCAAAACAGGCACAAGCTGCTCCCGCAACTTATTGTCCTTTTGCTCCAAAAACTGCAACATAATCGTCTTGAGATACATCGTATCCGCAGACACCCCGCCCCCGCCCCCGGCCCCGGCGCCAGCCCCCGCCGGCCCGCCATTCAACCCAGACCGGTTCGAATCCATCGAGCTCCGCCCCGACGTGACGCTCGCCCCCAACTTGGTCTGCACCGTCTTGAGCTCCTTATTGACCTTGTCGAACCGCTGCTTCGCCTCCTCCAGCAGCCGCCGCAAATCAGACTTTTGCCTCTCCGCGTCTCGCACCTGCTGCTCCGACGCATCCAACGTCGTCCGCAGATCCGACACGGCAGACCGCATCTCCTGGACCTCGGCCTCGGCCTTCTCCTCCACGCTCTCCAGCTCCTCCCGCCGCTTCCTCCACTCCCTCTCCCGCAACTCCAACTCGTCCCGCTCCGTCGAAAGCGTCTTGACATCCCTCTCCAGGTCGCGAATCTTCTGCTTCAGCTCCTCCGTCTCCCTCGTCTTGCGCCGCGCAAGCGTGCTCGACTCGTCCTCCATCCGGTCCCGCTCCTCCATCGCCGCCTCCATCCGCGCCCGCATCTCCCGCACTTTACTATCGGCGCGCTCGTCCACATCCGCCAGCAGCCCGCGCATCCGCTCCGCCTCGCGCGACCTCTCGGACAGGTGCTTCTGGATCTCGGCCAGCTCCTCCTCGAGCGACTCGGACTGGGATCGCGCCTCCTTGAGCTGGATCGTTAGCTCACCCGTCTGGTCTCGCATGCTGCCCAGCAGGCCCTGCGCGTTCGCGTACTGCTGCGTCTTGAGGTCCGCCTCCTCTTGTAGAGACTTCTTCTCTTTTTCGAGCTTCTCCACTTGCTCTTCGAGCTCTTTGACTCTGGGCCGGAGTTTGTTGGCATCCTCCTGCACCCTTTGCAGCTCCCGGGCCGTCTTCTCCTCCTTGGCGGCGAACTCAACCTTTTCCGCCTCGGAGCGACGCAGGTCGCGAGCAGACACCCGCTGCGCATCCTCAAGACGGAGCTTGTTGTTCGTCTCGGCCTCGACTTTTGCACGGAGTGCCTTGATCTCGGTCTCGCGGTCCGTCGCCAGACGCTGAGCTCTCGTCACTTCCGCCTTGAGATCCTTCTCCTTCTTCTCCAGGTTGCGCAGCTCCGCGTTCTTCGCCGTGAGCTCCTCCTTGGTCGTTTTGAGCGCAGCAGAGTCCTGGCGCAAGCTCTTCATCTCGGGCTGCGCCTTTTGCAGAACCTCACGCAGGTCGGTGAGATCCTTGTATCTGCTCTGCGCCAGCTGTTGCGCGGCGCCGAGGTCGGATTGCAAGGTCGAAGACTTGCTCTTGAGATCCTCGTACTCGCGCGAAAGGTTGTCAAACTCGCTCTGGAGCTTCTCCGTCGCCTTTGCGTCGTTTGCCGAGGACCCGAGCTCCTTCTCGAGCTCCTCGATCCGCGTCTGCAGTGCCTTCTTCTCGGCCTCGAGGTTCTTGATCTTCTCCTTGGCCACCACGTGCTCCTGGCCAATCTCAGTGACCTCGTCGCGCAGCGTCTCGATTTCCTCGCGGAGATCCTCCTCCGTCTTGCGCTGCTTCGTCAACCTCTCAATCTGAGAGTCCTTTGTGGTGACTTCCTCCTTGAGGCGGGTAATCTCCGCTTCCAAGGCATCCGTGTCAACCTCCTTGGCCTCCTCGGCTGCGGGCGGCGTCGCAGTTCCTGCGGTGGTGGCCGTGGCGGCGACGGCGGCGGCAGCACCCCCCTTACCCTTCTTCTTCTTATTCTTCTTGGCATTCTTTGAAGCACCCGCAGCACCTCCAGCCGCAGGCGTCTCGGTTGGCGCAGGAGTTGCAGGGGTTGTGGGAGTAGCAGGGATAGGCTCGCTCGCCTGCTTTTCCAGTTGCTTCGTGAGGTCGTCAATCTTCTTTTCATTCTCGGCCTTGTCCTTCTTGAAGGTCTCAATCTGGCCGTTGAGAGTCTTGATGTTCTTCTCCACGTCCGCCTTGGCAGCCTCCACTTCCTTGACGCGGGCTTCCTCCTTGTCTGCGCGTGCGTTGGACTGGGTGAGCTTCGACTGCGTCTCCTTTGCGTTCTTCTTGGCAGATTCGACTTCGCCCTTGAGCTTGGCTTCGACCTCCTTGAGCTGCTTCTGCGAGGCCTCGAGGCGCTCGGTGAGAGACTTGATTTCGTTATTCCTCGCCTCCAGCTGGGTCTCGAGAGACGTCTTGACAGCAGCGACATCACGCAGCTCGCCGGCCTCCTTGGTCACCTTGTCGAGGTTCTCAGTGAGGTCGGCGCTGGATTCCTTGGCGGAGGCGAGCTCGGCCTTGAGCGAGTCAACCTCGGCCTTGAGCTCCGCCTTGACGGTATCCACCTGGGTCTTGAGCTTCTCAATCTCCTCATCCTTGGCCGCCAAGTCAGATTCGTACTTGGGCGCCTCCTCGTCGTAGGAGAAGAAGTCGCCTGCGGCCTCGTCCGGCTTGTCCGCCGCGGGCTCCTGGGCCTTTTGCTTGGGCGAGAAGATGCCGAGAGCCTGCTGCAGGGGCGACTTGACGCCGCCGTCGTCCTTGTTATCCGCCGCGGCGTCCGCCGTGTCCTTGGATTCGTCGTGATGAGGGGCGGCTGCCGCAGATTGCGCCGCCTTCAACTCTTCGACCTCCTTCTTGAACCTTTCCACATCCTTCTCGGCCGCTTCCAACTTCTTCTTGAAGTCGTCCTTCTCGATCGACACCCTCTTGTACTCGTCCATAATCATCTGCTCCTTCTGCTTCAAGGAGTTGAGGTACTCGACGAGGGCTTCAGGTTCCCGAATCGAGCCGACGCTCGTGTGCTCCTTGAGCACCCGTTCAAAGGGCTCGATGGACGTGGCGCGGCCGTGGGCGATTCGGTAGGATCGGAGGAGCTCTACGCTTCTGTTAGTGATGGCGTGTCCGCGCGTGTGTAGATGGTCAACGCACCAGGGTACGTCTTCTCCAGCTTCTCCAACTTGCGAAGCTTCACCTTGACCTCGGGCGACGGTTCCGCCGCACCAGCTGGCGGTGCACCAGCCGCACCCTTCTCTTGCTCCTTCTCTCCATTCTGCCCCTCCTCCGCCTTTTCCTTTACGCTCTCTCCCCCCTTTTCCATATTGTCGCTGTCCTTGTCTGCAGCTGGCTTCGGTGTCCCCGCGCGGCTCGGTTCCTCGCTGTCGTCGAGCGCAAACGCCGCCTCGAAAACAGCCGGGTCCGGGTTCGAAGCGCTACCGCCGTCGTCCTTGGCGCCGGCGTCCGCCTTCTTGGGGCGAGGTCGTCTCGCGGGCGACTGGTTGCTTCTCGAGGTGGAATCGGACCTGCGCGGCGTGCCGCCTCCTCCGCCTCCACCGCCCGGTTCGATGCGTTGTCGTGCTTGCTCCTGTCGAGCCTGTTCCTCCGCAATTGTCCGATCGATGGCGCCCTTGAGCCTCTGTTGGATTCCCATTATTGTCAGCGGGCCAGGCCTACAGGTGTTTAGGTGGAGAGAAGGCAACGAAGCCACCACGTGTGACCAAGATGAAGGTGCTTTTTTGGAAAGGGTCTGTGGAAAAGTGGAAAAGAAGAGGGTTTGGGAACCAGAGACGAACCTGGAACATGTTGCCGATCTAGGGATGATGGGATCACCCTGTGACCATGGACTCGTTTACAATTCTATCGGCGGTGCACCCAGGTGGTGCAGGGTAATGGAAAGTCTGAGAGCTATGCGCAATGGTCAATGTCGAGTATCAAAGGGCGCTGCATTATTGGTGGCGCAAGACGAATTGGAGGAAAAAAGGGAGAGCGAAGGGCTGAAGGGACGGCTGAATGGACCAGCGTTGGTTGTTTGGCTTAGCCTTTTTTTTGTGGTTTGGGACAGGCGTGGTGATGGACGGTCGAAATTCATCCAAGGGACCCTTCGTACAGATAGATACATGCGTTGAGTTCACAAGTGTCCTCAGCCTGAGGTGCTTAGCTGTTCCAGGCCGCTCCCAAGATTGGGGGGGGAGCACGGACCCGGCAGCAAGGTGACTGTGGGGACCTCTCTCCCTCTGCCGCGTTAGCGTTCAGCCTCACCACTAGCCACATTCGGCCCCACCGGTGCATCCCGTCCTCGAGCCTGGCCCGGGCCCCGGAAATGATGTGGACATGCGACACGCAGGTCGGGTGTGTGAGGGCAAAACGTCTACCGATATATTTTTCTATTTTGTGAGCTGCAATTATGTTATGAAATAATTGGCTGTAACTAAGTAGCCAGCAGTCGCGCATTCACCGCCGCACGTTTTTTACTTGCCACCCTTGCCCTTCCGTTTCTTCGCTGCCGCCGAACCGCCCTGTCGCCCCGTCGTCTTCGCGCCGCTGGGTTGCTCGTCAGAATCTTCCTCCTTGATCGAAACGCTAGACACCTCTTCATCAGACTCCTTGAACTCTTCGCCCGTGGGAACCTCCCGCGACCCCAGGACCTCCTGCATGATGCGTTTTCCCTCCTCCATTTCGCCGTTGGTGGCCCCGCAGCCCATGCACTTCCACGTGCCAATGTCTGAGAGGGCCTTTGTGCCCGGTGGGGCCTGACCGTTGACCAGCCTGCAATTCCTGCAGATGAGGGCGATCCGATTCTTGGACGCCGTCTCGTCTTCGCCGAGGAGGAGGTCCATGATGCGGTCGTACCAGTGCGACGAGCCTGGCATCCCCTCGGCCTGCGCAAAGTGCTGCGAGTGAGGCGGCGGCGGCGGAGGCAGGTGGGCGTATGCGTTGGGCGCGAATTCTTCCGTGGGCTCGAGGCCGTTGGGCGACTGCGGCGGACGCCCGGCTTGGAAGCCAGGCGGGGGACCTTCGCGGCGCTGGATATTGGCGGTGGGAGGGGGCGCCATGTTCGTCCGGCCGCTGGGTGTGGCGCCTTCATTGTGCCTGCCGCCCTGTTGCTGCTGCTGTCGCGACTTCTTGTCCTCTTCGCCCGCACTCTGCTTCTTGTTCTTGCCCTTGCCCTCACCGCCTCCGTACTTTTCGAGGAGCTCCAGGGTGGAGTCGTACTTTGTGGCGTCCTTGAGCTTCTGGATCGTCTTTGCGCGCTCGGCCTGCTGCTCCTTTAGGCGAGTGGCCAGGGAATCGATGCGGTAGTTGAAGACGGCCGTGACGGTGGTCCGCGTGAGGTAGATGCTGGGTGGATGGCATGGTCAGCATGACAACTTTGCGCAAACGGCTTTCCCGTGGAGGAAGGAACTACGAACAGGAGCGGGCCTCCCGCGACGCCGGTCCATTCCGAGGCGCCCATGTCGTTCCATCCTACGACGAGGAAAATGACGATCGAGTAGACGAGGTAGGCAAAGGCGAGGTACAGGGACCAGAGCACCCTGATGCGACGGGAGGTGGCTCGCGCGCCATCGAGTCTCGCCTGGGTGTCTGTGATTTTGGTAGACAGGGCAGAGAGGGTCTTCTCAAACGAGGCAGGGGAGGAGTCGTCGGCCTGCAATGTGGTCGGTCAGTCAATCCATTCGCCCAAGATGTCGTTATGCGCATGAAGAGAGGCGGTCCAGAGCCGTAGCAAACGTACCCTCCAGGGCCAGAAGGAGACCATGGCAAAAGATGATGCGGACACGTGCCGTGCTCAAAGCGGCATGGCCCAATTCGACGGAGCGGGCAGAAGAAACAGGAGAGAAGCCGAGACCACAAATGAAATAATGAATCGCGACGGTGCGATGTGATGCGCAATTCAAGATCAGACGAGCGAGCGCCGCCGGTGTGTGACCTCGTGGCAGCGACGGTCGGGAGGTGCGGGATCGGGGAGTCGGCTGGTGGCCTGGGAGGGGAGGAAGCTTCGCGACACAAACGGTGGCACAGAGAAAAAAAAAGAGCCTGGACCGGCCAGCTGTTACTTATGACGCAGCAGTGAACAGCTGCGCCGGGCGCTCAAAGAGGAAAGGCAAAGAGTCAGGTGGGTCTGGACTCTCCCTGCCAGCGAGCGAACAGCTGTTTTAGCGCCCTGACAGCTCCAGGATGAGGTACCTTGCCTAAGGTAACCTGTATCAGCCTCATTACTGATGCGAGCGTATACAGCTTTACCAAGGTAGAATTGTTTTGACTGAGACCAAAACTATTTCAAAGTAAAAGAAGCCAACGTTTGTTTTATGTTTGTACTTCTCGAGAGGATATACGTACGTTTTAGTCGAGATTTATGTAGCCATGTTTTGGAGCGCTCCTTGATATGCAAAAATAAAACAGAGTAATGCTGGGTCTTGAGGGAAAAGGTTACAAGGAAATAGCTTCTGCGTCAATATTGAACCCACAATCTGAACTACCTGATTTCTAATTGTAGAGGTCAATCAGCTTTTCTATTACCAGACTACCGCGGTAGACATGCTGGTGCTGGGGTGTAGTCTTGATTCAACACCATGGCCAGAGCTGATGGTGAGATCAAGTCTTTTACAGGTTGGCAGTCGTGGGTGTCATGATTACTTCGATTCTCCTGCGAAAGAACCCTCGAAGCCTGGGATCAAAATTTTAATCGATTTCTCATTTATGAGGTTCCAGATATTCTGTAGAGTTCATCATGCCTCGCGAGATCATTAACCTAAGGAACGAGTTTTGTATTCACGAATATGGAAGAATCATCTCGCCCGATTCCGAGCAAAGATGGCATTCTACTCAAATACGGCTTTGAATCGTCAATATCCATATGTTATCCCATTTTGAAAAGCAGAAATCTCCTGGCATGATCCCTCAGATCAAAGTTCAATGCAATTACACAGTAGATCCACAACCACAAGCATTCCAGACCAGAAAGGCACACGTGTGAACATAAGTCTATGAAAACTTCAGTAGCTAGACTGTCTATCAACGCCAACTCGCGCCATCACGGCGTCTACCTCCGACTTCAACCAAGGCACCTTACCCTGGGAACCACACCCCTCTCACCACATCCCCCTCCCCTCAACTCAGTAAATCCCACGTCTGCAAACTAACCTCCAACTCAACAATCCTCACAACCCTCCTAAGCACCTCCAACATTTCATCATTACAAAAAATCCTCACCAAACCCTCCTCACTCATCCCCCTCAACCGCTCCCTCACAACCCGAACAACAGCAGCCTCCTCAGCCTGCACCCCACCCCCTTCCTCAAACGGCAACTCCAGCGCCCTAGCCAACGCAGCCTCAAAATTCTCCCGTACAAGAACCTCAACCTCCTCGGTGATGGCAGCCATAACCTCCCGCTGAATCGCGCCCGCGAACCGCGCACGCTCGAATTCAAAGTTATCGTGGACGGCCTCCATCACCAGCGCGCGCAACGCACGCTGCTGCTGCTGCTGCTGCTGTTGGAGGTGGCGAAGCTCGGGGCTGGTCAAGGTACCGTTCTTCATGCGGACGTCGCCGTCTGTCTCGATGCTTCGTTTGGAGGAGCCCGAGGAAGAGGCGGTGGCGGGGCTGGTTTTCATTGCGAACTGGCGCACTCGAGTTACCGTGCGGTGGCTTTCTGGCGTTTGGAACACGTCTTTGTCGGGGCTGTCGGCACCAGCAGCGGTAACGCTGCCACGACTACTGCTACGACCTGATGAAACGGGTGATGTCGTCACGGGCGTGTGCGGATGACGGTATGGCGTCGGTGTCGCGGGGCGGGAGGCGACGTGCTTTGTCGGGGAATGGTCAATCTGTGCCATCTCCGCGAGGATCTCCGCCGAGCTGCGGGGGCGGAGTGTTTGAAGGGTGAGGGTGAAGGGCTGCAGGGCTTTGCGGTGCGTACCTTGGCTCATGTCGATGTAGAATGGGTTCGTGTCGATTATGGTGGCGGGAAGGATGTCCTGGTTTGGGGTGCGTACGGCTGCCAGAGGCCGTTCTGATTTGGATTTTCTGGGGGAGGCCATGATGGGCCTGTTTGATCTGGGAAAGTCAAGTGAGCAGCTAAAGGATTCTAGAATATGTGAGTTCTCTTTGGTGATGATGGGGTAGCAAGAGTAGATGGTTCATCTGCCATAATTCAACGTTGATATATATATATATATGCCTTAAATATTGCCGCTTCTGGATTTCCAGCAACTTCATCGTGAGTCCTGAGAGGCACGGAGTATGTCGATACTCATTCCAGTCATGATGCAGCGAGAAGAGAGCCAAGACGTACACATTCGTTGAGAAGTGAATATGGTGCACTCATCAGATCGCTTGATCCGTCACCTCTGACTTCCAACACTTTCAAGCCCATTTCCTCGACCAGTCAGATACCTCAGCTTGAGCAAGTTGCGCAGGCGAGGGCCGCGTCATATTGACAGACACTTTTGTGCAAAATGGAACAAAACGAAATAAAAAAGGTCCTGCAGGTCTTGACTCGTCACAAACCGTTGGAAGTTTGTCGCCAAACGTGTCTCCAAACGTGCCAACGTGCCAACGTGCCAATGTGAGCGAGCTGCAAGTCCTGCAGACCGACGTGGAGTGCGCCCCTCCTCCCCGTCCTCAGCGCCACATGAAAAGTTCCCCACGGTAAGCGGCGTTGGGATGTGAAATTGACAGACAAACATTGTGGAGAGGGAGGGCAAACTTCAAAAGTACAAACGACTTGTCTTGCCGTCGCATTCGCGCCGTTGAACTGTTTGTGCCCGTGACTGGATAAGGAAAAAGAGGGAGACGAAAAAGCAATTCTCCCGCAAGAAAAAGGGACGAACCGAATTCATGCGAACCACACCTCCTTGCCCTTGCGCGCGCGCAAGTCTGCCAACCCAGCCAAACGGCAAAAATAGTCCGCTTCCCCCCCCGCCTTTTTCTCTCTCAAGAGGGTTAGCCTCTCGGAGGACAAGAGCTGCAGGGTCCTCCTCCTCCTTCTCCTCCTCCCCTCTCAGCTCCTGCACCGAGGCAAGGTAGGGTTGAGTTGTCATGCAATGTACGTTTGCTGCTCAGAAGCACAGATCCTGCAGGTAGACCGTTGTGACCGCCCGGGAGGCCTTCCGCGAATGCGTTGCGCCGGCCGCCGTGGTGTGCGTCTGGTGTCTCGGACGGGGACGAGCATGCGTGCCCTTTTACTTGCTTATCCAATTCTTCTTCTTCTTCTTTTCTTTTTTTGAGGGCTGCCGTGTCGTGAGTGTGGAGGATTGACTGTTGTCGCAATTTTGGGTAAGTGATTCGCCCAACACGGAAGATCCTGACACTCTCTTCGGCCCTTCGGTTTTCTTCCATCGACGAATCGCAGAGAGAAACCGGGACGGCCGGACTACACATTCTTGTTCTTTCCGCAAACAAAACAGAGCGACGGATTGGAGATGGCTGCTGCTTGGCTCCCCAGGGAGACAGAAGGAAGAGAGAAAGGAGGTCCCGAGGTCCAACAGACGGCAAGTGAGAGCTTCGGGATTTGAATGTCCCCCGGCGGAAAGGGGAGGGCTGATTGACGGATGATGGCAGGATGAACGCACCCGCAACCGCAAGGCGCAAAAATGTGTCTCGCGGCCTGCAATGCGCCCCCGTTGCTCGCATGTATCGAATCTATTTGGATCAATTCGGATCAACAGAAGTCTCTTCTCGAACCGGCAGGCAAGCCGCAAGACAGGGAGGGCCAAGGCAGAGCTTAGTAAAGCAGGACTTGGCCTGGCGTGGTTTTCCCCTCTGCCGCCCACGGTCCAGACGGCACTTGCTTCGCATGCGCTGCTCGTTGCAGTAGTTCTCCTTGTCTCTCAAGTTACAAGTGAAAAGTGAGTTTTCACGTTGTATTCCCTCGGAGGGAGAGGTCGAATGCGACATGATGGGCATGCCGTGGCTCAACCCGCGAAATTGGGGGTTTCATGCTAAGAGAAAGCTGAAGAGCTGTGCATGTAAGTGAGGAGAAGCGAGTCCGTAGGATGGTGGCGGATGCAGGGAACAGGGAGGAGGCATTGGGTAGCCCGTCGCGGCGATCAGCGCTGGCAGTGGGATGGGAGGCACCCCGCAGTCGATCGTTGATGCACTCATGGTGATGGTGTCTGCCTGGACGAGTGAATCTGCCGTGATGTTGTTCATGCCGTGATGTGGCATAGGCAAAGAGGGATGCCGTCCAAGCATTCGAGTATCAAAAGTTTCGTCGCAACCTCTCCGTCGCATTTGCGCTTGCACATGTCAACGTCCGATTGAGGCATAAGGTAGCTGCGTGGGATCCACATGCAAGGCGATATCCACTGATGGGATGCCGTCACCCAGAGTGACATGCTGGCCTGGCACCTGCTCGGGTCGGGAAAAAAACATAGAAGGGAAAAAAAAGGGGGGGGAGGGGAGATAGGAAACAGGCAGGGAATAGAGCGGAAAACAAAAAAAAAAAAAGGAGAAAGAATGGAGAAAAGAAAGAGATGTTTGTGGGATGAATTGAAAAAACTCAAGAGGAGCACGGGAACTGTCGGGAGGGACCTGCCCAGACGTCCCGGAAGACGTTCGCCATGTACTCCTTCACCAACCCGTAGTGGAAAAGGTACTTGATGACTGCTGGCAGCCAAGTCGTCGCGTCCCATTGGCTCCGGTCTAGACCGAGCGGGTTCCTTCCCTCGTTCGATTCCCCGGGCGGATGGGCTGTTGGCAGCGACGTTCGACGCTGCAGGATTATCAGACCACCTTCCTTCCACCTTGACACCTCGACTCGTTCTTCACACACCCCCATCATCTAATCCATACGCCATCTATACACCATCCGTACACCATCCGTGCACCATTCATATCGACGCTTCAATCTCTCAACCTTGGAACCAACACTCGACGACGCTGCATCGCTGCAGTGCTGCGATGCTGCTTGGGCCCGCCGCTTCTTGTCCGCCATGCGCCCATTATGCGCTCCATAGCCTCCATTTCCCATCCCACGGGCCACAGCCAAGGAACCCATCAGACTCACTCAGCCTTAGCCTGAGCCATGGAAGTTGGCCAAGTTTCTAGGCTCTCCAATATCCATCTCTCCATCGGTCTATCCGTACTCAAGGACTCTACTGTCTGCCGTGCCTGTTGCATCGAGTACCGTCGATGCATGCGATGCGAGGCAATGCGAAGCGATTGCGGATGACTCGTTCCATCTCTTCCAGTTAGATAGTTCGCTGCCGTTGCGGCTTGCCGGAGACCAGTGGGCCCTCGCTGCTCCCAGCAACGTTCAACGCCCTGGACGCCCTGGACAGAAATCCTTCGGCTCCGTAACTCGGCATCCTCGGTGTCTAACTGAGCGACCGTCGGCCGCAAACGTCCGCTACTCTTTCACTTCAGCCAACTGCCAATCTCCTTGCTTTCCCAAGTACCTACCTAGCTGGGCGGTGGGAATACCTACTCTGTGCAGCGTATTCGTACTTGCACCCGCGTACTTGCACGCGCAATCAGGGCTCGGCACCACTACCCAGAAGCCAACCACTCGGAACGTCTGGGGCCTCGGGAGGGGGCCCATCCTGAGTCGCTCCGCCAGCACAGCGCAAGATAATCGACGTGTCTCTTGCCTCTTGGGTCCAGTGGCCCGGCAAGTCTCCAGGCATCTTGGTGCGCCCAGGAGATGGTTCGAATCCTTCGCCAGTTCGCCCTCCCTCTTCAGGAGCTGAGGACACTGGAGCTGGAACGCACTTCGCACACGGCTGCCCATCGAATTCAACTAGCAGTGCGGGTGGGAGGGGGACACTGGAGATCTCCAACGCCTTCTGCCTGCCCCGGGACCCCTGTCAAACGGTCACCTATCCGTACAGCCTACGGGAACGAGACGCAACGGTCGCCCAGGGAGAGCAGTGACAGCTTCAACAGTAAACGCGGGCCGAGGAGACAAGGACCTTCTTGATCTTCGACAATACACCGAGCGACAACGTCAGCCATGATCCCACCAGGGCCACCACTCTATCAATGCCCAGGGTGTCGTCATGCACGTCAGGAAAGAAACCTTTCTACGAATAGCAAGTCGCTACCCTCAAAGGCTCGAACATGCGGATTTGCCTTTTCCATCCAAACTTTGGCGGCCGCGTCCGCCGTTTACGTCCAATTAGGTAATGCCTGGCGTCCAAGTTTGAACAGCTTAACGACTCGACAGCTCGCGGTTCCGCACGCCCCCTCCCCCGTCTCGGTCAAGATGAGCGAGATCTTGGATATAGGCCCAATGGCCTTTGAGACTCTGCGTCTTGGGCGCATTTGTTGACAGGCTTGGGTTCCATTGGGGCGCACGGGGGGGTCCCTGAATCAGATTGCATTCCATACCCATCACATCCATCGCACGAGATTGAAGGCACGTTCTGCACGCCGCACCACGGCCAAGGTCGAAATATCCGGCTTTCAAGGTTTTTTCCCGGTCAATCGCAAAAGCAAAACAGATTGAGCCGCAAGCGCACACATACACTGTCTCCCGCCGTCACGTCCCATGCAAGATAATGACGGCGCTCTTGTCAAAATTACGCCCAAGGTGGCGGACAGTTTGCGATAATAGAAAAAGCGCTCGCTTCCGATGCGACCCCCCATGGCCTCATGGAAACCGTTTTTCCCCATTGCCGACTACGCAATTTAGTCAATATGGCCGTCTCGCAAAATTTGGCGACGGCTACGCAGTCCCGCCAAGCTCCCGGGATGCCCCTCTATCGTTCTATTCTCTTTCCATCTCGTCGTGTTCCCCTTCCGGGATTTGCACCAAGATACACCCCCTGACCCTGTCAGCCGCTCTTTTGTTTTTTGCCGCCTAGCTTGGTCTGGAATTAGGCGTGGGCGGGCGTGGGCAGCAGAAGCAGCAGAAGCAGAAGCAGCAGCAGCAGCAGCAGCAGCAAGCAGTACGGAGTAGTACCCCGTACCAACAACTCGGTCAACCCAGTCCGAGATTTCTCTCGTTTCGTTTCGCAGGTCAGGCATTCTACGAAAAACTTTTCTGCAAAGGACGGGAGTGCGTCGTTGGACTACCTACCCGCGTACGATTAATGCAGACGAATACAATGCAGGTCTTGCATACGACGACGTATATGCAGAGGAATGCTTCAGCATAGGGAGCACAAAATTCAATTCCCTCCCGAGTCCCTGCTGGCCCTGACATACGGGCGTGCAAAGTCGCATCCCAAGAGGCCGTTGGCAACACCGGACACCCACCCGCTCATGCGCTGCACCCGCACCGAGTTGTTCCCGGCGTCGAGACTGGCCGCCCGGTGGCTCTATTCCCAATGCCTGAGTCTCTCTTTTCCTCTTGGCCAATGTACAGATGGGGACCCTCCCTGGTGCATGTGTCAAAGAGACTCCCCACAGCACATCTTATGTCAATCATCAGTCTTCCCACCGTCGGATCCGTCCGCCCGTACCATTTGGCCCATGGGACTATGAGCCACCCCCCCCGGCACCACATCAGCCTCGGGGTCCTGGCCGTCGTACCTTTTTGTCACAATTCCTTTCGTCAACCACCCCGTACCCGTGGCTCTGTCGTATGACGAGCCCGTCCATCGCCAGTTTTGCTCGCCGTTCCAACCCGCGCCCGCCTTACCATCACCCCCATCCTCCTGGTCCACCCTACCCGCATCCCAGGCCGGAGCTCTGCCCCGGCTCATAGCCGGTTTCTTGGCCTCTGGCCCTCTGATTAATGCCTACACATTGTTCACTACCTTTTCTCGCCTTTAGTATATAGCTTTGCCGTCCGTCTTGTGTCTCCCCACCTGTCCACGCTCGAACCATCAGCCTCAATCAAAGTAACATCATATACAAAGTCCCCTCTCGCCATCGGCATCTCGACACACATATCTGAGCACCAGCCCTCGTCAACTCACTTCCCGAGTAACGCCACCTCTTCCATCTTCAATCAACGACCACTCCTCCAGACCGGTCCATCATCAGATCCCCCTCCCACACCCTAGTCAACTTACCCCTCCATGAATCGCACCATGGCTCAACAACAGTCCTTTGACTATTATCAAGTACCTCCGATGCCTCAATCAATGGTGTGTAGACTTTTTTCCCATTAAACCACCAATCAACCCTTCCCGTCTTACACGAGAGACTTTGACCAATTGGTATCTCTCTACCTACCTACCTCATTTCACACACCTGCACAACCAACTTCGTCTCGACGTTCAACTAACACCCTCCTCACAGAGCCCGCCCGAGCTCTCCCCGCTCTCCTTCTACGACAACCAGGCCGACTTCAGTGCCGACTCGGCCCCGTCCCGCGGCTCGCCCGTCTCGCCCGTCTTCCCTACCTCGTCCTTCCAGCTCCCCTCTAGCAGCGACTGGCCCGCCTACTTTGAGAAGCCCGCCCTCTCCCCAGACCTCGACGTCTTTTACGGCGAATCCTTCGGCAGCCCCATGTCCTTCCTCTCGCCCCAGAACCTCACCCTCAGCCCCAGCGCCAACCCGTCCGACCTCATGTCCGACGCCGTCGCCTTTGGCCGCGAGGGCATCAACGACACCCAGCCACTCTTCCAGAACCTCGAAGCACCCGCCCGCCCCCAGGCTCAACTTCAGCAACCCACAAAGTCCCCGCGTTCAGCCCGGACGACATCGACACCTGCTTCCCGCCCAGAGCAATCCCGCCCTCAACAACGACAAGAAACACAAACACAAACACAAACCCAGCAACAACAACGAACCTCTCCGCGCAACAACGACCTCAAGCGCAAATCTTCCGCCTCGTCCGCCTCGTCCCGCTCTGCCTCACCCGAGCCCCCCGCCCGCCGCACAAAACACTCGGAGCCCTCCAAGAACCCGCACAACATGATTGAGAAGCGCTACCGCGTCAACATCAACGAGAAGATTATTGCCCTTCGCGACGCCGTCCCCTCGCTGCGCTGCGTCGTCCAGCAGACGGAGAACCCGCAGGCCGCCGCTGCCGCCGCCGAGAGCGACGAGGCGTTTGATGTCGTTGAGGAGCTCGGTGGGTTGATGCCTGCGCGCAAGCTGAACAAGGCGACAATCTTGAGCAAGGCTACCGAGTATATCTCGCACTTGGAGAAGAAGAATTCGCAGCTGTGGAAGGAGAACGAGGAGTTGGAGAAGAGGCTTGCTGAGGCGCAGCAGTGGCAGCAGGCGCAGGCCGAGGGGCCGTTCTGGTCTTGAGGCTTGGAGCTTGGGGCTGCTTGCCTTTCTCGGCTCGAGTCAACGAACACGAAAAAACAAAAAAGAAAACGGGAAACATGCATTATAGATGAAAGGGCGGAAAGAGGAAAAAAGCGCGCAGTTTCCGGAGTTGACACGAGGTTCTGTTTTGGGCGACCTTGAATTTTTCAACGGCGTTTTTCACGGTACTGGCGGGGAAACTCTTTGGGAAGAAAGCGAAACTTGTTGTTAACTGTATACCACGGGGATGATTGATATCGTCATCATCATCAAAGGCGTTTTTTTCTGTTGTTAGACCAAACGGGCGTTTCACGGGGTTTTGTATGCGATGGGATTCGATTGGGATCCCGCCTGGATCTTGGGGATAGTCGTCACTGAAGAGACTTGGACGGTTTATAGTTGTTGTTTACGAGGTACCTAGGGTTACCGAAACTCTCCGCTTTCTTGCTTCGCATGAAAGATGCGAATAATGAAGAGATTATTTGTGCAAAAGCTCAAGTTTGTTGCACTTTTTAGCCGTCGTGACAAGTCCAACTTTTCCGTTCCTGATGTCATGAACCCAAGTTCCCCTTGAGACTATTATTCGTAATTCGTAACCCGTGAGATGGAATGATCACAGAATGCTACATGTGAACACCGTACGTCCCGTCATCTTTTCCGTGGTGATTCAGTCTGTCTCTTCTCATTTTTTTTTTTTTGGATCCTTTTCTGGCTTGCTCCGACGATCGGAAGGCTCGGGTGCTAGGGAGATTAGATCAGATTAGATTGGACTGGGAGAATCCACCCTATACCTTGGCACCGGCGCCATTCGTAGAGTGCTTCATCGGCGGAGCGGAACTCTTCGGCCGAGATGGGGGTTGTTCGGCTCCGGGTATGGAGCTTGGTGTTGTGGGACCGCGGTGTCTCTACCACTGTTGTCTCTCCCGCAGACGTTTATCCATGTCCCGGCGCCGGAGCACCTCGGCGGCGATGGGGTCGTAGAGTGTCCGTTGGTCTGCTCCGGACTCCTCTCGGCGGCTCAGCTCCCAGTGGCTTCGGCAGGGCTGACCTTTTGCGTTGGAGAAGTCGCCGAGTTTCACATATATGTCCCAATGAATATCACCCCTTTGACGGCAATGAGATTCAAGAGTGGTTGGAAACGGTGAATAGAATGTATATATCTTACTTTTAGCGTGTCCTTTTCTTGCCTTCCCCTCGCGCCGATATTGATTGTTAAAAGGGGCGACTAACTTTCGTGGTTCTTCTAAGAAGTCTCTGTATTCTAACGTTATTTATTTATAGTTAGACGGAGGTTAGGAATGAATGTGATAGAATTATAGAAGGGAAATTGGGAAACCCCGAAATAGACTACACTGCACCAGGTTCCAATTGTGGCGAATGCCACAAAGTCGGGATGACATTTCACTTTCCAAGCGGTGGCCAAACGATCCTCCATTTTCGTCAGATTCATGTCACACTATCCTGTCAGGTTGGCTTTGTTATAAGTGAGCGGAAATCCAGTGAAATGTAGCTGCTTTAGCATTGATACACAGAGCTTAGGGCATCTTTGATTCCAAAACCTTCAGTACTGAGGATAGCTCTATCGTCAAAAGACCATCCTGTTGGCCCTCATCTCTTACAACGTGCAAGTAGCCAAGAATTTGAATGCTGATGGACGATTCGCTAGATTCGTTGTCTCACAAAAAACAAAGGTCGGGAAATTTAACATAGCCGCCACGCCCAGAAATAAGGTACACCGATAATGATCCAACCCGACAGTGGTACAACTACCCTCATGAAAGGACCTGAACGTACCACTCCTCTAACACACTCGATGTTAAGGTCCCAAGCCGAAGCCCCTATATTCATGTAAGCCGGCATTCGCAGATTTCGACCTCCACGACTGTCCTTTCTTCATTTTTAATATCCTTCTAATTTATCGACTTTTGCCACATTATCGATGCCTCAACCTACTTTTTGAGTTCCGATACGTTTGTAAAATGCATTATTAATCGTTAGACGTTCGAATCCGTCTGGAGTCCAATGAGCCGCCTTTTTGTGCCATTTGAGCTTGCGTAATACAAAACCTAGAGTATTATCTAGACTTATCGCATACAGAGCAGGCTGATTATCCATAACGGAGGCCGGGGAGGATGTAGTACGCCCGCATAGTAAAATACTAGCCGCTTTATTATTAGCTTAGGTTGCCCTAGTAGTTGAGTAGTCTTATCGTAGCTGCCGGGTGCTCGAGGGAAAATGCGATGGAGGGTGGCCTTGCCATCCCTATAGGCCTTTGTTGGTTTACGTATCACAGGGGTGATTTGTTCGATCGAACCGTGGTGACGAAGGGTCAATTAACTTGTATTGATCTCTGCGTGAAGAGGAAAAGAGAGGTTCCAACCGTGGGTTGGATCGCCGGTTGAACGCTGATATAGAGACCCTCAGATGGCCCCTGCGCTGGCGCTGACTCGAGGTCGAATTGGGCTTCCAATCCGACAGCCTTAAAGTATAACCTGTTAACGTAATAGAGGCAAAAGGTTAGTCACCTATCTAAAAAAAAAAAAAAAAAAAGAAAAAAAAAAAAACGCCGTGCTTATTGTGTTTTCAGTCAGGCTATAAGTTAGGGCAACATATTAATATTTCAGAACATAGAAAAGCTGTGCTCTTAGAAAATACAAACCATCGGCCTACGCTAAAGCATATATTGATGGATGGCGGCGCGACAAGGTCTATATCAGACCATCTACACAAGCGCTTGTTGCGTGTACGTTAGCAAAATAGGCACCAGTGATATTGGAAGCTAACCGTTGGAATATAATCACGACTATTACTACATCTGCTCCGGCTCAAGGGAAATTGCTCGCTAGCAACTAGCATGAACGTGCCAACATCAAATACCCGATTCCGGCGGATACCCGGATATTAGCCGCGAAAATATGCTAGACTTAGTGCGCTGCTTCAAAAGGGACACTCTAAAAATACATCCTACTATAATGCTAAGAGACCTTGCTAGAGTGGCCGAGCTCTTTATGCTTCACTTGGCCGACGTCGAGGGCACCGAAGTAGCAACCGCCAGAGTATAAAAGCGAAAATGACTTCGCGGCATATCAACCACAGAATCCTTGGGACAAAATATTCAGTCGCAATATAAGAGCCTCAATTAAACAATCAACAACGCGGTGATCTGAGTTATTCTAGCTTCAGGTAAGCGTTGACGGCATCGGGCCGAGATCACGGAATGTAATACCCATCGCCTAAAGCCCTAACACTAGGATGTGGAATGCTGTGAAATTACAAATCGGATAGGCATAAAAGCCCTATGTAAGTGTCTCTTAGAGCTACTTAGATGTACAGAGTATCTTTCGTGAGTTGACGATAATCCGACTTCAAGGCGAAGCATACACCGTGAGTTAATTGCTTAGAAACTAAATCTAGAATCGTGTGTAAGTGGAACACGAAACTCTACGTCGGGGAACCCAGCTTTACAGGCGCCTCGGAGTGGTGTTATCGATATAGCCAGACACAAAGGCGCTGCAAGGTTGCAGTGACACAAACTGAATAAGACTCATGTGTGCGGGACTTGTAGCCGAAGGCCACTAACAGGTGTCTGACATCATCAGAGCCAACTTCCCGGAACTCCGCGATTCAACCCCTCAGGGCCAAGAGAGGTCAGACCTGCCCGACTTGTACCTGCTTAACACATCAAAGGCAGATCAGTAGCCGAGAATGAAGTTCAGCCAACTCAAGGAAACGATAATTGACACAGTTCAAAGTTTGCAAAAGCTGCGAAACTAGGCTATGGGAATCTTGTCGTTGACAGAGAGAAGACAGGAAGTTGGACTGGCTAAGTCTTGGGTACTATTCATCTTGTATGAACTATTCGAAGAAAGTTTTCACATAGACCATAGAGATGCAGTGTGTTGGTTTGCGTCGATATAGTATATCTTACAGTTATACGACAACTTCAAACTGTTGCCCAGAACAGTGAAACACTTCGAAAAGAGGATGTCCCGGGCTTCCGTTACGTCAGACAATGTGCCAGTACTACATGTAAGAAACTCTAGTACTGGCGCCAGTACTGAAGAGAAAATCACACCCTAAGTACCAAATGGGGCGGACCACCGGTCCCGATAACGAGCGCTGGAGGGGCCGCTAGGCTGACTACATTCGGCATCCTTTTTGACGACAATGCATGGCAAGGTGATGAACTAGGGTCGATGTGTGGGTACCGTTTCCGTCGTTAAAAACGTTATTCTGTCTTCTATATATAAACACGTTCAAGATGGAGGTAGAGCTAGGCTTAATTGAGTAATAAGCTAGCTATATTGGGCTAGATTTTCGGGTGGAGATCAGATAGGATATAATTCCGGACCGGTCTCTGATCAGGCTCCGTCTACTCCGGTCGCTCTACTACCATATGTATAGCTAATCGGTCCTGCTTATGACCATGCGGCGCCCTATTGTTGTACTTGAGCTACGGAAACGTTGTGTCCAATAATAAAATTATGTTGTTAAGGGACCCTATAATGAATATCTTCAGTCGCAAATTGTGGCGATGGTCTATGTAGGACCACGACGCACAATTTCTCAAAAGGGACACAAGTTGTATTTGGTCTCACTCATGATCCATAAATCTTATCACCAAAGAATGACAATTATCAGAACCAGTTCGATGTGTCCACGTTGTTCACCAAAAGCATAGGGTCTCCTGTACGCCGCTATCAGCCCATGAACCAAGGTTCCCTCTTCAGGGCAATCACACAGGTCATTGGCAACTTCTTTCTGCCCACGGCGCCAAAGAGGTCAAATCTCAGATGCAGCTAAGCGCGAGCTAAAAAAAAAAAAAAAAGGGCTTCCTAAGGCTACATTTGCTGGGCGCCCAATGACACTTGATTCACGCTTCAGGGGATACGACAGCCTATTGGACACCTCGACTCTGTTGGGCCTGACTGCAGATGCAGGTCTCAGGTTTTTGAGCCCAAAAGCTTCGGTCAATTGCTGATAGGGTCTTGGAGAGTATCTGCCTCTTCAGGCCTGCATATTTCATCAGATACAAACCCAGTAGATGCAGTCCGAGCTGCATGGAAGTTCAGAAAGGGCAGGTGCAAAAATTTACTGACGGGAGGGGGGAAAACAAGGCGAAGTTGAAGGGGTTGGCAATTGACCATGCATCTTGTCGACCTGGCATTTTGCTGCTAACATACTTTCTTTCTTGCCCGTACCTTTCCACATACCTGTGATTTGCAAAGAAGCATCTTTTACTGCAGTATGAGTGGCTCGCGCGAGTCCGATGGCGGCTGTCTTTCCGCTTTATCTTCTTGCTTCAAGAGACGAGGTAAACCACGACCAGATGTTTCCGAGTCTCTGAACCAAGCGATTCCTTTGATGTCACCTGGAACCAAAGTCAACGAGCTATCAGCGTCACGTTCGGCTGACGATGAGATACCTTCCTTCACAACCCCCGAGATCGAATCTCCCGTTTCACCGCCAGCTGACTTACCTGCGCCGTTATCTGCTGGCATTGCAGACAAGCCGGATTTCATCGCCCCTACCTTGGATGAAGTATCAGTTACCACAGACGACGCTGCAACGATACTTGATTTGTGGAAAGAGGCATACGAAAAGGTGGATGTGAAAACTCGGAATTGGATCGACAGTCTTCCTCCTGCTGATGTCAAAGATCCCGCAACTGAGCTGGTGGAGTTGGTTCGCTCCTGCGAGAAGATACACGATGAAGAGTCGTTCAAGCTCAAGGTCGGCGATCGCGAGATTCTGTGGAGGGATTACGCGAAAAGAGTTGTCTCTGTGGTCACCGCCATTGGAGATATTGCCGTCAGCTTTACCCCTGCACCCTCTACAGCTGTGTGGTCAGCTGTCAAGGTGCTTTTGAAGGTATGTATTGTAGCATGGCACAAACACCTGCGGGCCAAACCTGTGAGCTGACGACCTCTCCCAGGCCAACGTATCCGAGCGCGAAGATCTCGTGGCTATCATGGGATGCACAGACATTGTCCTCTGCCTGGTGAGGCGCGGTAAAGTGTATGAGGAGGTCTACATTGGAAACTCGCCTAGGCCGCCATATGAGGAAGATTTGAAGAAGAAGCTTGTTGAAGTATACGTAGCCTGCTTGGAGTTTCTTGCTTTCGTCGACCAAGAAATGCAGCACGGAAATTTGGGCCGATTCTTAGACGCCCTCCTGGACCCCGGTCACGGCGAAAAGCGGGTGTCAGCTGTGAAAGCACTTGAGCAGGAACTTGAGTTTGCAGCTCGTGCTTGCGAGGTCAAAGCAGGTGATGAGCATCGAAAATTGCTTGAAAGTCTTGAAGTACCGTTGAAGAATGTCGACAAGAATGTCACAGATGTTCTTAGGAAGCTTGAAAAGCACGAAAGAGAAATAGCCATGGAATACGTCAGTACTATTCCGGTCGGAATTCATCACAACGAGAAGCACGAAAAAAGAACCGAGGGCACGTGCGAATGGCTGGTCAGCCATTCCAAATTCCTTGAATGGGAAGACTCAGATTGCAATTCGGTGCTTTGGTTGCAAGGTAACAGTGAGTATTGAAGCTCCAAGGCTGTTATGTGTAACAACAAACTGACTATGGTGATGTTTCGCAGTCGGTACCGGGAAATCGTTCCTATCTTCAAAAGTTGTTGATCGTTATTGGATTCACGACAAAACCACCAGTCAATTGCCCAGTCAGCACGACCGGGGTTTCGCCTTCTTCTACTGCAATTACTCTGATCCGACTAGGCAAAGCGTTCACTCTATTCTACGAAGCTACATTCGACAACTAGGCGAGGTGACCGGCCATCCCGAGAGCGTTCATGAGGCATTATACAATCTATACCGGAAGAAGGAACAAATTCAGAGCGATATCACGGTCAACGATTGCGAGACAGCGTTGATTGAGATGATTAACAGTTATCCTCGAACTGTTCTGGTACTCGACGCCTTGGATGAGTGCAGGGAAGACACAAGACGGCAGCTTGTTGGGCTCTTCAAACGCCTGGTGGAGAAAAGCAATCGCTTACTAAAAATATTCATCGCCAGCCGTCTAGAAGCCGATATTGAAAAAAATCTGGGGTCATTTCAAGGGCCCAGAGCGATGATCCCAATTCACACTTCAGATAATCATGGCGACATTGAAAAATTTGTCAATACGGAGGTGGATAACTTCACCGGAGCCTGGGAGCCTGAAACCAAGCAGCGCGTCAAAGAAAGCCTCGTGGAGAAGAGCGACGGAATGTGAGTTCTAGCTCGCAAACTACACTTACCTACCTAGGCTAACGGGTACAAACCAGGTTCAGATGGACTTACCTGCAATGGGAACAGCTCAAGGAGTTGCGCACCAATAGCGATGTAAAGCGGAGGCTTCATGGAAAACTTCCTAAAACCCTGACAGCAGCCTACGATGAAATTTATGGTCAATACGATCCTGAGAGTGTCGAGCGTCTCATGCTGCAGCGAGCGGTGAGATGGGTCATGTGCGCCCGCAGGCCGTTCGACAGCTGCATATTGCTGTCAGCCATGCGAGTGGAAAGCGAAAGGACGGATGGAGACAAGGCTCTCGACAAGTCAGATCTCACCGAGCGAATTTTAGGGACTGTCTGCCGACACTTGGTCGTGAGGGACCCAGGTCTCGGGGACTGGAAGTTTCCGCATGCATCAGTTGCCGAATACTTTGAAGCTAAGAACGAGTCGTGGGTCAAAGACGCACAAGCGGAGATAACAATTATCTTGATAAACTGCATGATAGACTGCTGCTCAGCCTATTCCTCGGTCTGGCCACCCTCAGGTGTTTTCAAGAACGACAAAGACTTCGCTTTACACTTTTGGTTCATGACAGAAAGGGAGGACCAGGACCAAACGTTGGATCCTCGGCATCCGCTTCAAGAGTACACCCAACAGAACTGGCTCACACACATCCGCGACCTTTCAGAAAAAGATGACAGGATTGGAGACGTGGCCCGCGCTCTGAAACGATTCTTGGGTGAAGAAGGTCCTCAGCAGTCTTCGAGGGAGTATCAGGTATTTTGCACACACATCTTGGCGCATGCCCGGTGGGACTTCTTCGGGAGGGAATACACTTTCGACATGCGGTTCCATATCAAGCCAAGTACCAACTTTGTCTTCGGGGTTGTTGCAATGGGTCTTCATCGATTGCTGCCTGAGTGGTGGAACAGAGACCTCGACCTTTCCTCGTCGGTGAATGGTGAGGGTTCAGGCCTTCTGCAAATTGCCACTCGTTATGGCCACTACGACCTCTGCGAATTCCTAATTAACCAGGGATGCGACATTAACGGGTTCGATGAACACGAAAAAGATGGCCCCCCATTGTGGATATCAGTGGACCAGCAAAATATTGATATCATGAAAATGCTCCTGAAGAAGGGCGCAAACATGGACTGCGTTGTGAAAGGCCGCACTCTCCTTTGTCTGGCAGCGGAGAGGAGCCCTGAATGCTGTGCTATTCTACTGGAAATGGGCCTGAATCCCAACATGAAGTGTGGTGGCGAGTCTATCACTTCTTGCATGTTCGGTTGTGCCCTATCGAGTGCTGCTTATCACGGTAAGCTCGTCACAATGAAGGTCCTGGTTGGCAAGCGAGCAGACGTCAATCTGGAGGTTCTCATAGATCCGTTTGGTAGCCCACTGGCTGCTGCCATATCCGGAGGAGAGCTTGACTGTGCTCGCTTTCTTCTAGAGAAGGGTGCAGATGCCAACGCTGACCTGAGATGTGGAGATTTTGGTAGTCCTTTGATTGCTGCTGCATACAGCGGAGACCTCGACTGTGTTCGCCTTCTTCTAGAGCATAAAGCAGACGTCAATGCCAACTCGGAAGTTGGTCTATTTGGCAGCCCCTTGGCAGCTGCTGCATCGATGGGAATGGTGGACTGTGCTCGCCTCCTGGTTGAACATGGCGCTGATGTCAATGCATACTTGGAGTTTGGCGAATATGGCAGTATCCTGGCTGCTGCGATTTTCAGTACTGTCCCGTCTCTTGATATGATCAAGTTTCTTGTTGAAGAAGGGGGGGCAGATTTAGCTCAGCTGGCCTTCACGCGGCCCAGGAGAGCGGAAAGAGGAACGGAGATAATTAGAAGAGAGGCAGATGGAAGGATATACCGAAAAGTTTGGCATCTATTTAGTTACGAGCTTCGAACGGAGGAAATGCGGATGGCAGCGTATCTTACACAGGAGCTCCAGATGGAGGCGCAAGTGTTGATCAGCCTCGGTGTTCCCTCAGGGGATTTGCCACCGGATACTATGGCCGACAGTGACTACGAAGAGTTGGATCAACATGATGTAGAGTCTGGGTATTGTTGAGGGTGGAGAGAAAGCAGTTGTGTGATTGAGGTCTAGGTGGTGATAACTGCTGCATGTGCTGCATTGTAGAGTAGACCGTTGGGATTTGGTTTATGGGTGAAATGCTGAATTTCACTGGGATATCCGGCGCTACGTTTACCAAGCCTTTGATCCAAGACATGTCTGCGGCAGACAGCTTGGGGGCTCAAGTGAGGGTAGCCATCAATAGTACAGCAGATATATTCAATGTTGTAGTTCGTTGGGGATACACATCCGGCTGAGAACTTGCAGAACGCCTCATACGATCTACTCAAGTTGAAGAAGATCGAAGTGTCACATTAGAAATGTTTCGAGAAAAACTCCTTTACTGGATTGATCGATCAAATTAATACGCCAAGACTGAGGCTACCAAAGTTAAATAACACTATCAATAGCGGTTGCACCAACTACAAGTAAACGTTTTTGATACATTACCTAACTATCAGAAAGAAGCATGGATTGAAGGATGAGAAGAGAGAGGGCGGGCGGTCTGGAGCAGGCTGATGTAAATGCAGGCCACCAATCTCGCGGACGCGGTCCAAATGGTGTCTGTTAACATCTGCCTAGTAATAGACATAACATGCCCTAGTCTGTGAGCTGGAGTCCTATACCAACTCAGCCTGCTCACCTTTCTCGCGCTTCTCATACCGCCTTCAAGGCGGCGGGACTCGGTGCCTGGCATCTGCTTCCTTTATTTAGTCTGCTGGTACTATATGTAAACTTGACCACTACGTACAATAGATATTATGGCAATGGACACATCCGGGAACAACACAACGGCCGTCCCGGTGTGTTTGAAAGGCTTTGTATTTTGTCTTCAGATATAGAGGGCTTCAGACATCTTAAACTAAATTTCCTAAGACAGCAGTACAAGTTGAAACCTTGTTAATTCGCCTCCTTTGCGTGCTCTTTGCATGCTGTTCGGGGAAGCGAACTGTTCAAAGACAATTCTTTATCACCGCAATCAAAGTAACAAAACACTTGTCCGGTCGTCAAAGCACAACTAACATGATTAACACAGAGCTTTTTAGAAAAGCCATTTATATAAAACCCGAAAGGCCGAAATCACGGCAGGAAGTTATCAGCTCGTCTTCAGCAACGGCTTACCATCACCATACGGACACACATACACACACAACAATGCCTCCTTTTCGACCGCTGAGAACCTTATTTCAAGCCATTTACATCTTCGCAACCATCGACACATATGTCAAACTTTATAGAGTTATTTACACCACCTGCACAGCACACGATCTCTTGAGCCCGCCACTACTCTTCGTCATACCCTTGGCAGTCATCATTCTACACGCAGGGCTCGCTCGTTTCGCAAATACAGTGCTTTATGCATTCTTGAGAAGGGAATTAGGGGTGGTGGGCCTCTGGGAACTCTTCCTCTTACCGCTTATCCTCGAAGTGGCCTTCTTCTTTAAAGCAGGGCGATGGGTCGTGGGAGAAATTCCTTGGCTGATGCTGCGGCTTTTCCAACTGTCGCCAATCATATTCCTATTGTTTCTCACTCTAAGGTCATGGCAAAGGGTGCTTAGGCGAGAGGAGCATAGGATTCAAATTCGTGCGCCCGAGCACCGACATGCGCCGCAGCGGGCGGATGAGTTTGTCAATGGCCCCATTCACGTTCCCATGCAGGAGTTGCCGGACAATTGGATATTCTGAGTTGAAAGCAGCATACTGCCATGATGTCAGTGGCGAGTGCGGTCAGTGGGATGAGGTAGCTGGAAAAGAAGACACTTGTTGACGCGATCACGATTGGAATAGTGAGTAAGCAAAACCATGTATTGGTGGACTCCATTTGGGCATGCCATTAATACTGTCGGAGCACAGGCGGTGTTCTGAGTTGAAAGCTGCCCTGAAGCTTTATCAAAGCCCACTACATCAGTCAAGCAGTCAAATAGAAACATTTGGTTCTCGTAATTGACAAACATCTCGAATATATGAATGAAAAAAATCGAATGGAGCCGGAAAAAGAAATGGAGGTTTCATTAAGAGTGAGAAGAAGCACCGGCGAGGTAGGATTAGCCTGAGAGCGCTTGGCTAGTTCTCGGAGGTACATCAATAGAAGCATGTTTGCGAAGACGGTTGCATAATGCGGAGAACAAGTATCGATGACCAGCTTCAGATATCTATGATTAAGGCAAAGGGAATGAAAGTTTATAATCTTGGCTGGTAGCTTCGTCCTGTTTAATGGAACGCAAGTTTCTGTCCAAGTCCGAACTCATGACGCGGATTCCTGAAAGTGCTGATATTGTTTAATGGATGGTGTTACGTTCACACTCGCGGGGAGTTGAAAGCCCTGCCTAATTAGAAAGCCAAGGCTTCCTCTTCGGAATGGTCAAGACGAACGACGACCGATTGAGGTAGAATAGGCCTTAAGCCCATCCAGGGTCTACTCAAAGATTTGCTAGAAGGTGTGTCGTAAGGAGCGTCATTCCTTTGCAAAGGGTGAAAGAATAATGTCACTACATACCTTATAGACATATTGACGTTTCATGTGTTAATATCAAGGTTATGTCGTCATCGAATCAGCAAGAATAGTGACGATTTTCGACGAAGGGGAACAGATAGCCCCAAGATAGGTTTATATATTTCCCTAGAATTCTGGACCCTGAGGTGGTCTACTAGCCGCCATATTGCACTGCCTAAATAATCGGACCTCGTTCTCTGCAAACGCTCCAACAATGGAATGCATAACGCCGTGGTTGTTGAAGAGAACAAGATCGCCTTCTTCCCAGTCGTGCGGGTACACGTACTCGGGGCTGATGGCTGGTCTCTGCAGCCTGTAGATCAACTCCCTGACCTCTTTCAAGTCCTCCATCACCGTCCCGTCCTTGAGGTGGATCCTGCGGGCCGGCGTCGGGTACACCATCATGGCGAACTTTCCCGTCACCGGGTTCTTCCACGCCATGGGGTACTTTCTGATCTTGTCCTGTTCGATTTCCGGAAGCTGGTCTTCGGGCAACTCGAGGCCTTCCGAGATGAGACCGAGCCCGTTTGATCTCGCCTTGGCCTTGCTCATCCAGATGTAAGGGTGCGGACCATACTCTACGAAACTGGTCTTGACAAACTCCTTGTCTTCGTCGGATAGTATATCAAACATGCGATAGCCGCTGATGAAAGCTGTTGTGCCGAGGGGAACCTCGAGCTCGTCCCCGGTCCCGTCGTCGTACCGACAAATCTGCCGCCGTCCCTTGGGCACCTTGCACGCGAAAAGCGACGTGACGAGCGGCGGATCCAGATTATACATGGCCGAGTCAATGTGCCACCGGTAAAAGTGAGTGTAATCATAGTCCTCGGCCTCTGGTATGGGGTGCTTGTGGAAGGTCTTGTGGTGCGGGTGGGTGAGTTTCAGGTCCGTCAGCCCTTCAAACTCGGCGACGGCGCCGTGGCCGATGACCTGCACCTGGGGCTGGGACGGCAGGGTCGTGAGGTCCTTGTGAAGGACGCTGCGCTTGTCGATGCGGGATCCGTGACTGTAGGTGCTTGCTTCAGGGTCGAAGAGGCGGGTAAGTTCGTATTGGGCTTTTGGCGAGAGGTTGTGCTGGCCTTTGATCAGGACGACATTGTTGTTGTAGAGGGCTTCTCGGATGACTTTGAAGCTTTCATCTACACTCGTGATTAGCATCAATCAGGGATATGGATCTTGGCCACACTAGCGTACCGTTGATGTGTTCGAGATCGATGCCGGAAAGCTCAGCGCCGAAATCGACTGCGGATTGCTCAAACGGCTTTGGGAGAGCCGAGATCTGGACCTCGACGGCTGCCATGATGAAAGTAAATAAGAGACCTGTGATTCGTAATTAAGAGGATGGATATCACTTCCAACAAAGACACTTGGGCCCCATTGCTCTCTATATATACAGACCATGACATTCATTCAGTGACTGGCATCTCTCTTGTAAGTGCGGGCGAGCTGAACGCTCTGGCCCGCTTCTCTGTGCGCCCCGGAGATAATCCCTGGGAACAGTGTTTGGACCACTTATATGCGGTGCGGGTGAGATGGATGGCTCACCCGCGTGCTTCCCAAAATCTGGCCAATCAAGAATTGCGACATTCCGATTACTACGCGTCACTGCGTACTGCATGAGAGGAGAAAGGCAAACTGGTGGTGCGGAAGAGAATGCCTAACTCATCCGCTCCGAACACTGAAAGCGAGACTTCACTCGTCTGTATCAGGGCGAGAATAGTTGGCTATAAGTTCATGCAGACACCCGACTTCATACGAGGCTCATCAACCCAAGACTACAGTCAACTTTACTCATTAGCATCATTGCCATTGTAATCATTACACATTCACTATGAGCAGCTTCCAATCTCCAACCAAGGGACTCTCCTTTGAAGAGCTCCCCAGCTCACTTCGCGAGTCTTCCTTGATCGGCGCCGAAGTCCACCTGCCATCATCAATGAAGGTCCTGGACACGGACGCCTTGTCAGAAGAAGATATTGCCACATTCAGAAGAGCCCTGTTCGAGAACCAGGTCGTCGTCATAAAGAACCAGAAGGGTATCGCGCCCGAGACCCTGCCCAAGCTGACCAAGATCTTTGACCCGACTGCGACGGACGTCCACTCGGCCGGTGAAAAGGCCGTCAGCGATCCTAGGAATATTCTCTCGGCGTACAAGGCGGGAAGAATTCCTAGAGCGCCGCAGGTTGGTATCATTGGGAGTGGAAAGTTTAAGAATTACGAGGGGGTTGAAGACTTGGAGGTTATTCATCTGGTAAGGGATTGTGTTCAAACAGAGTTGAGAACCCAAACTAACAGATATGATCAGGATCACACCTTATTCCACGAGAAGCCGCTATCCGAGCAGGAGCTGAGCGATGGGTACACACGTCCGTACCGGTGGCACATGGATACTCCCTTCTACCAGCGCCTGCCTGGCCAAGTCACGATTCTCCACGCCGTCAAGGTACCGAACCTGCCTGATCAGAAGCTCAAGTTCCCGGACGGCAAAGAAAAGAGCATCGCTGCTGGTTCAACCGCCTGTGAGTCATGATCTTCATCTTCTGACTCTAGAGACGTATGACTGACTTGTTTCAAAGTTTTCTCTGGTGCGCGGGCCTTCCAGTTGCTTACTCCGGCGGAGCAAGAGTTTGCTCTGAACACGACTGTGACGTATGCACCTCAAGCGTACGAGTACATCAGACAGTGCAAGGCGACGGAAGACGGCCTGTCAATCCCCACGGTGGGAAAAGAGGTGCCCATCGAGCAGCTCTCCGAGTGGTCTTGGGAGAACGTCGCTGAACATCCTGTAAGCCATCTGAACCATCCCAACTGTCTCCCAATTGTCCTAACAAGAGCTTAGATGGTGTGGCGCAACCCCCTCAACCCAGACCGGCCCTTCCTTCAGGTCCACGGCTGCTGCGTATTCAAATTGACGACACGGGATCCGGCGACGGGTCAAGTCACCGTCGTAGACGACGTGGCCAAGGTTCGGGAGATTGTCTACGGCTTCCAGAAGAGAATCTGGGCGGCGGAGAACATTTACGCGCACCGGTGGGAGGAGGGCGACGTTGTGATTTTCCACAACCGCGGAGTCATGCACAGTATCACGGGACAACTGTCTCAGTACAAGGAGGATGAGGAGAAGAAGAGGCTGATGTGGCAGTGCACCATGACCAGCGGCACGGCGCCGCAGCCGTTTAGGGAGCAGCCTGGGGTTGTTGAGACTGGGTTTGCCAAGGCGGCGTGAGTGATGAAATGATAGTGTTTTAGGGAATTCCAAAAAGACAAAAAGTTCAATTCACAATTGCGCTTGAATGAGAATGGTAGTTCATTCAACTATGGCTGAGTGAAATATTTGCTGGAACCAATCATCAAAATCCTCAGAAGGATTCACAGACAAGGCGAAATGATCCTCGGGAACATCAAACTGCCCAAGACCGGCCGTAGAATCAAGTATAAACCAGTCCGTCTTGAACCTAGCCGCAATCTCCTCAAAATTGATAGCGCCGGGTCTGGCGGCGAGCGTCCGATCCGAAAACGACTCCATGCCCCCCACGTCGGAAAAGATGGCATCAATCAGCACCACACCGCGGTGCGCGAATATGTCGTTCGTCGTCCGGCCCAGGAGGTGCTCGCGCGCGTTGCGGATGGCGTCGAGATAGCCGCCCTGTCGGTCGTCGCGCTCTTTGCTCTGGTCGCATATGACCTCAAAGGAGAGGATGATGGCGGCGGTGATGCTGAATGCGACGTGCGTCCAGAGGGAGACCTCGCCTGATTCTACAATGCTTTTGTGCTCGCGGAGAATGGTTACTGCTGCTGCGACGCAGGTGCGGCGCGTGTGTACGTATGAGTCTGATTGGAAGGAGAGAAAGAGAAATGGTCTGTGAATCATGACGATCTGGTGGTCACATTGATCAGCGTTGTAATCAAATACATTGGGTTTCGATGGAGGGCTGAACCTTTTCGGCTGCGGTGATGGCGAGACTCTGTCGCGCAACCCCGAGCCACGCGCACTGGCTCTCGAGAAACTCATCTTTCTGAAGAAGAAATCGGGGTATTGATTGCACCTGTTGTCGCATCTTCTGGTCCATCCGGAGTACGTGGGCATATTGCTCCCGTGCCGGCTTCTGAGCCCTCAGGGGCCCCATGCCGTCCGCGAGCTCCGGCATCAGCTGCGCGATGCCACCCAAGACGCGAGTGTACGTGCTTACTGTCAGAGTTGCTTCTGGGGCATCTATCAGGTCTGCGTCGTTGGCGTTTCTGGGGAGGGACGTCGAGTAGTGAGAAGGGTTGATGCCGTACGAGTCGGTGAAAGGTATCGCAAAGTGGTCTTGGATAACCATCTGAAGCCAGACTCTGCGGCCGACTTCTCTTTGTAATGTGTCCTGCCAGACATCATCGGGAGTCATCAAGTTAAGACCGGATTTTGTAATCTTGTGCAATCCCAAACACTCGGCCATACGGATTGCGGCGCTGAAGAGGGTGGCGTTGAGTTGGCTGAGGCCAAGATTGTGAGCTACCTCGGTTGAAATGACGATAGCCTGTATCGAGTATATTGAGACGTTTTGAAGAAAATGAGCCTGGTAGAGGGTATCGACCATGTAATTGAACAAGTCTTGCGGCGAACACCTAGGCAAGGTGAGTGGATAGGCGTCACGATGCTTCCAGCTGTTCTGCCAACTCAGCAGCGACGATGAGAGCACCGCACTATACAGCGCAAGCCACTGGGGTTGATCGTACAGGCCTGTATCCCAGAAATCGGTGCACTGCTGCAGAAAGGTTGGGCAGTGTAAGGAGTTGTGATGCCATGCCATGTGTTCCAAGTGAAATGAGACGAGAATCTCGGCTGCGCTTCTCTCGGGTAGAAGGGCCAGGGAGGGAACAGGGTAACTCGGCAACCGGAGAGACGGCGATAGGCCTGTTGCTGGCGATGTGCTGGGAATATTCCTTCTTTGATGACAGTCACAGTGTAGATGTGGGTAACAGTTCCCATAGCTTCGTCCCCAGGCCATATGCTCCAATGCGGTGACAGTGAGTGAGCTACGGGCTTTGGAATGTGAAGCTCTCACGTCATCTTGCCCCGAGTCATCTTCTCGTCCGCTCCCAGACTCGACGGGATTTATCAAGGCATTTTCAGCCGCTGGCGCCGATCCAGATCGTAGAGTATCCAGTCTCGCTGCCACCAGATCGGCCGCCCTCCTCACCGAAGCGGGGTCGGTGCTTTGCAGCGTGTTGTGTAGAGCTTCTAGAAACCCAATCTCGGCGCTATGACGAACAGCATTGCGCCTTAGCTGAACGACTTCGCGCTCGCAATGGATCCCAAGACGACTGCATCTCGCGCAGGGGATCTCTTTGTTGCACTTTCTCTTCTTTCTTGTACACTCTGTGATGGATGGCACCGTGTCAGGTCGAGTGCAGGGGCTTCATTCTGCTGGATGTGCAGGGGTTGAGAACATTGAACTCACCGCGACATGCGAGAGATTGGCGCTGCGATAAGCGGGCTGACATGATTTGGGGCCTGAATCAGCCCGCTAAGCATGAGGGATTGGGAATACAACCCCGATGAATGCCTTCTTTTTGTTGCAGCCCGAGCAAGCAGGTTGATGTGAACTAAGTAAAGGCTCAGATGCTTGGAGTAGTAAGATTATCATGGCTCTGAACCGATGTATGAGGATTACATAATCGGCCTAGTCTCATTAACACAGTGTGAAGTGACGCCTGACGGTAGGTAATTTGACTAAATGAGTGAGAAACTTAGACTTGAGGGGTTGAACCGTGAAGGTCTGGTACCTTTAAAGATGTACACAGATTGGATGAAACTCGGGCAATGAGATACTATAAATCTCCCCCTGATGTCTGGTCCCGCTTATATCACATCATGCTTTTGTCACTCTCATCGGCTGTCTTCATGAAGCGGTGGAACAGTACTTGGTGCTCATTCTCATGCCAACTCAAGACAGGACTGCGATAGTTGCGAAATGCGTCCTCACTATAGTACCTAAGGAAGCATACCAAAATTCTCATCGTATTTTCATCTCGTTTAAAGTTTCACTGATACATAAGTACTTACTCAAGGTGTTACGCTGACAACTAAAAGCATCCCAGCTTCAAAGTTTGCATCACGAAGCTGAGCTCCCCTTCTCATCAGGCTTGAACTCTCCTCGGCTAGCACTACGAATTTGAGGTTCCAGGGGAAACACAGACTTCTCCGGAGTAACACCCGAATACACACGATCCCACCGCTCCCGCAACGCATCCGGCGTCTTCCACGCATGCTCGGGATCCCGAAGCCACAGCCGGATTAAATGTCGCCTTGTTTCCGTCAGCTTATGAACGAGGGCATACATATAGCCATCAACGTCAAATGCGCAACTTACTGCTTCTCGTCTGAATCCACAAAGCCCCCACGGGCGTGGAAGATGCTCAAGTTGTTGGCGTACTGAATGTCACCGCGATGGAAATCCAGGTGGGCGGCGTACTTCTCGGCGAGAAAGTGCAGTGCGTCGAGGGCCTCGGCCTGCGCCTCTGTGATGGGGGGGATATCGGAGGACCGCGGCAGGCCCCAGTAGCCGGTGAAGACGCGCCGAGCGTATTGGATGATGAGGCGCTCAGGGTTGCCGTCGGCTGCTGGCTGGTGATGCAGCAGGGGCCGGGTACTGTATGATCGACCATCTTTCCCGAACCTGTGACGGAAATGAGAAGCAAAATCTTGAAAGGTTTACCGAGGGAAAGGGGCTTACTCGTCGGCATTCCAAGACTCGGCTAGGGTACGGATCAAATCTGGCCTCGTCCTTGCCAGCTCATTATACACGTGCCAACTGCTCGACAGGTAACTCTGACCGCCTTCGGCAGCCTCGCCGAGTGCGAAGAGCGCAATCACGTCGCCCGAGTCCGTGTGGAAAACCTGCTTGTCAGTCGTGTAGGCCGGCGCCCCAATCTTGTGCGGGTCCACGACCTTGGTGAGGTCTTTGATGTGTGCCAGTACGACATCGGCGGGTTGACCCTGAAACTGGTTGTCTTGTCTGCCGCGGATGGGCGCGACGTGGGATGAGATGCCCGCGTAGATGATGACGTTTTCTTCGCGAGTGTATTTGGTGACCGGGACGCCGCGTACGACCTTGATGCCGTGGCCGTTGTGGATCTCGTCCGAGATCTCGCGGAGGGTCTTGTGGAGGTGGGGTAGGGGGAAAGTTTCTTGATTGATCTCTCCAAGCGGCTTGTTCAATGCTGCGCTTAAGGTGAGTTTCGAGATCTGGCGAGAATGAGGTACTAGGAAAGAATGGTTGACAGATTCACGTACACTTGAAGTGCTGAAGCGCATCATCGACCTCCTTCTTGTCCGCGTCCGTCAAGACGTAGTTCCAGTCATAGTGCTCGGCCAAGGTTTTGCCATCCCATACCAGCTTCGACTCCAGCTTCTGGGGAAACCCTGCGGGCAAAGTTGTTGCCAGCTTTTCCTGCTCCTGGCGTCGCTTTGTTCTAGCAACAAAGTTGTCATGATTGGGGGCGTACCCAATGTCCGGTTGGCCCGGAGGACCTGCGTGAACTGGAGCTTGAACAGCAACTGCGGCCATTGTGATGATTCCTGGGACTAAAACTTTGGGCTGATTTCTCTGCGGCACTGATGGTCTGCACTTATCTAGTGATGAGAAGAGGGGTTACATGTGTTTTTATCATTCGAGATCGACTCCGCATCGAACAACAGACGTTGACTTCATCTGACTCAAGCATTCGGCTAAGGGGGACTTTGAATGGCATAAAAGACAGAGGTGTCATACGAGGCGGGTAATACTGATCAAGACTCCCGCTGCGTCGGCAACAGGAACCAATCACCGCCCTAGTGTTGCGCGTTGCATTTGTAAGACGATCCCCCCCTTTCCACGTCAGCGTTGGGGAAACGGGTTAATCTCGAATCCTCAGTGGCTGCTAGGTGTATTCACATGGTTTGCCATCTGGCGCTGGAAAGACGTCATGCCGAACCTCTTCTAAATTTGCGGGGATCCCTGAAACGCAAATCGGCCGCGTTATCCTCCCGGGAATGTCGCCATCGGAAGCCAATTCCTTCTGGTGGGGGATTTTGCGGACAATCTAGCTGATAAGCGGCGCTATGGTACCTAGGTACCTTACATCGCACAGCAACTCAGACGGCAAGTTTCGTCAGTCCGGTTCCCGGCTGCCTTCCGTCCCGCCTGTGACTCCACCCCGCGTTTCCGCCCGTTTGCCGGCAGGATATCGGACCTGACGCGGTCCGGCCCGGCGAGTTCGGATAGCGATCCACATTAGCGGCGGGCCGTACTTTTCCAAGCCCGATCACTCCGAACATGCCGGAACACGAGGAAAACGATTCACAATGGCGAAGCTTCTTCTAAAAACAGCAGCCCTGTCCGATAGGAAAGGAAAATGTTTTATGGTCAATATCCCTTCCCCTTCACCCGAATTGAATTACCATTGCGGCTGAGTTGGGAGTTCCTCTAATTTCGATAAAAACTAGCTCCGGTCGAAGCTTCTGACCTTTTTCTACCTGGTAAAGCAAGTAATAGTTGATCCAGAGTATGAATTAAGTAGATCAACCCCTGACTACCGGCTCAATCACAATTACTGATAGGGACTCTTGGCCACCAATGGTGCATTGGAAGCGGGAATCGGCCATGGCATCATCACTTTCATTGGCCAATTCACCACGTCGCTTCAACCCATATGGCGCTGCTTCTCCATCCCAGTCTTGGCCCTCGCCGGTGCTCCCATCAAACCCCGCATCCTAGACCCTGCCCCTCTCCAGCTCAACCGAATTGGCTTCCGGGAAGATTCGATACGACCATCTTGGCATTGCAAGTTTTACAAGCATTGAGAAGATAATGCTTCACTTGCATCGAATGCGCCCAAGGAGGAAGGTGCTGGGGAGCGGGGAAGATCTGGTGATATATTTATGGGAGATCCATCGCATGTCGCGGTAGGATGAGCTCCGCTATATGGCTTCTTTTCTAGTGATCTCTGAATATCGTGCATCAAACAGCTTCCTGAGATTAACGGAATGAGGAATAAACTGCATTTGATTGCCCTCGTGGCGGCACTCGCTTATCGTTCGCTTGCCCAGTTTCCACCCACTCCCCAAGGAGTTACTGTCTTGAAGTCCAAGTTTGATGAAGGCATAGAAATCAGCTACAAGGAGGCAAGGCTTGATTCGAGCAATCTGAGTGATAAGAACTGACCAGACTCCAGCCCGGTTTGTGCGAGGAAGCCAAAGATGTAAAGTCCTACGCTGGATACATCAAGCTGCCACGTGGGACACTCGAAGGGGTTGGCCAGGAGCAAGATTACGAGATCAACACCTTTTTCTGGTTCTTTGAGGCCAAGGAGGATCCAGAGAATGCGCCTCTTTCGATTTGGATGAACGGCGGTCCCGGTAGCTCGTCAATGTCTGGTCTATTCAATGAGAATGGGCCCTGCTACATCAATGCAGACTCCAACTCGACGCGGCCAAGCGAGTGGTCATGGAACAACAAAGGTGAGTATGACAGACAGTCACAGAATTTTAGCTATTCCTCACACCAGGCAGTCAACATACTGTACATCGACCAACCCGTTCAAGTCGGCTTCTCGTACGACTCGCTGCGAAACGTCACCAGGAACCTCCTCGGAGGCACGCAGACTCTGAACGCCTCATCTCCGATCCCGGCACAAAACGTCACCTTCCAGACCGGCACGCTGTCCAGCGGCGGAAGAAACACGACGAGCTTCGGCAGCCGCAACGCAGGCATTGCCCTATGGCACTTCTCCCAGGTCTGGTTCCAGGAGTTCCCGGGATACCACCCCAACGACAACCGCATCAGCATCGCGACGCAGTCCTACGGAGGCCGGTACGGCCCCGCCTTTGCAGCCTACTTCCAGGAACAGAACGAGAAGATTGCAAACGGCACCTGGAATGGTACGGACGGCGAAAAGTACATCTTGAATCTGGATACTCTCTTGATCGTCAACGGTTGCATTGACCGCCAAGTGCAGTGGCCCTCGTACCCAGAGATGGCGTTCAACAACACATACGGCATAGAAACGGTCAACGAGACTGTGTATCAGGGCATGCTTGACGCTTACTACGCAAAAGGAGGCTGTCGCGACAGAATCGACGCGTGTCGTCAAATCTCCGCCGTGAATGACCCAGATAACATCGGCATCAACGCCACCGTCAACGACGTCTGCAGAGACGCGGAAACATACTGCACCGCCAACGTCCGAGACCCCTACCTCGATGTCTCGGGGCGCGATTACTACGACGTGACGCAAATCGACCCCACGCTCTTCCCGCCCCCCTTCACAGCTGGCTACCTCAACCAACCACATGTCCAATCCGCCCTCGGCGTCCCTCTCAACTGGACAGGCAGCTCCAGCGCATCCTCATCCGCCTTCCGCAGCATCGGAGATTACCCCCGCCCCGGCTGGATCGAAGACATTGCCTATCTCCTCCACAGCGGCATCAAGGTCTCCCTCATGTTCGGCGACCGCGACTTTGCATGCAACTGGATCGGCGGTGAGAAAGTAGCCCTCGCGATTCCCTGGGCGGACCAGGAGAACTTTGCCAAGGCGGGTTACCAACCGCTGCAGACCAACGCTACCTACGAAGGCGGCCAGGTACGGCAGTACGGCAACTTGTCGTTCATCCGGGTCTACCAGGCCGGACACGCCGTGCCGTCGTACCAGCCGGAATCCGCATATCGGATTTTCAATCGTGCGCTCTTCAACAGGGACATTGCCACGGGCCTTGTCGATACCGCGACGAACTTGACGTATGCTACCGAGGGGCCCGCGGACACGTTTAGTATCAGGAACGACGTTCCGCCTCAGTATGCGGGTTTCTGCTACGTTCTTGACCTGAGCACGTGTAGCGACGAACAAGTTGATGCTCTGCGTGATGGTACGGCCGTCATTAAGGATTATATCATGATTGAGCCGGCTTCGCAACAGGACGCTGCGATTGGTTTGAAAGCTAGAGACACGTGAGTTGAACCGATGGAGGTTTAGATGAAGTTCTGATGCTAACTTTTCAAATAGTCTCGATGAGAAGTAAGCCGGGCTTAGGCTTGTGGCTATTGAGAAGTCAAATAAACATGTAGTACAATGCACGTATACGTTTTACCTGAAAAGCTTCTGTTGGCATTTCTACCTTTTTGATATGATCAAAATGTTATGCCCTTGCTGTGGTAGCAGTTGAGAAGATGATTTTGTCCCTGCATCTGCGTTAAATAGGTATAGAACACCCATCTATTCATCTATCGCTACAAGCGATACGTCAGCTTTCATATATCGAACCGGAACTAAACTCTCATTAAAACGTATAATGACCTATATCGGATTTCTAACTCTACTTTAATTCTCTTATGTTCAGCTCAGCTAGGTGAATGTTAATAATTTCTTTGCCACGCTACCTATTATTCATAAGAGGGGGGAAAGCTCTCGTTCAAGTTTCAGAAAGTGCTCAAACATTGACGAATATACAGAATAGAGAGTTACAAGCTTAAGAATAAACAGTCTCTGTACTGGTGATATAGTCTTATATAAAGACTTCATCAAACTCTACCAAATTGCCCAGATTACCTGGGGACTTCGAAGCAATTTCTATTTCTATGAAGTAGTAGTTGGAACCTGAGACGAGATTTGACTTGAAATTAGAAGCGGTGAATTTGACAACAGACAAAACTTTGGTCTCCTGGCCTTACCAACGATGCGAGGAGTTTTACACACTAATCTGACTAAATACATTAAAAAGATTTCATCCCAGTTCCAAGCGCCGCACAATGCCCTTTTGATATGGTTGAATGAAAAGGAAAGGGGTTATTCTCTACGACATCGATGGCGATTTTCACTCGTTTTCTTTTGGAAAAGTCTGATTTGGTTCATTGATTTTTCGCTGCTTGTGGTAATGCCTTTGAACCACCAACCCTGCCATTCGTCTAGCTCTTAGTTGTGTCCAGTTAGGGATCAGTGACATGTACGTTTCCCACCGCTTTTGACTGGCATGTTTGCACTCTAGCTGGTTTCCGTTTGCTACGGTGTCCTCCTTGGCTTTTGCTCATGGTATCATTGAATCAATTTATGTGCCTGTAAGCCCTTCAATGAGAATCAATTCAAAGTCAAGGACCAAGACCTTAAAATTCATTCAAATCATGTTTCTCAGAGGTGCGCATCGTCCTTCACGAGTTTTGCAACCATTTGGGTGGAGCACGAATCACCGAAAGTGCACGTTGTGACGAGGCCCAGAAAACCCCTCGCTAACCATCCTACCTGCTATCTAGGTACTAACCTAACCTACCATAAGATATGCACAGCACAAGTTGCCAGTTCATCACTGCATAACATTGACAAACAAAATCCAGCAGACCAAGTCATGCATGCGTCAAATGTGCAAAACCTCTTGCCTCACCGTCGCGGCGGAAAAGTGTGAGATAGTCCGCCCTCTAAGCGCCTCTCCGCCCGAAAGTTGCCTTACATGATGGTGAGCACAGTAGTGCGAACTGGTTCGCCAGGAACCCACCTTCAAGATATTGAGCTTATTCTGGTTTAAGTCAGAATGCCAGACCCCATCAAATATGCACGGTACTTTATCGTGACTGGTCAACCTATCATGCATCTCATTCCCCTCCCCCTGGTAGAATTGTCTTACTTGGATTGGTCGGCATGACGGAATCTCACCTGCAGCGAGTTCGTTGGCAGACCCCGTCAGAAATATCAGCGCAAACCCGTCGCACAATTCATAAATCGTTCGACTATGCCGAATGCCGATGGCTGTTGCGCCGCAAAGTGTTTGCATACATGTATATTCACGCCAGACCGCTTCCCCATCCCCGCTTCCCCCCCGCCTCCCGAGTTCTCGTCAGATTGACGGGTGCCACTGCGCGCCGACTATCATCGCCGTTGGTCCTTTCGGACCGGACTCGAATGCCGTTGTCGATATGCCTGAACAGCCGACGCCCGAGCAATGGGAGAGGCACAGGCCCCTCATTACCAAGTTATATGCCACCAAAACCCTCAAGCACATTAAAGATGAGCTGCACAAAAGACATGGGTTCTATGCAACGTAAGGATTGCCGTCTAGCCCGTCCGGGTCACTTAGTTTGATACCGCGTATGCTGAGAAAATATTTCCAGAGAGCGCATGTACAAGGGGCGGTTCAAAACCTGGGGCATCGGGAAGAACAAACGACGCAAGGCGCTGCTCCCTGGAGACAATGATCCCCAGTTGAAGCCGGCCGCCACGGCCCCCAGCAGTGATACTCCAAGCCCTTCCTCCCCGCCCATCGAACTGTCCAAATCCTTCTCTTTTGTATTGACGCCGCCGGGGCAATCGCCTCATCATTCCCATTCGGGGTTTGACACACGCTCTACGACATATGTCGATACACCACACTCTGGTACCCTCCCACCGACGCCAGCGACGACATACCGATCACAAACTGCACACGATCATGAGGATATAAACACAGATCCTGACATACTTTGCAAAGAGATTGTGACACTGGCCACGCTTATCCTCTCAAAACTCGTACCGGGGAGACCATCAACGGCTGCATGGGACGACTACACCCCGACCAGTGACCACCTCGCGATTTACCAAACGCTGCAGCAAGAGCTCAAGCATGAAAACCATCTGCGGGGCTGTCTTGTGAATAATCCGTCGGTGGAAATAAAGCCCGAAATGAATGACCATGTCAAGGAAATGCTACGATCCTTTCACCCTGCGGTCCCGATTGGAATCCTCAGCGCGTTGAACCAAGTATCAGACAACGGCGTCGTCATTAAGGAGCTAACACGTTGCCTGGGGGAAGCCGCTATGGTCATTCTGCCGAGAAATCACGAATTTGCTCAACTGGTCCAGAGACTGCAGCAACTCCTCCAAGCCAAGGTCTTCCCAAAGGCTCTTCCAAATTTCCAAGCCTGTATGGAGAGCATTTGCGACAAGCTCCAAGTCAACGTACTCAAAGTCCTCGGCCGATGGAGCCTGGTCATGATATACCTCATTTTCTTACTTAACGCCAAAAAAGCAAAAAGCGAACAAAAGGATCCAAAGATCCTCAACATGGCCTTGGAGCGATACACCCACGTCCGGTCCTCTTACGCGGACGACCCGAAGCTGGTTATGCAGTTTGGCCACTTCATCCTAGGCTACTGCGTCCTCGTTGCCTCCGAAATGGAACTAGCCAACGGCGTGCGCGACATGGCAGAGCAATGCTACCATCACGCCGAAACGTACCTTCTAGAGCTAGAGGCCTCGTCGAACCCCAAAACCGCAGACATCCAGGACGCGAAATCGCATTTCGGTAAAGCGTGCGCCATGCTGGCGGACTGCCGCTACGCGCAGGGCCAGCAGGTGTTGGACGAGACGCTCCGCAAGGAAGTCCACGACTGGTCGCGGAGGCTTATGTTGATGTCGATTCGGTGTCACGTCGAAACAGCCATGGCGACGATGGCGCAGTATGAGAAGCACAAGAGTAAGCTTGAGAAGTGGTGCAGGGATGCGGGCGACGTGGAGAGGAAGCAACAGTTGGATGTTATCCACAAGCTTATCCAGGCGAACGCGCAACGGTCCATGGACGGGCCTCTTCTTCCGAGGTTTGAAACTTGAAGAGACTGACTGACACGTGAGAAGGCCTAAAAGAAAGACAAAAGATATCCTCCGAGGAAATGTGAAAGTCTGGCTCTAAAGCGGAGTAAAGAGGAAAAGTTGGGGGCCGTGCGAGTTGGAATTTCGATGTGAATTATATCCAAGAAAAAAGTGTTGTCATTGTGGGAACTTGACGATGGATACGTGTGTAATGCAGAATGTGTCATTGATACGGCGTGGGCTGGAGCAGTCGAATATTCACGAATAGGTATGATCCACTCAACTGTTGGACCAAGCAATTACTCTCAGATTTGCGGATTAGTGGACTACGCCGTACGTCATGTCGTCTCTTCTCCACGTTAATTTATTCAAGTGCGGACGACAAACAGCGCTCGGTGGGTCTCACCTGGGCTCACCGAGACTCACCGACCACACCCCAGACAAAAATAGACAAATCTTAAGTTTAATGTTACGCGAGAGCGGCCTTATGGCGATCAGATCTACCACTAAGCTAATCCAAGCTTCAACTCACCAAGGCACTCAAAAGCTAAGCATTCCAGGCACGCCGGCGCTGACCAGGCGTAGGAGAAGTGCAGGTAGTAATGCACATTTAGAGAATCATCATACATTGTGCGCGTCAATTTTCCCTTTTCTTTTTTTTTTTTTCGTCTTGTGGCTGTTCTGTTCTCTTGTGAAGAATACAGCAGTGTCTGAAATTCACAGTAGATGCTATGGCAAAGGATATACATAGTTGAGCGTTGGTTTGACAATGGGCCTCGCGGAACTCTACAAAAGACCCTATGCAGTAAGGATGCGTCTAACAGCGACACCAACCTCACCATCGGAAAAATGGCCCGAAGTAGAAGCGTCAGTCTGCCAGAGCCGTTTTCCATCACAATCATCCTCTTCGTCGTTATGTCAGGTGAGACCAGCTAGCAACCCCATCCACCCAAGTCAGAAGGTACCTAACTTAACGACGGCCCAATGCCGCCCTGTCGGATTGGAAGCCCAATTCGACCTCGAGTCAACGCCAGCGCAGGGGCCATCTAAAGGTCTCTATATCAGCATTTGACCGGCGATCTAACCTACGGTTAGAACCTCTCTTTTCTACTTCACGCAAAGATCAATACAAAAGTAATTGACCCTTCGTCACCACGGTTCGATCGAACAAATCACCCTGTGATTACGTAAACCAACACGCCCGATGAACGAGCGAGATCCTTGCTTCTATACTGTGGCATAGAATGCCCCTCTCGAGATCGAGGCCCAGGATCCCTTGAACCGACGACACCGCGATCGATTTCCCATAGCCCGCGGTGCCGATTACGGTTTTCACGCCGGCGATATGCGTAGACACAACGGTGTCATTGCAACTCTGCCTGCTGCTCGGGGTCGCTGCCGGCCTCCCAAATCTATCCCGGAGCCGAAGCGACACAAGCAGGATAGACAGTAAAGCAGTCTTCTGTTAACACTGGATATGTAGCGTCTTGGTGAGAAAGGCAGCACCTAGTACTCAACCATCGATTGCTGAATCATCTTTCCGATCCAACTCGGCTCATTCCTGTCGTAAAATCCCAGGTCTACACAGCGTTCCTCACGAAGAGTTGGCGTCCTGCACATCTTCCTGAAAGTTGGCTAAGTGGATTCATCGTAGGAGTAATAGCCTAGGCACTTCTTTTTCTTTACAAGTGGCTGTTAATGGAGAACTTCCTTGACAAGATTTGGGCGGGCTATCGCATACATTTTGGAATCAAGCCATTTACGGATGTGTAACGGTAGGTTTGTTTTCTGCGTTACTTTGCTTTCTATACGCTGCCGCAACCTACTTCTTCGTACAAAGGTCTCGGTCTGGACCCCACAGAGCTTCCATTGAACCCTATGTCTTGATCGCTTAGCCTCATCATACAACATCATTGCGCCATTTCTTAAACATCTCATTCCTTCGCAATACCAAACTCATTAACATACGTGAGAATTTCCTGAGCCACCACTGCAGTTAAAATCGGCACATGTTCGTGGCTGATACCAACGGAAATTCGGAGGAAAGGGTCCGTATTTTCGGCCATCGAAGAGCTGGCTGAGATCCTTGACGTCGAAAACCCAAAGCTCACCCCTTTGGTGATGGGGAGACCTACTTTGGTTGAAGTCCGCAGCACCAAGTCTATACATGCCTCCAGACCCTCCCGGTTGTTCAGGCCAGCGTTGAGGAACTCTACCGTGACAAGGGCACCCCCGTGCCGCCAGCCGAGCTCACGCCACGACTCGGGGAATGCGACCTTGGCTACATGTGAGATGCGTTCCTTGAGACCGTAATATACTGACTCAGCATTGCGAGTCAGCATCTGGAGCCGTTCTTCGTATATTTTCGGCGTCAGAGACGGCAGGCATGCCACCCCATGGCGGGACAGTACGCCTCCTGTATCCCGCCTGATTTTCCGCAAAGGCTCGTCCAACCGTGAGGGTGCCACGCAGAAACCGGCCATCTGGATGTCCAAGCCGAGCTGGGCGTACTTACTGGCGCTCTCATGGTACAACACCATCGGCCCTCGTTCGCTGCTTGACACCCAGTCGAACACAGACAAGCCGCCGGAAATCATGGTCCCGTCAACAACAACAATGCGATTTTCCCACCCAGGTCGCCCTGCCACCCTTTTGAAAAACGCGCGCAGGTCTGTGCATGGCAAGCCGACTACGTTTGCCACAGGGTCTATGAAGACCACACGCGCCCCCGTCTCCTCGGCCGTACAGATGATCTGGTCAGCGTGGAATCCTGGGGCGAAGTTGACATTGATCATCTTGTTCATGGAAACGATTTGCTCCATGGCCTCGAAATAGATGTAGGGCGGTAGGGTGATACTATCACCTGGTCTCAACTGGTGCATGACGTATTGCCACACGATCTGGAAGGCCGCCATGCCGCTGGATGCCAACAGCAAGGTAACAGACAGCCTGTCGTTTCCAACAGATTGAGATGACAAGGACATGGTACTACGCAGAAACATAAGCTCAGCGTCGCGTAGAGTGTCGACGCCATAGCGGTCGTAATTGCAAGCTGACTGGTGTTGCGCTGTAGTCCGGAAAAACCACTGCCTCTTCGCTTGGTCGTTTGAAGCTGAGGCGCGCTCGCCCATGGACTCCGCCGCGGCAAAGCAGACGATGAGGGTACGGTAACGCTCCTCTAGAACCCACAGAGGCTCTTTCCTCTGGATAGCATCATTGAACTCGATAACCATGCGTTGCACGATTGACACCATATTCTCCAGAACGCCCTCGCTGTATCGGTCGACATCCAACCCGAGCTGACTAGACAGTTGGCTCCTCTGCTGAACAAGATCTTGAAATGTTGCTACTCGCTCACGCAGGCCGTGACACAAGGCATCCATCAAGTCTTCGGGTGCGATCTCAGGCGTCATGTGTGAGACATGGAGACCATTCTTGCTCAAGGCTGCTGCACTTCCATTCAAGACCGGAAGTGCCTCAACTGGGGCCTTCCTTGCCAGATCGTCCAAAGCACCATTGCGGTCGGCGGGATTCGTTACGTTACGAAGGCCCATCTTCTGTCGAGCAATGGGATCCGCAACCTGGGCTGTAAGAGCACGAGCAATATTGTTGGAGCTCAGGTTACCGCCGGTTAAGAGAACCAAAGTTCTTCCTTTGAGATCATGCAGCGGGCCATGAGATATGGAGGATATGGCTGCAGCCGATGATCCCTCGAGAAGCAGCGATTGGTATCGAAGTACTGATGCGATGCCCATCAGCACCGAGTCCTCTGACACCTCGACGACCTTATCAACGAGGGAGTCCAGTATGTCGGCAAATTGCGTCGGCCGCACGAGCTGCACCGCCAGCCCGTCACACAGTGTTGCCTGGGTTGGCTGGTGTAGCATATGGGAGAGCGTAATACCGCGATTCGCTCCGTCCTCGAGCGACCTGCAAAAGATTTTCGGATGGACGCAGATGACTTTGGTAGACGGAGCGTTGGTCCGGCACCACGATGCCACAGCGGCGGTGAGGCCGCCGCCGCCGAGCGGCACGATGACTTGGTCGAAGGGCCCGGCATCCTCGAAAGCCTCGGAGATGAGTGTACCGGCACCGGCCGCCACCTCGAGGTCATCGTATGGCGAAATATATTGAATCGCGGGATGACCCGTTCTATCACAGATGTTTGCAGCTTTCTCAATGCGGATGGCCTCTCGTGTCGCCTCAGCAAGATCGTTGCCATAGAAGATGACCTCGTCAGCCTCGGCCAAGATGCGGTTTGCTTTGAGCTCTGAGACGGTCACAGGCACTATGATCTTTGATGTCTTGCCTACAACCTTTGCCGCGCGGCAGATAGCCAGTGCGTGGTTACCAGCTGACGCGGTGACGATGGTGGGCGCGGCTGTCATGAGCAGGGCATTGAGTGCTCCTCGGTATTTGAATGAGCCGGTCTCTTGTTGACATTCAAGCTTCGCCCAGACACGGTGGGCATTGCTTCCCATCCAATGAAGTTGAATCGTCGGCGTGCGAATGACCTTGCAGGAGAGTCTGTTCTGGGCCTTGATAATCTGTTCCGCAAGGCATGAGGAGGTTACCTGGTACAGGGACCGTTCTTCGTGGCTGGATTGTGTCATTCTCTAGTCCCAGAATAGTACTGGGATCGCGGTTTTGGTCCGTCAGGTCGTTTCAATTCTGGGGATCTTGGTGCTCAGCGCTTGGAAAACTTAAAATGTTGACCGTGCCAAAGATAGCAATGTTTTTCTCTCAAACTATGTATCTCTTAAATATTTTGTAAGAATCTGTTCGGCGCTACTCTGCGTGCTATGAATGAAGCATTCGCAGAAACCATCTGTCCCTTGCTTCTGCTCGCCCTGAGCGACGATCGCCAAATGTGACAGGGGAACCTCAAATGAGCAGCTCATGTGATACCACCGCAGGCCGGTGACGCCGTCTCGAAATCATATTAAAGTGAAACCATTCTTTCAAGTTTCTTTCAAGTATCTCTGGCTTGAGGGAATTGAGTGAGATCTCATTAATTGCAGGCGAGAGTCTAGCCAGTCAATGTGCATATCGAGCGCTTTCTGTGGGCTGACTGCCTTTCCTCAAGATGCTTGTCCAGGTGGTTCACTCGTAGCTGCCATGAATCAAGAAAGATAAGCTGCATCATTACTGAAATTGAACAAATCATCAGTGGACGAGTCATAGACCATGTTCACCGGTCAACGTAAGACTGAATCGTAATTCAGAGATTGACGGCTTCGCATTGGTGAGTCGCAGTAGTGATGTATTTCATCAGAGTGAACACTCAATTAGAAATTCTATTTTTCTCTTGAAGAATAGAATGATTGACACGCGTCGTCAATATGGTTCTCTGTGCGCAGGTAGAAGAAGCTTGAGATGCCCTTGGGCTTGCCGATAAGCAACATGATTCGGGAGCCCTGTCCCTTCACCCAAACCAGACATGATCATGATGCCGGGGTATCCGGTCTTTAGAACTAATCCGGAGTTGATGAGATTGCTAACCGTAATCCCTGTAAGGCCAAGTCTAGATACAAGCAAGAAATGGGGGAATATCGCTCAACTCCCGATACCCTTGATGCTAACCCAGCACGATGGCCCATGGGGAGAATGGTCGCATCAAAACCGTACGCAAATTCCCGGCCCCACGCGTGCAACCTTTGCTGCCCACAGAGTCACGAAAGACACGGCGTACAGAGCACCCGTTAGGACGATGATCCCCCAATAATCACCCCGTGAAGCTGTTATAACCTCTCCGCTGACGGGAATTCCGATCAGGCTCCCGATACTGGCAATGGTGTAGGCCGTCGCATAGTATCGGCCGTAGGACTGAGTCTTGCACAGCTTTCCGACGCAAACGGGGCTGATGCTGGTGGTGTTCCCGTTTGCCAGACCGAATATGACGACAAATAACGCGATTCCCGCGGTTTTCGATCCGAAAGGTAGCCAGATGGCAAATGTGGCAGTAGCGCTGACCACGATGGCAACCGAATTGGAGTTGAAAACGCCGATGCGATCTCCCCACCAGCCGGCCATGACACGCCCGACTGCACTGGCTGCATTGAATACCGGTAGTATTTGGAAACTGATGTCAGAGTTGAATCCCTCCTTCAACATGTATGCCGGTATATACGTCAATGGTATGAATCCTGCGAAAAATAGCAGGAAAATGCTCAATGTCGTCAAAGCAAAGGCCGGATCAGCCAGTATCCGGAAATCAGGGCCCCATTTCGCATCTTTAGGAGGTGCAAGTCTGGCTCTGACCAGTGGCAAGGACGAAGCGCAACAAAAGAGGCAGATGAAGCCTACATAGCGGACGGCCCAGGACCACCCAACAGAGTCAATCAGCGCATTGAGAATCATAGGAAACGCGATGCCTCCAAACGCGCCACCGGTCGTAGCAATTCCAGTCGCTAGGCCACGACGCCTGTGAAACCAGTGGCCTACGGTAGCAATTGAGGGACTGAACAGAGGAGACGTTCCAATGCCGTTCAGCACGCCAAAGGTGAGCATAAAATGCCAATATTCTGTCAACGTCAGCGGCCGAAATACACGACATCCAATGATGCCAGTGTGTATAAGACTGGAAAGGAATATTGCTATGAAAACAACCTACCGGTACAAATGCCAAGAAGCATAATGCTGGCGACTTGACACCCCGATCCAGTCAAAATGAGCTGCCTGGGTCCGTACTTATCGAACAAGGGCCCGGCAAAAATGCCGCAGGCGAAACTCAAGAAGGTGTAGACAGAAAACACCCACCCGATGGTACCCTCCTCATACTTTGACAGCTGGTGCGAGCCTATGTAGGTGCTAAACACGCCCAGACTGTTCATGATGCCAGATGCTGAGAAAAGAACCAGCCAACACCCGAGAACTACCAGCCATGCCCAGAGTCCTCCTTCTGGAAACTGTTCTTGGACGACCTCGTCAGCCAGGTTCGTTACGTCAGCGTTGTTAGCGTTTAGCTGCTTGTCTGATATCGACGGTAAATTTGGAAGTTCGGCGCCCTAATCATCTGGCGTGAACAATGCTCTCAAACAGTGTTCTCTGCCTCACAAACTTCACTTATCGGATTGAAACCCATTTTCTATAGCTTCAGTCGTTAAGAATTGTCTTGTACACTTCATTCACACTACCATGATGAAAGATCAGGGGCTGACTGTTTAGTTAAATAGAAAAAGTGGCAATTAATTTGTTCGGGCACAGTGTTATCAGCGCGATATATAAGTCTCAAAGTGCCAAGGTGGGAAGAAAGAAGTAGCGCGAGTAAGAGCCCTTGTAGATCAGACCCCTTCTAATGAACGCTGAATGCTTTCTTCAAGGGTACCCTGGTGCTTTGAATTGTGCGGGTTTTTCCGCTCAAATTCGAATGAGGCTCGGCACCTTCGGTACAGTCAACGTTCCATCATTAACCAACTATTAGAGCAGCGCCTAAACGCTGCCACGGAAACACCGTTGTCGCTCATAAACTCATAGGGAAAGTCACACTCATCACAATGCGTATTCGCGAAGCCCGATACTCTGAGATTGGCAGACTTGCTCTCATCGGAGCACGCGCCTTCTTCAAAGATGACATTTACGCACATTTCTATCCACAACGGTCGTTATACCCGGACGCATTTTGCGAAGGCATTTCTGCCAGTCTGCTCGATGTTTTCACCCAGCCCGGCGCCAAGATTCTCGTTGGGGAACTCGAGGACGGCGACAAAATGCCTCCCCCAGATCCTTCTTTGGTGGGCCAGAAGATTGTAGGATACCTGACGCTCGTTCGGCATGGAAGCCCAGAGCAAAAGGCCCATTTTGACGCCGACAGTCCGGAAAAAAGTAAGTCATGTTTTAGGAGCATATCCCAGCATGATTGCTTCTCAGTTGACGAGGTCTTTTGATATTGATTATTTGTGGTGGCAGCCCTTTATCGGAACCTGCTCGTACGGGAGAAACAGCTTGTGCCGAACAAGGCCATCGACCAAGCAGCTATTGACGATTTCGTCGCAAAGCAACGGCTCGTCGTCGGCTCCATCGACAATAGGTTGGAAGCTGTCTCTTTTGCTATTCTTCCAGAGTTTCAATCAATGGGCTATGGTCTACGTTTTCTACGACTCTGCCGAGATATGGCCAACACAATTGGGGTGGATTTAGTGGCCGATGCATCCAAGAAAGGGTTTCCGATATACATCAAGTTCGGTTCACAACACATCGGAGACATTGACGTACCGGCCAAAACGATTCAAGCGGACGACTCGTCACTCATTCACCTTCCTCGGCTAAAGGTTCCTGTAGTTCGTCTTCGTCCAACGTCCAAACCTCGGATCTGAGGGCAGGGTAGACGCGATTTACAGCCTCATTGACTGTCATCTGCTCACATATGCGTCGCAAAATAAACTTATACGCCCATTGTTCATTTCATGTGCACCGCTGCTAAGAAGACGTCGCCTGATTACTCAGCGCTTATCTCACCACTTCGACAACCACCTCCGGCTGCGTTCAGCCGGTAGAGCGTTGGTTTCACATTATTCAATATGATTCTGTGATCAGACAGAGGTATCCAAAAGCTGAGAGTGAGAGCCTCGCCGAGGACAATCTTATGCCCGTGGCGGCGAATTCATTAAAAAAAGATTTTCCTGGGCTTGGGCTTGGAGGGGCCCAGTGATGGCGTGGTGAGTTTAGACCATGAGGCCGCCATCGGATCAGACTATAAATGGATAAAGGATTGAAAAATGTGAAATGTAGCAATGTGTGCTGCGCAACGACCTCTGCTTGTGACATGCTCTCGATCACGCCAGCACATACCTCACTCGTAGGGCACCACTGGTTACAGTAGAAAACTTTTAGTCCCGAATTCGCTTAGTATCCCCTTGCTTTGAGAATTCTCAGGGGGTGAGTTCCAAGTGTCTAGTCACCGGAAAAACGCAATGCCTAGTTACAGCACAGCTAGGTAGGTCACGGCAATTCCCCTAGAGCAACAGCTGCGTTGCTGCGCTACTACGGCATTGTGAAGCCATCCGGAGCGGCGTTATTACCGAAATCTTCTATATTCTACTAAACCCACACACAGGCATCACGTGCTCATGAATGTGCTCAAGAGCAAAATTAGCACTCCTGGGAGCGAGCGTGGCCAATCCACGATGGTATAAGTGACTAACAGGTACGAGTATTAGAGATAGCTAACTTAAGTCAGGCATATCTTTACCGAAATGAGATATGGGATCATTTGTTATAATTATAAAATATTACTAATAAACATACCGATATCTTACAACGAGACGTAGCGTTGGGGGGTGAAGCTGAGTCATTCGTTAAGAGAGGATGTATCTGATTCTTTAGAGTCCGACAGAATCGTTCCCTCCTGACTTGAAGGGTGGCAGAGAAACGAGTGAGGCATATCCTCTGGTGTCTGACTCGATCTCAAAACAGAGGGGAGAGGGATGACCTATAACTTGAAATCCGAAGTGCATCCGTTAAAGGAGTATTCCCTACTTCAACGTAAATAATCCAAGGACGCTAAAACTAGGAGGAAAGGCCTCGGGGTGGCCTGATACTGACCCCACGAGCAACCACAGCGCTGGAAAGAATTAACATAGAGGACATATAGAGATGAAAACTATTCGTATAGGCTTCTAAGTTATTATAACTTATAAATACAGATTACTTAATATAAGTTATTTAAATAGCTATTATTATAGAAAAGTGTTATTACTTTAGTTTTAAATAATATAAAACTTTACGATTTACAAAGTGGCTATAATAAATGGATTGATAAAAAGGTTTAAGTTTAATAATGTCGGATTAGAAGCCCAATTCGACTTCGAGTCAGCGCCAGCGCAGGGGCCATCTAAGGGTCTCTACATCAGCGTTCAACTGACGGTCTAGTCTCCGGTAAGAACCTCTATTTTCCACTTCACTCAGAGATTAATATATAGTTAATTGACCCTTCGTCACCACGGTTCGAATCGAACAATCACACCTATAACACGTAAACCAACAAATGAAGTTAGGTCTAGTATTAGTTTAAATTTAAATAATGTATAACACATTTGAAAAGATTAAATATTTATAAATAAATAGAATATAAACACATAGATTTATAAAAAGTCTTATTTATAAGTTTATAATTCAAAACTTTAAAACTTTATAATATATTTATTTTTAATGTATGTAATCTATATTACTTAATTAACTATTAAGTAATTAAATAATAAGTAGAAAATAAAGTAAATGCTCAATGAAGACACTTTTATCTACTTTGACTAAACCGTTAGCTGGGTTGGTCGTAGCAAAGGCGATTAGAAATGGCCAAGATTTACCGATTTAATCAGGCTGACCCGACTTTGGTTGGCCTTGAGATTGTACAATCTGCAACCTCTTGAATTCGCTTTGGCTATTCGCATCTTCGAGTTCAGATGCCCTGCGTTTCGCTCGCCATTGCACGTAAAAACTTTGAAGCGTGGGAACGTTGGTGCAGAGTCCTCCAAGCATAAGCTCGACGGTGCAGAACATAAAAGTCGTCAAGGAAGTGCCGGTCAAGTTACCGCCAATGTTGACAACTAGTAATTGCCAAAATCGAAAAATGCCAATGACGCAACACCTGTATGCCCGTTAGTAAAAATTAGAGAGAAAGCTCAGGAAAACATACGTGAGACCAATAGCGAAACAAGCAATAACAGCAAGCCTCTCTGTTTGGCGCATTTGTAATTGCCATACTGTCCGAATTGGCATAATGAAAACAAAAAAATCGGTTATGACGTTCGTCATAATAAGGCATTTCCCAACCATCATCTGGTCTAGGCAACGGGCACCGTCGTGACCCAATGTCCATTGTAGCGAAATAGGATTGCAGAGAAAGATGTTGAGGAAGATGAAGAGCAAAGCCCAGATAAAAACAATGCCGCCAACAATATAGATCCATTTACCAAGTTGTACTGCGAAAATTCTGGAATAGAACCAAAGTTGACTTAGTTTTAAACAGGCCAATGCCCCAATGTAAAACATTGAGAATACAAAAGTCATCTTTAAAATATATTCCAAGTTGTTGGCCACTACTGACTGAGTCAGGGGGTGGGCCTTTCTGAGGAGAACGAGGACCTCGATGCATCACTTACACTTGGGGTATAACTCAGACTTCGGATCGAAGTCGTGACCGACTCCGTGTGTGAACAGCGTTCCATTCACACCTATTGTGCCACAAGTCAATAGCTGTTACCTACATTAGCAAACGAAACATGTTGTCTTGAGCTATAGGGGCAACAAACCAAAGCAGCCAAAGCCAGAACGTCGTCTCCGCTGATCCCAATGCCATGATAACGTCCCCAAAACCGGCCAAAGACGATAGACGCAAAAACAATCCACAAGCAGCAAATGGCGATGAGCGAATCGCGTGCTCTGTGTACCATTGGCATGTACTCAGGCGGCAGCTTCGCTACCTCCCCTTCCGCTGACATGGTTATCTAGTGGGGGCAAATGCGAAGATTGCTTCGACTCGAGGATCGACAAGGAATACACCAATGAAACCTCAATACCCCACGACTGGGCAGACAGAACTGGCCGGGCCTCACAAAGATAATATACAAGATGAAGCATTAAGATCCAGTCGCATGCGCAGCTGAAACTTTCGTCTTGCCCAATTCTGTGTGGCCCAGTTAACGTTTTACGGATGTTGCGGATCCGCAGGATGAACTCAAGTTTAGCAGGGGATACCTCACCACCTCAGCCAGTAAGAAGTTGGGTAAAAAGAGCGATCATCCAGACTTCAGCGGAACGATGAGGCATACTGCCGATGGATGATGTATAATTAATACCAGGCTCGGCCTGTAAGTATGTTGCCGAATCACATGTTCCACATTTTGGTGGGGTATGTTGCGTGAAGATTAAAGACGATCAAGGTATCAACCGTATTGAAAATCAACTTTCTAGAATATGATCTTTCTGCTCGGAAAACCTCTCAGCGTCCACCATTTAACCTTTGAGGCTCGCAGCAAATTCGACGCTTACGAGTCAGAGCCTCTGCGTGAGCTTCGTCGGTTGTGAAGAACTCCAATAATTAGCTTTTGTTTCACAGTCATAGAGTTTCAAGTCTTTTTCCAATTCCTCAGAATCTCTGACTCGTGTACCAAAAAGTCAGGCCATGGGTTAAGCCAAATCGCTTTCACTCCGATCATATATACCTCACCATGCATGACATTCTTACGAGCTTCTCGCTAAGATAGCAAAGGTACGTTAGTTTGTTCTTGTTGAGCCGCCTCTTGAGAAGGTCATGGCCGATCGAAACGCCCCGCCTTGAGCACTGCTCATCGATGCAGACACAATTAGAATGCAGCCTACCATTGCCGACGACAAATCGGACATGGTGAGTACTTTAAGGTGACGGAGACAACACTGCACCTACCGATTCTCAATACAACCAATAGGTTCGCCATTCCCTATAGCCATTTTCTACGCAGGCATTTTGGTACCGCCTCTACATAACCTGATCCGAAGTCCTGAGCGAAACCCCTCTTTGGCCTGGACAAGTCTAAACGCGTCCAGCGTCGGAAAGTTTGATCATACTGAGAACCGAGGATGGTCACACCGGGTGCGATCGCAACGTTGCACGGCACGCTCTCGCTCTCCTCGACGTTGGTTGTCGAAGTAGTCTTTTCTGACCGTCGGCCGGCAGTACGTACACGTCCATTCCTCCAGTGAGAATCTGTCATCGCCCACGGAATCTGGACACTGGTCTGAATCTAGGACGAGCGGGAAGGGCTATGGTGGGTAGGCGACCTGAGAGCGGACTCGGATGCGATCAGTTTCACTATCTGTCTCTTATCGGAGAGCGCCACCATATCATTGGCATAAATTGCAATAGTTCGCCGCTCGTACAGTTAGTTGCCCGACTGATAGGAAAGGACACTAGTGAGTCGCACACGCTCGGCAATCCGCAAGTGGACTTCCGGCTCGTGGCACACCGCTTGTTCGTCGCCGTGAGCTTGTTTCTCGATATCCCAGGTTGGTCGACTATAAAAGTAGTATTCGCGATACTCCTTCACCACTTTTAGTTTGTGCTGGTTTCGCGTGGGTTGGATTTCCCTTCTAAGTTTCCGGATCTCGGCTTCCTCTTCCCCACCTTCGATGTGGTATTGGCAACCGTTTAATAGAATTGTACCGCACTCAACTCCACTGAGCAGGGTGCGGCCATTAGCGACATTGCTCGTCGCTGCTCCGGCTCGCCGATATCCGGGTCGGCAGGCAAGTCAATCCAGACGTCCTCCGGGACCATTTCCTTTTGGCACGAGGGTCATAAGTGAGACTAGGGTGCGTAAAAAGCTTACACAGCTGGCCATCGTTTCCTCCTTGAAATACGTTCTGCAAGTTGAATTGGGCGGTCTCGTTGATGTAGGCGCAGTGAAAGGTAGCAAACTTGGGGTATTGGTGGAGAGCCGTTGCAAGGTTGGTACATCTGGCCTATCGTTGGCGGCATTCCCTGTTCCTCAACAAGCAAATCGTGGCGTCCAACGACTCTGGAAACTAGTGTCCAGGCTTTGCCGGCCAACATCGCCTCTCATTTTAGCATACGGCATGACTTCGTCCGCAGACAGCCGCTCAGCGCGGATGCGTCGAAAGACGGTCCGGGACTGCGTACAATGTGAACGTACGGTCTTGGCTTATTATCCGTTTCCTTTTGGTGAATGGACTTAATGGCCATGGCTGGCGTGGCTAGACCCGTCACAGGGTGTCGCACGATTATGAGGATGACCTCGTAGCACAGAGCCTCAGGACGACAACGACCTACGGTCTCCTGCAGGAGTGGCTGATCTAGCAGCGAAGAGCCCTTGTCATGTGCCCCCTCATCTCCGTCACTTTCCGTGTTCTCTGCGTCGGGCTTGCGCGAGAGATTCCCAACTGCTTTATGCATAAACAGCTCTTCTACAAACCTACCTTTCGCTCTTGTACGCTCGTTGTGGTCAAGCTAGCGCGACCGAGTGTCGGCGAAGCAGAGGAGCTGATAATAGCCGGCGAGGTTGACGCACTGCAGCTCCAGGAGACAGATGCCGTGTCGTATGCGATGTTGAAGGTTAGGATCACTCGCAGATTGTCTACACCAAGAACCTGCTTCCCGTTGATGCTAGGGATTCGGTAGTTGAAGCGGCGGACGATAGTGTTATCGTGGAACTGGAAAAGGATCCGTTAGCGCATGGCAGTAGAGTGGGCAAACTGGGCGTGGTCCTCCATACCTTGTACACTTCTTTAGCATTATTCCGTGCATGCAGCGACCAGTAGCGGTGGTGTAGAGCTACTGGAGCGGATATACATCTTGAAGGAACCCCAAGAACGGATATTCTACCACTCGCAAACGCGCAGAAGCTCATCATCGTCTCACGGGTCAGGATCTCAATTGCCTGTCGCCATTCTCCGAGGTTCTGGTCGTCGCCTCAACTGCCACCAGGCAGGTCAACCATCAAGTCTTCGATTCAGCGTCGGAGCGCAAACCGCTTGCGTTTGCGCAGCATGCTCCCAACGTTGATTTCGGTCTCGTCCGCACATTTCGGTCGGATAAAGTAGACGTTATTGATGCACATTGTGGCATGCTGGGAGGTCTGCAATCCCACTCTGCCTCTCTCGCTCGGCGAAACGCTTCAGAAAGTCGGCGTTTGTGTCGGGTCCAGGATGGATCGAGCGCTTGGACCAAGACAGCGCCAGAGGCGGCACCGCCTTGGCCAGTGTGCTGAGGGGGTGTTTGGTGCACGTGGTAGAAGTATTGGATATTACTTGGCTGTGCCGCCGTTTGCCTTTAGCCTCCACTGTTGACGCCGCGCAAAATGGCAACGCTTCCCACCGGATCCGGCGGTCCCAGCAATACCTTCTCTGTTTATAGTATATAAGATACTGTTTCGCTTAGTTAGTATTCTAGAATGGGTGTAGATGTAAGTTTGGCTACGAAGCAAGGTGGATGTGGCTGTGTTTACGAAGGCATCATGTGAGACTGTAAACTGTTAGTAAACTTTTCGGACTTAGGACCGAGGTTGGATGAGGCAGGACGCATCGCTATAGTGCTGGGCTTTTGTGTCTACCTTAAAGAAAAGTTCCATTCTGCAGGCGAGCCACATTGGTCAGCCTGCCTAAACAGTAACAGCTTTGAGCTACCTAACAATGTAATGGTTCCGTCGTATCCTGCTCGTTTATCCGCTTCCCCCTTATCTCTAATTATCAACATACTGCAATCGTCTATCCATAATAATGAAAGGACTTAGTACTACGGCTTATATCATTGCTATCGTCAAATCGTCCACCAAGGTCGCGTCAATGTACCTCCGGTACTCAAAGACGCCAAGAAGGGGCGGGACGATATCGCTTAGGTCGGCCAGGAGCTCTACAACTTCAACGTCGCTTCAGTGGGCGCCTTAACCTTCTCAAAGGTCCCTATAGCGCCAAACTCGAAAGTCGCACCGGCTTCTCAATGCCCTTAAAGGAGCTAAATCTTGAATCGAACAACTCAAGGCCAAATTTCGCCCACGTAAAGATCGCAAGGCCATAAGCCGGCCAGGATAAGGAGCTCTGATTTAGACCTTCCAAAGCAAGGACGTTGAAAGTGTTAAAGAAAATATAGCACGATAAAAACATCTCGACAGGTCTATTGATTAATCAGACGTATATTACTAAGATTCCTACCACTCTATCTTAGGCTGATCAAAGAATGCATAGATTGATCCCTCTCAACCTCGACCAAAAGTTTGTCCTTTATAAGTTGCCAATTACTCCCAACGCTTCGTTAAATACCCATGCTGAAAAACAAAACGCAATCTGCCTACCCATTACACAGTTTAAGCTCTTAAGTAGATAAATAAACAGGTTGAGAATATCGACACTAAGCCGATCTTCTGTTTAAAAAGTAAGGTAGCCATAGGCAAGTCGACGATCTCTTGAAATATCGCCCGATCCTCAACTGAAACAAACCGACTCGTTTATATTTACTAGAATCTTGCGGGAATAACTCTAAAATCGTATCTTTAATCCTTTATCAGAGGTATAAGTAGAGTGTTACAAAAGCTATACAATCGCTCTCATTATTAATGCCCTAAACGAGTATAAGCGAGACGACGATGTCAAACTCGTCATTCAATTCCTTTTCCACATCAAGAATCTGTATATTCAAACGCTCAAAGTTTTTCTCACGGGCAGACCAGAACTGCCAATCAGGCTAAGATTTAGAGAAATAAAAAGGACCTACCACAACCTAATTATTCATGATATCCCACCGCCTATTATTGAGCGAGACATTCAAACATTCCTAGAATACGAGCTCCGAAGGGATCAGAAAACTGTATAATAATTCGTTTATAAAGGAGCAATAACTACCCGATAGTAAGCCAGATTAACCCCAGATCGAGGCCACAGTCGATATAGCTATCCCGCTCTTCATCTTCGCAGCAATAACGTACCTTTTATTGACCAACTTAAATACGGCGGCACAGATCAGCAACTATGTCAGGTCTTAGCTTATCATACTCAGACCCATTCGTCAAAGCTCGCACTTTTATCGAAATTCGAACCAACATACCGACCAGCTCTAGTTGAACATCTTATTGATCTTTCTATGAATAAGAAAGATAATATTTGAGGATTTTCGCTTTATTGTCGGCTCTATCATCATACTTTCAAGTCCTCTCTCAGAAGCTGCGTTGGTACAACTCCTTGGAGTCTCTAGTGAGAGGGTGGACAACAGACTCGATTGGCGCCACACTCGATCGGTAACGCATTGCTTTATGACGTGCGGAAAGTTTGGTGCGGGGTAAACTCATTAGTCTCCCTCAATTTAATTTTGATATTGACGTAGGCACCCCCTTCTTCTCGTCTTCAGTTTTCACTCATCAGAATGGCTATCCCTAATATCAAGTCCTTCAGTGACCTTCATTATCTTGCAGAGTCCTTCCGCCTTGGAAGTACGGATTATAAGGATTTCTTACGTACCACTTTTGCGTGGTTTGATGAGGATGACCATGGATACTTCGGACAGATTCAGAAACCCAAGCTTCAGGCCACTCTTGACGATATCGCAGCTGCGCTTGAACTCATCTCTGATGAAGAGGTGTTCCCACCTTTGCAGCAAGCGATGCTGCCCCTGAGCACTGCCCCCGACAATCTCAACTCCCCGGCGGCCAATGAATTGAAAGCATTTCACATCAAACGCCCGCCGATTCACCAATATGACTGGTATAAAGAAGAGGACTGCCTCTACATCATTCCAGCGAGCTTTCTAGAGGAGGCAACCGCATTGGTCAACATTGCTCGCCACCCACAGCATCCAAACAACATCAAGTTTCACGGCTGTCGCGTACGCCGAGGTCACATTACCGGCCTTATCTTCGATGAATACAAAGACAACCTTCGCGATTGGCTGAGCAAAGGTCAGTTGGTCAACGATGCCGTTTTCATGGATCAACTGGAGTCGGCCGTCTGTCACCTTCACTCCCTCGGTCTGGCGCATAACGACATCAATCCAGCAAAAATCATGATAGAGGAACAGAGCGGCCAGCCGATTTTGGTTGATTTCGGATCCTGCCACAAAATAGGAGATGATTTAACAGCAAGTCGGGGCACGCCTGGCTGGACAGAAGTTGGGGATGACTACACCAAGTCGAAGAAGAGTCACGACTTATATGCACTGGATAAGATTCGCATATGGTTGAGCAACCCAATACGGGAATAGACATTAGTATAGTGTCATGAACTCGGCACTCGCCACGCGCGAGGCTGAGGCGCCTCGCTAGCGCGCCATAATAGTCACGTGACGCGCCTCCTGGCGCTCGTAACTATCTTGTAGAGTAATCAAGCCACTGAGTGGCAAAAGCCCAGAGTCAGCTTTTGTTTACTACTAGACCTAGCTTTAAAAAGCTTTTTTTTACACTTAGTAAACTTGCCTATGATAACAAGAATAAATGGGGTTTTAAGAGCCGACGTAAGCGCTACTTGCTTTTGCGGGCGGAACTAGTGTCAAAAACATAGATACAAAAACGATGTTGCACTACATATCGGCTCTTTAACGATTCGCTTTCTTTTTGCAATGGAAAAGTGGCTTTGTTATCTCACTCATCCTCTGCCGTGATGTAATTTTGAGGTGACATGATTCCAACCTAAGTTATTTTCACTGTGGTTGTTTTTGAAACAAAAAATCACATACTCCAGCGGAAAGTAATTGTCGAAAGTGTAAACAGTTTTCAGATCAAGCAATCGACACAACTCTAACAATCAATCCAGAGATACCCATCACGATCAAACTTAACCTTCAACCCCAAATCATCCAATCACAACCTCGTTCAATACCTTGTCACAATTCATCCAACCACAATGTCACATACCTTAGTCAACCGCAACGTCGCAATAAGCAGGGCGAGTTCCACCCCAGCGCCCCTCGCTCAGAGCCCCCCACAACCAAGGGCGTAAGTCCATCAATCCCAATCACACGCAATTCGCATTCATTCGCCACCTAACCAATCATCAGCACACCCCGGGCACCAAAGTCGGCAACGCCGCATACCCCGAGTTCCACCCCAGTTCCACCCCCAGGCCTACCCTGCCGACACAGCACCCCGGGAAAACACCTTTCAGCCCCAAAACGCGCAAGAGATCCCTGGGCAGGCCCTGAACCCCGACGCCACCGCGCACGCGGCCACACACGACTTCCCCGGCGCCACGAGCGTGGACGTCCACGCCGGGTTGGGGAAGCCTGTGCAAGGGCAGACAAGTGCCGAGAGGCACGGGGCGAACCTCGGTCGCCGCGACAAAGAGAGCGTGGGACTTGAGGGCGTTGGCACTTCTGGCAAGGATAATTTTAGGTAGCGGAGGCTGGATGTTGACCAGGGGCCTGGGTCTCGTGGAAAGACGGAGAATGCTTCCAAAGTGCTCGGTGTGGAGGAGAGAGTGCCCGTGTCGGCTGAGGAGGTTGCCAGCGAGCGACGGTAAATCAATGAGTTCTGTACGAGTAATATAACGTCACGACGATAAAGTATCCTCAAAGGTGGGATGAAAGAATTTGATCCGGATTGTAAAACAATCGCGCCCATTTTATTGCATGTTATAAGTGCGTCTGCTATCCCCTGTCCCCCTAAACACCCTAGCAGTCTTACATGTGTTTGTAATGCATCTTGATTCCAGTCAAGCTAAAACCAAACACACACTACGAGAGAATTGAATTGCGTGATATCCAGAGTTCCGTCACAGTCCTAGAAATGACAAAGCATTCAAGCCCTTAAGCGGATGCGGGGTCGACGTCGGCGGCATTGGAAGGCGCGGTCTTCTTGAGGGTGAGGACGACCGTGTCGTCGTTTTTGCGGCCGGCGGCGTTGTCGGTGACGTTCCACTTGAGGGAGAAGATGCCGTCGATGGAGCTGGGGGCAGCATACCACAGGGACTGCAAGCTGCCGGTGGCGCCCTTGACGAAGATGAAGGAGCCATAGAAGAGGAAGCCACTGGTCTGTCGGCCCGAGGAGGTCGTGTTGGAGTTGAGGAAGCCGACATCGTGGTCCGAGGAGCCCTGGGCGGGAATGGAGAAGGTGAGGTTGGACCAGTTGGGATCGGTCGCGGTGGCCGTGGTGTTGGGGGCTCCGATCCAGGTGTCAGTATCGGTGAGGGTGACTAGGTGTGTTAGTCATCATAGCAGGATACGAGAGAGATGGACAGACTTACAGAGCACCGGAGCGGCGTTGGAGTCGTTCAACTTGGTGTAGTCACCAAAGTAGACGTCACCTAGGTAGGTTTGTAATATTAGTCTAGAGCTTTTCAGAAGGGGGGTTTCGCAACCCGGGCTGGACGGGTTATCAACAGAAGAAAGGACAGGAAGGGAATGATGGCAAAGTCCCCAAGAGAACATTGATGATTCCCTTTGAGACAGAAAGTTCCTAAACCAGCCTTACTACCTCCTGTAGAGAACATGAACAGGCCGCCTATTCCTTCGCCGTAGCCATAGACCTGGAAAGGGCCGCTGTTATCGGTGGCAGCACTGTCAGTAGCGCGGGCTTCCAAAGGAGCCGCGGCCGCGAGGGCGGCGAAGGACAGCAGAATGGCACCGATGGGCTGCATCTTTGCGTGTGGGATATGTACTATGTTTCAAAAAGAAAGAGTGGTGAAAAGTTGACTAAAATGACTGGATGAGACTGGTAAGAGACTTTGAAAGAGGCAAACGATGGAGTGTGTGAGAGTTCTCGTGTTGAAGAAACCAGAGTGGTGGAAGGGCCGGAAAAGTGAAGCTGGAGAGGGGATGGAGTTGACTAAATAAAAGCGCAGTAAACCTATGCCTTTCGAGTGATCCGCTCCAAGCCGCCCTAGCCGGTATATCATGACTTGGCAAGTTTGCGTGCAAATTTCAGGACCTAAGCCACGCGGGCACCACAACAACGAGTCTTCCAAGTCAGCTAGCCAAGGCCCGAGATGGTTGCAAGCCCCTATCATCAAAGTGCAAGGAGCTTTTGGTCCCCGAAACAGGGTGCAATCAACGAATCACTGCGCGGATGTTGACTATACGCGTTGAGGCTCAGACTCCACCATATTGATCACAGTGGAGGCCCAACGCCATCACCCATACGGCTAGTAGAGACCATGACAACCTCGTTGACGCGTCAGTCCTTTCCTTGCCATTCGGCATAGAATTTAAGGTTTCGCCGCGAGACCGGACGGGACGGAAACGGCCATTCGCCAACAGGCTTATTCAGCGGGAAATCCGTTGTCGCTTACTGCGGCTAGGCCCATCGCGGGAGGGGCGCCTGTCAACGGGGTACGGGGATTCTCGTTTCGGTATGTGGGATGTGAGATGAACAGCGGCCCGTGATAGGGTTCGGGATGTGTGGGTCCCGTCTCCCCGGGGTGAGCTTGATATATACCTGAGATGCTATAGGCCCAGCCCATCACACTCTATTAATCATCGTCACAAAAGGGGTTTGGCGTCGCCGCATGGCCATGGGACCACGTAAGGAGAGGAGGCTGCGCACAGGACCACGAGCTCCTCCTCCCCATGACCTGTGAGTAACCTGCAATGTAACCTCCGGATCACCCGTACACGACATACACTAGTCGGGACTTCTTAGTCCACCCCTGACTTCTCGAGGCTCAAGTTCGTGCTGCCGCACAGATATCCATCCCAAAGGGGAACCGGAAATTTCTAAATCAGAAGCAACGTGGTGGGGCCAATCGGCCGGCTTGGCTCTCCGGAGCGACTCCCACCCTCCCGAGTATTCGGACAGACCGGTCGCCAAATCTTCCGGTTCTACCGACGGCACACCGGTCCTTGGTTGTCACCCTTAAGCTTTACACCATTGGCACGCCTTGTCAACTAGCGACCATGCCGGCCTTGCGAGGCTGCGGTGGATCAGGCGGCTCCTACCAACCTCAGCTCCTCCTGACCAGTGCCTCGCATAGAGAACTAAGACTCAGCTGTTTGAGAGTCATCCCCGTTGCGGTTCACTTACACGCACCATCTTACGACGCCCGTATAGCCCACGCATGGATTTGAGAGGGGTCAGTCTCAGGTCAACCCCCTCGGGCCTTCGTCGACAATGGAATTTTCATGAGAAGCGCGTCCTTAGACCCTGTTCAGAATGTTTTTTTCCCCGCTGATTCTCAAGCCAGACTAGCCTTTGCAATGACGATCTTCCAAATACGAGGGCAAGTGGGAGCTGTGGTTCCTGTGGATAATCTCGGGATGCCCATGGAAGTGTCAGTGTCGGATTCGGTTCACGCGGCTCCCGCGATGGAAATACACAGGACCAATAGACGAGCCATTGTCGAGTCCTCGTGGAGTTTTCATTGTGAACCAAACAGGAAACACCTGCAGGGCACATGCTCGATGGGAAAATAGAGTTTCTAGAATCCGTCGACTATGGCGCTTCCCGTAAAGTCGGTCATGAGGCTGCCCGTATAGCCGACAATGCGTTTTACGAGCTGCCAAGAATATTTAAACTATAGACCTCCGTTGCTTGTTTGATGCTATTCTCGCTCGCTCCTCACCCAGCACAGGATTGGCTACGCTTTCATTCGCTTCAGTCCTCTCTCTCTTCCAACATTGTGTCATCCAGCTTTCTTTTGACCTTTTCTTGGCACACACTCACTACTATATCATCATGTTCAAGTCACTCTTCGTGACCAGCGTCCTCGCGGGCTCCATGGTCTCTGCCTTGCCTGGCTTCGGCGCCCTCTCTGACGGCCCCGAGGCCCAACTCTTCCCTCGTGCTGCCTGTGACGGCAACACTGCCAGCACGAGGAGCGAGTGGTGCGACTACTCCATTAGCACTGATTACACGACCGAGGCGCCCGACACCGGCGTCACTCGCGAGTACTATCTCGAGCTGACCGACGTCACCGTCGCCCCCGACGGAGTCTCTCGCTCCGCCATGGCCGTCAACGGCTCCATCCCAGGCCCGACCCTCTTCGCCGACTGGGGTGACACCGTCGTCGTTCACGTCACCAACTCGCTGACGACCTCCAACAACGGCACCAGCATCCACTTCCACGGCATCCGCCAGAACTTCACTAACCAGAATGACGGCGTCAGCGCCATCACCCAGTGCCCCACGGCTCCCACAGAAACCATCACCTACACCTGGCGAGCTCTGCAGTACGGTCATACTTGGTACCATTCCCACTTCGCCCTCCAGGCGTGGCAGGGCATCTTTGGCGGCATCGTCATCTACGGCCCCGCCACCGCCAACTACGACGAGGACCTCGGCGTGTTGTTCCTCACCGACTGGGATCACCAGACCGTCGACGAGCTCTACCCCTCTGCCGAGACCGCTGGCCCGCCGACCCTTGACAACGGCCTCATCAACGGTACAAACGTCTACGGCGACGACAACTCCACTAGCCAGACCGGCTACCGTTACAACGTCACCTGGGAATCTGGCACCTCCTACCGTCTGAGACTCATCAACTCCGCCATCGACACTCACTGGAAGTTTATGATTGACAACCACACCCTGGAGGTCATCGCCTCCGACCTGGTTCCCATCACCCCCTACAAAACCACCGTCCTCAACATCGGCATCGCCCAGCGCTACGACATTATTGTCACCGCCGACCAGGCCGACGTCGCCGACAACTTTTGGCTCCGCGCTATACCCCAGTCCGCCTGCTCCGACAACTCCAGCCCCGACAACATCAAAGGCATCGTCTCCTACACCGGCACCATCACCGCCCCTACCACCAGCGCCTACAACTACACCGACTCTTGCGACGACGAGACGGCCAACCTCTCCCCCTACGTCTCCAAGACGGTCGACTCGGCCAACTGGGACGAACTCGAGACCGCCTCCGTCAGCCAAAACTCAGCCGGCCTCTTCAAGTGGGCCCTCAACAGCACCAGCTTCCTCGTCGACTGGGCCGACCCGACCCTGCAGCACGTCATGGAAGGCAACACCACCTGGGACACCCAAGAAGCCGTCTTCCAGCTCGACGACGCAGACCGATGGGTCTACTTCGTCATCGAGACCTCCCTCGCCGTCCCGCACCCCATCCACCTCCACGGCCACGACTTTTCCGTCCTCGCCCAGGGCTCCGGAACCTACTCCAGCTCCGTCACCCTCAAGACTGACAACCCGCCCCGCCGCGACACCGCCATGCTGCCGTCCTCTGGATACGTCGTCCTGGCGTGGCAGACGGACAACCCGGGCGCGTGGCTTATGCACTGCCACATTGGGTGGCACACGTCCGAGGGCTTCTCGGTGCAGTTTGTCGAGAGATATAGCGAGATCCCCGCCCTCATTGATAACTCTACCCTCACTGACACTTGCGACAAGTGGACTACCTTCCAGGAGAAGTACTCCATTGAGCAAGACGACTCTGGTATCTAAACGGGGGTTTTTTTTTGGAGAGGCGTCTACGAGATAGCACAGCATATCTGGTAGACTACCATTACCATTGGGTTAGCAAGTTTCCTTGCGTCTTGAGATCAAGGGGCGGTTTTGGCGAGTAGGACTTCAATTCGTATGTTGCATAATTAGTTCAAGTTCAATTCATGCACGAAAAAAAGGAAATTTTTACATTTCCATCATATGTATTCTTGAATAACAGTGTGAACACGGTACCTCCATTCATTCTCTTTGGAATCAATTTTCAGGACTGAAAGTTTGTCTTTTGCGATGATTGTGTTTGGGACGATACGCTTATACAATACACTGGGTCTAATGTCATTACGTGCTGGGGGTTTAACTGCAGGCCGGCCTGCAGCCTTGATATTTCCAGGATGAGAAGATATCATTTTCAACACAATAGACTGTGCCCAATATCATATATCATTTTACTCTACCACGTGATTGTACGAGGCTAAGTACACTGAGAAGCTTGGCTATATACGTAGTAGATGTATCAGGCTACTGACAAGCTGCCGCCAACTTGATATCTATGGCACCAGCGTAGAAGTTGCTGTTTGCTTGCCGTTCACGTGGTGTCTTCTTACTACAGTATAAACACGCCTTATTTCCGTTCCCTTGTCTTTGAATAATTCAAGCAAAGGTACTTTTGAGGCTGACCCACCTCTCATTATACCCCTTGCTGTGCGCTCAACTATTGGCAATAAGTGCGTTAGCGCGTTCTATTTCACCCTTTTCATTCTCCGAAGAGTCGACATTTTTCTTATCAATCCTCATCCGCCCTCATTTGTGAAGAGATTCGATGGTGGTTGATGAAATTCACCAAACGTTCCACTGCAGACCATGCGCTATGTTTAATGATAGATTAAGACGATTCTGTGCAAAACAGCCCATGTTAGACTTGCTCATTGCAGCTACTCTGGGCTTTCTTGACAACAAATCTCAATTACTCGACATCGAAACTTGACTCTTGAGACTCATGAACGCACATCCATGCCAGCTGATTAACCTCATACCAAATATCTCCTTGATCCAAAACTTTCAAACAATTCTCATAATTGAGTCATTGTATCGCGAATGATTCTGCAGACTTTCTCATGATCGACGTCCGCACTGCAGATGTGCCGTGCGGCCCGTGCCTAAACCTTTAAGCGTCCCGTTAATTCCGTTTCGCTGAGCAAGGAGACAATCTGCACTCACTTTATTATGTAAGCGGCAGCTTCCTGCATGATGCTGCATGATGCTGCATGATGCCGCACTTTGGTTCTAACTTCCATCGATTACGAAGGTGTCATTTTCAATTGTAACCGCAACATTCACAGAGAAACTACCGAAAACCTTACATGTTGCCGTCGAGCCACTCAAGCAAGCAATTTTTTTTCCCCCATGCTAAAACGCGCGTCATTTCTACTAGCACGCCTCCCAAATACCCATTTCCTCTCTTATCATATTCACCACCAAAACTCTCCTGAGTTTGCGTAACGCCTAGAGCGACATCATGCATGGTGTCGGAATGATAAAGTCGTCATGCACTTGAGCTTTGGCCTCTTTCGGGGTTGCACTGGGAGTACAATAGTAGGTGGTCAGTACATGAATCGCGTTGCACCAATTCTTAAGTGCTGCAGACAAACGTGGATATTCGGCGCAGATCGTCATTTCCTAGATGAAACTCAGCTTATACCTCCGGCCAGTTCTCCGAAAAATAAAAAATAAACAAAAAATACTGCACAGATATACACTTCTATTTTGGTTTATTTCTTATCGATGATGGCGCAACTAGTTTTCCCCCTGTCTCAGTGATAATTCACAGAGTATCCCCACCTGCACGGCGTGCCGTCTTTCTGCCCTTGTGGGAAATTTCTTCAGCCCCCAAAATGGCTTCGTCATCGTCACCAGCCCTAGGTAATGCTCGCAAATCACGGGCTCTTAGTATGGAAGAGGGTAGTCAAAATCAAACAGCCAACTTCAGCCCCAATGTCAACGCGTTCAACAAGGGAATGTTGTGCCGTCATACCCACGCTTGTTATTACCTCTCGTATTCATAGTTGTTTTACAGTATCCGTACAGACATGGCCCTACGTTTGCAATATGCGTAGGGAGAACTTCCCCCCTCTTTCAGGGCCTCAGCTTCACAAAGCCCCGACAAAAAAGGGTCGGAAGGAAACTGCAAGCATATTCTTGGATTCGGTTTCCCTCCAGTCAGCTGCTGCGACAGGGTACTCCAGGGACTGTCAAATACTGGATTGGGTGTGATTCCCGGTCTTGGATGCTCTGTTGGGGCATCAGCACCGGGGACGCCTTACGGTGTGAACCCACTTCGCTTGGGAAGTGGAAAGGGGTACCCACGCAAATCAGAGCTCGTCAGGCCCCAAAGAGTCAAAAAGAAGGGGAAGTTTCTGCGTCGTGGCGGTGCCGGGCGGAAATCTTACCCCTGAACCCGCACCATTACCCCCTGAATCAGTTTCCCGGAACGGCACTCTTCTGGAATGTGGGGGAATAAGAGCGTTGGGAGCCGCAGAGCATGGGACAGGATGCGAGGCAGGGGTATCCCCGTCCATCTCTGCACGTCCTCGGGCATATCATTGCACATCTCTGGTACCTGATGGTTTAGGAGTATTGTTGCAGCGCCTCGTTGACAGCAGCCCGGCAGGGCCAGCTTCTAGCTTTCTTGGGACCAAGCCTCCTGCTTGGCATCCAAACTTTCCTGTTGGTCCCCACGTCGAGAGTGGCTGGTGAACCGCAAGGTCAGATTCTTGACTGCGCATGATGGAACGCTCGCTTTTCAAGTTATCGAGAAGCCACCTCCACTTTGGTTACCATGTGCTGTCTTGACTATCTACTCATAAATTTCGAGGCTCATGAGTCTGTCCCAAGGAGTCCCAAAGGAGTCGCCGACCTCGGTCTTGCCCCGGCTATCAAGTCTCAGCCGTTGAAAAGCCCAAGCGCAGGAGACCTTGTTGTCTCCCCTCTCAGCCATCAGTCGGCAGCAACCCGCCAGTAAGGACTCTAAGAGAATTTCGATCGCATGAAAAGACCCCAGACTAATGGTTTGAAACGTCCAGGTTCGCCCATATCGTGGATTACACCTGCCACCTCGTGAGGCTATGGCAAGGTCAAACATACTACCGTAGCACAAAAGAGACAAGAACATTGGACGGCAGAAATCTTCTCGGCAGTTCTCGAGAGCCGCTTCTTGGACCTTGCCTGACGATGATCAGGGGCTCAAAGTCGACAGAGTGATATCCGGGATGTCGGTCCTCAACATTTGCTTCACACACCACGCCTTCCCGAGACTGGCTATGTAAGACACTCGTGCAATGCGTCGCAAGACTCCCCATAGATTATACAGGCTGTCATAGGTCGTCAGTCGAGTCTATAGTCAGGCTCGGAACATCGTAGTTGGGAAGTCTGAAAAGCAGAGCTCAAGTCGACCGTGAAAGAAGACCTTTATTCCTTCCAAATTACAACCTTTTCTTTTCCCTCACGACTAACAACCAGTTCAATCTTCAATCACTCTCAAGCATCTCTGACTCTTCAAATCTTGCTCTCTCAGCAACACTCCCGCTCTTCATATCCCACCAGTCTTCAAACACTTCTTCTTTCAAGAGCCACCATCAATATGGTCCACCACCATCAACAATCAAATTGCCGTTCACCATCGCCACCATCGCCACCATACCCGCCATACCCGCCTTCGCCGCTGTCGCCGAGGCCGGCCCCCTCGCCATCCGCGACGTCTGCAACCCTGCCCCACTAGCCCTACCACCGCCAACGTCCAACCGCGCTCCCAGCCCGTCGCTGTCACCGCGGACGCCTGCCAGAAGCTTTGCGAGGCCGACCCCGGCCGCCAGTCCTTTGTCTTCGGTCTTGCCCGCTCCGACACCATCCCTCTCTGCTACCTTTACGCTGTACCGGCCTCCCGGGTCCCCCAGCAATCCAACACCAACCTCATGATCTTTCACAAGATCGCACCGGCGTCCCCACCGCCGCTCCCACTCAGACTGACACTGGTTCCAACACCGGCAACACCGGCGCCAACAAAAAGTAACACTGGTGCCAAAACCGACAACAACAACAACAACAACAACAGGGAGTAGCCCAAGAAGCGCGCCAGCGTCTGCGGCGGCACCCCCGCAGGTCCCGTTCCACCCCTACCCTGAGCCGCGAGGGCATCACCACCCAGGGCGCCTGCTTGGCGCTCTGCAGGGAGACCACCGGCGGCTAGGCCGTCGACTTCGGCAAGCTTTCCGCCAAGGAGCCGGTCCAATGCTGCCTCTCTAACATCTGCCCGCCCCTACCAACGGGCAGACTTTCGTCGCCTTCGATATTGACTACTACATCTAAATCTCATAGCGCGGTTGGCCACATGACTTCTACTCCGTAGTGAACGGAAAAGCGACCATAATTTTTTCGAGGACAAGATTCGTTGGGGAGGGTGGGGTGCAACAGACGCTTGTGATGAATGAATAGTTTTTCTTGGTTGGTCATGGATAGAATACTCTTTTGGTATAGAATTATTCCTCAGCTCGATGTTCGGCGCAGTCATGCGTTTGAATATATCAAAGGAAATGAAAACGAACCAAAAAAGGATATGGAATAATGGCTAACAAAATTAGACTCGAGTTTGGAAGCTGTTCTGGTGCCAATCATTCCATGATGCGTGCTTCAATTCGCGCGAATTATTCCAGCAACTGGCTGGTTGGCATCTGATCCACGATGATTCTCCCTAAGGTATGTGAAATCTGTCACGGGCTTCTTGGTAAAAAAGAGGTGACAAATTAAAAGAAGAAAAAAAGAAAGAAAAAAAAAAGAAGCTATTTAGAGTGAAATAGCCAAACACTAGAAACTATTGGGAAGGTCGCTATCGTCGTTCAATCAGACACGAGGTACCTAGTCCACTTGAGCCCGAACCGGGAAACGGAGGGAAAGCGGGTCAACCAGACTAAGAAGTGGGGCCGTTTCGCCGACCGGTCGGCTCCGTGAAATCGGAAAAGTTGCCGCCTTTGGCGAGCAGATGCCCGGCGGCACGATGCAAGCCACAACCGGCAGATGCGCGGAGAAACATGATTTTTGGTTGAATCAGTGAGCTGTGGGGAGTCATTTTTAGAGTTGCCAAGCAGAGCCAAGCTATTGAACAAAATCCACCGGCTCTTACTCAGTTGCCAGATTGGGGCCCATTTGAGAAGCCAAAGGACCCAGTCGGCAATGTCGCCATCGACTTCAACATGAGGTGATTCAAACTGACCAATCACGCAAACCCTAAACAAATTTCATCATCCACCTCCGCTGGCGCCATCCACCCGGCAGTGGTGACCTGCCGCCTGCGACGGCATTCCCCCCCGGGGAAATGTCATCATGGATCGATGATGCCATGTGGGCCCTGGGAAAACGACAGTGAGAACCGCTGTCAAACTGCACCGAGGAAGGGATGATAAACGTTGGACACAGAGCAAGAGCTCTAAGCGAGGTGTCTACTTACTAGGTTTCAACGGACAACGCCTCAAAGAGGAAAGGAAGCCAGCCCACTCGAGCAATCTACTCGCCAATCTTGTTTTCCCTCGTTGGCGTTGCAGAGCTTTGCTCCGACAGTCTGGTCCGCGTCCTCCTTGGGGTCCGCATTGATAAGCCGTGCGCGCGGCCGCAAACTTTACCTTTCCAAACACCACAAACGACCTCAGAAACTCGACTTCAGCCGAAAAAAGCGCGGGTGTTCTTGGTACCGAGCGAAAGCTGAGACCTCGTCCTTTTTGAACGACGAGGCAGGTGCAGCAGCCACGATCATATACCTGGATCAATCGAGAACAAGACAATATTGGTGGTATACGATGAGCGCGCAAAAGGATCCCCCGCCTGAGAAGGCGCTGGATGCGCCCGCCAACGATATCAGCGGAACGGAGAGCCCTTCCGAGGTTGAGCTGGAGGAGGATGCCGTCAACGAGAAGTCGCTGTTGAGGAGACTTGATTTCAAGCTTTTGCCGGCCGTCGGCATTCTGTACTTGCTTTCGTTCCTCGACCGATCCAATGGTGAGACTCACGAGAGCACTACGCGACAATGGCTGGTGCTAATACCGTCGCAGTGGGCAATGCTCGAATTGAGGGCCTCACGGATGATCTTCACATGAGTATGTACAACTTTTCTCGTTTGGGTTGAGTCTATACAAAAATTATGAACTGCGCAGCTGACATTTTACAGGTGGAAACCAGTATCTGACTGGTCTGACTCTCTACTTCATCGGCTACGTACTCTTTGAAGTGAGTTGCTCGGCGATGACGCTTGAACGGGGATGGAGAGATTGCTAAAACCTGCAGATTCCGTGCAACATCATCCTGAAAAGGACCACCCCGCGATTCTGGCTCCCGACGTTGACAATCGCATGGGGCATCGTCGCGACGCTGATGGGCATCGTAACCAACATGGCCGGGTTCTTCGTCGCTCGCTTCTTCCTCGGTGTCACTGAGAGTGGTCTCTTCCCCGGCGTGGTGTACTACTTTTCAATGTGGTACGTTCGAATCATTCCGAGATTCGTGAACGACACCGATCTAACTTGCAGTTCTGTAGGTACAAACGTCGCGAGAGGCAGTTTCGCATCTCTCTCTTCTTCAGCGCCGCCTCGCTCGCCGGCGCTTTCGGCGGTATCCTGGCATGGGGCATCGGACACATGCGGGTCGTATGGGACAATGGCTGGAGATGGATCTTCATCCTGGTTCGTTTGGCGCATCCCTTCGCTTCGGGGAACAGCAAGGACTAACAACTAGAGCAGGAAGGTATCGCAACCGTGCTCATTGCGTTTGGCGCATACTGGTTCATCCAGAACTACCCCGACACCGCCCAGTTTGTGTCTGAAAAGGAACGCCGCTTCATCAGAGCCAGGCTCGCCTCCGACAGCGACGCCACGCACAATGAAAAATTTTCGTGGAGCAACGTGATGGATGCTATCAAGGACCCAAAGTGCTGGCTGTACGGTCTCGGCTTTCACACCATGAGCTTGCCGCTGTACACGTTTTCTCTGTTCATCGTACGTTAACCTCACACAACTTCCACTAAATCCTGTGAGAAATTACCTCTGACAAAATCTCAGCCTACAATCATCAAGAACCTGGGATACACCGCGGCAGTCGCCCAACTGCTAACCATTCCCCCTTACGCTCTCGCCTTCGTCACAACCTTGACTGTCGCGATCTACTCTGAACGCACCGGCCGCCGCGCCTTCTTCATCATGGGATCGTCGGCCGTCGCAGCAATCGGCTACATCATCCTCCTAGCCAACTCCGATCCCGCCCGCAAACCGGGCGTCTCGTACCTCGGAACCTTTTTCGCCGCCGCGGGCATCTACCCGGCCACCGCCCTCGTGCTCTCCTGGCCCGCTATAAACGTCTCTGGGCAGACGAAGCGCGCGGTGGGCAACGCCATGCAAATCACCATTGGTAATCTGGGCGCTGTGCTGGGTACGCAATTGTATCGCGCCAATGATGGACCGAGGTACATTGTCGGCCACTCCTTTGCGTTGGGGTATCTTTTGGCGAATATTATTGTCTGTGGAATCTTGTACTTTGTGTTGAAGGGTGAGAATAAGAGGCGCGAGGCGATTGCGCCCGAAGTTCAGGCGATTGGGGATTTGGAGGATTGGCCTGGCGACAAGGATCCTCGATGGAGGTTCCAGTACTAGAGGCACGACAGAGCTTGGCTGGGTCGACAGTGGGGTTGCAGTTCAAGATGAACCACCTAGGCTGAACGATTCTCTCTAAAGCCCAGGGTTGCTGCAAGGTTTCATGAACCGTTTACATAGTTGACTGTGATGATACCAATCCTTTTTAATATAAGCGGCTATCAACTGTGCTACTCTGGCCACCAGATATATAGTCGTGCTGCGGTCGAAATATGTACAGGAACGAAAAATGGTTCTAGATCGACGTTGCAATCACCGCGAACTAGGACCTCTGCCCTAATACTGCGCCGGAATAGACTGCTTATCGTCCCAGCACTTCAATACACCCCCTTTAGCCTGGCGACATCTCAAGACATCCGGATTGTCTTGCGGATCATAGGCGTGAAGAGGCTTCCAGTAAGGCGCAGGATAACAATCCGTGCCGACGTTTGGAGTAGCTCTGTAAGGGGAAATGCAAGTTAGAGACAGAAACAGGAGTAGTCAAGGAACGTGCAACTTGAGGGTGAGTTGGGGACCAGGCAAGAACCAGCGCTTACTTGTATCTCCAATTCCAGTACGAATGAATACCGCCGTAGGCGCATGTCGCCTCCTTGTCCATCCCATTCATGCACTCCTTTGCGGCAATGTCACGGTTCATATCGAGACCGATGAACTAGACCAAAATCAACTGTTAGCGATGAATGATGGTGGAAGATGGGACTTTGGCAAGGTGCTCGCGTGTTTCGAGTGTTCATCAATAAAAACTGTCAAGATTGGGTAAATGATCTCACCTTGAGCTCGAAGCCCCAGGTGACTCGATTCTCGTCAACTATGCAAGCCCGTCTGGCCTGGTGTCTGTAGTAAGACCCAGCCAGCCCCTTGCAAACTTTTTCAATGTCGAGGATACCCGGGTCTTTGTCGTACATGCTCTGCTTTCCGGATGGGTAGCACACCGCGAGAGCGAGGGAAGCCGAAGCCAAGACTGAGAAGAAGAGGCGGGTGAAGAGCATTTTTTTTGCTCATGTACTGACGGATGGATGAGCTGAGGATAGATGGTGGGCTTCGTTTGGTTGCAGTATTACATTTGGCATTGGACGAGTATTTGTAGAAATGAACATGGAGTCCGAGGGAGGGCTTTCAGGCGACACATATGTAGTGAAGCAAAAGCTTTCGACATGACATGTCGTTTCTTTGGGCTAATCAAAGGAATAATGTTGGACCAAGAGTCGCCCTGATTCTGGTAGTGTTACAGTAGCAACCATCCCTTTCTTTTGCTACGAATACAAATACGGAGCGCAGCAACACCCTATTGGGATATTTGGTCTAATGATCATCTCAAGCACGTTCTTGCTCAAAGACACGTCTTGGCTGGTGGCAGGTACCTAGTATGATCCTAGGTGAACAGGCACAGTGGGAACTACAAGAGAATGTCCTTGGCCATCTCGTCACGATTTCATTGTGCCTTTGCCGCAACTTTTCCTGATACTGTGTGAACGTGATTCCATCTTCATGGGAACGATTGGCTCCGTCCATGACCTCGACATCTCTGCCATCTGAATAACACTTTGCCTTTTGATATAGCATCAATTCACATGGCACATTCTTCTGCGCCGACCGCTCTCTCAACCACTCTATCGTGACACTACGCCTATCTTTCCATCACAACCTCCGGAGCGAGGCAAGAAGACGTTGTTGACTAGGCGCTCCCTGGGTCGTAGCGGGGAGCGAGCATGGGCGGGTGTCAGCGTTTTGATGGGTTTGATCTAGAGGTTGGTCGCAGACACCGGAAACCTGCCACTTTTACTGGAGATGTTTCATCCTGAAATGGAGCGCCTGAGGCTTCGGAGGAATTTTAGATCAATAGAAGATGGATCAATTTCTTTGTATTAGAGTGTTCCCACCCGAGTTCAATTCCGCAACGGCCTGGGACTTGTCCGCCGTCTAAACCTTATGCGTTGTCGACTCAGTCATAACTGCGTACGACACATCTCTAAACGGAAACCCTAGACGTGATGGCTTCCAATCAAAAGTAGTTTCATCTCATACAGCCCCGACTGACGTCAATGCTTGCGCCATGTTCCTGGGCGCTATCCTCATCCTACCCTTTACCGGCATGCTAATCGACCGCGCCGTCTGCCCGGTCTTTGGCACTGGGCCTTTCCTTCTCGTGCTGGGCTGTCGGTGCTCTTTTGGCTGCTGAGATCTTATCCAGTCTTGCTCAATATGCCCTCTTCCGGTGTGGCGAGTGATTGGCTAATGTGTCTTCGCCTCAAACTAGTGTTTCTCTCAACCGTTAGGTTGTGCGTGGAGGGTCCCCAGCATCAGTCAAGCTGCACCGCCGCTATTCGTTTTGATACTCATCTAACTAGCCCCCGAATCTCTGAAAGGGCTCATTCACCAAGACCGACAAGAGGAAGCCCTCGATGTATTGGCGAGGATCAACGGCAATGATGCAACAGACGGGAACGTTCAAAAGTAGCACAGGAAGCCATAGAGGCGCTGGATTACGAACTGCGGCATGGCCGGTCTCTCGGCCTCAAGGGCATGGCCTACAGACCGAATCGCAAGCGGTTGGGCGGCATCGTTCAAGCAAATGAGCCAGGCGATCGAGACATTGTCGGGTCCATGTCGGATCCGTTAGCACTTCCCTTGAGTCACCTGATGCTTATGGGTTAGGTGAGTAAAAGTCACATGATCTCGCGTGCCTGGCGTGTGACTGTTGAGGTCCGTGCCTGTCGTCATCGGAAGGCTCGTTCCATCTCAGGTTGGGGATGGAAGTTGCGGGCCGAGAGCTGCTCTTGCCACTTCTACATAAGGTTCTTGCCAATCAAGGTATTACCAAAGTCTGCCTATTGTATGAAGCTGCGCATCGCCCCCGTCCTTCCCTCGCCGGTACTCCTCTCATTCTTCTTCTCCCCAGCGAAGATAATCGAATTATTCGCGACCACCTAGCGCCCAACTCCTTATTCCCGAGCAAGTGCCCCTCATCGACGCCCCTTTCTGTATTCACCCCTCGTTATCGCAATGGCGGGACCCCGCGCCCCAACAGCAGCGACCCGCTCCGTGCCCGGCTACCCCAAGAACGCCGGAAACCCCACAACAAAGCCGGCAATGGCGACACCCTCGCCGACGCGCAAACGAAAGGCCGATCCCTCGGACGACGCATCACTGCTATCTTCATCACCAAGTCAGGTAAAGAAACCAAAGACAGCCGGCGCGAGTACCGGCGAGAAGCGCCTGCGTCGATACCGACCGAAACCACCCCAAAGCTTCCACGAAGTCTACCATCGAGCGACGACACAGCGCTTCTATGTCCTCGAGCGTCGACGATGTGGGACCCCGGATGCGCCCGAGGAGGAAATAGAGTTGACCGGCTCTACTGGCAACGTGTACACCGTCAAGATTGGTCAGACCCCGTCGTGCAGCTGCCCGCACTCCATGAAGGGGAATCAATGCAAGCACTGGCTCTATGTGCGATCTTCCTCAAATGTGTTCCATCTCCATCGGACAAATCTAACGGTAACCAGGTCATGTCTCGAGTCCTCCGCGCCAAATTCGAACACACGTACCAATTGGCCCTGGTTCCTAGTGAACTGAAGGAGATCTTCGACAAGGCCCCGCCCATCGATACCCCAGCCGACGATACCCAAGATAAGAATCGAAAACCCATTGATGGCGATTGCCCCATCTGCTTCTGCGAGCTCGAGTCCGATAATAAGGAGACTATTGTGTGGTGCCGCGCAGCCTGCGGGCAAAACATTCACAAGGAGTGTTTCGAGACGTGGGCTGCAACGAAACGTCGCGGCAGCTACGGCGGAAGCGACGTGACGTGTCCATATTGCCGGAGCGTCTGGCAGGGTGACGATGACATGGTGAAGAACATTAAGAAAGGCGGCAAGATTACCCGTGAGGGATACGTCAATGTGGCTGAGCAGCTCGGTATCAGCACGCAAAGAGGTATTGTTGCGCGTCTGGCCTGTTCGAAGTTCAGAATAATACTGACACAAGAGCTCAGATTATAGCACCTATTCGAGATGGTGGACAGGAGGTTACTGACATCTCTTTGATGCGAATTCTGTGAACACATAATCATGAAAACTAGCAGAGACGCTAATCCACCTTTACGTATTCATTTCCGTCTCTTGGTATGCTCACTTTGCGTGTGCTGTGTCCAAACATAGGATGGTCAATCCTTGCCTTGGCAGTGACTTCGACGCGTGTTCATTAGATTAATGATGCCAGCCTCGGGTTTATATCCTGCCGGACTGGCTGAGGGATATAACCATTTTGGTACCGTCGAACTACCTCTACCCTGGAGCACCACATCATTGGCACGCGATCTCTCCGGTTGGATTCCAAATCAGGGCGTTGAGAGTCGTGACACTCAGTAGTTGGTACAAAGATCTTTGGAGTGGGGGGGCCTATAAACCCCCGATATAGACCAAATGCAGATACGACATGCTGGACGAACGGTTCGCTGGAGCAAGACACTTATACCAGTGCACTTCGCGAATGAAGCGGCTTTGCTCGTCCGACCCCATAGGTTCCGAGCGAAGGTACAAACAGAAGATAGTGGAGCCAAGCGCTCACCTGGTTCGCTTCAGCTCCTTGGCCCGTAAGCTGTTCTGGCTCGTAGACTATCGGATACAACTATTCTTCCGTGAGTAGTGGAGCCATACTGTATTCCTTTAAAGTGCTCTGCTACGGTAGCATTGTTGTTAAGGAGAGTGAACTCCACAGAACCATAAAGAGACATGGATCATCCCGCATTCTGCCTTTTACACTGTTGCTAGCCGGTCTGTTGCCAAAATACCATACTACCAAGAGCATCAAACGCTGTTGAAACCAACCGTGTTCTCATCAATGTACAACGCACCAAGAGTGAGGAGAGGCCATCATGAGCCCGAAATTATTTCACCGGCAAATCGAAGAATTTAGATGGCTTACCATACTATACAAGTCCTTTGATCGATTGATTTACACGTGGGCGCAATTCCCCGGAAGCTTGTATCAAGAAACTTCCTTACTGCTTCTCGCGCTCCGCCTTCAACTTTTGGTCCTCCTCCTCCGTCTTAGGAACCTTGACAAACACCGGCACGGTAACAGCATTGAGTTTGCGGAGGGCCTGCGAGAGTCAGCAAACGTCACCCCAGGATGCCGATACCGCCTACCCAAAAGGGCCGCCACAGCGAGACTCGACAAAACACAGCCACGCCCGTCTGTCCCAGAATCCACGCAAGCGTCTTGGCGGCTTTGACAACGGAGACATGGAGAGCGTTACGTACCTGGGAGAAGGCCCCCTCGGGAAGATTATTGTTCCACCTGTCGCTGACCTTTACGATCTTGCCGTCGTCACCGACCTGGATCTGAACTACGCTCTCCATGGTTTGCTCCGTCTTGATGCCCTTGACGGTGTACTTGTTCTTCAACTCCAGCTCAATCGGGTTACCGGCTGACGTGACGGTGTGCGACTGGATCTGGATGGGGTTGAAGAGGGCCGGGAGACCGTACCATTGCGCGGCGAACTTGTCGTACCCCTCGGCCACGGTGATGTTATCCTGGAAAGTGGCCGTCTTGGACCACAGGGATAAGTGCTTCAGCGTCGGGTTACCCTCAAAGAGCTTTCGGGGATCATTAGCCGAGATCAGCGGGGTGGGGGAGTATGTAGACAGGCAGGGATAATCCATACATCCAGCACACTGCCGACCAAGACCTTCTGCTGCTGCGATAATGATACCCCGGACTTTTGAATGATACTGTTGTTCTTGATGCCGATCGACTCAAAGCTGGGGCCGTTGGCGTCGGCGTCGGTTTGCGCCTTTGCCGTGGCGGAGGGGGTGCCTGACGCCATGTTTCTCTGGATAGATTTTGCGAATGACTTGGTTTCGGGGTGTGTTGCGATCCGCTTTGCAATGTGACGGGCGGACGAGTGCATGAGGAATGACGAGGATTTGCGTGTGCAAGAGTGAGAGAGAGGAGCACGATGTGAGGCGAAGTGAGGGAGAGAGGGTTATGAGGTGTTTGAATGCATGTGGTTTTCGGAACGCGGACAATGACAAAGACACGTCTGGCGCATATTCGTCGCGTCACTGCGCTGACGTGACACAACGATGATGATGAGGGCTGACGTCATGACTCGGGCTGGGAGGAGGCGCTTCAAGCTTGGGCGTGCTTTTCTTCCTAAAAGGGATTCCCAATTGAGATCATGCTGGTGTGGGAAAGTACAGGTAGCTGTCTAGTAATGTCAAAACCTTTTATTTTAGCTTGACTTCTCGTCATGCAATGCTCCTGCCGTTGTCCGTCCATGTCCGAAATATCACGGATCCGGGGCTCGGCTGACGGCGCCGGGTCTGGAGCGGGGCCGGGTACCTGTCTCCACTTAATTCCCGGGAGTTCCCTAGCCATTCTGGGAGATTTCCCAATTCGGCACATTTTGTCGGAGCAAATACTGCTAAGCATGTTGCTACCATGGAAGAAGGTCACAAGAAACAACATGTAAAAGCTGGAAAAAGATCGTACCATCTCTGTCAATTGGAACCCATTGCGCGACTGGTGTCGTAATACATCCGTCTCAAAACCTATGAACAGCCAAAGATATACATGTGTGTATGTGCGAAGAAGAAGTAACTATGGGTATCCAAATTCCCCTCATCCCTCATTAACCTAATCGCGCCGCTACACACGGGCAAGGATATCGAAGAAGCCCCTGCTCCAAGCCCCGTCGGCGTTACACCACCGCAGGTAATGATGCGTTATTTGCAGCCAAAAAAAGCACAGAGGCACTCTTCCGAGCACACTTAGTTGAAGTTGCCGGATCCGTGGCAGCGGGAAAGAGGAATGCCGCTCTGATGCTTGATACACATGGTGATGGCACCGCTGACCCAGCTGACGCCCTCGTAAGAGCCCTCCTCGTGGCTGTCGGCGGTCCAGGTACCGGTCTGTGCCAGGCTGCCGGGGCAGCCCTGGAAGGCGCGGCCGTAGCGGCGAGTGGTCCAGGGCGTGGAGACGACGGTGCCGGTGTAGCCCTGGGCGACGTTGCCGCGGATGAGGTACCCTTGCGTGGTGGTCCAGGTGCGGGTGTAGGAGATACCGATGGAGGCGGAGAGATAGCTCTTGATGGCTGTGGGGCTGAGGCCGGCCGAGACGGAGACAGAGTCGGCGACGGAGTAGGACTTTGAGATGGTGACGTCCATGCCGCCCATGGGGCCAATGACGACGGGGGACATTTGCACGTCCCAGTCGACGAAGCGCTGCGTTTTGTCGGTGACGAAGGAGAAGGTGTGGGCGCAGTCACGCTTCTGGGGGCCGTGGCCGTGGATCTCTGGGTCGTAGGGGAGCGCGCTCATGTTGGCGCCGGCTGCGATCCAGTCGTGGTCGTACTCGGGGGCCTCGGGGAGGATGCCCTCGGACTCGAGAAGCTTGTGCCACTGCTCGACCTGGATGACCTCCTCTGCAATGTTCGTGTTAGTAAAAGCCTCTCTTCTGCAAAATATTTTTGGTGTGCGTTGTACTTACCGCGGTCCTTGCCGATGAGGACAATCTCATCGCCGTTGAGTTTGCGGTCGGGGGACCACTTGGTGAGGTTGAGATCGCGCTCGTCCAACAAGGGAGCGGCGCTGACGGCCGTGGCCATCAAGATGCTGAGAAGGCGAAAAGAAACCATGTTGAAACAGGTGTGGTGTTGCGTGGCGGTGGTGGTGGCGTGTTTGAAGAGGAAGAGGAAGAGGAGTGGGTTGATGAGGATGGGGATCGAAAATGCCAAGAGGACTCGGGAGTATCTTGCGACTTTATACACATGTTTGAGACCATCTTGCGATCTCTGATTGATAGACCATTGCAATGGAACGTGATCACGTTGTGATGTTGGTTCCCGTCGTGTCTCTGGCGGTGTTAGTCCGAAAAGCTGGGGTTCTTGGCTCGCGTCTTCCTTCTTTGGGAATCACAATCAACCCTGCGAGTCATGATTTGTAGACCCAGGTAGATTGCACAACCCACCTCGTGTCATTGAGGGCAGGATCACTCTGGTGAATGGGAACCCGCATTCCAACATTCTCTGCACGCATGTGTATGCAATTCGCCGTTTGACTGGGTAAAGATCAGCTCCGTTCATCGGAGCGAGACACCGACTGAAGGGCCAACGCCCCGGGCTGAGCTCCATACCTGTGTCGCCAGTTTCCTTATCAAGTATAGCAAGTCGGACAGTGCACGATTCAGCTTCTCATCACGCGGGTGAGCTTGATGGCCTGTCATTAGCCTCTTTTGCGGGTAACTTGATGTTATCATGACTCCAATCTACACCGAAACTTGCGAGTTCACCAAAATCTTCGGATGCGAGCTCATCTGCCCTAGAGTAATCCAATTCTAATTACCAATAGTCAGTGTCCATTAGATTGGGCACGACTCGATGAGGCAAGACGCGATGATAAAGACCTCAAGAGATGTGATCACCTTGACAGTCATCGGAATTCAGCTTACTTTTGCTCTTGTCTATGTGACCGCCATACAAGTATTTCAACTTCCCATTTTCTACCCACAAATCAACCTTCCACTCTTCATCTCTACCATCAAATTATTCCATCTCTCAAGTCCAAGCTCCCAAAGCACGTCCCGACTCCTCCGCCACAATGCAGTTCTCCTCCATCTTCTCATTCGGCATCCTTGCCGCTGGGTATGCCTTTGCCCCGGATCCTTGATTGTTCGTTCCTCAACATACTAACAGTCAACCTTGCAGCGTTACCGCCAGACTTCACTACCAAGGCTTCTGCGTCAAGAACAGATCTGAATCTCCCGTTGGCGGCAGTGGCTGGAGTGTCAGCTACACCTGGAGCAAGAACTACGAGATCATGCCTGACGCGACCAAATGCGCCTGTAATTTCTACAAGAACCGCAACACTGGCAATGAGAAGTGGGATCAGTGCCCCGACTGCACCTTTGTAAGTCACAGACTGGGTCTTTCTCAATCATGGTCTTCATCTGACCCGACATTCTTAGGATGGTCTTTCCTGCAACTCTGCTGCCCAGCACATTGGAGGTGACGAGTTGGAATACTACTGCAGCAACAAGTGTGGCGCTGAGGGATCCGAGGCCGACTAAAGTCGCCTGGATCCTGGGGAAGAACGACAGACGGAACTTTGAGATACCACTTTGTTTTCATGGATTGCACATATTTTGATACCATGAGGTTGGGCTGGGACTCCTTTCGATTGTAGATATCTCCGGTACCTACCGGCACATGTTTCCAATAACTATAATCAATCATCTCTACCGACCTTGATGACCTTCCCCTTGTTGTAGTGTGGAAAGGAGGACCTTGGTCGTTTTCGCCGCATGCATGTAGGCTACACAATTTGTTTCGCGAACTTTCAAAATATACTTAAGCTACGCCGGGAGGCAAGAAAGGCAAAAAGTTTAAAAAAAGCCAAAAAAGCCAAAAATGACGTTAGGGGGGGGGGGCCTGCCAAATTGCCGCACCCGTTTTCCCACACTCTAATTTTTAACTCCGAGACCCTTTCGCCGAAGCCTTCCGTTACCGCGTTCCGAGGTGTCTGCAATTGCGTGTTGTTTGTTGTCTATAGTTCACCAAATTCAATCACGACGTCGGCTTTCGATTCTTGGCTTCCCGAGCCGCCTTGGGGAATACTACCTCTCATCGGAAAACAGAACCCATAGCCGGGACCTCTCCGTAATCTCCTCCCTCGTGCAGCAAATACGACGTCGCAGCGAAACTGGGGAGCTTCTGAGTGGGCTTCAACAGCCTTGGGTCGGTTGGTCCATACCGTTGCCAAGAAGCCATCATCAATTGTGATTGACGGCATGGGTTCGGGTAAGCAGTATTCCTCACTTTCGGCTCCGATAAACCGACCAACTTCCAGCCATCACATCACCGAGTCAAACTTCTGCAGCGTAGCATTCCCGGCCCTATGTCAGAGTGAAAGCCATTGAGTCGGTGAACGTTAAAGCTTTGTTCTTGCAACGGTTTCGCCACATGGTTTGCGCTAGACAAGCATTACTTGTGGGGGCCAAGTTTGCCACCCTGCTGGCTCATCCTCAGCGTCCGCCATTTAGAGTTTGGCAGTATGGATCATCTCAAGTAATTAGCTCATTGGGGTGCAGCTCACCATCCAAACCCCGGTATGTTCAGCCAGGGCTGACCGTTGTAACATCGGGTACCTGACAGTTCCAGCAGGGGAACTTGACTTATACACAGAAAAGATCAGCCGCCGGCAATCTAACCAGAGTGGTACAGCGAGGCACGTGTCCCGCTTTCACTTTTGTGCCTGCCGGCATGACTCAGCGCAGTCTGCTAATCTCTGCCCGAATAAACCCGGTGGAGGCTACTTCGTGTCATGGGTTGACGTTGTGCAAGGTAACACCGTCAGGTAATGCATCAAGAAACAAAGATACGCTTAACCCTCAAAGTCGAGAAGTTGAGTTCAGGAGACGACCCGCCATACACCCTGGCGAACCAGGTTGGAAGAAGCTTTTATCTTGGACGGAAAAGCCGAAGTCTTTTTATGGTAGGCACTAGTTTAGTTTGATCTATTGGATGGATGAGCACTCATCTGGTCGGAGTTTCGGATTGAAAAGCAACAGCAAACGTTGACAAGAGTGTCCCGCAATGGGAGACCCGTCTGTTTGGGACCTTGAGAGCTTATTTCACACTAGAGCAATTTGCGAGTCGCAATTTCCTCCGCCAATCAGCTTCGGCCCTAGCATGACACAACTTGCGATTCCTTCGGAAACATCCATGTTGACGTGTTGCTGCGAACAGTTCGGATGTGTAATATGGGTCTTTAGCTCTCGGGCGTTAGGGCGCGGTATGTAGTTTACGGAGAAGCTTAATAAAGGGGAACGAAGGCTCTTGAGTCAAGTCCCATGTCCATGGCTCGAGCATTGCCCGTTTTGGTCAAAAGCAGGGAACCAAAGTGTTGGAGGTCTTCATGGCGATTGGCTGGATGATACGGAGGCGACTCGAGAATCCAGGGAACAACCTCGAATCACACCATTGGGCGGATGACCTGCAAGTGTCCTCTGTCTTCTTTTCCAAACCGTGGCTGGCCGCCAAAGCGCCTCCATCGCGAGATTCAGTGGCGAAGTTTTTGACTCAAGCAAATCGGAGAATCTCCGAACTCCTATCTATCCAACATCGTGGGATGTCAGTTGACGGTCTAGACCCAGACCTCAGATTGGGATCCTTGACCAACGTCGGACCTCGGTAGATATCAGATTTTGCTCGTCAGCAACACCAATGGATTTTTCGACCGAAAACTGATAAACATCGACGAACATCGTACTCCGAGCCACAATCTCCGCCCCAAAGGGCCAATTTTCAAAGATCTGATAAGTTGTGCCTCCATCATAGTGGACTCTTCGCGTGTAGCTGCGAATACCGGGCAGACAGATCACAACATGCTAAGCTCTCTGCTTGATCCAACGATTTCCCCTACTTTACGTAAAAATATTATTCCGCAGGTTTTGTCTGAATCCTCACTGATCTGACTTACCTTGCTACCTAGGAATCCGTCCTTGACCCGTAGAAAGAAAGACTGAATCGTATACCGTGTGTTTCCAGCTGGATGTCAAAGTGAAGGATTTGGCGAGGATGCGTGCCTGGATATATTTGCTTAATCAATCTGCTGTAGCCACAGTGCCTCGAGTCACTTGACGCCCTGGGTGTCCGTACACAGTGTCCGATCAAGCAGACTCAAGTTAGGTAACGAGACATGGTAAAAAGTAGACGTGACTCGATACATAACATGGTCGAGGACCCGGCTAATGTCATTAGCTGTTCGGCCCACATCCAGGGGTCGTTGTAGAAGAATTGAGTTAAAATATGACTTAGCACGCCATCGAGCACATACCTGGATAAGAATTTTGCCGTCGTTAGAAAGCATCAAAAGCGCACGCGCCTTCTCAGGTACATTGAATTGAGTTTGGGGGGGATCCACGAGAGTAATGAAAGAGTAAGCTCAGATTCTCTCGGGGCAAGGGGCTTGACCGACAGAGCCCAAATGAGTTGTCACGATAATCACAGCGGGGAGAAAGATGGATTTCTACCTCTCATCATCTTGGCATCGTGGAGAGAAAGCTTGGCGTCAGAAGTCTGCCTCGACTGACGCGTCGCTACAGGGAGTTCAAATATGACTGTCGGATTGGAAGCCCAATTCGACCTCGAGTCAGCGCCAGCGCAGGGACCATCTGAGGGTCTCTATATCAGCGTTTGACCGGCGATCCAACCAACGGTTGGAACCTCTCTTTTCCACTTCACGCAGAGATCAATACAAGAGTAATTGACCCTTCGTCACCACGGTTCGATCGAACAAATCACCCTGTGATTACGTAAACCAACAATGACAAATCGAGATATGGAGTATTTTTTATCTGACTATCAACTCCGCCTACAACAGCGCTTCCGTTTTATGGGCTGTTGGTGACCCAGGATAATAGTGTGACATTAGGGTTTGATGTCGTGACTCTCGCAAAAGAACGCTCGGCGTGCAATAAGTTCCTAATTCTTCCGATTCCTTCTGCCTTTCCTCCGCCTTCCTCCCGGAATTTTCAGTCACATATAGCTGCACTTTCAACAGGCTCAATGAGACTGACGTGGTATTGGAGAGACTAATCGGAAACTCCGATTTGGTTGACCAGACCCTGAAAATCCTGCGGAAATAGAAATCCACGTCTAAGTTCTGGAATTCCTGCTGTCTAGTGTTTTTCACTCATCTTCCCTGTTGTATGGCCAGTTTGGAGAGAAATTCCACCACTATCTCCACCTTCGTCAAATCCCACACCGCGCGTCCAGCCTCTGGATAATATCCTCGCTCAATTTTCGATCCCTTCGTAGATAACATGGGCTACTGGGGCTCGGGAAGCATCGACCTGGATGCTCCCTGGTTGCGTTGTCGTCGAAAGAATCGGGATTACGCTTCAATGATGTCCAAAATTCCAAACAGCACCACTCACGCCGTATTTGGCTGCCTATCAAGGAGTAGGCCGCAACTTAGAAATACAGCCTCGTGCACGCAGTTTTTCTCTGGGATTCAAGCATTTATTGCCGGGGTTGAAACATGGATGGTCATCTTTGACGAATAAAGGAGTAAGAGCCTCAACCTTTCCGTCTGTTTGATAAGATTTCGGTCATTTACTCGGGTTCAAAACTTTTCTTGTTCTCGTGGAGGGAGCCAAAATGTGTTTAGTTGTCCAACAATAGTTCAAACTTCGGAGGCATCGAGGGTGCTGGTGTTGCGAGAATGAATCAACTCCGCCACCCAAATAGACTCTACCGATGTTAAACTTTTTTGCAATCAATTGGGATGTCTGAAAGAACGAGAAACTTGGCGAATCCGGATGGTTGTTCATAAAATTTGATTCCTAGAAGTCGACTTCGCTGCCGATGAGAAATGCCACAAAGCCGGTCTCACTGCTGGCGATAGTCCCCTTAGTTGTGTAATAGTCACTCACTGCAGTGATTTAAGTTACCTGCAGTTTTCAGTCTCTCTGATCCAAGTTGCGGATGACGGTAGCTGAGATGCATGCAGGTTGGAGTCAAGAGTGAGGGAGCACGTGTAATCCCGCTCCTATCTTGATCACAAACCGAAGCATTGTGATGTTGCAGGTTTCGTTTGCCCACCCTTCAACCCCCAGCCCCCGTTTCCCATTTCACGGAACGTGAATTTTCGGTCTTATTGAAAAAGCAGTGCTGATTCCCCATGAGACTGGAGCGCGATTTACCTTGTCCGATGCCGTCGCATCTGCTCCATTATGGAAGCTATAGTGTTCTGTTACGCAAACCAAAATGATGAGGTGAGCCTGAATGTTAGAGTTGCCGGTTTTAGGTCATAGACTCCTAGTATACTCATCGAAGGGATTTTTCGCTCGGTGTCGTGGTCAACTTGGTAGCTGATACTTCGGTACCTAATATCTTTCGAAGTTGTGAAGTCGTCATTCAAGCTTGAGCTAATGAGGTGAACTCCAATCATCACGTTGCAATAGTATGAAGTTGAGTGCATTACTGGCTCGAATCGCTAGGCTTATTATCTGAGTTTCAGTCAACGTCATTTCTCTGGAAAACCTACTAGGCCATTGGTTTTGAGAGAACATGTTCCACTAAATATCACCGCCAAAGTGAAGAGGATAAATAGAAAATTACATGACTTCAAAGAATAAATAAATGGACCTCTACAGAGTCGCCATGATACTGCATGTAAAATTCTAAGACGAGACGTTGTCAAGGCTGTCTGAGCATGGAGCGATGTTGGTGCGGTCTTGTCTTCAAACAACTGTACATTCACATAAAGTTCTTAGTAACATCAAACACACCAGGAGGAGTTTTCCTCGGATTTAACATTTCACCTTGAGAAAATCCAGTCGCCGGTGTGTTCTGGTTAATGAAGGCTTTGGGTTTCCTTCGAATCGCTCTAGACAAGACTGTAAACTGTCTTTTGAAACTATTCAACGCTATTCCCATCAAAGTTCTGATACTTTAAAAAGTAGCTAGTCTATTACACAATAGTCGATTTGTGAAGACTACAAGGGCGAAAAAAAGAACAGAAGCAATTCACCCTCTTAAATGAGACATCGCGCCTGAAGAGCTCACTTTGAGCCCATACAACCCGGGCGTATCGGCTAGCCGAGGTTCGCAGACACCAGGCAAGATTCGCAAATTCCCTACCACTGATGCCTCTCATTTTTGCTCACATGGCGATCGTGCCAAGTGTCAGCGGCGCATCGCATCCCAACCTGGATTGGCGGAAAACCTGCCTTGGCACAAATCACCCAGTCGCACAGGGAGGTGCGCCCGAAATGACGCCACACCTCAATTAATTCGCCGAATTCTTCTCTAAGCCGCTGGGCGAAGCCTCGGGCTTTGACGCAGTGAAATACAAGGATGGCGGTCGAAAGAGGGGACAACGGGACATAGGTTGAATAAATAGCAGACGATCATGGTCGACAAACCACCAAAATCTGACATATCATTAGTTTAGTTACCACTTAGATTACCCTTGTCAAGTCTAGTAAATTGTCTAAATTTCAATCTATCATGGGTTTCGTAAGTGCTAGGCTTCCTCGCTTTCTGGGTCCTCTAAGTCTAAGCTTCTGACACACCCTAGCTGAAAAGTCTGGGCGAGAAGGCCGATAAGCTGGCGTTGTCTGTAACAAATACCATGGGTACGTATAAATTATTCAGTCTAACCTATGGTTTTCGGATAACTGATCATTTTGAAGCTGACAGCCGCTCCTATTACTCCGACGGCCCCGATTGTGTTCCGGCAGGTGGTGTCCCTCGAAACTCCAAAGGACAGCGCCAACCTCCTCCACGCATATCAAAGATGACTTGGGCGGAGACTCTTGAGGCGGATAAGGCAGACAAAGAGAAGCAGGCTGATCATCTTATGAAATGAAATACACTGTAAATCGACAGATAGAAAACGGCAGGTTATATGATGAAACGATAAATTGAAACCAGATGGAAATCTCATTTTAGCCATGTATGTAAGCAAAAGAAACTTTTTGCAGAGGCCAAATCTTTTTAACACTGAGTGATTCGGCTAAGGATTCAGTATGCTGTCGACATACTTTAAAAGCGTCATCCACATAGCCTCATTCAAATCCTCGACAGGAAGCTTGAGAAGCTCGTTGTCAGACTTAAAGTCCGCATCGTCAGTCGGCTGAAACACGAGGACGTACATCATCTTGTAGAAGCTCTCTTCTTTGCCTTGCCTCAATTCCTCGAGGCTGTCAGTGTATCTCTCCCCAAGGATCTCGAACTCGGTCTTCCGATCTCCGTCGCTTATTCCTGTCACTCTCTTCACACATTTCAGCATATCACGCTGGCTGATTTTGAAGCTGGAAGAAAAGACGGTCTTTGGTGGATTTGGGAAATGTTTGTCGACTTGTCATCGCTGTCTTCGGGAAGAATCTTGCAGCTCAGCACAAAACCACAGCACGAACACAATGAGCCCAGCTAGAGACTTTGATAGACTTGTTTCTATCATCCGTATACAGTAACGGTACGGTTCTTCAAGTCGACCTCGAATATGTTGGGACCTGCCTCCAGGCTGTACTCGTACCAAAATCCGTTCATCAGCGTAATCAACGTCAGGCCGGCTTTCTGACCATCGGCGATATTCTCCGTGATGACCTTCGTGATAGAGATATCTCTCCTAATTCCTTCGCTGTGTGTATTGATGCCATAGACATTCAGCATGATGTACGGGACACTTGCCTTGGCGGCCGATTGGACCAGCGAAAGATGAGTTCCCAAAGCAGTGCAAAAAGAGAGCGTATGATAAAGAAGTCTTGAACCTTCAGAGCTGCGACGATGAACTTCTCATCCTCATAGTTGATGAAGGCTTTGTGCAGATCGTCAGGCAAAGTGTTGCTGCTGTCAGTGCGCTTGATGGCGGCCACTGTTTGCTTCGCCGTCTTGAGGAGTTCTTTTACGATAGCTTTTCCAATATTACCGCCAGCCTACGAATAAAAAATCCGTTCCATCAGCTAGAGAAGTGTTTTCCACCACAGAATCTATATTTGGCTTCGACTATATGAATAGAGGTAAGGCGATTCTGATGGATGGCGAGTTGAGCGGGCAACATGGATCTTCCTTACGACCGAGTCCTTTCCGCACCTGGAGTAATATGGTAGGTAGACCCGCCAACAGACACCCAATCTATCACTGGTATGAACCTAGGGCCATGATGTGAAGTGACATATCTATGATAGAGTTAGATGCAGCCGTAACATTATACCTGGTGTCCCATGCTGCAACATGAAGTCCAACGAATGATATTTTCCGTTAGCTATTGCAGAACCTCAGTCCAACGGGAGTTCACACCGACGTACAGCGCCGGCTTTGCACAACTCCGCCCCGGCAATTAGCATCAAGCCCTTGCCCAGAACCGGATATGTCACTTCATCCCTAAGATCAATCACTTCCCCTATGATACAAGGTCACAGAAACAACCCAAATCACCGCTACTTCAACCTTATATACATTCCTTTTACTGAACCGGCCTTGATTTATTTAGTAGAGCTCTTCATTTTCCATCGAACCCAGAAAAAAACGCCGATTTGCCACATCCGTACATAAGTTCTGGTTGGAGCCATACCTGGCTTGAAGTCCTTATACTCAGCCCTACCCTCGCGAGCACAGCTAATCGCGCAAAGGGCTTTGACATGGCTTTGATGACTGTCATGAGTACGGAAGAAGACGTGCTGGTGTATGCTACCCCAAGCCCACCCGAAGTAGGGGATTTAGGCTTCGTCTTTGAAGATGCCCTCTTAAACCCAGCGGTATTCCTGCTCCTAGTGTGCCCATGCTACATGGAATTCGTAATGTGCTTTGTGCGGATACCTCGGTTCATGACCGAGCTGTGCCTGAGTAAATTGACGTTGCAATTCAACAAATATGATGAAAGTGTCATGCCGAGCATTTAAGTACCGAATCTTGGAAGTCGAAGTCCGAAATTTGCCTTCAAGGGTCTGTTTGTGAAAGGCATTTGAGAATGGAACCAGTCAGACCAAAAGACGCCTTCCGGTGAGACCAAATTTGGGTCACTGGGAGACTAAGCTACCGTGCAAAACAATCATTCCAGGTCGGAACTTGCAAACAAGATAAACCGTATGCGAGTCCGGCAAAGAAGGAACACATCAGTGCTGGGAACAGATACGAAGCAGATGAGTTGGGTATCAATTAGGTGAAGAAGCATCCCTAGACGAACGAAGATGGGTTCTGTCTGTAGGTACGCAACCCCAAATTAGTCAAGGCAAATTTCTCGCAGAAGAAACATCGCAGCACTCAGTTCAGTTCATACCGGTTATGATGAATCCCTGGCCACTTACAGGCCTCCTCTTCCAGTCTAAGCCATCAACCTCTCCCTTGAACTCGGCCGTCTCTTCGACAAGTTCCCACTCGCCATTATCTTCCCTCTTCTTCAACGAGCGGAAAATGATGGTGTCTCCAGCATCCTCAAAGATGAACTCCCTCCTGCAAAGCCGCCTCCACTGTTCAGCCAGCGTCCCTTCCTTTGCGTTTTCCGCCTCCAGCTCGCGGTTCTTCTTCAGCACGGCCAAGAAAGCCTTGCTGTCCCAGAGTCCCTCTTTGCGGGGATACGCTTCGAGGATGCGCGTCGAGTTGTCCCTCACCAAGGGATCGCGGCACGTCATGGCGACGACGGTGAGCTGCCACGCCAGGCCGAACTCCATGGAGAAGACGTGCGCCGGGGACTTGAAGTCCTGTTGCTGCTCCCGGAGCAGGATCTCTACCACGTCGTTGATTTCGCGGCAGTATGGCGTCATGGAGGCGATGGTGGCTTCGTCGGCGTATTTGGGGAAGAAGCTGTACAGGAACATGACCAGGTAGTGCATACGCAGGTGGAGGATCTTGAGGTACTCTTTCCGGGCGATCTTTGTGTCTGATAATGTCTTGTTGTACAGCGGCTCGAAGGCATGCCGCCATTGCTGCAAGTTCGCGACCGACTTTTCGCAGTACGCTAGCAGCTCTGGTTGTTTCTGCATCATCTCGAGCAGTTGGTCGATGCCTGCTTCGTCATTGATCTCCTCGATTTTAAAATCGTCAATGACAGTCAGTAGGAGGGGGCCAAGCTTGGCAATTCTTCGTTGACAGGTTTGCCACCAAAAGTAAGCGTCCCCCGCGTCGTTAAAGACCTCGGGCATAGCTTTCCTCCCTTCTCCCGGGTCAGTGTAGCGTTGGATCTGCATGTTGTACGTCTCAATGGTATGTCCTCGCGCCTTGAGGCCTTTGATGAGTTGGTACGCCGGTGACCGACTCGACTTGACGTGGCCGCTGAGGACGGTACGGCTTTGTACGTCGAGATGGTTATACAGATCAAGAATTTCGGTAATGAGTTGCCTTGGGTCAGGTGCGAGGTTCCAGATGCGATGATCCGAGTCGTCACTGGTGAGAAGCTCCTGCAACAGCACAAAACCGAACTTGACATGCTGAAGAGCCGAGTGCCGATTTCCTCTCAGGGCTTCAAAAGCGACGAAGAGGATCGACAAGAGTACCGCCTCTTGAATGCTGGCAGTCTGGAAGTCGGCCTGTCCCTGTAGACGCAGAGCCTGGCAGTAGTAGACTATGGCGTTCTGATAATGCGGGCTCTTCAACAAGTTGGCGATGCCGTCAAAGTTCCTCGCAAGGACATAAGAAGATCCGTGCGAAGAGAGTGCCCTGCTGATGGCGCCGATGCTCATGGCTGCTTGTCGAAGGGCTGAGTTTCGGCGGGTGAGCTGAGGCATCGTGGTCGTCCAGAGGTTGGATCTGGAGAAGTGAGCGCCGCCGAGTGAGACGCGGACTAGTTCGTTCCAGTCGTCGAAGTAGACGCTTTGCATGTCGTCTTCAAAGTCGAGGGTGTTCATGTTGGGTTCCCGGATGCGCAGGCGCGGACTGGACCGACGACATGGCGGTTCGGGGTTCAGTCGCTCCTGGTTCCTCGGGACTTTGCCTCTGGTCTTTCGGGGTTTGACAGCATATCCATCGCAGATACCGCGGGTCTTGAGGCAGTTCATGCAATGGGGCTTAGCCTCATCGCATTTGATGTGTCGTTTCCTAAAGGATCAATCAGCATACAACAGCGAACTCTACTTGGGTGTTGCTATTGCAAGTCGAGGTTGACTTACTTGCCTGCAGGGAGTAAGCGGTGTCCGATTATTTACATAGTTACCTCATAGCCGGGTGAATACTCACAGGTGACACAACCTGTCCTTACTTTGGGTGTGCTGGTGCGCGTATGCCGAGGGCGATGGGCCACGGAGGATCTGCCGTTTTCACTCTCCAGAGATCCTGTCTGGCTGGGAGGAGCCCCTGGCGGCGACAAGGAGTTTGATGCCGACGCCGTATCTGCAAGAGGAGTGGGATCCATTCTGTGATTGTGGTGTGGGATTGTCTGAGGGTAACTCAAATGAGGGACGGGAGGAGGCTCTCGGCCGACCGATGGGCTGCGTTAACCGTGGGTTCGGGCTTGGGCTCAGCCCATGCAGCTGCACGCCGCCGATGAGAGGTGGCTTGGCAAGGGTTCCAGAGAGAGAGGACGTCAGTAGGTCCCGTTTTGGCGGTCCTGCAGCTTTGCCAGCTTTCGTCTGTAGTCGAGAAAAAGAGCACTGGGGGGTCCAGTCGCGATCTACCTGCAGTGTAGTAGGCTATCCGGCTGGCTGGATTCTCATAAGAACGGGGTGTTTTCGACAGAATAATGCTTGACGTCTTCAGTCTAGGCAAGTCGGTGGATCAGAGCAGGGCGTTTGTCATCAATGGTAATAAGTAGATGATCTTGTCAGCCCTCCCTGATTTGAGGTCGCACTAGGATTTGAACAATGATCACGGGGCGCAAACGTTGATCCTGGATTGTGCGATCAACTGGTCTTGGTGCATATGCCAAGTTGTGCAGAGCCACTCAATCTTGTGCAGACCGGCTAGTTGCAAGACTAGTATCCCTGGCCCTTGAGAGGAACCATTCCATTAGCAAGCCTGCTGTTTTGTCTCGCTGCTGTGCCACAACTCCACGGGCTTGCGCCATGTCACTCGTTCATCTATTGCCTGTGTTAAGGTTAGCGTTATCTGTGTGCGCCAACCAACGTCTGCAGCCGTCGTAAACCCGCCAGAAAGCGGGCGTTCTACTCAATCTCACTGCATCTGCAAAGGTGTTGTTTAATCACTTTAAAAACACCCAGTTCCCCGCCCTCAACTCGGGACTCTCTTCTGTCTTCACGACATCCACGTTCTCGCAAGACGAGATCCTCCCCAATCCAATTTAGCATTGGCTTTCTCTGGCCCTCGGTAACAGGGCCGCTACACTCTGCAACAATGCCAGCCGCCGCAGCATCCGCCGCCGCAGCCGCGATCCAGCGGGAGACCGTCTGGTTCCAGCCAGCTCAACCTATTGCCGCTATGGGCTCAGGATAACTCAAGTCTCCCAGGCGAGGCCGGCTTCGCACATGATCTCCAGTATCAACAGCGTCAACAGTCACTCCAGTTGACGGCCGCTGGCCTCCCGGGTACGGATTTTGGGCTGTTTGGCCCAGAATCTGTCCACCTAGATCCTAGCCTTTCGTACCTTGAACCGCCACCTTGGGACACTCTGCCGTGGACGTCGGCTACCTCTGCGACGCCTCCCGTCAGTGCCAGTCCCCTCGACATCCCGATTGACCAATGTAAGTAGACTATTTTCACGTCTCTAGACCCGATGAGTCAACCTTCAGTGTACTGACTATATATACAGCATTCCCATTCATCGATACCTCACCACCCACCCTCTTCGACACATTCCCCGACACCTTCCTCCCGGTTCAGCTGGATCCCATCTTCGGATCCAGCGACAGCTCCAATTCAAACAGCCCGAATCAGCCTCCGCCCCTGGACATGCCAGTATATACTGCTGCTTCGGGGGCGCCGCCATCTCATCGTTCCTCGCCGAACTCTGACGGTCGAGATTCGGAGATCGCTACACCACACGCCGACAAGATCCTCCGGCGTCAAAGAAACACCATTGCGGCGCGCAAGTACCGACAAAAGAAGGTCGATCGCATCGACGAACTAGAAAGTTTGCTGAAGGAGATGACCCGCGAGAGGGACGACTTGCGAATCCGTCTCGCCCGTCAGGAGGCCGAGACTGAAGCTCTCAAGAGTGTCATGCGCAAGGAAACTTAGCATTGACTCGAAATAGCTCCCGTCTCTGCTGCCAGGAATCATTGTGAAGGAGAGGGCGTTTGGCGCGGGTCGGACATGACCATGTAGTAGTCGATGAATGAAATGATTGAACAGTTGCAACATCCTCAACCTGCTTCTAATGACTCTATCTCGACGTGATTCGAAAGGTAGCCCAATACTTATGTGACGCTGTCGGTGACTTGGATGCGCACATGATTCAAGATGGCTCATTCTGTACACTGGGCTGGCAAAGTCGGGGTGATTACAGCCAAGCCTACGCCTCTCGGTTTTCGAAGAGAGGTAAATGCAGATTGCTCATGTGTACTAAGAGACAACAACTCTGTTCACGAGGACTTGGTATGAGTCTTCATGTCTCATTTAACGTACTCAGGATATTAAACCATAATCACTTCACGATCCGCAAAGAGAACGAACATCAATTGTCACCAAAGTCGTTGAATCCGCGACTCTGCCGCACCGTGGCGCCCGAGAGTCGAGGGGAACGAAGGTGAGGGGCAGACCTGGCACGCCTTGCTGGTGCTCAATCTCGGGATCTCCACCAGTCACCCAGGATGGTCCCAGCCGCTAGTCATCCTTTGACGCGAGAATCCCTGCTAGCGCGGATGAATCATCGTGAGCCATGTTCGAAGTCTCATCTGGATCTGACCACCAGCAGGCCGAGGCGAACCAATCCCTGCGACGCCCCCCGGGGACTGTGGCTGGTTCCAGACGGAATGCAGACGGAAACTCTGCTCACCGATTGTCCGCCGCCAGTCACCAATAGGGGAGCGGAACGGGAGAGGACCCCGAGCATCCCCGTCTTTGCATTTATTGCGTTAGAAGAGTCTTTTGTCGAGGTTTGAGCCCCGTTATGGCTGGTTTGGACCCCCGTACAAATGCACAATTTACATAACTTTTCCAGTATTTCAGCCGGCAGCGCACAGCTCTGAGTGGTACACTTCTAGTGTAAATTCCTGTGCCACACGTCGATTTTACCCGGGAGGCGTGAGTCGCCACCTTTTTCTCATGCGCTACTCCGGGGCGGGTCTCCTGCCGTTCAAATTTCCTTGGCTGTGTCTTTGATTATGATTTTCTCATCTAACACCGTCACTTGAAGTGTCTCGAGGAGCCACCATTTAATGAGCCGTACTGAGGCGGGTTAAAGTATGGCACTTCGCCAGGGCTTTTTGTTAAATGTGTATCAAGCCATTAGGGTTCGAGCAGTCGTGCTCGTTGATTTCTTTTTTGTATTACTCAAATGGGTTCCGCTTGCGATAGACAGATGCAACAACGACGGTTCATTGTCCGAGTCTAGCACTCTCATCATTTTCAAAGACGTCTAGAGATCTGCGTTGTCATTTGTAGGTTCTAACACTCTCAGACGTCGGAAAGTTGAGGATATCAGCGGTGAACCAATCGCTTCACTCATAGCAACCACAATAACCAACCAGCCAACCAAATCAGTCAAATTTTGAAATATCGCCAGTCAACCAACCAACTATGAGGCCAAAGTTCAGTCGGTTGCTTTGAATGAAGCGCTAGTCGTACCTTAACTATATTAAGCATAGCATGGCCAAACCTTCCTAGAAAGCTACAGGAATGCAGCTGTCGTAACCCCGTACAAAATGTTTCTCAGCTGCCTCAGTTCCAAGTCCCCTTGATAAGCCAATTTGGGGAGAACTAACTCTCTGAGTTCCCTATCGTACTCCCCCGGGCCTTGCCATGCTAAAGCAGCTTGCTCAAACCCAACTGGATAAATACCACCCATACCCCAGTCAATGAGCCACACCTCTCCGGTCTCTTCTTTAACAATGATATTTCGAGGAACGATATCCTGATGGGTGGTAACCAGGTCCTTAAACTCGAATCTCGGGACGCTATCGCTTCCCTGCTTCCAGTGTACGCAGACGTCCAACTTGTGGTTGTACCAATCTTCCATGTCTCCAAGTGTCGGGAAAGGCCCTGTGCCGTAGTCAGTGAAATAAGGCCTAGGCCACGGCTCGTCGGCTTCCATGTCGTAACCCACAGGACCGGGCGCCAAGTCATTCAAGTTAATGGATTGCATCCGATTCATCAGATCAGCAACCTTGGTGGCGGCGGATTCCCGCTGTTCCTGGCTGATCCCCGCCCAAGACTTTTCGAGTAATATCCCTCGCACGAAGTCCATGATAATGAACTAGCACACCTCGCCAGGTATAACTGGATCGGTCCCAGTGAGTGAAAATGCGCGATGGACTACCGGCACCGATATGCCTTGTGCTGCGGCGAATCGCTGTGTTTCAGCTTCTCCGAGTGACACTGAGCCAAAGCCTTTCATGATCAGGTCTCTGGATAGCCGGACGAGTCGGCTTTCCCTGAATTTGTAAAGAACGGGGGCTTTGAGAAAGTGTTGGAAGAGTTCGTCGTTGGTGACGGTGGCCAGATCTACTCCGTCCAAGGGATATAGTTCTTTTCCCATTGGTGGTTCTTCCTTCATTGGTGATGGTCGATTTGTGACGGGCAAACGTGTTGGTGCCAGAAGAGCAGTTATGAAGTCAGTATATAGATTTCTCTGTTGGTAGCGAAAGTCTCAATTAACCATGGGGCAAGAATGGATGAAAATGATGCCGCTGAATTAGCGGACTGCAGGGGCATTGACGTCGTGTTAGATGTTGTGGGAGGTGAATTACATCTCCGCAAGGTTTTGACTATTAGCAAATCGGCATGCTTTTGACGCAACGCGCGCTCAACCCTGGATTGAATCCCGGGCGGCGCCATGGTGTGCTTGTTGGACAGATTTCACCACGATGGCCGCAGCACCAACGGCCCTCGATTGACCGCCGAGTCCTTCATGTTGGGTTGGTCCAACCTCGCACTACCGGAGTCATGTGAGATGTGTCTGATGTGATAATTGTATTTGTATCAGAGGGCTTTCTATCACAATGTCAACGGATTGTGACGGACTTATCAGCACAAATGGTTTACGTTGTGTCCCAGGTAGGAAAAGCTCCTCCGGGTCCCCGACCGTAATCTTGCAGGCTCTTGGCGACGAGAGGCACAACAGCACTTTGAAATAAATATCCATGGAACATCAGACAAATTCCTGTTCTTGGCTGCTTCCAACAAGTCCATTCTTACGAAAATAATACCAAAAATTCCTACTGCTGGCAAGCAGTTGGACAGCATTGAAAACGTTGACACGAGACCATAGCCTCACCTCAACTTCTAGCGCCCGGGAAAGGTTTGTTTAGACGCCGACCCATTGAAGTGCCATTCACAATCTGAGTTAACCTCGTAATACATGTCGATGGTCAACTCGAATAATGAAAGCTATGGCGTGATGTCGCACAGGGGACATATGTATGTACAGAGGAATTAATCCGGTCTCACGGCTCCCGGAACTCACCATCGTCACATAGAAGGATTGAAACTTTTCCTTTCCAATTTCTTAGTATATCTATATTCAAAAATTCATCCAACCTTTGTTTGTTTCTATTAGAAATCAAGACAATTGTATATTTCCCACGATCATCCGCCGCCGAACATCAATATAGATGTCTTCAGCTAAAGGTCCAGCAGCAAACTTGGAACCTCTGAATCCCAACTAATTCTCCAAGAATCCGGCAGCAACTATTCAGCAACAGGGGTAGAAACTCTCCAACGTCACTCCAACTCATCGCCTATGTCCCAAAGAGTGAGTCAACCAGTATGCTGGAATAACCTGTGTCTTGGGTCAACATCGTTGCACACAACCTATTGCCCGGCAGCGGGAATCACCGGTGTTTCTACCTTGAGATTTTGACTAATTTGAGCCATCTTCGCGACCACTCAGTTCGCATCGACCCGACTACTCTCTTAAGTTGGTGATAGAGACATCAGAGTGATCTAGAACGGTGGGCGGTCTATCAGGACCGGGGGAGTTGTCGCCGTAAGGACTCCAAGTGCAATCTTGGATATCGATACACATGAATGTTTCGGAGCTGACGATGAGAATTTTTCCGAGGGCAACAGGGAATCGGAATTGTGACAGGACCGCATAGTTTGCAGGCATTGATAGTGCTGGGCATGCCGTGATGAGACAATTCGACCAGTCGTACATGGAAAGTGCGTTCCACAGACCAGGGTTGAGCTCATTGATCAGCCCGGTGTTTAGGTCAATGAAGTCATGAAGATCGTCGTCATCGAATGCAACATCGTCGAGAGTAGGAACGGTCCACTGCGTCAAGTTGTCATAAGAGATATTAGTCGTTGGTAAAGACCCCGCTTGAGTTGTAGTTGTGAGAGCAACTGAAGTAGATATCCCAACGTCTGGGTTTTGTGCAGAAGAAGATTCCACCGGAGAGGGGTCAGCAGTTGATACCCGAATAATGGTCTTGGCTAATATAACCGAGGAGATGGAAGAAGTGATTCCTGAAGTTTTCGTAGCATGGAGCCAGGCTACGAGCGTCTCATGGCGCAACTTGGACCTGACTTTCTCGTGGCTGCGGCGTCTAGAACAGGGGATGAAAGAACTCCAGCCACGCGGGGGAAAGTCCTGGTATTTTCTTGAGGTATTTCAAGCGTTTGCATTCAGAAAAGATAGTGGCTGAGTGATTGTCTTCAGAACGGCCGGGGTGAGGTCTTCTAGGGCTGCGAAAGCCATGATCCTCACCACATGGGCATTCAAAGGCTCAACGTCTTATGACAAGCCAAAAAGCTTGTTTCAGTCGCTAGTCGACGCCTTGGAAGGGGTGAGAATGGAAATGATGGAATTCGGTCCTCACATTCCGGCCGTTTGGTTTCTGGCTTGGTTAGTGCCGTGCCATTTGCGGACAGAGTTGGTAATGTCTGGATCTGTCTACCGCTGTCCGTCAGCATCGACAACTTGAGACATTCGCGCAACCACGAAAGTTGATTCGGTCAGCTTTAAATCAAGATGTAAATGGTGAGGATAGCTCGTCTCTAATAGTAATCTATTTGCAGCATGGATCATCACAAGGTGCACAAACGAAGTCACAGTGCTGGCACATTCGATTTGGGGAATTATATACAAGCGGCTATAACACAAATGTTCCATGCGATGACTCTTTACGGCCATTGTTGCACCGAACAGTATGCCCCTTGGTTGTATACAATGATGAAAAAACTGGGCAAAGCGTCTATTGGCTGTTAGAGCATACAGTAACTTCAATTGTTTCTCATATGATTGTCCGCCCACGTCTGGCGATGGCTCAAGAACTTTGGACAGAAAGGGGCACGTTTAAATTGCTGAAAATAGTCATTCAATCGTCAATTTGATTGTTCAATGGCGAGTGACCCAACGAAACGTCGTGATATTATCTCATTCCAATTCCGGATTCGAAATTGAAAGGGAGCTCTCCTTTCGCTCATCCAGACATGTGGCTCTCTGTAAAGAGGCGTTCTTATTGTGTTGCCCTGAAAGGCATAAGATTAAACAGCTCCGATTAGAAATTTCGCACCGAGAACTTCATCTGCTCTCACAAAAGGCTCTGGAGTAAACACTGTAACATTACTGCCGCCAAGTTCCCCAAGTAACAGTACATGTGCAGACAAAGCTATCTGCTTTTCACGTGATCGCACCTCATCTCGACTATGTGAACTTGATCTTTAAGTCCATCTACTCGTGGGGAACACAGGCTGTATTTGAACCACTTGTTTTATCCATTGCTATCTGCAATATATCATGGACATTACAGATAACCTGACTTTATCATGTGCTATGCCTTACTACCAACGCCGTGCTTTCTTGAAATGATGAAACCAAGCTTTCGTCCCTACGTACATTTATGCTCACCTCAGCATGCCGGAGTAACCGGTGCTGAAGTGAAGTACGTCTTGTAGTACACGTTATTACCAACGTGCTTAGCCACGCTAGGGGGAGGGCTGAGCGGACCGCCCTGGCTGCTGGCATTGGGGAACAAAAGGCTAGGGCCATTCGGTGAGAGAACGCTGGTCGGGCACCCAAGAACAGTATTGCCAAAGTAAGGGTCAAGCTTGGAGATGGCCCAAGTAGTCGCAGCAGCCACCTCCTCCGTGGTGCCCGCGACGAAAAGCGGCACCATGGAGTTGATGCTCTGGTACACACCGCAGAGAAGAGTCGTGGCGTTGAGGTTTCCGGTGCCGAGCTGCGGGATGGCTGGGGTGACGGGGTTGCGGAGGTAGACGAGGAGACCCTCCAGCACAGTCTGGGCTGCGGTATATGGTGTTGCGCGACGGTACCAGTTGGCTGGCCAGGTCTCGGGAACGTATTGGAATTCGCCTGTGGTGCTATCGTATTTGGCTCCGATGATGGACGAGATCGACTCGTAGTTGGCAACGCCCCCGAGTCCGTAGGTACCATTGCTGAAGAACTGGGAGGTCAGATGTTAGTAGGGGTTGGAAGGACCAGAGATGGAATCAACCTACGTTAGGGTAGAAGGCAAAGGCACCGAGAGAGACGATCAAAGGGAAGGGGAAATAGTAGAGGTACGGGTTGTTCTTTTGTGAAAACGTGGACAGTTGCTGGTACTGTGTACCCATGTTGGTCAGGTCGAACTGCTTCGTTGCGCTCTTTGCTACGATATCGACGTTCTGCTTGAACAGACGAGACGAGACATGATGAGCATCACCGCATCCGTTGTAGAAGTCTTCACGGTTGGGAGAAATGTCCGCCTGGAATGATGGTTAGCCTACATGTAAGCTCACGAGGGCCGTTTGGAGTTTATCTTACCTCGACAGTGGAGTGCCTGTTCAGACCGCCGACACCCCCTGGACCAGCTCCCAAGTAGAACGACTCAGTCGCGATATCTCCGTCGGTGAGAACGGCAAAGACACCCAGGACAGTTGCAATGTCAGGGCCCATGTTGAAACCACGAGCAGTGGCTTCGAGGACCTGGCCAAGGTTGACATAACCATTGCGGGGCAGGTAGCCATGGTTCGCAAGCAGGTTCAACCCCGGGCAGGGGCCTCTACTATCGTTGAGACCAGGGGCGATGAATTCGTACCCTGGTTCCGGACGCTTGTTGGCCGGGTTTAATGTGCCTTGTGCGACGGCGCCGAGAAGTCCGGTGATGGTGTTGGTGAGAGATTCGATGATTCCGAGAAGCTGCGGCTCGGGGTTGGCGACAGGTTCCGGGTTGCGCTTGATCAGGTTCTCGAGGTCTTCCTTGGTTGCCATGGACGGGAACGCAGCTGCCGAGGCGGCCAGCGAAGCCAGCACGATGATTTGATACTTCATCTTCGGCCGAGTATCCTGGGATGAAGATGAATATGAAAGTGACGGAAGAAACTGAGAAGACTAGAGAAGATGTGTGTGATTTCAAGGAGGAAGATGATGAGAAAAGGCCAAGACTTATATCGTGTCGGTAATCTAGCGCGCGAGGCACCTTTGCAGAAACAGCATCGCCAGTCTCATCAGAAACAACAGAGACAAATCTCAGACCGATGACATAGCTCTGAAATCAACACCCACAACGGTGCGTCGACGGCCCTTTCCCGGGGATACCAGACGGTGATACCGGCATGAAAACGGTTTTGCGGGACAATGCGATGCCGAGCGTAGCGTATCGGTCCGCAGACCATGGCGTCGTCAACGGCATTGGAGCGCAGCCGCGCTACCCACGGGATTAAGCTTCAGCGTCCCCAGATACTTACATGTCCTCCGCAAAGACACTCCTGGGGAACGGGAGGGCACGACAAAAGGACCCGGTCATGTCGATGTTTACAAACTACTGACGTGTGATTTGCGTCGCTACGCACGCAGCACTCACGCAGGGACTGCCCAATGTGGACTTTTTGCTCAGGTGGTCTTGTCCCAAAGGGCGATGGTGTATGGATAAGCGTGCGGGATGAGGCACGTTCGTCGGCAACGCTAAGAACATTGTTCCCTTGTTATGACGTCCAAGTCCGCTGTGCTACACGTTGAAGTGCCTGATTCGTTTCTCGACGAATTAGCAAGCCCGTTCAAAAGCAGTTCAGGTAGTAATAAGCTTGTGGAAAGCAAGTCAATTCACTCCTGCTGGCTGTATCAAGGGATCTTCAAAGACGAGTCGACGCTAAACCTCGGCACAGACCGTGGAACGGATCTGGTTCAGATTTGGGCATGCAACTCTGCAGATCCCTATCGACTTTTGCATTAGTCAAAGTCTCTTGCTATATCCCCATTGACCAATGTGTTTATTCTGATTGGTGGACTGCGCAAACTGGCGTTGATTCTGGGCAACGTTGCTTCTGGGAGTGACACCGGGTCATTTTTTTCCAATAAACTGTCTCATGGTCCCTTCGAAGAATATACTCGTACTAGGCTAGCGGCGGCTTATTGCCCCCTCCATTTAAAACTTCCCTCACCTCCTGGGGCCGACTTCCCGGATCAAAAGTCCCGTAGTCCTTGAATCAATGTCTATGATTCAGCAGCCCATTATCTACGGTACCTTGATGTGAGAGACATGACTGCTAGCTATTATCCTTCCCTTCGTGTCAGTGGGCCGGCGCATTGCTCTTGACGCACATTCAATTGAGCAGGTAGATTGAAAGAGATAGAAATAGAGGTAAACGAAGAAGTTGTGTTTAAGCGTCGAAGCGCTCCAAAGACGGACCGATACGCACACCATAGGGCTGACAAGGACATATTTTTGGAGTATGTGCGAGATGGCGAACGCAATAATGCCTCATCCACGAATACGGTCGGTGTGTCGTGTTCTCTTCACTTTCAGATTCTGTGTTCACATCTAGACCAAGATTATGCACTGACGTATACGAGCATTGCCGACTTGAAGTAGCCAGGTCCAACCTGGTGCAAAAAGTTCCAGCTGTTGTTCTAGCCCGGCATCTTCTGCCGTATGTTGTGCCAACAAGCCTTTCCTAGTCGTGAATACGACTTGGCACGTCTCACTCAACACCGACATATGAGTGAGGTCTCAAGTGAAGATCCGAGACTTGTTTCTCGGTTTCCTGCCCTTTCCTCCTGCAGGTTTGATCAATGTGTCGCCAGTGGAAATTTCATACTGCCACCATGGCGGCTGACCTTGTTTTTACACATGAGATCACTGGCCGATGCTTGCCATTTATTAATCCGACGGACGAGGGAAGACATGAACTGTTGCCATTCCAGTTTAACTTAATGCCAATCAAATCGTGTTCAGCATCTGTCAGATATGATCTCGACCAACAATTTTCTCATCCCTCACGGGACCTGCCGTAAGCAACGACCAAGAAGTACGTTGCTCACAAGGGACCAGCTCCTTCGACGGGCCGTGCCGCGACTACGAGAATAAGAACTATCCGATGTGTGGTCTCATTTAAAGAGTGAGATTCTGTAGGATTTGTTGAGCTTGAAAGCCCTTTTGTAGTCAACCCAGACGAGAATCTATCATCCCTTCGCAAAACATCTACTTTCCGAGCTAGCGCCGTCTTCCACAACACCTCGCTAGTTGCCCCGTCCTTTGCCATGAAGGATGAAAACTGTCATTCGACATGCGGGATCACAACCCTTGGTACTTTGCTTTCGACATGCTAGAATGGCTGTGACACAGGACGGTCCAGGACGCATGCCAACCCGGCCATGTTGAATGCAATCTCCCCCTGGAATATGATGGCCAAAAGGTCAAGTAATTATACGTGATCTTCGGACAGCCTATTTCACTTCCATACTCTTAATCGAGTCAACACGGCAAGACCAGACTCCTCACCTCCCGCCACTGCTGACATTCAACGACTGCTTCAGCACGTCCACCATCATACACCCTCTTGGGTAGAATATCCCCATCCATGCCAACTCATACCAAGGGAAACCCATTACAAGTCTTCGTATCAGACACTATACACTCCTCTGGAGACTCAAAATTCTCTGCACCAACAAAAACCAACTTAACCCAATCGTACGCCGCCAGCTCTACGAGTCACTCTTCCCACAGAGCAACACTCCCAACGCCCCAGAAGCATCAAATTGCGAAACGTCGTCCTGAGGAACTGACGCTTGACCATCACGGCCACAACCATCATCTAGCTCTCTAGATCCTTGAAGCAATGGGTATTACTCTCTTTGCCCGCAGACATGAAGACGTCTCAAATCCGATCCTCAGATCCACAACACCTTCGATATATATCGCGTAGTAACGTTCTAGCAAACCAATCCAGTCTGCAAACACCTCTACAACCCAAGAAACCAAATGAACACGCCTCGGAACGCCATATAGATGACATTCATTCCTACAGTTCAAACAGGAACAAGTCTGAGGCCCTCAGAGCTTGTCTGCGTCGCTTAAACAAAAGCGCAGTCGCCCATTGCTTGGTAGACGCAACCGCCGACGACAAGTGTGTCTAGGAAATATCAAGCCAACAAAAAACAACACGACATCACCCCTCACAAACCTCATACACAAAAACCCGACTCCTCCCCTCCTCGGGCGCAAAATACAACCTCACCCGCCCCCCAACAACAGCAACATCCATCGGGTTCTTCGTCATCAAAACGCTCTTCTGAGCCCTTCCCCCTCCGGCCCCCGTCCCCGTCCCCAGCCCCGACCCCGTCCTCTCCATAAAAGGCACCTCCCAAACAGGCACCATCCCCTCCGCCTCCACAATCGCAAGCCCGCCCACCTCCACCCCGGGCGCCAACGTCGCGATGCCAGAACACAGCATCAGAGCCCTGCCGTCGACGTGCCCGAGCGACTTGCAGTCCTGGTAATCGATCCAGTGCGAGGGGTTCACGACCGTCGTCTCCGGCTCGTCGAATATCCCTCCACCATCCCCCTCTCCAGTTCCAAGCTGAACCTGGTCCCCTTTATCAACCGCACCACCATCACCACCACCACTACCAGTCTTTTCACCCACGACACTCCCACCCTTCGCAAGATCCCACCTCCTCGCAACCCTCCCGCCCCATCCCAGCGTAATCAACCTCCCCGTCTGGACATCATGCACAATCCCGCCCTGGTGATCCCCCACCTTGAAAACCCTCTCCATCTCAACCCCCACCGGATCAACCCTCACCACCGTCCCCGTCGAATTCGGCCGATACTGCGAGAGCGTAGCCCAGATATACCGCCCGTCATAATCCATCCCGCCATTATGATACTGTTTTCTCGTCAGCCCGTCCCCTTTCCATCTCAAAACTTTATCCTCCTTCCTCCCAATGACAAAACCAGAAGCCAAACGTATATAAAGGCTGGGGAAGGAAAAAAAACTCACCTCCAAATCCCCCTCCCTCGAAACAACCCAATCCGCAACCCGTCTCCCCCGCCCATCAAACACCACAAAATGCGCAAACCCCGCCCCAGCACTCCGATCCGTCCCGTCAATCCACCTCCCGTCAGGAAACCTCTCCGTCGGGACGGTATACTCCCCCGCCGAAACCCAAAACCTCTCCCCATCATCACCCTCCTCTCCCTCTCCCTGTCCCTCCCCCCCTCCCGTCTCCCCTGCCTTCTCTCCTCCCTCAGCAGCAGCAGCAGCAGCAGACCCAACCTCTGCCCCCGCAAGCCTCACAATCCCCTCAGGCTCCCACAACTCCCCCTCAAGCTCAATCACCTTGACAAGCTCCAGCTTCGCACCACCACCGCCACCGCCACCGCCACCGCCACCCATACTCGACCGAGACAACCCCCTCAACTGCCTCACAATCTCCGCCCCATCCCGCGCCGCCCCAGGCGCAGGCAACGGCACCGGCGCCAGCGGGACATTCGGCCTCAGCCTGGTGATGTTCTTCCCCTCCATCATCAACGTTCCCTCAGGAACGACGCTTCCGACCAGGGACGCAAAAGTCACGAGATGCGATGTACAGAACCTCATCCCCAATTTCCCCTCTCTGTACGCGTCCGCGAGGAAATGATCAAGTCGCTCAGATTATCGGTGTGAAAAAAATGGAAGCGCACCAAGTATGCAATGATATCCGTGACAGAAATTGGAATATGACTTTCATGTGGTGTTGAATGAAGCAACGTAGAACACTTAAATGCTCCGCCCACCCGGAGACGTCGGAAGGAACCACATCGTCTTGGCCCTGTCCCCCGCCCCGGCCCGCATCGTCCGTGTTCCCCACATGCTAGACGCACTACGCAGGCCGAGAGCCCAACCGCCTGCACACGTGCATCGGATGAGGTTACACAGATTCCATCACAGAATCAGGACTCTCATGCATGTGGAACATTGGCCGAGCGTCACAATTCATGCTGGGGGTGGGTTACCAGTGGGCGGGATTGAATCATAGTCACACCATACAATATTTGAACTACTCTATTCATTTGTTCGATCAAATACTAATGACACTGCGGAATCCCCCATCCGAACCATTACCGACGTGATATACGGTATAAAACATCATACACATGATGCCGGCAGCTCTCGGGCCGGGTATGCTTTGGCCCCCCAAAACTCCAGAGTACTCCGTCATGTACAGCGCTGCTCGTCGCCAGCCAGCAGCCACAAGGCTTGACCATCGTCCCTCGTCCATCCGTAAATTAAAAATCAAAACACAGGCAAGTGGCCTCACTGTCTCAGATGGTCTTGCCGCCGCAGTCTGGAATAACGACGCCAGACTTGACGTTGCGATTGACGTCCATCAGTCCCCACTGGTCCTCCCAGTTCTTATCCTTTTCGTTGAACATGATCTTCCATGGCTCGTCAAAAGCCGAGAACCAAAAGTAGTTGGTACCATTAGTCAAAGCAGGGCACACCCACGTGTCCAACAACTCGTTGAGCTCGTCGATACCGGCAACCGAAGCGTTGGGGCAGCCCGTAGCAGTGCCATCGCCGCAGTTGGTGCCACCCTTGGTCGGCCACCCAATCTCGGCAATGACGTTCTTCTGCTTGTCTGACTTGAAGAATCCACCGGCATGGTTTTCCCAAAAGGCGTACGTCCACGCGGCAGCCTCCTTGGCGTTGGTCCCGGAGAAGAAGGGGTGGATGTTGGCCATGATGTAGTCGCTCTTGGACGCCAAGGATGCCGTCCAGTCGTCGCCCAGATCCGACGTTGCCACTGGCAAACTGAGACCCTTGCTGGTCAAGTTGTTTCGTACCTCTTGGAGTAGGGTTCCTAGATCCGACTCGGACATCTGCTTCCGGAACAGGATCTCGTTGGCTACAATGATGCCCTCAAAGTGCTTGTCTCCGTATTGGTCTAGAATATCCCACATCTGGTCAAGTTGTCTTGCGTTGGTCGTTGTGTTGCCGTCCTGCCATACACCCATCCAGATCTTCACTGTGTCCTCCAACTTGAGTTGTTGGATCGAGTGGATTAGCATCTGCGTCTGATTGCAGTCTGTGCCGTACAAGCGGACCGTGTTGGTCAGTTGACTAAGAACGGCGAGATCACGAGTGACGTTGTTTTGTGAAGGGGGGTTATGATAACAATCAGGGTACTGGGTGTTGAGTGGCGTGTAGTCCATTCCGGGGAACACTTTGTGCAGTGCCTTGTTGTTCATGAGAGCTTTGATCTCAGCACTGTCGGCGTTGAGATCACCGTTGGAGCTTTTATCGTCGTCTGCTGATTGTCCATTGCCTGAATTGCTGCCATCACGGTTGTTTTTAGAAACCAATCCACCTGCAATGCCACCAGCAATGGCACCAGCAATGACGAGAATCACTCCCAGGATGATGCAACACTTCCACTTCCTTCGTCCCTTGTTTTGCTGCGCCATCCACTCCGACTTCTTCTCTGGCGAGCTGAGATCAATGGCGCTGCCGTTCTGGTACTCGGTCACTCCCTTGGGGTCATAGTAGCCGCTGACGTTTCGATTCGCCATCAATCCTGCTGCAGCACCCCCGGCGGCAGCCACGCCGGCTGCGCCGACTACTTTGCTCTTGCCTGTGCGGTCGCTGTTTGATAAGCTGAGCATTGAGTTTCGTCCACTTTTGGGCTTGCCGTAGTCTAGACCATCATCGCCGTCGTCTGCAATTGAGTTGGGATCCACCACGCCAAGGTTCTGAGGGTATCTCTGGTAGTAGGGGTTCTCGTTGTAGTAGTCGTTATAGCCGTATGGGCTGGAGGCTGGCGATAGTCTGGCCGGGGAAGCGCCAGCTCCGCCGAGGGCAGTCAGGCTTGAGTGTGAATCCCGGTCAGGGAGACTGCCCTGGTAACTACCTTGATACGGGCGTGGGACGGCATTGCTCATCTCATAGACATCGCCTCCGGGTTGGCTATAAGCTTGCGGTGGTGCGTTGGGCTGCTGGTACTGTCCTCGCGGGGCCTGGCCAGCATTTCTTATGGCGTCAACCCCGCTCTCCCTGGCGTTGCGTTCGGCGACTGTGTACGCGATGCCAGCCATGCCTCCTGACGCCGTGTCGCTGAAGTTATCGGCACCAGGTGTGGTGTTCGGGTTCAGATTGCTCTGCTGCGGAGCCGCATAACGGTCGGGTCCCCAATCGCGATGGACCGGAACTTGCGGAGAGTTGTCGATGGGGGATACGGCTTGTTGAGCGTTTTGCCCTGCAACGGCACCGCCGAGGGCGCCGACGACTTCTGGTGGTGGTCCTTGGTGATCGGCCCTCCGCTCGGCTCTCATGCGACTGAAGTTGGGATCGTGGTTGGCGTCGGTATACTGCTGGTCGTGGTGATAGTCCTGAGGCGCCCCGTTGTAGTACTGGTTATCGTGGTAATACTCTGGTGGATTGGGAGTATGAGACCGGTAACCCTGATCTAGAGGCTCGCGCTCGGCATTGCGGCCGTCGTCAAAGTCGTATCGCGGCATGTTTCGGATAGTATGTAGAATCCGAGAAAACGTCTCGCAACCCTCGTGGGTTCAATGGTTGACAGACCAACCGCCCAGAAGCCCAGTCCGAATGAAGGTGGATGAGAGAGAGGCGTAGGAGTCGAGGGACGTTGGGTAGATGGAGGTCGAGCTGGGATGATGGGTGGCTGCTGTGTGCGTCGAGCACAGGAATGCGGGTGCAATTTCAAGATGTCTCGGAACGGCGACTGTTTAATTGTGAGTGCGGTTCTCGCTGAGATCGCTTTGTGTAAATGTCCCGTCCAGTCATTCCAGCACAGCGGCTGCAGAGATGGGACGAGACCAGATCAAATTGAAGAGGTGCAGGAGGAACGGACGAAGCAGACAGGAAAGAAAGCAGAGATCACTAACCTCTGTGCACCAGGTCGCCCAGTAACTCGGATTAAGAAGCCGGCAGGCGGACGACGCAAGCTAGTCGCCTCCGCCTAGTAACAGTGTTGGGGAAGTTTAATGGCGGTAGAGCGTACCAGTAGAGAGTCGTCGGACAGTCGCAGGTTCGTGTGTCGCGCGTTTGCTCGTGTAAATGGGCGAGCAACGGCAGGGCCGGGGAATTAGCGGTGCTACGGTTGAGGATGTCGAGGCGAGGAAGCACACGCTTTTGAAATGTTTGTCTTGGAACCCCTATTAGGATGAACCGTACGGGTATCGAAAACGGCCAAACGGGGATCGTTCAGCCAGGTACGGTACAAGGAGAAGAGGTGGTGAGGTGAGGTGAGAGGTGTGCGGTGCGGGTGCGGTGCCTGATGGGCGAGAATGATGCGCAAGCCACCCAAAGCGTCTAGGCGCGAAAAGCCGGGTTGGGTATTTAGGTGTTTCGCCCGCAGCAGCGCCAGGTCAAAAGTTCGTATTTTGGTACTCCGGTGCGGCTCCCTTGTCTGGCGTTGCGCTTGCTCGTATTATTGCGACCCCGTTCCAACTTTCTGGCGACTGTCGAGGTTGCTCGAGTACCTATTCTATTCGCCCGCAGGGTGCGGAGGAAACAGGAGCCAGAGTGGTCGTCGTTTGCAGCGGTCCCCCTCGACAGGTGCTGGAGAAAATGGAAGGCTTGGAAGACTAATCGTCGGGTTGAAGCATGGGGGATCCGAGGAAAGGGGAGGGAGATGGTGGTGAATCTTTGAAAAGAAGAGTGAGGGAACCGGAGGCGGACTGGGGAAGATTTGGTGCGGTGCGTTGGTGGTGGTGGTGGTGGTGGTATAGTGGAGTGGTGGAGTGGTGGAGTGGTGGTGAGGCACTTAGCACGTTGGAGGGTGGCTTGGGTGGTCTCGGGGTTGTGGATCTTGGCTCTTGAATCTTGGCCTTGGGGCCCGGCTGGTTGGAGCAGGTTGCAGGACTGCCGCTGTTGGTGCCGGTGCTGCTAACGCTGCCAGCTGGTTGGAAGGCTGGCCTTCCTGGTCGAAATTCTGGTCGCAGGCTCTCAGAAATGCATTTGTTGGTGAGGTGGTCAAAATGCGGTGCGATGCTGCGGACACACTTGGCAGAGGGCCGAGACAGCAAACGGGGAAGTAACTGCAGATGCAGATGCGGCAAGGCAATGGAAGGCAAGCAGGATCAGGATCAGGAGGGAGGTATCCGTACCAAGGAACCTCGAAAGAGGCGAAGTGCGCGCGTGTGTGAGACAAATTGGAGGAACCGGATGGGATGAGCAGGAGCAGGAGCAGGAGCACAGCAGGAGCAGCAGTAGGAGCAAAACAGGAAAGCACGAGGCAGGAAGGGAGACCGTTGTTTCCCATCCCTTCTTTCCCTGCGAGGTAAGGTTGGCTCAGGCACAGGGCAGGTACGGATGAAGCTACTGTTTCCTTCCTCCGCCACACCCTAGGATTCTGTTACCTACCTTATTGCCGCCAGCCCACACGTGCCTCAACACCGGGGGCAGAATGAATACAGTACGGATATCCGTAGACACTTTTATGTGGCTGATGCGTGGAAAAGAAGGACATATTGTGTGGCAGGAATCACCCGTCAAGGCCAGTCAAGGCAAGAAAAAACATGGCACCGTTCTACCTATTCCAATGTTGATCTGCTTGGTTTTGGTTGCCGCCGCCGCCTCCCAACAGTGGGCACCGCAGTGACCACCCGACAACACGTCAATGACAACAGCCCCAGCCTTGTACCTCCACACGGGAATCTGGGGGAGGAGGTACCTAATCGTGCCTCCCTGAGCCCTGGCCCTGCCTGTCCCGTCCGTTCCTGCCCTGTGCTGGTCTGCCGAGTGCCGCCGTCTTGGACAGGGGGGCCTTGGGGATCAGACTGAGAGATAGTGGAGTCGAAGCTGCTGGCACGGCACCTCAAAACGGACAAGACCCGCCCGGTAGAGGGCTTTTTCTCGGAGTAAACAACCTGGAGCGAAAAGTGAGGCATGCTGCTGGGTGGTGACTGTAGACACTAAGGTACCGGTATCCGTAGAGGGGGAAGGGAAAAGCAAAGCAAGGCAGCCCGAGCCAAGCAGGTTTATTTTGGTCCGGGGCAACAATGGAAGCAGCGGCACATTCTCTGCAGCCATGCCGTATTCCAGCTGCAGGGCGCACAGGGTGCAGACGTCACCCTCGTCAGTGGAAGCGACGCAGATACCTTCACTCTGGCATTTTACCGCGGCTTGTTACCTCATTTTCGATCGGAGTGAGTACCTACCTTACCTTAAGGTATGATGCCTTGGGTGCCTCAATGAGGGCTGAGACCGTTGGAGTTGAGGAAAGAGTGGCTGCATTGGAGGAAGCGGCTGTGCAGAGACCATCTCACATGACTGATTCCCCGAAAAGCAGCCGGCGCCTAACCATGACTTGGAAAGAAGCGTTCCACATTGGTATTACCTTGCGTGCTTCAGCTTCGTCACCTACTCAATCACTTTTCAACTCCCCCCCTGACTACGGATAGAGAAAGGGCCTCGACTCCAGCACACTGTTGCAACTGCAATCTGTGTGAGACTCTACTACCTTACCTTAGGTAGAGTCCAGTTCAGACAGGTCGGCACGTCGGCAACAGCGAATTGAGTGTGCGGCGTGCCTGCGAGCCCAAATGTTTCTTTAGTGGGCTGAGGCCCTGGCACGGCGGCGCCAGCGACCGATAGTGGCTGCCCCGGTGCACTTCTCCGGTGGGTCCCGTGGACCGGCCGTGGTTGGCTAAGCGACGGCGGGCACCTCTCCCCGTCTGTTAAGTGTAACTGCGCCCCAATTCTCTCGAAACCAGCCTTTCCATGTCGCTCGCCTCCAGTTTGCCCCCTCCCTTGAGGATCCGACCCGTCGCCCAACTCAGCAAGTGGAATTGGCCGAAGTGGAATCCCAATCGCCCATCATGGTGCTGTTGCTGCTGCTGGCGCCCCAACCTCTCTTTCTCATTATGCATGCCTCCGCTACCCGAGTGACGGCATTCGCGAACAGACGACGCTGGAAAACACCTCGACTCCGTCACCGTCATTTCCATAGATCCTCGTCGACACCGCTCCGTTGACGGTTGACCAGGCAGGGCTTTGACAAGCAGCGTCCTCCCCCCAAGTACCGTCTGTGTAGGTTCGATCATGCAAAATGCGACAGCAATAGTGATCGTCAGGCCCAACATGCCATCAGATGCAACAGACAGAAACAAGCGTCATTCAGTCCAACATCCAGAGAACCAGAATCCCATCAAGTTGCCCCTCTCCCATTGACTTTGGATTTTCAAATAAGCCCCTACTGCCTTGGATAACAACTATAGCGATCAGCGCATCCAGAAACTGCTGTCCGATCTTTTCCTTATTTCATCCCACTCACGCTCGAAAACCCCCAAAAGATCAGGAACCTCACAAATAAGAAACATCAACACCCTTACTGCACCACAATTGCACCACAACTGCAAGGAAGTCCCCTCTGTCTTGAAAAGTCCCCTTCGTCTTAATTACCATCGTCCCAATCGCCATTGTCGCCTGCCACCTTCACTGAATGCATTGTCCCCCCGCGAACCCCCTTACCAAAAACACCAAACCTGAAGCACACTGAAGCAGCACCCGCCCTGCCTCACCCTGCCCCTGCAACGCTGACCCATGTCGCCCGCATGACATCACCAAATTGCTTCAAACAGGATCCATCCCCTTCACGAGTCGCACTCGTAAGTGCCGTGCAATTGATGCGACGTGGTAATTTCAGCTGTGTGCTACTCACTCACACTGCTGAGATTTGAGAGAAGCCACACTCACTTCACCTCACTGACACTTCAGCCCCGACGCCACTTCCAGCCTGTCATCAGCTCGGCCATCAGCTTCCTCGAGCCTTCGTCATGTGGTGTGAAATCTCTTAGAGCGACGTGAGCCAGAAATAGACCGCCTGTGTTAACCCCATCTACCCTTGAGCCTAAGGTGAACAAGCTTCAGTAGGCTCTGCCGACTTTGTGGGCACTTGACATAACCATAATTGCTCAGCCACGCAGCGAACGGTTGTAGGTGACCACACTATGGACATCGCACCCGACTTGTCAATCAGTTGGAGCTTGTTGCTCTTGATCAACACTGGCTATAATGGTACTGGTAGTTATTTGGCCAGTATCTTCTATCGAATTCTGTTCCCTTCCTCATTGCTCTCCGGAAGCCCACAGTGATATGGAGAGAACGTTGGCTCCACCAAGTTTCACTGCAGAGCAAGCTAAAATTGTTGCATCAAGGAGTGACCTGATTCCCAACACCCAAGACCGATGAAATCTGAAAACCTGCCCTCCGAGATATTCTTCAAATATGCTCATTCCATCAATGCATCCAGCTCTCTGATACAACGCTCGGTATCGGCTTGTTCAAAGGATGTCCAAGGAAACTCGCTGACATCACTCTCGTCGTCTTCGTCAGTGAGCAAGATCCCAAGCTCTCTGATGCCCTCAATGTTTTCCTCTGAGAGGGATTCTTCCCTCATCTCCGCCAAAACCCGAACCATCCTATCTTTCCAGTAGGTTTCGAAGAACTGGTACAAGCCGCACCCCATCTCCGCAAGCTTATCCTCAAATTCGGGAAGCAGCGCATGAAGTTTCTTGACGGAAAGAGCGTCTTCCTCCCAAAGCTCTTGCCTCTCTTCCGCATCGATGTCTCTTGGTTTGCCTCCAAAGCAGCAACAAGTATGACGAATAGACAGTGCTTCGAACGTAGCCGCTCGCAGCACAATCGATCTCTCAAACTTTGAAGAACTCCAAGCTTTCTCAAGTTTAGGAATCTGCGTGTGAATCCAGTCACGCTCGAAAGGGTTTTGAAGTAGATAATTGTGCTTGAATATCAGAGTCCACGGGTGGCAACCGTCGATTGAGCACTCACACAAACAGTCGTCAACGAATGAAGGGTCTTGCAATAATCGTTCTGTTGCACCACCCAGGGGCTCTTTGAACTTATCAAAAGTTTCCCCACATTTGATATAGTGCATGATTGCGTGGGTTGTCGTGAAACCGGCCACGAGGCCTGGCACTTGTAGCTCCGGATTTGCGCCATGGTCAACAAGCCAGACAAAGTGAGAGAGCTTCCGGGCAACCATTGATGGTGTTTTTTCCTCTAAGTCTCGTGAATCAATGTCCTGAAATCCCTCAGAGTATAACAAATCCAACATAAAGTCTTGACAATAATGGAAATCTCCCAAAACCACATGGTAGAGAGATCGTCGCCTATTTTTATCCAATGGATGTTGAAACAAATATTGAGTCCGTAGCCACTGCGGTATTTTGACGTTTCTTCGATCGAGTGCATGTATTACTTCTGATGTCCATATGTCAAGAACTTTGTTTCCCGAGACTTGGTAATTGTCAATCTCCGTCGGGGATAGTTCAATCAACGCGAGGTTCGCTAGTTGTCTTCGTCGACCACCCAAATGATGGATGATTTTCTCTTGACAACGAATAGTTGCCTCTAGGACAATTTGTACCCACTTATTGGAAAGTGTCATCCGGCATCCAGCTTCCAAGAGTAAGTCAACCATCTGAACGCAGTCACACGTCTCTGGGCATTGAAAGCCTGGTGACCCGCAACACACTTGACTACTCCAAAAGATAGCAAATTCCAGCGCGGAGACCTCTCCTTTATCGGTATGATGCAAGGCTGAGTTTCCGAGGCGAGATAATACGAGCTGGAATCCAAAGGGCCAAAGGGCAAGCACATGCAATGTTGTGAAACCGAAAATGTTGATTTTTGAAAGTCCAGATTTGACAGACAGCGCGTCCATTTTGAGGAACTGGGTCAAAGCCCCACAATCTTTTCGAACTATAGCTGCGTGTAGGTCGTCGCAGTACCCTGATTTAAGGTAAGTTTGCGAATGGACAGTACAGCGGCTTTCGCAAAAGAGCTTTTCTTACATTCGATTGTTGCCGGAAATGCGTTGGCTAGCTTTAGACAAATGTTAATCCACGCTGCCCCTTGATAGAACGGGTGCAGCCGAGTTTCTGAAAGGATGGACGGATCCTCAGGCCATAGGTGTTGGAAGCCTTCCAGCAACGGCTCGATTTTATCGAAAGCAATGTAATCAGCTCCCCAGACGTAGAGGCGATGTAACGGTAGCCTGAAGGAAATTATAGATAAGTGAGAGGTCCTGAATTGAGGCGCTTGCGATATACGAACCTTCCCAGATGATCTTCACGGTCTTTCGAAACTCCAGCAGCTATAAGGAATACTGCCAAAGGTTTACAGAAGTCTCCCCAATTTGGAAAATTGCCTGTAAACCACAATTTATGTAGTAAATTCTCACCATGCTCGTCCACATCGTATGGTGATGCTTTCCCAGTGCTGAAAAGCCACTGTAAAACTTCGATGCCTCGTTGAAATATGGGACGTTTGACTCCAGCACCACCGTTCACATAATAAGGTGCCGTCAATATCTCGATGACTTTTACTGCTGGAGAGAACTGCCGAACGGAATAAATCGTAAACGATGGAGAAATGCCAAGGCCTCCCGCTCCACATTGCGAAGACATTGTGACTGTGATTGCAGTTGTGACAACCTTTCGAAAGACTCTGGATGAGATTCCCATAGCCCAGCTTTTATCTGGAGAGCTGAACCTGGCGAATGGACACTCGGGTGCGTGTGCCTTTTCCAAACAAGTCTTTTGCGTCAGAAAAGCCGGGCCAAAATTCTGCCTCGTTCGCTTTCTCATGCGTCGTGGCTTACATCGACACACCAGAGCGTCCGGTGCATCTTTGTCGCTGTTGGGCAGTGCTTCGTACACACTACTTCTGCCTCGCCGTAAGCTGGAGTCAACTTCGCTGCAAATTTTCAACGCATCTGGCTTTGACACCATTCTTTGGAGGAGAACGTGAGGATTGGAAGAGTTCATTGCTTGCAAGACTTCCGCAAGTTGCAGTTCCAAGCGAGACATCTGAGCGGTGGAGGTCTCGAATTGATGCTGCATCTGCGGGATGAATTCTCCCAGAACCAAATTCGTTTGTGACACTTCGGCTGCCATGGGCTCCATCTTGTCGCGGTTCTCAATTGACAGTTGATGTATGTCGCCAATCCTATATTGAACAGCTTGTGCCGTTGTCATCTGTGTCTCGATGCGATCAATAGCCTGGCCATTACGAATCGATATTGCTCTGGAGGGTATTAGTACTCCGCTTCGTTTCAATTACTTCCTGACGTACAGCTGAGCTACTTGAATAGCAGTCTGCAAAGCCTCATTCGCTTTCGAAAGTTGGGTCTCCAAGCGATCAAGCTGACTCCGCTTAAAGGGGTATATCGCTTGCTTTTTTCTCTCGCTGATCCATTCCGAAAATGACCCTGAGGAGTCCTCGCTTCTGCGGATTTCGTCGACGAATGTACGCAGGCCATCGAGCTCTGCATTGACAGAGGAAACGGCTCGCTCTATGGCATCCCCGTTTGTTGCACCTGCAATACGGCTCTGCATGTCCCGGAGCTGGATGAGAAATGCCTCGAGGGACTGACATTGACGAGAAGCTGAGGCGATGTCTTCTCGATGGCCCTTGACCCCATCAAGGTATTTGGTGATGCCCGAACATAGTTGTAGACCGAGAGACACCACCCCAACAACCGTGCCCAGAATATCAGCCATCGTGGATAACTACGGGTCGGTGACAACAGGTGATCTCGCAGTCGTGAAGAACAGATGACAAACATATGATGATGAAAGACCGTCCGGGAAAGAGAGAGGGAGAGAGGGAAAGGGAAAAGCGAAATCGGGGAGGGGGGACCTGGCTGGGGCTGAAAGAATGAGGAGAAAAATGAGAGATGCGAAGATTGCCCAGCGGCAGGTTGACATCAGGCCGACGAACAACAGACCGCGACTACGCGAGAACATGTGGCTGTATCTGCAGGCGCAGTGCTGACGAGGAGCAGCAGCACATCACCAATCATGTCATGCAAACCCCTGGACGTGTCGTTCTTTGATTAGTTGAGCGATAACTGCAAGGCATTCTTGTCGGAAATACCATTAGGGAAATACTGAGAGATCTCGAATCTCTTTGGAACAGCCAAGCCCTCCAAAGCATCAGACCTGGAGGCCTGGGGACCTGGGCCAAACGCAGCTATCGTCTCCAACTAAAACCCAGCGCCAAAAAAAGCCTTGCCTTAGCTAGTAGCTTCATTGGCCTGAAGTGACGATTTAAATATGCAAGAGGCTGGCCTCTTGCATCGATCACAGTGCTCAGTGATACTAATTAGGTATGGAATCATCGTAGTCATACGTCATATGGCAGTTATGAACCTTCATGCTAGTGTCATCTAGATCACAAGGGCTCTCATCTTCCTCTGAGTAAAAGAAGGGACTTGTTGCTTTTAGTTCAAGCGCAATATACCAATAATGGGTTTCAGTCAACATAGCACTTGCCTACATGTAGGTAAATTTCCAAGAAAAGCTGCATTCTGCTGCTGCTCTATGTTCACTTTTCTTGCTCCTCGGTACTTTTTCTATTTATACTATTTACTTTTTACGTAGGTAGTTCTCCTACTGCTCTTACTAATCAATCTGTTTGTACTGCCTTTCATCCATCATAACAAGCGTGCTCTCCTGTGGCTCACGTGGATTCCCCAGACGCGTTGCCGCCTAGCCGTGTTGCAAAATAGTGAGCTAGCTGAAGAGAAATCTTGCATGCAGGATGAAGAAGATTGGGCATTTCTCAAGGCGATACGAGAATACGCGCTGGCGCTGATTTAGTAGACATCATGCGTCATTTACATGAACGGCAACCCTTCTGTTTGAAAGACGCTTGATTTACACAATCGGGCTGAGACCAATGTCATGAGTTACCGTCTTGGGCCTGTAATGCGAATTGAATGTGGCTTCCTGGAGCAAAGAAGAAATAAATTTGTGGAAAATTACCCTTTCGATAGTCGAAAACATTCTCCAGCCTCAACTCACAGTCCGTGGAATTAAAAAGAGATAAGAATATGCTCAATAGTGTCACGCTCTTGAAATTTCAGTTCCTATACTTTTTTCGCGCAAATATTGCCGATAGTTTGACAGGATGGAGAGCACTGTATCCCCTCATTTCAGGTATCTTGGACCACATTTCTACGTCAGCTTCTTGGCTTTGATAGCAGCTACTTACATGGGAGTGATTACACGTAGACGTCTGTGAACTGGATTAAACTTAAGGTAGGCAACCGAAATTCAAGCTAGGCGCCACGATAGTCTTCAACTTAGCATAGCGATCCTCCAGGCTAGTGCTGTTGAGGCGCCTGGTGTGGATTGACTCGGTTATCGGCAGGCTTGTGAGACACATTCGGCCCCCATCACAAGCGTTCCAGACATCGTTTAAGCCCCTGGCCCAGACTGGAGAACCCCCCAAAAGAGTAAACCTAACAAACTCCAACTCGTCGCCAAGACCAAGATGCGAAAAGAGATAAACGCTCGCGCTCGCGTGATAATCTTTACAAAGTACAACTTTGCCAATCTATTAGAGTTGGCATGATATGGAATTGACTTTTCCTTTGCAAAAATCTTGTTCTCCAGCCGTTATCGGCACATACCATCATGACAGACGTGCTCAAGAGACTTGCAGCTCAAGCCAATGTTCGTTTCATAACTGACCCTCCTGCGCTAAACACTCGAGAGACATGAAACACGTCAACGCAACACTACAGACGTATCAAAGGTTTTGCTTGGCCGAGCACGGATGAGAGCAACAGGGGTCATCGCAAGTACGTTTACCCCCTCTGGCAGGACTCTAGGAGTACGAGGGACTCGCTCGGAGAGGTCAAGGGCCATCATCCCTTCCATGATGAGATGCTTTCACCCTTGCTCGTGCGGCGAATTCTCAAACGCCCATCGCAGCCGACGATGATGAGCCGGTATATCCTGTAATGGTGTGGAAAGAACCCCGTAAGCGGAGCCAACGGTCGACAAAACCAAGATGCTCCCCAGGTTTAGTTCACCTCCTCGTGCCTGTCGTGAGATCGTGACTTTGCCCTCTTCTGCGTCTTCAACCTCCTCGCCTGTCCAGCCTTTTTTTCTACGATTATCCAAGCTCACCATGCCTCCCAAAAGCAACCAATATTCCACAGTATCACACTCGGATAACTATGATGATTCCACTACCGAAGTCGACGAGTCGCTCATGGGCGATGAGAAGCAATGGCACTCGATAGACCTAAAAGCAGAAGGAAGCAAAAAGGGGAGCACATGGAAAGCAGTCAAGGTTCTCTTGAGGAGGTACCGATGGCTCATTGACACACTCCTCCTCCTCACCAACATCGGCCTCTCATTGGGGTTATCACTTCTGTTATACTACCAATTCGAAGACGCCAAGTTCCCGTCGCGAATGACACAGATTGGCGGCGATTACACGGGCGCTGGACCCCAATGTGAGTCAAATCCCATACCGTGTCTTTCTGGAGCTCGCGTCCTGACTCTGAACTTGCAGTTCCAATCCAGATCAAAAAGTTCGATGCCAACTACGCCGTCGTCCCTCCCAATGCGACAGAATTTGTTTCCGAAGCTACACTCAACCAATGGCGATCGCTTCTGCCTGGTAATGCAATTGTTCGAGACCGATGAGGCCGCATTTCGCTGACACTGTCGTAGCTGGTGCTGGCTGGAAGTCAGAAGATGATGGTCCCTTCTTTACTACAACCATGACCCATCAATTGCATTGCATCGTAAGTCTTGCCAACTTTTTGTCTCCAATGGTCCAATGATTCATCTTCTAACTTGCTCTAGTTCATGATGGGACGCATCTACTCCGGAATAGTCACCAACAAGACCGACAAGCTTACAGCCGATCACGATACCCATTTCTACCATTGCATAGACTATCTCAGACAAGCAGTCATGTGTTCAGCGGATCTAGCACTTGAGCCTCATTTGATCACGGACGCCGACGATAATGGTCCTGGAGACGGCAGCTGGAACGGCATGCATGGTGAGCAATTACCCTCAAGATCTATGGCCAACCCTTCGCCAAGACACGTCAATCCAGAAGACTGAGTGCTAACATGGTCTTGGCCCCAGTCTGTAAGGATTACAGCCAAGTGATAAAATATGTGGATCGTAAGTTCACGGCGGCAAACAACTCTAAATTGAATACATTCTGATCCTCGGGCACAGGTCAAATCACAGAAGGAGTTCGTGTAGTCCTGCCGATAGACGACTAAACCATTTCTACTGCAGTGGCTTTTTTGTTTTAGAGTACATCTGTATTTGACAATAGAATACAGCATTTGATACTCACATTCGAGGTTCCCGACGAAACCCCACACGACCAGAGCCAGTCTCCCACACAGTCACTCTCGTCAAAATAAGAGATTGTGCAAGGGGGGAATCCCACCATTTATTTTAGACAACCCAAAGCCACGCTGGTTCGCGCCAAGACCTACGCCGCATGCCTGTACCCACGTTTTTAATAACGAGTCTCCTCTGCGCGCAACACAATTGGGCTGCGCCGCACACAACCGCTGACATGCGTCTCGTCTGTGCCACTGTACACATTGGCGCCAGCGGATCGAGACCAGGACCAACGGACAAATAATCGATGGGAAGGCTGGGTCTGAAATCTGTGATTGGAACATGTCTCTCGTGGGTGCCCGGTCAGTTCCCCATCGCGTCGGCGCGTCTGAACGGAGCACACCGCCCGCTGGCTTCCTCAATCCTTGGCCCTGCTCTTCCACAGCCTGGTTGATCTTGAACCAAAAACCCCTCGGGAGCCAGGCGCCTGGCGCCTGGGTGAAACTCCTCGCTTTCTTCTGTTTCTTACGCTCGTCTTCTGGTGTTGCCACCCACCCATCCATCGCCCGAGTGAGCAGCCGCCGAGCTAGAGATCGCCGAGATCTCCAAAGCTGTCATCATGCGTCTTTTCAGTCTCCTTTCGCTTTGTCTTCTATTCACCGCCCGCGGGACACGCTCCGAAAACCGGTTCCGACGACCGCCTGGCCCGGGCCCCACCGGCGACTTCCGAGACAACCTTGTGTACCCGTTGGGAACCCAGCTCGATCTGCAATGGGAGACGGACTTTACGGCAATCGACTTGATAATATGGCACGAAGCAAAGTATCCGACAAACGAAGCCACGTACGCTAGAATCATCTGTAGGTTCCACCCCATAGCGAGGGGATTTGCGAGTATAAGCTCAACGACGTAGCAAACACGCGATCGCTAGGGATGCTTTGGACGGTCAGCTTCAATGGCTTCCCTTCACATCATGACCCAACTTTGGGCCCGGTGTATTTTATCCAAATGTTCAACCATAGCGCCACCGTGGGAGATATCACCTGCCACTATTTCAACATTACCGACTCTGCGGTATCCGCCTCGACGACAACCTCCGCAGCTCCCACCTCGACGGCCTCGAGTGTGACGGTAGCTGCTACATCGGCCAACCCAACTCCAACCGCGTCATCTACCCCGGGTGGTGGAAATAACGGCGCTTCCACCGGCACAGTTGCCGGCATTGCAGTGGGCGCCGTCGTAGGAACTCTGGCCATCGCAGGTCTGGTGGGTTGGTTCATCTGGAGGCGTCTGCAAAAGAAGAAGCTGAGCCACGAGAATGGTGGTGAAGGAGGAAGTAACGAAGGATATCTCCCTGCTGCTCAGGAGGTTGGGCCCTCGCCGCCTGTTGAGTGGAAATACGAGCTTCCAACGAATGCTCAGCAGCATCGTTACGAAGCTGACGGGACGGGAGAGGTGAGGTATGAGTTATTCAGTGAACCTGTCGCTCCCGAAAGCGAGAACAAAACGTTGAAGGTGAGGGAGAATGAAATGCCGAGATACCAGTGAACGATTGAACCGTAGGGTAGAAGGTAGGATGTGTTAGGTGGGTGCTACTCAGACGAGTAGCATATTTGTAATAGATAATGGTTATTGCGCGATTCAACAAGACTCAAGTTAAAATAGGTACCGCAGTGTTTGGATCACCACCTATAACCAGCTTTTTTGTGAAGACTTTGGGCGGTCCAGCAGTCGTTGACCCGAGTTGAAGAACCCATTTCTTCTTGTCCAAGAAAAGGACCCACAAGCTCGCAACTCTAGCTCTTCATCATATGCAATGTTCAATAGCCGGATCTGTTGTTTTTGAGTTTGTTAAGAACCACTGGTGTAATACCGACTAATTAAGCTTCAAAAGCCTCTTCGACAACCATCCAAATCTGTCATGATTTGATTGGGTATAGGTCAACTTGTCTGAAGATGCTTGGATGCAGCCGAATCTCTCGCTGCTTTACAAAAGATGTGGCATTGTCTCACCAACGAAGGATGCGCAGGCTGGTCACCCCACCAGCCCCCTTGTTGTGTGCATCTCGCGTATGCAGCTAATAGATAGCCATAAGCAGGCAAATCTATTCGTAGGCAGCATCGCCGCCGGCCTGAATGAGAAATGATTTCTGCTTTTACCAGCCTCCTTGTTTTCTTTCGGCGTTTTTTTGTCGGCAAAACCTTTCCGCCGTAATCACTCACAAGCAACCAACATTCGTACCCATTCAAGTCGCAGGTACAGACAGCGCCAGATATCCAACGGCCGGTTGGAGCGACCACATGCAGATTCTCCGAGAAGTTAATTATATATGTTGCCCATAGCCGTGCTTGATTTGCGCAGAGAGGTGATATTCCGTCTGTAATTGGAGCCATATTAAGGGCTCTCGCTGACACCTCGATAAAGGCATCATGGATCCCCTTCAAGTCACTCCTATCGAGGATCGATGGGAAGAAATTGAGCCAGGGTGGGCTGAGAGGATTCTCAACGCAGTCATATCGTCAGACACTGAGACTCTGGAGGCCTTGATAAACCAATCAAACGAAGGCATCAACACTCAAAACTCGTACGGTTTGACAGCCTTACATCTGGCAGTTTTCAATCACAGCGAGACGGCGACCGAAATTCTCTTGAACCATGGAGCCGACATTGAGGCAACGGCTCCAGACGGCCGGAGACCACTATACCTGGCTGTTGAGCAGAGATGTCTGGAGGTCACTCAGACGCTCTTAAGACATGGCGCAGTTCCTGATGCGGAGGCGCAGGGATTGACACCGCTTCACGCGGCGGTCTTGCAAAGTGACCTCGAGATGTGCGGCCTGCTACTTGAATACGGGGCTGATGTTAGCGCCCGGAACCACGATGGAAGAGAGCCGTTGTTTCTCGCCGTCAACAAGGGCAATGCAAACATCATCAAGCTCTTGCTGGACCATCATGCTGACCCTGACTCCATTTGCGCCGAGGATCCTCCAACAGCTCTCCATTTGGCATGCGATAATGGTAAACTCGAAGTCATTGAGGTACTATTGGAGTATGGCGCTAGCATCAATAGTTTGAGAGATCTGGACGGAGGAACACCGCTGTTTCGGGCCGTCGCCTCAGGCAGCGTAGATGCAGTCAGGCTGCTTTTGCAAAGAGGAGCTAAAACTCACGTCTGGGGAACGGATGGACAATCTGTTCTTGACCTGGCAAAAGGAAATGAGGAGATGCTTCAGGTCCTACAGGGTGAAAGGATCTTGCTAGGGCCCCGAATCCGAAACTTTGACGAAGCTGGGGGTGTAGAGCAGCCTTCGACGGGACTTAGACCCCCTCCACCTCCAGCCGAGAGCGATCGCGACAAGGCAGTTGCGTGCCACGGGTTTGACGCCATCACTATCGACTTCTTTACTGCGGGAGAACATGAGAAGCTGATTCCGAAGACGGTATCTGTCTATGACCTTCTCTATAGTCATGGTCCAGAGGCCATCAAAAGCCGCCTTGATGGCAACGAGCCGAATTTCACTTGGTATCATCTGCCGACAAACAACGTGCGTTTTGATTCTAGCGTCTACATTGAGGCGAGCTAACATGATCCCTTGTTCAGATGGTTTGGGTTGAAGTGAGTCAACCTTCCTTCTGGCCTGCCTCTACCATTGGCACTAGTCTTGGGTTCAAAGGCCTTAACCTCACTAACAGTACCAGAGCCTCGTCAGACGCCTAGCAGCCGAGAAAGGGGGGATCTCGGCAGAGAGCTACGACAACGCCAGGTCCGAATTAGAGTTGTTGAGATCTGACTCAGGCAAGAAGCCTCAGTCGTTTGCAACTCGCTTCTCAGCTATGCGGCCACACTGCCGTCGTGTACCGGTGAGAACTAGAAGCGCAGACACTCATTGTAATCTGGAGAGAAATAAATGTGCTAACTATGTGTAATCTTCTGCCAGAGCCATAATTCCTTTTCTTTAACTGGTTCTGGGGATAGCATCGTTTCGTTTGTAGGTCAAGTCCATGCTCCCATACGTTCGTATGCTTCCCAGCAGATCTGACTGACTGAAAAGATACCGTTTTTGCACTTTGAAACATTCAGTGGATATACATCAATGGTAAGGGCACTTGAAAGCAGGCCAAAGAAGCGACCACGGCCTCCCGGTTTTGCTCATGGCCATGGTCATAACCATCCTCCCCGGCATCCTCCTCCTCCGCCTCCAGGTTTTATCGTCGGGAAAGATAGACCTGGCTCAGAGAACGGTCCCGCCGCGATTCACCTTAATTCGGCCACCAATAGTTCTGGAAATTCGGACAGTACCTCAAACAACGATCCCCCGGATCAAAATTTCATGTCGCGCATGAATTTTGCTTTCAGATCATTCAAGACACTTAAAGATCGACTAAGCATCTGGCATCGGCAGAAGCCAAGCTCAGGCAGTGGATCAAATAGTCTTGCAACTGGTGTGGCGCTGGAAAGGGACCTTGAGAGGCAATCCGTTGCGACTGGTTCCAACATCGCCGAATCCCAAAGAAATGGGAATAGCCAGGGAGAGGAGGAACAACCCGAACCAGAGGTCCAAGATGAGCCGCCGTCACAGACCAATAGGAAATCAGAACCCGAAGTACAGGCTGTGCTTTCCAATAGCCGTCCTGCAAGTGTTGATCGGACAAGTATCACTGCCGCCATCGGGATACAAGACTTTCCAATTATGACAAGGAAGTCGACGCCGCGTAGTAATAAAAGTGGGATATCAGAGACGAAAGACGTGGAACAAGACGCTCAGGACCAAGACCAGCCGTTGGCTGTACCACAGAATCTCAGACCTGGTGAGAGACAAGAGCATCCTCAGCATCAAACGCCAACGTTGGCACCGCGGAGATGGGAAAAGAAGAATCATAGGCACGCTCCTCCCACTGGAAATCTGCACGAATACTTGATTCGAGGCTATTTCGATCCTGGCAAGCAAGGGATACGACCGCGGCGTACCCTGGATCAATATGTGTATGCTCACATTGAGACGACGTCCCACCGTGACGACGATCAGGTTGTTTATCGCTACACAAAGACCGGCCTAGCCTCGGACCCAAAGATAATCATGGTAGATCAGCTGTGGTTGTGGATTCTAGGGGATGGTACGTTTCAAGCAACAAATCTCCCCATTCCAGGCTGAGATTGACAATGATCTTTATAGACACAGTGATATCTTGCTGCCCGCTCCGGTGGAACTCTTGGTTGCCGAGAGGTTTTAAACCGAAACCTGGACCAGTCGCACAAACCTCGAAACAGGCTTTCTATATTCGATGGATAGCCAATGCGCTGCAGCAGACCCACGCAGAAGGAGTACGGCAGCAGCCCTTCGTCGAACAGGTTTCCAAGAAGAAACAACGAGATGAGAGATACCGAGGACCGAAAGAGAACACAGCAAAGACAGGAACTTGGCCAGAGATCAACTTGAACGATCCATTGAGTGTTCCCCAGTTGGTCACGCAACACCTGTCGAGGCCAGGCCGGAGCGCAATCGGCTCGGTTCATGATCTTGCAAGCCTCATTACCACATGTTGCGTGGAGCTACTCGACCCCCACAGAGTCGACGAGGATTTTCTCTTTTTCGACTTTTTCGAACGGTCTATTGGCCAAGCGGTAAGTCTCCTAATCCCTTGGTGATCCCAGCCCTTTGCGTCACTCTGAATTTGTATTTTTTTAAAATAAAGACGACAAGGGCAGCTAATCACTTTCATTGAAGAATGAAAAGGTAGCCAACTATTTGAGAGAGTTCAAAGCGGCACTGAGCGAAGGGTACGGCGCAGTCATGGACATTGCCAACGAGACAGAACTCATGATTGAAGTTGACGATATCTTGGACGAATTGCATACCCTGAAGCTGGTTCTGACAGACCAAAAAATTGTCGTCGAAGACCTCAACGAAACCTTTAAGAAAACGGCAAATTCTGGCAATAAAGCCCCGTCTGTCGAGATGAGAACGCTGGAGAATCATCTCGTACGGATTGAGCAAATGGAGCAGGCAGCTAAAAAAGTGGACAAATCTGTGAGAACCTCAACTGTTGCTGCGAGTCTACAATAACTATCTGCTGACCTCTACTCGAGCTACATCGCTTGATGGACCTCAAACAAAAGCAGGCCAGTTTAAGTGAGGCGTTGTACGCCCGAGAATCAGCAATAGACACTGCCCGGCAGGGGAAGACTGTCATTGTTTTTACCGTTGTGACAATTCTCTTTGTAAGTCTGCGTCACTTGGTCACCCTACCCAATGCAAGACGAAAACGTTCATTGATGATGTTGAAGTTACCCGTATCCTTCATTGCAGCAATCTTTGCGATCAACACCAACGGCTTCCCTCTCGACGCGGACGACAAAATTCCCTTTGACTACCTCATGAAGAATATTTGTAAGTTCATATCCAGAGACCAGAGAAGTCATAGTGACTTATGTCGAAGCTGATTTTACGCTCCACAGTGGCTATTGGACTAGGTCTTTCCATCCCACTTATCGTCATAGCATTCAACGTCGACAGAATAGCCGGGTGGCTGAACGCCCTTCGTGATACAAGAGGCAATTTATGGCAATGGGGAATCGGCATCTCGGCAGGTGCTGCAGTGTTCCTGGCAATCTTGGGGCCTGTTTGGACATCTCATCTTTCTTCAGGCATAAAGGCAGCAGTCTCAATACTCATAAGTATATTGGCTGCTGCAGCAGGGGTTTCCTATGGGTTCCATCGCTTTGCCTCAATAGTGAGATCGTCTATGTCTGTCACCTCTAGTTCAGCTAGCAGCTCGGGGTCGGTTCTCGACTGAAACGTTGTCATATAGGCACTAATGTTATCAAATCGCGCCTGCGACTATCATATCATCTAGAATGTATTGGTTTCTTTTTGGGTCTCGTAAGTGCCTTCATGGATGATTAGACTGCCAGGGGGTCTCTCGATAAGGCCTTGAAACAAAACGCTGTCTCTTAAGCAACGCTTTGTCATACACTGCTGTTAAATTGGCACCTACTTATGCAGTGGAGTTCAGAGCTTGTACATTTCAATTCCGCCAGCATCTTAAACATTCTAGTTTAGTCTCGTCATCTAGCGTATCGTTTCCATAATGGTAAAAAACCCCGTGGTATTTTATCTACTTCCTATGTATCCCCTTCTGATCAGCACTTTGTAAACTAGGTTTGGCCTGGCTGGTAGATTTGAGCACGAATTATGTGAGCGAGACTACACATGGAAACCGAGGAGGCTCTTTCCCAATTTTCTGCTAGGCCTACGATAAATTTCAGTCTTTCCCTTAGTCAACCATCTGTGAGAGCACCCTTATGGCCAGTATCATAACGAGAAGACCAATGAACGTGACCATCAAAAGGAACACCGAAGTCCATCCGAGCGCCATGCTAGCAGCCCCTACATGGCCTGTTACTGCCCCTTGGGTGAATGCAGAACTCATCGCTATTGCAGCGGAACTTGACAAGTGCTGCCAGAAGGTAGCAAGAAGTGAGATCAGAGCCGAGACGAAGACACATGCTAGGGCAACGTGAGATATTGGTCTTGAAGGAAACGGCTTGATCTCGATACTGCTTCCCTCCGAGTTTTCGGTCTCGTACCAGTTCGGAAAGGTAGCCAATAATATGAAAGTGGCAAATCCGAAGATGATGGAAATGAAACTGCGATGCCCATGGGTAAGCTTTCGATTCGAGAGAATTATGAGTGATACCAAGGTTTTAAGGGACTTACTGCAAGCCTTTGAAGATGACTTCGTCTTTAAATCTCTCAGCGGCGGAAATCACCTTCAAGGGGTCGTAAGCCACCCCAGTCTGAGTTCGGCTTGCAAAGGATTCGAGAGCTCGAGAGTCCTTGGAGCAGATCCACTGGTCTGAGCTCATCAGACACATGCCAAAGTAGCCAACCCGAATTTCCAACGAATTGTCGGTTGTCGCCGTAGAAGAGAAGTTGGAAATTGTATTTGTGGTATTGAGCACAGTTGGCGTTGAATTACCAGAGTAAGACAGAGAAACAAGGCAGATCTCATTGAGATTTTCAGCGGTACATCCAGCTAGAAGAATAGCTGCAATCATGTCAGAAAATTTCTTCTTTCCGTTACGTCCAGTGGAAGACGGCCGGTCTCAATACATGATAGGACTGTCGAGATCATAATAAGTATCATCAGGACATGGTGGTATCCGATGTGCGGTATCAACCGATACCTGCGCATCCCAAAATTAGTAGACGTCAGTCAAAAGAAACCCTAAACAGTCAAGATGGTGTGAGTACACTCACAACGCTACTCGAAAATTTCCCATGACGATGTAGTCGAGTAACCACTCAAAGTCAAATATGAACGAAGGAGGGGATGCTACTCCAGCATTATCCCCGCCAGATTGGAGGCAAGGCTACTTTATCAACCAAGTTCCTATGTGGGACTACCAGGGCCGCAAAAGTTCACTCACTCAAGGCAATAATGTCTTGAATGGAGAATAATGGGCCCTAATGTGGGCCAATAGGCCTTCTTGGCTAAGCGCTTGTCCAAGGGAGTAAGCACGCCTGCATATGTGCTGTTTACTAGACTGGGGCTAGATCTCGCCGCTTTAAGATGAAATTCAATCCTGGTGAACCAGATTTCAAACGGAAAAGAAGGTGGCTGGCAAGGCTGGCACGTGTCTGGCTACTTGAATCTACCGCTTGAAGACGCATTGCTGTTGAGTGAGACAAAACTGCCGCAACCTGCATTGATAGCATGTCGAGATTGAGAGCGGGATCTCAAACTCCCAATTTCCCATCGCACTGATTGGATCCGTTGGATAGTATTTCCTGGAATGGAAGAACATCGTTGTGAGACAACAATCTGGCAACAGCTCTCTAGCAGAAGGTCTCTTACGCCTCTCCGGATACAATTCCAGATACCACGATGCGACTGTGCCAGGCCGAGAGCGTCTCTCTATCAGAGACACCAGCACTAGGATCAAAATAGGCCTCGAAGTCAACACACTTGCATTCCGCATACTGATTAAGAGTGGTGACTAAAACTTCTTCCCAATGGCTCAAGCCGCCTCATATGAGGCAAGAGCTACAATTGGCCGAGGCTCAATATGGAAAAGAGAACTTGTGGTATTCAATGGTGATGTCAAACATGAATTAGCACGCGCGTGAGGTCATTTGATAGACAATGTAAGTTCGTCAGATAACGCAGTATAGTATATCGCAAATGCTTCCAAAGCGCCCCTAACGACTACATGTAGTGTCCAAGGTGCTCGAACATTCTACTGCAACCAGGCCTTGACCAGATTCTTGAACCCATCCGCCATCCACTCTTCGTCGATCTTCGCTGTGGCATCAAATCCATGCTCACCAGGCCGAATCGCCAAGTTAAACTCCAACTCGGGATCAACCTCTGCAACCAACTCCTTGAATGCAACATTCCCTTTCGCTGGCACAACACTATCATCAGCGCCTTGCCAAACAAATACACCACCTCGCGGGAATCTCTCCCCGGCCCGCAACCTCTCAAACGGAAACAGCTGCTTCTTCTCAGACGGGAATATCTTGGGGAACCCGCCGTGCTGAAAATTCGCAAATAAGAACAGGCCCCTCTCGAGGTTCCGGTCATTGGAGATGGGGACGGGCGCCTCGCCCTTGCGGATCTTCTCAAAGTGGTCGTCGACGATACTCTGCGGCAGCTGCAGCCCAAACACCGGGCCCTTCGGCTTCTCCATGTAATGCGCGTCGGCGAGGTCGATGGAGGGGAACGCCGCCGTCACGGCCCGGATGTCCTTGGCATGTGATAATCCCGTCATGACGCTCAAGTACCCTCCCGCACTGTCACCGGCCGTGAGGATGCGGCCTATATCGACACTGACACGGCTGTCAGTCTCCTTCTTGACGAAGGACGGAAGCTCCTTTTGGACCCAGGTCCAGTGGTCTTCAATGTCCTCGAGGAGTTCGTCGATAGTGGACTCTGGCAGAAGGCGGTAGTTTGGGCTGACAATGACGGCCGAGTGGCGGGCGGCGAGCTCCATATGCCAGGGCGAGAAGAAGCCCGGGTAAAGGCTGGCGCCGGCGACGAAACCGCCGCCGTGGTAGCGCAGGATGATGGGGCATGGCGAGCTCGCGGCTGTTGAGGAGTCTATCAACTTTTTGGGGATGAGAACATCGGTGGTAATTGGATGGTCTGAAACTGTCTTGTAGGTTGTAGTCAAGATTGTAAAGTCTGCAAAACGAGACATGTCGTCTGGGTGCGGAAGGAGATCCATGTTGACTTGTTGAAGGTGCTTTGGGAGGAAGTTACTGAGTGAGAGTAGACGAGGGATGCAAGTTCAGGAGATAGTATAGGGCCTAGCTTGGCATACCTTATATATCCCAAGCTGCCGATAGTTGAGAGGGAGTTGTCTCCCCACGACGTCCGTTGACCTCGACATGAATCTCTCGGTTGCTTTCTGTCCCCGACAAACAGGTTGATGCGCTGATGCTTATCAAGAAAACTCCACGCTGTTGACAAATTCTCAAACACTTACTAATTAGGGGTCGGCAAACACCGCATTTTCCTTAGATTACTGTATATCGGAATTCGGCTTGAATACGAACGGAATACGAACGGAATACATACGGGATTACTACATAAGCCGGCTAAGCTAAGCCTAATCCAGTGATTATTTAGCAAAAAATCGATTTCGGGTCTGCTAAATCCACTGCTAGCCAAACTCTTCCTTCTACATATCACGCCCACTACCTACGCCCACTACTACGCCAACTCCAGGGTTCGACATTATATCAATTCCTTGGCGGTATTATTTCAACCCCTCTATATTTAATTTGTTTTTTTGGTTAGAATAGAGACTTATTATTGTTTTAGCTAGATATTATTATCGAAATTTTAAGTAAAAGTTATTTATTAAGTCGTTTTCCTTTTCTCTTTATAAAAATAAAACCTTGAGCTTAATGAAAAACTTCAAGTTATTAGTTACAGCTATCAATTAAATATAAAGTATATTTATTATTATTATTTCATCCTTTTAAACTTATTTAATTACTTTATTATTCTTATTGATTATAATTAGGAAAAAATAAAACTGTACTAAGTAAAAAAACAAAAATTATTCTAAATAAAAAGTTTTGAAATACTTAGTAATAGCTTTCTATTTACTATATTAATTTTGATATAATTATCGGATTGAATGCTTAATTCGACCTCGAGTCAGTGCAAGCGCAGGGGCCATCTGAGGGCCTCTATATTAGCTTCTAACTAACGATCGAACCTCCGTTTAGAACCTCTCTTTTCCACTTCACGCAGAGATTAATGTGTAAGGTAGTCATTAACCCTCCGTCACCACGGTTCGATCGAACAAATCACCCTGTAATACGTAAACCAATAGTAATATTTAAAGCAAAATATAAAAAGAAAAACCTCAGCAGTACAAATAATAATGATATTTAATGCTATTTTTAAAACCGTCTTAACTATTCGTATTAATTCATTGACGTTATATAAGATATAATTAGTAATCAAGAGCTATATTTTTTAAAGAACCTAAAGGCGGCCCTACTCACGTAGCCATCTTCCGGCATATCGGTAATAGAAGTTGAGTGACAGACGATTCCCGCGTACACTTTAACGGGCTGTACGTCTTCGAATATCTATCTGGAGAGTACGAAGAGTCACAACGGTCAAAATACATGCGGCGTTGACGGGGACCTCCGAGCGAGCGAGCGATTCTGCCGCCCAGCTCGATCCTCTTACGCATGTCCTGTCCTGGGCGTGGCCGAATCTCTGCACCGGTGTCGGTCTGTTGCGGGAGATCGAGCTGGTGATTGGACTTTCGCAGAAGAATGGCGTCGGGGCCAGGGTTGCCGGCTTGGGGTCTGTGACGCACCACCGAGGATCGATACGGAACAAGCCATAGCCATAGCCATAGTAGCATCTCCAACCCGCCCAGCCCCTGTATTTATGCCGACTTGCGGTATGCGGCTCAGCTGGTGGCGGTGCTTTGGGATGGGGATGAGCCGGGAGCCACCCGCTTCGGCTTCGGCTCGGCCCGCCCCGGGTACTACTCCCTGTCCCCGCATGTATCGCCAATGCGATGGCTTCATATCGAGGTTGATCGAGTAAAGAGACCTCTATAAGCTTGGTTCGTTTCTCCGACCTCTGACAGAATATTAGTCAAACACGTAGTTAGATCCCAAGCTCATCCTCATATTATAAAGACAAAAATAAAAGTCTCCCTAATGTTGCGCCATAACATAGACGGATCTAGAGACAAAACTCGGAACGTTCATTACCTTAAGCCAGATTCCGGGCGCTTAATTAATAGCCGAGGACTAGTTAGGGGGAAATATCTCTACGTGTAAGGTAAAAGAGACGGCCAAAAGAAGGCGACTAATACTAATAGATGTTTATGTGGCTCAACAGGTCAGAAAGCTAAATACAGTGGTAAAGCTACTAAAGTAACTCTTAGGCGTAGTGAAAGGATACTACATTGAGATGTCTCTTCTAAGAGATATCTCAAGAAATTCGTAGAGAAATCTCTATGAAATACTGCAGACGTTCTTCGGGAAATATCAAGGAAATCTCCGGGAAATCATTGTGATTTCTCTACCCATCTTACCGGAGAAATAGGAGAGGAAATCCCTGGGAAATTTCCAGGAAGAAGCGTGACAATTGACGCCCCGAAAAGAGGATTACGTCTACAACATCTCCTCACTTGCACGTACCTTTTTTACACGAGATCTGCCGGAAGCACTTGCTTTAGTTGTCATTGTCCCGCATAAAATCAAAACATAATATGTCAACCCTTATGGAGAAATCACCAAGATAATCCCCCGTTTCCGAAAAGAAACCACTATAAAGTGATTGCACGCGGTGACTTTTGAATGGAGGATGACTTGGGCTACGACGAATAGGGAATGCATTTTCACTTCCCTGTAACTATATTAGCTATATTCAGTCGATCCTGGCGCTGGGATTTGCATTCTTATTGCCATCCAGCGTACAATGTCGGCCGACAAGTAATGTGTTGAGCTGGGTCGTCTTTTTGAGCGTGCCTTGTACGAGAATCTCCATGTGAATGAGACCATAGGTAGTTGAGAGATTGCCCGTGGCAAGTGGAATTGCGATCTCGTTTTACTGCTTGTTTCGGGGCGGTTCTCAAAAGTCTTCGCATTCGATATTGATGATTAGGGGCCTCATAAGCTTTTACGTCTATTCACTGCGTTGGCCATCTGCGATAAGGCCATATTAGAAGTCGAAATTACTCGAGATGAGTAATTGAAACTGGCTCGTGCGAGACACCACATGAATACCTAAGCATGGAAATGGATCGTCTCCAGCTATTTACGAACAAGACTGGGTTTTCGTAGCCTGCATACCGAAGTTACCGGTACTATGTCAGCCAAACCACGTCAATGAGATTTCCCGGAGAGGCCATCACAACACCTAACAGTGTGTCTACGTCGACCATTACCCATCCTTCATCTACTTACGTGTACCTTACTCGACAACAACAAAATCATATGAAGGCTCATACAGAGCATTAACAGCCCGAATTATGACGCACAGGCTTTAACGCCCGCCCAAAAGTTAGGTATTTCTCTCGAACTTGGGGCTGGGGCACTGGTTCTCGTGGGCGCCGCAGAGCAATTATGCTGCTTAGGCGCCCTGACGAGATGGCCAGCCGCCAGGGCGCTGCAAAGACACAACTCGCCCGCCAGCGTGGCAGCGGCGACGATACGCGCCAGGAGACGGGCATTCGCACCCGGCTGTGTGTGGTGCGGGCCACGGACGCCGAGAAGGTCGAGGACGCCGCCCCGGGGATCCAAGACTACAATCGACGGGAAACAGGCACTCTCGAGACTTATCAAGTTTGGAGGGCACGGGGATCATGTGAGATTTTAGTTCATATCTGTACCACCTCCGAGGGTGCCCACTTCAATGGCCGGCATCGAAACCAGTGTTTCGCCGACTCTGTTTTGATGTCAGTATAGCCGATGATGACATCGCAGCAGGCGTCAGACACCTGAGACCAGCTATAGTCTTCGGACGGAAATTTCGATCGCTCGAGCACATGGGTGAGGTTTGCTGCAATCCCTGTCTAAATGGCCTGACGGATTTCGACTGCGCGCCGGAAGTCCAAGTCGAGATTCCTTCCCAGTGACTGGCCCGGATTCATCCCTTCAAGTGACGACGCCGCGACCTCGTTATCGCTGAGCTCGTGTGTGCGACATGAATTCTTCGTCTGTTTTCATAGGAGCAGGAATGTTCATAGACATACTGTCGGTGCTGTTCCTTTTGACTGTCGTCGGCTCGTCGTCATCGAGGAGGTCCTCGCTGTCTGCCACGGGACCTTCCTTGATGCCCCATCTTGCGGTGTTGAAGACGAAGATATGGGATGCGACACTGCGGGAAAGGGCGCTTATGATCCACTTGCGAAGGACGGAATCCTCGAGGCTGCTGAGCAGACTTCCAGCCACATTCCTACCAGCAGCTTGAAGACCGATGGCCTGTATATCAGCGTCAGACTGGCCGGAGAGAGTCTGATGATACGAATACGCAAGCTCGTACTTGACAGGCGCCAGAACATTGACGGCCAATCCTTGTCCGTGTACCTTCGCCGCGGTCAATAGGAAGCCTAGCTCATTGGGGGCAACCTTGAGAGGATCAGAAGATGCTTGTGTGATGACGCTGCCTCCCAGGCGACGAGACGACAATGGAAAGCTGGTCAACAGAAAGGTTGTGCCCTGAAAGAAGGCCATGAAAGCCAATTGGGCAAGGTTTACCAGAACGCAACATCCGGCTGTGAGGGCTTTGAGATTGGGAATGTTGCAGACACCGCTGATATGTCGTCCAAAGATGGTACAGGTTCCGTAGTCGCTGCTGCGCGCAACACTCTCCTCGACTCAGTAACTGATATCATCATCCTCTGGGGCACTACAGATGTCAATGTGGCGCTGAATGCGGTTCATTTCCAGCTTAAGGCAGAGAATCGTAGCGTAGAATAGAAAAAGGAGTATGCAGTCAAATCACAGTATCCACGGTTCGAGGAAAGAAAACTTCCGGAAACGGCGCCGGCAGTCAGCATCGAGATTTCCAAAGCATAGCCGCAGACAATCTAGAACCCCGTCCCTATGGGAGTCTCGATGGCATACTGCGCCAGGTTGGAAGGCCCTCTGGACTATTTATGCCCAATCGCGTGTGACAGAACGGACTACGTGAGCAGAATATTCTTCTCAAAGCCGATGAGAACGACGAGAAATGAAAAGCCTTCGGAGAGGAGACGTATGGTTATCGGAGTGTGAAACTGATTGGCAAGTAGTGACAACGGTGCCGAAGAGAAAGTCGAAGACGGGAGAATTCAAAACGCTGGCGGCTAGTGAGAACCTGGAACCCAGGCCCCACATGGAAGGAAACAGGGACGCGAACGTGAGGCTCATTCGGTATATGGAAACCCCAGCTTTTCTTCGAGACCGGCCTCGAAGCGGCAATCGTCAGTTTCAACGCCAAAGGGGGTCTTCCAGGTTGGGTTCATGATGAATAAAGTGCTCGTCGTCAAGCCAAGACGCTCTGATCCCGCCAATGACCAAGGTACCTAATTTCAAAACACTGAGAGGCCCTTCTGACTTGGATTTCGACGATTCACCTCGCCGCAGCGCCCTTGATCACAACTACATTCTTACGTTTCCAAAGTCCTTGGCCAGTGCTCAGGGTTGGCGCAGTCGCCGGCGCAAGCGAGATAGACTGATGATCTTGAAGACAGTAAGGCTCGTTCACAACAATAACTTGGTTGACGGACTCGTAGTTAACAAACAGAGCCAGCCTTTTGTTGACGGGAACAGCAGGTTTGACCAGGAGTGTCAAGCGTAGATCTTAGACATGGCTTATGGCTGAGCTTCAGCTGGGCGCATTATAGAATGTGATGAAGAGCAAAGTCGCCCATATTCTCAAAACAACAAACGCCTTTTGAAACTCCTAGCAGATATGACAAAGGTGATGAGCGCACCAAACGAACTCACATCGATGTCAGAGAGGCAGTGTCCAGAATGCACCAAGACAAAACTGGGCTGTCATTGAAGTCTGCGGATTCTTGGTCTGCTTCCGTGCGTAATCATACTTGTTAACTGAGAGTGTTCTCACCCGACTTCATCGAAGGCTCATGAAAATTTAGCTTTACCAACTTTATTGTGATATCGACCGCCATTGATGGCAAACATCTAGCCTAACCCCCAAATGATTCGGCCGCTCTGGGCAACCCCAACACCATCTACAGTTTACCCGCAGGCGATAACTCTGCGAGCAAAGCATGGCCAGCAGCCAAGTCAATAGAGCCAGCATTTCAGAGGTTTTTTTTTCACTCTGTTCTGTACTGGCGACGATCCCTGTTGCCGGGTCTGCAGGCGGCTACTCCGGCCTCGAGGTTGCCAGTCGCCGTGGCGAAGAAGAGGTCCATCAGGTGGTGGGCAATCGCTGGTGTCTCGGTGACTGAGTTGTTGCTGAGGTGTGAGACTCCGTCCATGAATGAACCGGACGAGACTCTGCTGCTTGTGGGAGTGGCCGCGTCGCTTCCTTCGCTGCGAGACACTATGCTGGACGACGTGCTTCTCTAATCCACGTTGCGATCAGCATTAGGAGCACCGCCTCGCCAGAGACCGTAGAATCCGTCGCAGTTCTTCCACATCTTGATCGTGCCGTCCTCAGAGCCAGTTCCGTAGAGCTTGCCGTCGGGGGAGAAGGCAATGGACCAGATGGGGCCGTGATGTCCTTTGAGCGTTTCTGGTAGCATGTCAGTGGTTGGTTGTTATGTCTCCAAAATTCGATATAAACTCACCGATCTCGCCAGCGTCATCCCAGCGGCAGACGCGTGCCCAAGTGCCCGGCTCTTCTCCCATGATAATCTTGCGGCCCTTGAGGTCCAGGCCGACACTGGCAACGCCATGCTTTAATCCCAAGCGCTTAAGCTCGTCCATGGCCTGCGGGCCTCCCCAAAAATACACCCACTTGCCAGCGGCCACGGCCAGGACTGGCAGACCGCCACCGATATCGCCGGGAGAGGTATACTCGGGCGCCAGGGATACGAGCTCGCAGGACTTGATCTCGCCGTCGAGAACCTCTTGGCGAATTACGTTGCGGGTGGGCAGGTCGAACCACCTGAGGGTGTTGTCGGACGCAGTGACGATCGTGTTAGGATCCTTGGTCCAGGCAATGAACTTGATGGAACCAGTGTGGGTGCCTTCGCCAATCTCAAAGCCAGCCGAGGCAGGCACGGTGATGGGGGTACCGGCGGGCGAGTTGGGGTCGGGGGCAAAATCGCTGAGGTCGAAAACGCGGAGCTTCTTCTCCATGCCTCCTGTCGCAATGAGCTCGGAGTTGTCAGGCGGATAGGCGACGGCGCGGACGATGTGGTTGTGCTGAAGGGTATAGAGGACCTCGCCGCTGTGGGTGTCCCAGACCTTGCTGCTGATTGTCAGTGGCCGATTCGGACATGTGTAACGTGTGACAGAACTCACGCGGTGAAGTCGGCAGAAGCGGTGGCAGCATTGGAGGCATCAGGACTCAATCTGGCCTGCCAGACAGCACCCTTGTGGCCGATGAAGGTTCCGATCCTGTAAAGAAGCTTGTCAGTCGTGCGCGGCCAAAAGTCTGGGAGGCACAGCCTACCAATCGCCAGTAATGCCATCGCGAAGCATCGGGTTTCCATCTGCAACAGGGTCAGCAAGGCCCTGGTCGCAGCGCGGGATCATCTGTAGCGGGCTCACCCTTGCAAGCCGAGATCATGTAGTATTGCTCTCCCTTCTCAAGGCCAGAGAAGCAGACGTGGGGAACAGGTCGAGAGTGACCGTGGCAGGTCAGAGGGACATATTGACGCGAGGTCTCGGCGGCGGGAGGAGCAGCGGCGGCCATGTTGTCGTCGTCGATACTAGGGTTTCGAGGAAAGGGGGTGTTTGTTTGCGCTCGTGAGGGTCGCAATCGCAACGTGTGCGCAGTGGAGGGGTATCAAGTAGTCGGCAACTTTGATGCTTCGTTTGCCGACTGTGAAGTTGAACGAGATGGAAAAAGTCAAGGAGAGTCAGTCAAGTACAGCCGTTACGTCGTAAATGTTCGTGAAGGATTCGATGTATCGTGAGAGAGCTCCGGGGAGGGTAGCAGCAACAGCTCCAGACAGTAGAGCAAAGGCACAGCAAGGGAAAAAAAAAAAAGGAGAATGGGGAAAGCTGCGGCAGGATGCGAGAAGCAATGGGAGAGCGGCGCAGATGAAATAATAGTGGGGGGCTCCCCGAGTCGGAGCAAGGCCGATTTGCGCCTGGATGCGATGCAGTGGGCGAGGCAGGAGCAGGTGGGAGTTGTGAGGTGTGCGACGTGCCTGCCAGGGAAGGGAAAACGGGAAAAGGAGGTGCACCTTGGCTTTTGCTGTTCTGGAAGGAGTCAAGGAGATTCGATGGACCCCTGAAACCAGGCCGGTCCTGCCACGAGCAGACAGAAGTGACCCCGCGCTGCTCCGTGCAGGTCGCGGATTCTGTTCCTGAGGGGAGCATGCTGAGGTAAGCGTTCCTAATAGAGTGGGGCTGGAAAGGAAAGGGGTGGGGGGGTGGTCCTGGAGCACGAAGGGCTGAAGATTGGTCGAAATGAGCTAGCACCACGTGCTTTGTTTGAAGCCCCGCATGTGTGGCTGGTGTCTTCCACCCAGCAGGCTAGCTTCTTCGGGAGGGAAGTCAATGGAAGCGTTAAGCAAGACGGCCCGGCAGGGATGCAGCTGATTGCCCCGGGGACCACCTGCCTGCAATTGACTTGACTCTCCCCGCCGGATGCTGGCCCTCCACCCCCCTTGTGGCGCAGTGGAGCTTCAGCGTTCCCGCTCCCGTCGTCATCGCCCAGCTACCTACCGCTCAGCACCACCCCCAGAACACCCAAACAACACCGGCCATTTCCACCGGATCCCAAACCGAGGCGTGAGTGAGCTGTCTGCTACACCCAGATCTTTTTGATACTTTTCCCAATTTCCACATCAAACTGCCAGCAATGGCAGACTTCAAGCTATCCGCCCAGCTGTCTGGCCACGACTCAGACGTGAGTACACGAAGCTTCATCGTCCATCAGCATTCCTAGCTAATGCGTCTTGTAATGTTCAGGTCAAGGCGGTGTTCTTCCCCTCTCCCCAAACCCTTCTATCTGCCTCGCGAGATGGCAGTGTACGAGTCTGGCGCCAAACATCTGGTCCCCCTCCCACTTTCGAAGCTTCAATCTCAAGTCAAACGTCCGAATTCGTCAACGCCGTCACGTACCTCCGACCCTCCGAAACATACCCGGATGGACTGATTGCCTCTGGTGGCAAGGACACCATCGTCGAAGTCAAGCAACCCCAAGCTGCCCCCAGCGACAATGCCGAGAGACTTTTGATTGGGCACTCCCAGAACGTCTGCACTCTCGATGTGTCTCCCAAGGGATCCTACATCGTGTCGGGCGGTTGGGATGCCCAGGCCATTGTCTGGAACATTAGCACCTGGGAGCCTGAGATCCGTCTCAGCGGCCACGACAAGAGTGTGTGGGCTGTGCTTGCTCTCGACGAGGACACAGTAGTCACAGGCTGCGCCGACACGAGCATTCGTATTTATAACCTACGCTCCGCTATCGCCGGTGACGCTGAACCGCAGTCAATTATCCACACGCCCGAGGTTATCCGCGCTCTCGCCAAGGTTCCCAAGGGCCACCCTAGTGGAGCTGATATCGCAAGTGCCAGCAACGATGGCATCATCCGGTTGTGGAAGTTGAACGGTCAGCAAGTTGGGGAGCTCCTTGGCCACGAGAACTTCATTTACGCACTGACAAGTCTCCCCTCGGGCGAATTAGTCAGCTCTGGAGAGGATCGCACCGTACGGATATGGAAGGGCAACGAGTGCGTTCAGACCATCACACATCCGGCCATCTCGGTCTGGGCGGTGGCCGCGAACCAGGAGTCTGGCGACATCGTAACGGGAGCCAGCGACGGTGTTGCGCGTGTATTCACTCGCAGTTCTGAGCGGGCAGCCAGCCCAGAGGCCATCTCCGCATTTGAGGAGTCGGTAAAGGTTTCAGCTATTCCTCAACAGCAACTGCCAGATATCAACAAGGAGAAGCTCCCTGGTCCCGAGTTCCTCCAGTCTAGGTCGGGTACCAAGGAAGGTCAGGTGCAGATGATTAACGAGGGAAATGGCCTGATCACTGCCCACCAATGGTCTCAAAGTGAGTCTGCTCTGCATGAAGCAGTGTGTGCTGTGTATGGCTAACTGTGTCCAGGTCAACAGCAATGGATCAATATTGGCACTGTAGTTGACTCCGCTGGAAGCAGCGGAAAGAAGACGGAGTACAATGGCAAGTCTTACGACTACGTTTTCGATGTTGACATTGAGGACGGCAAGCCGCCGTTGAAGCTGCCTTACAACCTGTCGCAAAATCCATACGACGCAGCAACAAAGTTCCTCAATGACAACGAGCTTCCTCTTAGCTACTTGGACAACGTGGCTGGTTTCATCACCCAAAACACCCAAGGCGCCACTCTGGGCCAGTCAGCACCATCAGGGGGTGCCGATCCCTATGGCACGGAGTCGAGATACCGCCCTGGCGAGTCTGAATCCGCAGCGCCGAAGCTGCTGCCGCATACCGAGTACCTCTTCATCACAGCTGGCAAATATGATGCCATGGTGAACAAAATTCTAACAATCAACGCGAACATGATTTCGTCCGGTCGCAAGGACGCCGCCCTGAACCCCAACGAGCAAAGCATACTCAAGGCTGTCAAGGAAGCCATTGAATCTTCGAAGCCCGTCAGCCAAGAAGGCATCGATCTCGCAGTCAAGATTGTGACACACTGGCCCTACGCCGAGCGACTCGCTGGCCTGGATCTGCTACGATGTGTTGCTCCGGCACCTCTTGCTGCTGACCTTGCAGCCCCAGGTGCATCCTTTCTCAAGATTGCTGCAACCAGCGCTCTCGAGGCAACAGACGGTGCCACGCCGAACGAGAATTCTGCCATGATGGCACTCCGTGCATTCGCCAACATCTTCAGCTCGCCCAAGGGCCGAACACTAGCGGCAAAGGAGGCTCCTCTGGCCGCGAGTGTTCTCGAGCGAGTGCTCGGTATTTCTGGCGGTGCACCAATCGGACCTTCCAATCGCAATGTCCTAGTTGCTGCGACCACCACCCTGATCAACTATGCCGTGCTCGCCTCTAAGGAGAAGTCTACACAAGAGTCGAAACGTTTCATCCAGGCCCTCGGAAAGATTCTCTCTACGCAATCCGACGCGGAGGTTGTCTACCGGGCGCTTGTCGCGTTGGGAACGTACACTTCTACCAACAAGGCCGAGGTGAAGTCTCTGGGTGGCGAGGGCTGGATCAAGGGGGCCATTGACAGGGTATCGGAACCACGCGTGAAGCATGTGGGACAGGAGGCCCTCCAGCAGTTGTAAACGGCGCCTGATATGATGGAATTTGCGCTGGTTAATGAAGCATGAGTTATGGAGTTTCCGGAATCTTGGGTGACGGCCATGTGATGGTCACTGGAGTGCGCGCTTGCTGAAGCTGCGGCAAAACGGTAGCGGGGAAGAAGGTTCGAAAGCCGTGAGAGTCTCGGGCGTCGCGGCTTATTTCAACCACAGAGTAGCTGGCCATCTTGGGTGGCGATTCATAGAGAAATAGACGTTGCAGTGATTCGCTTTAAATTGGTGCAATATGGTAATTTGGTACTGCGACAGTCATGACTAGAGAGCGGTCACCTGGCTACGACACTACAAAATATCTTCACGCAATAAGAACCATAGTCAGTTAATGTTATACTTTTGAGAGTGTATGATTGCATCTCATGGTACCTCAAGTTAACACTATAGGTGGTTACTTGACTTGAGAAAGAACATAATCAAAGAGAAACAAAACACCACCATCATCGGCCATGGCTATTTGAAGCCATCCCTCCTTCCCCAGAACGCCGTCTTTAATGCCACCCCCAAAAATATACAAAATGTCCCAAGGTATAATCCCCCCATTCATCCGTCTTTCATCCGTCTGACACCATCAACGCACCATCTCTCAAGACAGCGCACTCCCATCTGGCAAGCTACTCACTCCGTAGCCGTGTCTCTTGTTGACACCTACAGCACGATCCAGAGCCCGCCGAGCATAAGCGGAAGTAAACCAGCGACAGACCAGGCCGTCGTCCTTGCGCCGGCAGACGTGCCTTGCACGTATCCCGCGCCCGATTCCTGGGTCGTGATGGTGTAGACGTCACCGAAGCCAATGTCGGTGGAGTTGAAGCAGTTTGTCTCGTTGATCTTGGCAATCTTGGGGTCACCTGGCTCGGCGAATATAATGTCGACGCACTGTCATTGCGGTATTAGTAACCGATTCTATTATTTGGACGCAGAATCGAAACCCGGCGAGTGTGAAAGGCAGCATATATGCATAGCATGGCATGCCTATTCGAAAGAAGAAAAAGAGAAAGGACGTACAGAGAAGAGAGCGGCGCCGTGCACAGCAAGCTCGACAATCTGGATGGTGGCGTGGTCGCCCGCCTTGACGGTGATGTTGACAGGGAGCGGCACTTGAGGAAGACAGACGGTGCCTGGGTAGGGGTTCTTGCTGGGGCCGAGGATCTGGAAGACGGGGACCATGGGGAAGGACATGTTGAGGGGACCGCCGTCGGGGGCGTCGCTGCCGAAGCCCATGTTGACGTACATGTTGGCCAGGGCGTGGCCCTGGAACCAGCCTGGCTGGAAGGCGACGGCGCCGCCTGTCGTGGGCCAGTAGGTGCGGTTTTGGGTTGTGCGCATCCCGCCGCCTGGATATTCGTGTTAGTGGGCTGCGTTGTTGACTTGGGGGATGGCGAGGGCGGAGTAAGAGGGAGAAGCCGAGGAGTGAGGACTTACATGGGTAGTTCCATTGCATGCCGTAGGGAAAGGTCTCGTTGGTGATGAGGTTGTTGCCGCGCCAGCCTGGGTAGGAGATGACAATGTGAGCGGATGCCGTCGCCGCGAGGACGAGGGCTGATAGTGTTGAAAAGAGCATCTTGACGAATGTGTGTGTATGCGTGTAGCTGTCGGCGGTTGTGTGTGTTTCCGACGGCGAGCCTCCTCTTCTTCACTCGGAGTCCGTGAGCTGGGGGTTTTTAATTCTCGTTCCACAGCCTTTTTTTTTTTCTTCTGGTTGTCTGTCTGACTGAGTTACTGCCGACCCCGCTTGATATCTATCGAGGTGGTGGATAGTCGGTTGGGTCGTGTGCTCCGAATTCGCCTTTGGGGCAAGCCTTGGAACTGATGATTGAGAGACAAAATAGATTGTCGAAACTCGAGCACAAGGAAACGCGCAGTTTTGTTCTTGAATAAAGTTTCCAAGAGATTAAAGAATATTCACTTGGCAGTAGTAGCTGATCTGAGCAAGAAAGGAGAGAGAGGGGAGGGCGTAAATGGAGGCGGCAGGCCGGGTGTTATTTGGGATGGGCCCGCGTGGTGGTAAGGTAGCTGGCCCGGCCGAACGATCCAGCCGCCGGGCCATGGAGCCCACTTCTGCCGTGCCATTGCACTTGCACCTTGCAGCCGTCCAATCGAGGTTAGAGATTTCCCCTTCTTCCTAGGCCTGGAGGTGAGCCGGGGTGGCACTGGTGGGTGGTGGTGGGCAGGCCTGTTGGTCGACTTGGTGCACGGAGTACGCGTGGAGGTGTGAATGCGAATGGGCACACACACCGGGAAATGGAGAGAGAGAGAGACTGGGAGAATGACAAGATGGGATTTGATTGTTCAACGACAGGCGCCCGCCAGTGAGGAGCTGCGGGCAGTGTGCCTTCATCTGCAGGACGATGGACGATGGTTCCCGTTCCCCTGCTGCCCGGGCTAGCGACGCAACCAATGGCGGACGGGAGCGCCAGGCGAGTCGCTGCGGGAGTGGCAGGGAATGATTCTGCCGGGGGTGGTTGTTTGGGGGGCACGAGGCCAATGGGATGGCATATCACCTCGGTGGCAGAGGCCATCTCGACGATGAGTGGTGGGAGGCGGGAGGCGACGAGCAGGGATGCGGCGGCGTGTAAGCGCCGGCTTTGCGTTGGCTGCAGGATGCAACATGCCACCGCTGCCACCTCAAATCCCCGTCCTCTCGGAGCTGTTTGCTAGCCCTTTAGCCCCTCTCCAACGAGATTGAGCATGGCAGTCCAACGAGACGGCGATCCAACGGTGTCACGGTGTGCTGTCTGGCTGACTGTGAAGACGGAGCGGGGACAAACGAAATTCAGGCCCGGCTTGGTGATGGGATGATGGGGTCCAATTTTGGGGGTCTTCCGGGGCCGAGCAGTCGATGCGCCGCGGATCATGTAGGCTCATTAGACTATTGATCATTGGCATTGTTGGTCGTCGTGTCGTGCGATTTCCTTTGGTGATGATTCCATTCCTTCGCACAGTATCTGCCAGAGAGACTGTGATGGCGTGGAAGCGCCGGCTATTCGAACGTCCAACGAGCGCTTGCTGTCCTGTGTTCTGTTGCCGGTAAATGGATGCAGAATCAGATAGATGACCGCCGTCGCTGAAAGCCGAAGGGCGGTAAGCTGACGGCGTGGGTTACGTGCGCTCGGAGATACCCAGCGAAGCAGGCTCTTGGGATGATGGTGATGCAGATCAAGCCTCGAGGATGTCAGCCGCGAAGAGACTGCGTCTACCTCCCCCCAATTCCCCCATTTGAGCGATATACGGTCTGTAATGGTGCTAACACGGTCGTCCTGTTGGTGTCCCAGTTGAACGGTTCTTTGTCCCATCTGGGGGCCCGAACGAGTACCTTAGGTAAGTGAGTTGGCCCGGGTCCCTTGTGGAGCGGCCAAACATAGTAGGATGTTGTGTATCGCTGCAAGTGCAAGAGAGTAAGAATAGCCAGGACAGACAGAAAGAACAAGTCGTGAGTACCTTACTTTGAGATGTCAAAAAATGCTCCCCAACTTCTAACTTGTTTCCGGACAAGTTTGAGGGAGAGATCGTCGTCTGCATCGTGGCTTCTATTCCTGGTTCTCCAACCATTCTGACGGGAGACGGGAAGGAGCAACGCTACTGTCAGATTTTAGGTGTGCGACCCTGCGCCTTCCCTCTCTGAAGCAGCCACCTTCCTACCTACCCACGCTGCCACGCTACCCTTTCCTAGGTCCCTTAGGTAAGCATGGAATAGCACCTTGATGACCGGCCTGGTTATGTAAGGCAGGTCCGGCAGTCCAGCAGCGGGACTTCACCGCCTGCCAATAAGGTGCCACTGCAACGGCCCCCCCCGCCGGCCTGCAGGCGGTAACCACATTCTGCCGGTCAAAAAGTTCATCCCACCAAAGCAGCATCCCATCATCAAGCCAAGATCAACCCCGCGCTGTCGGACAAGTCCGTCATGGCCACAGCCGAGCAGTCCCAGAGTGAGAAGCCCAAGCAGGACGAATGGATCCACGTCAAATCCAAGTCTCGGTTCCGGCGCAACGCCCCCAAGCCGGCCGTCAAGGGACCCCGCGGAACCTCGAAGCCCGCTGAAACCCGCAATCACCAGTCCGTCGCCGACATCACGGCCGAGTACGACACCTTCAAGGCCCGGTGGCGCGAGACGCCATGCTGCGCCAGTCTGAAGAAGCTGGTGAGGGAAAATCACGACGGGCACCGGAGGGTGCGCAAGGCTGTGTGTCTTGGCGTGGGCACGTTTGATCCGGAGGATGGGGGATGGGACGCGAAGAGGCGGAGCTACATCCAGCTCGACGCCTTCATAGCCATTGTCGAGGTCTTGTGTATGTCCATGTCTAGCTGTCGCAGTCGGTCGTTTCATAGCTCCCAGCTTACTGAATGCCTAGCCGAGTTGTACAAAGAGTCGATCCCGTGCTCCTTTCAGGAACCCCGCTTCTCACCCAATGACACGGGTTTTCTGACCGGCCTCGGTCACGAGGTTGTCGAGTCCCCCGCCGCCTTTGAAGCCGTCGATGAGGAGACGCTCGTGTTTGCTGTCCACATGTATCGGCCTATCTACGAGGCAACGCTCGAAAAGGCGTTGCCTGCCATGTTCGTCGGCACGGGCTGGGACGTATGGGATGAGTATGTGAAGTTGACCAAAAATGGGTTGCTGTAGCGGTGCTGACACCTGATAAGGTTTGCCACGATGAAAGATGGCGATTTCAAGTGCATGAGCGACATGCACGCTTCGCATACGCATTTCCCCTTTCCCCAGGACGGAACGCACACCACGTTCTCGAGTACCTGTGTATACTGGCGACCAAAGTCCGAGGCTCCTGCCACAGAGGAGGTCTCGGTTGGTGAAAAAGATGCAAAGTCACCTGAAGAGGAGGCTGAAGATGCAACCACTGAGACCAGCACCAAGGAAAAGGAGACTCCCGCAGTCCTTTCGAGCTGAAGGTGGAAAGAGGTTGTCACGCCCATCACTGTCAGCGATGGCATAGGCTTAGACATTGGAGTCGTCAACTGGGCCAAAGCTTGGTTGACTTTGTCAGACTAAAGCTCACAGAATTTGAGTCAAATATACCCCCGCTGCGTAGATGACCGCAACGACATCGTTGACAACTCCTCCTGAATTTACCATGTTTGCGTCAAATTTATAGTCTACGTCGTCGCAGGCCATCATGAAGAATATTCCACAAAAGGCTACCTGGTCTTCTGTGGAGTAAATTGCCCATCTTCCGCGGAGTATGAGACAACCAAGTTGCATCAGCGGAAGTTGATGATTGCACTCCACAACCATATCTTGACGCCTCTGGCCCTGAAGCAAGTGACTCGTCTTACAAAGGGTCCAGCAACACCAAGAAATAGCCTGCCCTCACCACCACTATTCTCAGAGCCATCCTAGAAATGGGCCTTTCGTCAGAAATAAGACCGGTCCGTTATCCGACACAATAAACACCCCCCTTCAACCGAGATAGAGACTACACAGCAAAGCCCCCAACACTCACACTACTAGGCTCCTGTCCATCACACCCCTCCTTCTTGACATCAGTCATTACAAACTCCACCTCCTTAGCAGCAAAGAACTGCTTAAAATCAATACGACATCGCCCCACGCCCACCCCGTCCAACTTGACCGCATCAACATACGCACGAGCACCCGCAGGAATATCGCGCGCCAGGCTTTTCGGATCAAACCCTGTAACCGTGACCTTGACCGTGCCCATCACCTCATTCTTCACAACATACCCCGGCATGAACGGAGAAAGCACCAACATCTCCCCCGACCCAGGCACCGGGTAGAACCCAAGCAGATACCACGTCAACAAGCTCGCCATGGCAGCATTATCATCGTTCCCCGGTAACCCGCCCCGACCAATATTGAAATTATCATACACAATCTGCCGGACCTGCACCACCGACTCGGCAGGTTTCCCAATATGGTGGAACAGCGACGGCGTCTGGAAACTAGGCTCGTTGCCCGGCAGATAGTACCCCGCGTCAAAGAAATGGTGCAGCCGGTCCTCAAAGGTCTTGTTGCTCCCGCCCAGCACGCCCACGAGCCCCCACACGTCGTGCGGCGCGTAGAGGCTATACTCCCAGCTCGAGCTCTCGTACACGCCCCACGTGTTGGTCGACTGCAAGCTGCACGCTCTTGAATTGTCCGTGTCGCGCGGGGAGCAGTTCGTCGGGTCCGAGGGCGGAAAGCTCCCGTTGAAAAAACGCCGGGCCACGAAGCCTGCGAACCCGTCCGATTTCAGATCCGGGTTGAAGTTGGTCCGGTACGACAAGCTGCGGTTGAACAACGCATCGGCGACGGACGCGGGTTTGCCGAGGACCCGCGCCACCATGCCGACGGTAAAGTCTCCGAACGCGTACTCCAGCCCGCGACTTGCTTCGCGCGATCTTTGGCCCGTCGAGCTGACGTCGAGGTAGTCGTAGGCAATATACCCCTTCTTGTTATACGTCTCCGTACGACGGCCCTCATAGTCCCAGTTCGGAGGCGTCTCTTCGAGATCGTGCTCCAGCGCGTTCCAGGCGTCGTCGAGGTTGACGCCCAACTTGTCCGCTTGCTGCGCGTACTTCACAACAAAGTCAGCCACGATGGGCACGCCGTTGTTTCCGCCCTGCACCCAGCCGCGCACATTGTTGGCTCGGCACTCGGGCAGCCACCCTTCCCGGCGCCATCCGTCGAGGTAAGTTTCTACAATCTGGGCCATCTCCCGCGGCGAGGTCAGCGCCATCAGGGGGAACAGGGTGCGGTACGTGTCCCAGCTGCAGTAGAGACCATCGAAGTACGGATACGGAGAGTCCGTGTACGGCGGCGGCGCGTTGCCGGTGGCGTTATTAGGCGACAAGAATGTCCGATAAAAAGATGTATAGAAGAGATTCCGGATGGACTCCGTCGTCCCGTTGGACAGCACTATACGGCCCAGCTTATCCTCCCATAACTCATTACTCGCCGCAACGACCTTCTCAAAGTCAGGCACAGGGATCTCTCGTTCCATGTTTTCGCAGGCTCGTTCCGTTGAAATGTATGAGACTCCACGGCGGACGAGCACCGACGATTTCGGCGTGAAGCGCACGATGGCCCCGGCCTGCAACGCCTGAGCCAAGGCCACTGGCGCCGAAATCCAGCTGTCCAAGTCGGAGCGGCGGGCGTCCACGCCGTACAAGTTCCCTCCAAAGAAAGCATGATCCGTCATGGCGCCGGTGACGGCCAGGTCGACGCATTGGAAAGCCGAGTACCTGAACAGACTGGGCCCGAAGCTGCTCCGCCACGTGCCGTTCATTACTATGCGCTGTTTAGCCCAGTCGGCGTGCATCTCGCCGTACAGGAACGAATGTTGCGAATCGTCCGTCCAGTCTAGCACCAGCGTCGGCGTCGAGCCCTCGGGGAAGGTGTACCGCTCGAGGGACGCCGACTGCGTAGAAGCCAACTCAATGAGCACGCCGTTGGCGAGTGGCGTGCTAAAGTAGCCGGGAAACCCCGTGTCGTTTGCGCCATCGCCGACGCGCCGCTGAGACCGCGGGTCCTCGAGCGTTGGACAGGATGCAAAGTCCGAGCCGCACACGACGGCCATGATGCAATATTGTCCGAAGCTGCCATCCGAGCTGCCGGTTCCGGAGTCATGTAGCGGGGACACACCCCGCGTCAACTGTGTTGACTCGGAGACGTAGCCGGCTGGGGAATAGCCCGCGACTTGGATGGTCACTTTGGCCAGTCCGAAGGGGACGGCGGCCCCGGCAAAGACGTCGCCCGGGTTGTTGTTCTGTGCCGTTCCTGTGAAGATGTTGACGTACTGCGTTAGAGGGCCGGGGGAGACGTCTACGCCGTGGCACCCTGATAGCATTAATGCCATTAAAATTTTAACGAGCGACTTCATTTTCAATTACACGTATTGAAGTATGAGAAAAGAGTGCGGTCAATAGCGTGGAAGGAGTGAATTCCGGAAAACGAGAGTGAGGCTTGGGATCATCCCAATTTCCTCACCTGCGAGACTGAACCCCTCGGCAATACCTAGTTATAGGAACTGGCTCGGCTTCGGGGCGGAAACATCGGATGATTATAGTTAAGCCCGTCAATGCCGACATTCGTATCATTGAGGAGAGTTGCGGTCTAATGTAACCTCATCTTAAAAGGACCGTGCTGTGTCACACAGTTGGCCAATTCGAACCTTGATTTTCTAGCTTCAACGCTGTGAGAAATGCTTCATGTAACCTTGCATTTCGGATGCTTTGATCTCTCGGAAATTGCTTCCAAGAGCGCCTGTGTTCTTTATGTTACTGCCTATTGGTAGGGAACCATTTCCGTTGGTTTCGCTGCACTATAGTTTGGCGGTAACTTCAAGTTGGTATGCATGTTTCGGACGGTGCGACTTCTACGTCGGCTGTGCCTCAACCTTGGAATCCTTGCTTGAAATACTAGGAACTAATGTCATCCAATGATTCAGTAAGAGTTCGGCAGGCAGGGCTGGCTCTCTTTCTTCATTGACTTTTTGTGTGAAGCGTTAAAGGTGGTATCTGCCTACTGCGTGAGCTTGGAAGACACCGTGAGAAGCCAGTCCAACGGGAAATGATGAAATGAAATTACTTCAGGAATGCAGAAGTGAAATAATCGCAAGCAGAACCAGATATGGGACAACCCCTATTGCAAAGAAGTTGAAGAGGTTCTCTCACAATCAGCCGCAGCTTCCGTGACGCCGGTGCAAAGTGGGGCCGTTCCGGATGCAGCCCCGTCCCGAGCTCCCGTAAAACGCTTCCGTCAGCCGAGGCATCTGCTACATGCAGGCTGCAGAGCACACGTTTGATAACGGTCATGGTCGCGCAAAGGTTCAAAAACCACCCGAATGACGAGATACTTTGGATGACTTTCTTTCTAGAGGACAATCCCGGCCATTGAACGGGCGTCGTTGGGGTCTCGATTGCCGATCAAGCTCCAAGCCCATGCGGGGTTCGAGTAGCTCGCCGCCGGCTACCGGGGATCCCAGCCAACACAATCCATGAACAAGCCGTGACGGACCCAGGGGTTTGGTGCATTCCTTTCTTCGGTCATCAGTAGGACGATGGCCTGACTCCTCACCAAACACCTGAACATCATCCGTCTTCATTCAATAGCCATTTTTTCAACCGTTCATCAGCTTGCTCCTGCCAATCTCCCCCAGCCGAGACTGAGAGCTTGTTGAATGGCACCGAATCTCATAAACAGGCCGTCTCAGATGATGACATCACCCTATGAATATGACCGCGCTAGGCACCGTCTTCCCAGGCCCAACGACACCCGCACCACTGCCGGAGAATATTCCGGGCAAAAAGTCGACAAAGAAGCGCATCAGAAACTTTTCCGCCGATGATCGCGCCGCCCACCGGATCTTTGAGCGGGGCCGCCGCGAAGCGTTCAAGGAACGCTTGACAGTCAGTGCCACCATCGGCAACAAAGCCAATCTGCTAAATTGATCTGTACATGTACCGTGGGCTGACGACGAAAAAAAAACTTTCTAGGAACTCGCTGGCCAGCTGCCTGTCCTCGCAGACACGGATCCCGAGCGACTCTCGAAACATGTCGTCGTAAACCAGAGTATTGCCCGTCATAAGCTCCTGGAGAGCCGGTGTATCGACGCTCTCCGAGCCATTGAGTCTTTGCTCCGAGAGCGTGATGAGTTGCTGGCCGAGGTCAACAGCTGGAGGCGTACCGCCGGTGCGAACCCCCAGCTTCCGAAAAGTCTCTCCAATGTCGCGGGCCTGATACAAACCGAGAGAGAAATGCAGAGACGTGCAGTGGACGCTCATAATGTCCATAATAGAAGGGATTCCGGTCAAGCTGGTGGGCCTCGCGATGATCTTCACCAAGCTGCCACGGGAACAATCACCCACGCGACTGAAGCGTCTCACCTCACGCAGCTTCTGCTCGCCGACCCAACACAGGAGGTGAACCCCCTCTCAGACCTGGATGATTTATTGCGCGACACGTCATGGTCTCAAGCTACCCAGACACCTATGCCAGCATTTCCTGCCGAAACCTCCCTGGCGAGGACAGGTGACATCAAAAGCATGCGACCAACCATCCCGCAGGCCATAGATCCTCTACCGGAGTCTTCATCCGATGCCAATAGTAGCTATAAAATCTTTGGTGATGCGGATTCAACCCAAGAGACACTCCTTCTCAGCATGGATTCGATACAATTTCCTATTCCGGACGACGAGTCCTTTGCACTACAAGACATACCCCTTTCACCTGGCTATCTTCCTCGAACTGTATTAGATCAAGCAGCACCGTTACAACAATCTCAACAATGGGTCTCTTGGAACGGATAGTCTATTCACTCTCTCGTCTTCTTATGTACTCTAGCGAACCTTACACAGCTGGTATCCGTGGCGTCTGATGGGTCCCAACACCTGAATGTCAGATCTGCTTGAGAACCTCCTCAATCTTGCCCTGGCTGCTCTTCTCGCCCCCAATAAAAAGCTTGAGCGCGTCCGCGAGACGGGTCGCCGTGACAGGATCAGCCTCGATAGCCTTCTGCAGCGCGACGCCGCCGTCGGCGAGGTAGTCGACGTCGGTACGCGCCAGCTTCCCGTCCCAATCGGCCGCGGCCAGAGGATCGATGGTGGCGAGCTTCTTCAGCCGCTCCGGAATGGGGCCACTGTCCTTGTAGACGTGTACCGGCTTCGGCACGCCCTCGCCTGGCTGCTTGGTGCCGTCGTATGGAAGCTTCGCCAGTTGATCGAGGACGGTATGGGAGATGGTTGCGGAGTGGCATCCCATTTCTCCCGCGGCCATGGCCTCATTGGCGGAGATGAAGCTAGGAAGAGTGCATCAGCGACAGCTTTCCAGAGTTTCCATTTGTTTGGCGAGCGTTTACCTGGCATTCTTGACGAAAGGCTGTTCTTTTCCGGTCTCTTTGTAGAGTCGCTTATACGTCTCAATGATCTGGACGATTCGCGGCGACATCGGGTGTTGCGTAGCTGGGTCCTCGACGTTGGGCCAGAGGGTATCCGGCTCATCATGGGCTCGCACCTCTGCGATAGACATCAGTACAGATACTGAAGAAAGCGAGCGTCAAGAAATCGAGCGGGGTGGCCTGACCATTGTAGTACGGACTGATGTACAACATGCCGGCTTGGCTGCAGGCAATAGCCTGGGGAAGACTGAACAGAGCTGTGCCGAGGGTGGGGATCCCTTCCAAAGACAATATCTTTGCGGCGTTCAAGGCTGGTCCGGTCGAGGGGATCTTGATGCAGTACCTATCGCGTCCGATGCCGGCCTTGGCGAATTCGTGGTCGTAGAGGCGTGCGTGGTCGAGGGTTTCCTGCGTCTTGTACGCGTTGGAGGGGAGAGTCTGCAAGAGGACTCGACCGCGAATTGAGTCGATGTTTTTCTTGCACATGAGAACGGCCTGGGGAAATTTCCAATGTCAGCCGAGTGCCAGTGCGCATGGAGGACTTGGTGCAGACCATGCGAGTGTAGATGGCCAACCATCCTTCATTCTTCAGTTCCTTCGCGGTCTCGACGAAAAGATCCCTGTTTGACGGGTGGCCGAGCTGGATGTCGACCCAAAGCTGGTTGCTCGTCTGATCGTGGGGCACAATGGGCATGCTTTTGATGTACTCGGGGTCCATCCAGTCGACATCGACATTGACTGTGAGTCGGTGAGAATCTAGGCGTCTGTGGGGGCGATATTGGCGTAAACTTGTCACTTACTCTGTTCCTCGAGCTTATCGAGCCATGTCACTGGGCCTTGGCTTCCCATGATTGCGTATATAAGTCGATCTCTGCACGAATTCGAGCTTGGTATGTTGTTCTGTTGCCTTTGTGTCTAGTCCTGGTAGCCAAATCTTGCCCCTAAAATCTCAGGGAAATCTCTTTTAATACCAAATGCTTCATCCCAAACCCACCGGCATTGCTGTGCATAGAATGGCGGTCTCATATGCCCTGCATGTGTCGGCATCTTCACAGTCATCACTGGAGCTTTCAGTGGTCCCATTCCGAACACTGTAGAACCAATCAAGACGGCATCTTGCAGACTCAAGATGCCACACGCAGGGCAATAAAAGGCACACACGCAGGGCACCATTGACCCCGCACCGTGGGGGCTGTTACCCCAGTTCATCGTCTGATCACAACTGGGTGGGAGGAGACAAAGAGGATACTCTGGGGTAAGTGTACCAGAATCCGACTGTTATTTGCGGCTGTCGGTTTCCCCACCTCAGTAGTTAAACTAGGGCAATTTAGTGTGGTGTCCAGTGTTGCGACTTTCTCTCTGTCGAGGATGTTGCCGAGATGTGAGCAGATGGGTCTGCGATAGTTCCTGTTGGTAGTAATAGACGCTCTTTAAACTCAACTCAACCCAGCGAACACGCACATTGGCAGCAATAAACCTCGGCGGTCAAGGTATGCCAACAGGGTGACTGACCTCCGCCAACGGGGGTACGCGGCAACCACCCAACGCAACCGGCATTAAAGGCACAATACCAACATTCACAAGCACATTGTCCTGCACAGGGCAAGGTAACTAGCGCATCTTAGCCCGACGCCCAAGCTTTCGAGTCCATGAACACACACAGGGCAGCCCCGCACCTGTCCCCCATGTTGAACAAACACCGCCAGGGGGTGTCCTGCGCAGGGAGGTTTGCTGCAGCGTGTTTTGGTCACGGGAGCAGGCCCGAAGGATCTCCCCACAACCGTTCAACAGCCGATGAGACTGGGAAGCCTAATGTTGGTGACTAGGACCTGGTAACACATCGTTCGACCCCACGGGGAACTAGTCAGGAAGGGGGAACCAACAGGGGGTATGGGAATCATGTGTATCAAATTATAAAAGAGTCTCCATCGTGACGCTCGATTACCACTTCAACAACCTGCATTACTCTACTTTAATATATCTCTGATTTTGATCCAAGGAGTCAACCGCCATGGCTCGCGCATCCGATGTCGAGGGCGATGTCAAGTCAAAATTCGACGTCAGTCACGTCGAGCACACCGAGGCAGACTACAGCCGCAACATCGATGCAAAGTGAGAAGCCATCTACCCAGCATTGATATCTGGCCACCAGCTAATCACAACATTCAGGATCCGCAATCCACTCATCGGAATCTCCAAGTCAGACCTGCGTGTCCAGGTATCTGGCTTCTGCCGTGAGTTCGGCTTCCGCGAGAAAGAAGACGTCTTCTACCGCGGTGCTCTCGCAGCACAAAACCCAGAGACATACGACTCGTTCGAAGAATTCACCGAAGAAGACAAGAATGTACTCCGCCGCGAGATCACCCACAAATGGCATCTTCCGCGGGACCTCTACTGGAGCATCGCCCTTTGCTCTCTCGGCTCCGCCATCCAAGGATGGGACAACACAGGTGCCAATGGTGCGAACCTCTCGTTTCCCCAAGAGTTTGGCATCGCACACAGGCAGGCACTCGTTGGTTTCATCAACGCCGCCCCGACAATGTTCGGTCTCCTGAGCGCGTGGGCTGCTGATCCTATCAACAACTACCTCGGCCGCCGCGGAACCATTTTCCTGACTGGTCTTTTTTGCGTTTTCCCCGTCCTCGCCCAGGCTTTCACCCAGAACTGGTGGGGTCTTTTGATTTGCCGTTTCTTCATGGGTTTAGGAATGGGCGTCAAAATCTCGACTATTCCAGTGTACTCGGCCGAGGTTGCGCCTGCTGCTATTCGAGGCGGAATCGTCACAAGTTTCCAGCTCTGGGTTGCCTTTGGTATCTTTGTTGGATTCTGTTCCAACCTTATTTGGTTCCGCATCGGAGACTTGGCCTGGAGATTTCAACTGGGTGCCGCGTTTGCTCCCGCCATTCCCGTCTTGCTCTTCGTGTGGTTTTGCCCTGGTACGCCTGATGAGTTTCAGTTCTGTACGCAAATGACTGACAGGTATCTAGAATCTCCACGTTGGTTAATGAAGAAAGGTCGCTACCAAGAATCCTTCAACTCCTTCTGCCGCCTTCGAAATACCGAGATGATGGCTGCCAGAGACCTGTACTACGCCCATAGACAGGTCATCGAGGAGAAAGATGCTTTCGGAGGCCAAACACTCCTACGACGAATTACCGACTTACTTGTGGTTCCCCGTCTTCGTCGAGCAACCATCGCCTCATCTTGGATAGTCATCTCACAACAATTTAGTGGAATAAACATCATGGCCTTCTACTCTTCGACAATCTTTGAGCAGGCTGGCTATTCTGCCCAAAAATGCCTCCTCGCTTCCATGGGCTTTGGTCTGGTCACGTTCGTCTTTGCCTTCCCGGCAGTGTTCATGATGGATACTTTTGGTCGCAGAAATCTGCTATTGGTTACCTTTCCCAACATGGCGTGGTGCTTGCTTGCTGCAGGACTTTGTTTCCTGATGGATAAAAGTTCAAGTGCAAGGGTCCCGCTCATTGCATTCTTCATCTACCTTTTCACAGCCATGTACGGGCCAGGTTAGTAAAAATAGTCTCTCAAATTTGGCTCCGAAAAATACTAACACCAAATATTCAGGCATGGGTCCTCTCCCGTCCATTTACTTCTCCGAAGCATTTCCTCTATCTCATCGGGAGATTGGCTCAGCGTTTACGATTTGCGTGAACAACGCGGTTGGCAGCGCCCTCACAATGACCTTCCCCGAGCTCCTGCACAGAATCGGACCGACTGGTGCCTTTGGCTTCTATGCCGGACTCAATGTGCTCGCCTTTGTTGTCATCTTCTTCCTCATTCCTGAGACTAAGTAAGTCCAAGATGTCGTCGCTAAGAGACCTAAATGCAACTGCTGACCAATGACACCAGACAACGAACACTAGAAGAGCTAGACTACATCTTTGGGGTTCCCACACGTCGGCACGCTGCCTACCAGGTACGCATATGGCTCCCTTGGGTAGTGAGAAGATATGTACTGTTCCAGAGAAAAGCCAAGCTTGAACCCCTTTACCATCTTGCGTAGACAAGTTAGTTAATGGTATAGTGGGAGAGTAAGCAGTTTTTTGAAGTTTGCAGCGTTTGCGGGTCTATAAGTCACGAATTGGATGAACCCATTTCAATTGCTTTCCCTGATTTGCCTGTTTCTGAGATGGCCTAGCGATATTCAAGATAATAGGATTGAATTGCTGGAATCAAAAGTGAAAGGAGGATCGCTCTCACATCAAAACGTTGCGGTAATGTATGAGCACGCATATAATATCGATTTCTTACGCCTAAGATTGTGGGAATTTGAGTTGCGACCACTAGATCGTTCAGAAAGGTCACTAAGAAAGAACATTTGCTGTGGTTGGTTCGAGTTCCCCAGATCTCTGTCAACGTAAAACATCGTCAAATGTGAAAGGTACCGCCGTCTTCCAGCCTCACTAGATCATCGCATGCTAGAAGACCTCGGACCCACGAAATTCACCACGGCATTTCTCGTCATCATGTTTAGATTATCGGTGGATCGCGAGCTTACAGTTACCGTATTCGGGACACTCCATTACACCATGTTGGCACTGTGTAAGCATCGGCGAGCAGGGGTTGGTACCAAGGATCCATCGAATGTAAGATCTTTGCATGCAGCTAATGGTTTTCTGGTTAGCAGATCACAGCTCAGCTGGTCCCCCTGATTGTCTCGTTGTCAGCAAGCCAGCCATCTCATGCCCCCAACTTCCCAGAAACATCATCTCACTCAATCTCCAGACAGTGACAAATATGCCTGAGAATTCGGAACCGGCAGAAAGGCCTAGCATTAAGCTGAAGCTGCCCTCTGATTCCGGAAGTGAACACAGGCGCCGCGAGAGTAAAGTAAGTCTGCTTCCAGAGGAGCGCTTGTTGCACCATGCTCAGGTGTTGATCAACTCGAACAGGAGCTATGCCAGGTTTGCCAAAGTCTGGACCTTGGGGTTCACTGTTTCAAGGTCCGATACGGTTCATCCGGCGGCTCAACGTTGAGCCGTCCGTTACATTCGTCCACAGCCGTACGCCGCCTCGGCAGCCTCAACGCGATCAGGGCACGCTCTTCGAAATGTCCGCTATGCGCCTTAATCATGGACTCAGTAACGGAGCTAAGCCCCGAAAATCCATACTCTCAACCTCTTGACGAAGCAGCAGAAAGTCAACTGCAAAGAGCCACGTGCTCTATCAGCTGGGAGATTGATGGCCGCGAAACAGCTAAGCGAACCGGAAAGAGCCCAAGGAACCTCGTGCGTGGCGTCACGAGGCGCATGCATATTCGATGGAATCATCCCAGACTGTCGAATGCCTACCTTGTCTATGTCGCGCCAGAGACGTTCTCGAGGACTACGTCAGATGCTGATCGAGTCTGGGCCAAAGAGTCCATGTTTTTGGGCAGACCGCTGACTCAAAATATTGAAAACCAAGCTCTCATTCAGTCCTGGCTTGATCTATGCAGGAAAACCCACCGAGGTCCTTGTCGACAGATTGAAAGCGACCGTAGTCATCGTTTCAGGGAGATGGTTTCTCACTCTTACTTTGGCGTTATTGACGTACAAAACATGCAGCTGACGCAGCTGCCCTTCCAGCCTCTGGCTGATTCACAAAGATCGCCAACATATTACCAATCTGTCGAAGACCTCAAACTAGAACCTTACGTAGCGCTGAGTTACGTTTGGGGCAATGACACGGACGCATACAAGACTTTGACCGAGAACGTCATGTTCCATCGAACACACGGCGGTCTGGAAGAGGTCCTATCGAGAATACCCAAGGCTATTCAGGACGCTTTCGACCTGGTGCGGAGATTGGGTTTCAGATATGTCTGGATAGATCGACTCTGCATCGTCCAGAACAGTCCAAGGTCATGGAAGCTCAACGCCTACAACATGGACCTCATCTACGGAAACGCGGAGCTCACCATTTGTGCTGCGGATGGCGACGCTTCAATCGGTCTACGAGCCATGCGGCCGAACACTCGCAATACCACGCAGTGCAAGCGGCACATCACTCCAAATTTGCAACTCATGGTAACTCGGCCACCGGAGATGTATATTCGAGCTTCCACGTGGAACGAACGAGCATGGACGTTCCAAGAACGTTTGCTGTCGAGGCGTTGCCTGATTTTCACAAACGGCCGTGTCTACTACCAGTGTCGGTCAACTGGCATGTCGGAGGACATCTTTGGTGATCAAAAGGGGGCTGGCTGGTCGTTGGACCTAGTCGATGCACCACTGCAAATGTTCAGACAACTAGACAATCGCGCGATCTGGGTCTACATGAAATGTGTAGAACTGTATACGGAGCGAAAGCTCGCCCATCTACAAGACATCCAGGCGGCTTTCAGTGGCATGGCAAACATGATGGAAGATCGTATGCGCGCCCCATTCATCAACGGCCTGCCGAGTTCTCACTTTGACTTGGCTCTTCTTTGGGAACCCATGAAGCAGACGAAGAGGAGAATCATTACACAAAACTCAAGCACTTCCTCTCTTCCAGATTTCCCGACTTGGTCATGGACCGGTTGGATTGGCGAGGTCAAATACAAAGATGATCTCGTTGCTGGTATTCTGGATAATGTATCCGACTGGCTGGATACTCACACTTGGATTAAGTGGTGGGTCCGGGATGGGCATGGTGATCTGAGGCCATTATGGGATGCCGATCGGTCTGTCGAAGATCAAAGTAAGGATATCAAGTGGAGAGGCTACACCGACAAGCGGGCACAACAAACTGAGTATACCGGAGACCGCCAGGAGGTCTATTATGACGAAGAAACTATCACACGCATTCGTCGACGGGAAAACCGGGACTATGAATGGACTCGGGAGCGAAGACCAGACAACCGTAGCTCCGAGAGCGACAACGACGATGACGATGACAGCAGCGGCAGCTCTTCCGATGCGGATACAAGAAGATCTGATGGAAAAGGCTATGAGGTTTATAATAGCCACCGTAAATCGGTTAGCTATGGACCCAACGTCGATACAGGCTTGCCAAATGGTGTAAAAATCATTCGTCCGGATGGACCACCACCACGTTTTCCCTCGACGAGAAGCCGAAGCGGTGAGAGAGAGCGCCATTCACGAGTGGATCGACGAGTGGAGGGTAGAGGTTACTTGAGGTACGACCTCCCGCCACCACCGTCTCCCAGACGAGAATCTTCGCTGGTAGGGGAACTCGAAGATCCATCGCATCATCGTCAACGATCCCGACGAGAATACCGGGATGGCTACGAGCGTCAACGTCGACCCACGGGCCGGACAGAACGATTAGAGTCCGAGCACCCAACACTCAACGCAGCCTTCTTCGACTTGAGATACAAGGACGACGAGGCAGAATTCAGCATCGCTCTTCGAGACTACCCTTACCGTGTGGTCAAGGCAGAGTACACGCCAAAGCCCGAAACTTCCGAGTTCCCTCTACTGCCTATTCTGCAGTTTCGTACCTGGCACACATGGCTGTACATCAGGGAAAGCATGCCAGTAGAACAACAGGATGAGAATCGAAGAAGAGTGAGTATGAATGTGGGGCTCGGTCAGGTTCGACACCACATTGTCGACGAGAGTGGTGACTGGTGCGGCTCTCTTGTGTTAGATGCGGAGTGGGCAGCCACAGCAGATGCCAGGCAGGAGTTCATTGCCATCTCCGAGGCTAAATGCTTCACACCCTCCGAGTGCCAAGAATGGACGTATTACATTCCCAAAGAGCGCGATCAGAGCGAATGGGATTTGTTCTACGTGTTGCTCATTGAGAGGAAAGACGAGAGATGGGAGAGAGTTGGTGTTGGAAAGGTTTTCCAGGAGGCTTTTAGGAGTTCAAGGCAAAGGGAAATTATGCTCAGCTAGCCTTGGTGTCAATATCTCTATCCGAATAACGGTTGGACAATGTGAGAGCACAACAGGAGCATGATGATAGTTACTAACACTCCGTCTATTCTGCTTCGATTCCATTTCGAATTGTATATCGTGAAGCGTGATTTTGATCCGTAGACAGGGCCTTGAAGGACCTCGCTGCTTTCATTTGAGTCTCTAGACATCTTCACCAAATCTGTCCCGGAAGCTGCATCAATCATGAGCGACCTGGTACTGCAGTCAGTCGCTCCCTCTGGTATCTTTGGGGTCTTCCTCGACCATGTCTTGCAGTGGACATTTATCAAATCTAGTCCCGAAATCCCGAAGTCACACTTTCGCTGTCATCTTCAAGATATAGCATCCTTGTACCACGGAGGACAAGGCGTATCAGAGCTCATGAGAGTACTTGACTCTGGACACTCTACTGGAGACACAAAGTCGAGAAACAGAGATCAAAGCCATTTAGATGTTATGCAAGCTGCCCAGAACCCGGCGCATATTGGAATTTGGGGCATATCGCTGAACTTAGCACTTCTACCTCAGTTGAGGGCGAAGACTTACTTATGATACCTCAATCGTACACCAAAGCTGAGGTGCATGAAGCGTGAGATTCGGTCGCGGACGACTCAGCATAACTGGGTTTCATTAAGGTTATGTATTCCTCCCATTAGCAGCGCCTGGGGTTGATCCACAACAAGAGCAATGGAGCACTGGCTTATCCGCGTCCAGTAGGTTCTGATCAGCTGCCACACTAGCCGAGAATTGTCCGTTAGAGCCCCTTGTGCTTTTCCTATCAGCTATGTATAACTCCATATAACGGTGTCTCTGATTGTGACTTAAGAACTGATATCTTTGTTGGGTCTCGGTCCACCGAGACACGTCGTGATGATAAGCTGAGGTCGAAGCCAGACAATGGCAAAGAGCGAATGCAGATGGTGCACTTTTCCACGGAACCCTCGGCTCAAACGCCAACGCAATCAAGACGATCCAGTGCGTAATTATAAACCAGACTTGTTCAGACGAAATGACAGGTCTTCAGGCTGACGGTCCACATGCCGCTCTTGAAGGAGCTGCTTTTCCGTGCGTCAAGTCTTGCCATATTGTCTTCCCGAGTGACACGGAAAAGCAGCCCACCTGCCCTTCCCAGACGAATATCAAAAGGTGTCCTTGGAGAAATGGTTTTCCGTCACATCTTCCCCTCGCAAGACCCTGTCAAGACGCGTCAAGGGGGTACCATGTCGATACTAGTGCAGGGTCCGAATCTAGCACCATCTTCCCGAGCCCCGCACGCGCGGAAAAGCTCGGCGCCCCATCTCCCCCATGGGGGAACACTCCACCTAGGTGTGGTTCTTATTGCGACTTCAAGCGGAGCTGACAGAGAGACAGGATGGTCTAGTTTTCTATGGTATATAGAGAGGTTCTACGCAGACGAAGATGTTCAGGGTAACGTCTGATCTCTAGGTCTCACGGTTCATCCGCAACTGCAGTCCTCGATCCGGCCGGTGTTGATACAGCGCACCAAAGATTCGACAACTCGCGGCTTTTCAAGTGACGAAAACAAGAAGCATAATGGCTGAGCCAAGAAATTCAGAAGAGGGCAAAGCAGGCGTCAGCCAAATGGAGCGGGTCTTGACAGGAGGTTCCAATGGGGGTGCCGTCAAGCCTGTCGCCATGAGCGGCAAGGTTGACGAGTTTGGGGCGCATACCAAGACCGACCCCAAGGAGATCGCTCTCGTGAAGAAGATTGACTTCTACATTCTTGTACGAGCCCCAGCCGAACCCCGGAAACTCTTCACAGGGACTAATATGAAGGTAGCCTATTCTCTGGATCATGTACTTCCTCAACTTCCTCGACCGAAACGCAATGATCAACGGCAAGCTCAACTCCCTCTCCAAGGACCTCAAGCTCAAGGGAACCGAATACAATACCTGCGTTTCCATCCTGTTTGTTGGGTATGTCTTGTAAATCTTGGTATCTTGGCAGCACTGATCTTAATGTCGGTAGTTACCTGTGCGGCCAGATCCCCTCAAACATGATCCTCAACCGAGTGCGACCCTCTTGGTACATGGCGGGTATGATGCCAAGCCCCCGATCAGATACGCCAAGCTCTAATGAATGGTCGCATCACAGGCTTCATGTTGATTTGGTCAATCATCAGTCTGCTCACATATCTTGCACATGACTACAAGACGATGTTGGTGTGCCGATTCTTCCTCGGAATCACAGAGGCTCCAGTGAGTTCCAACTGCCGTCGCGGTCTCCTAGGACATTGCGCAGGCTAACCCTGATCTAGTTCTATCCTGGTGCTCTCTACATGCTTAGTATGTTCTACACCCGTAAGGAGATTGCCACGCGTATGGCAATCTTCTATACTGGAAACATGTTGGCCAGCGCCTTTTCTGGGTTGATTGCGGCCGGTGTTTTTGCCGGGCTTGATGGGAAGCACAACCTTGCAGGTTGGCAATGGTATGATGAATCCAGCTTTTTTCATACAAGACCTAGACTCACAGTGGCTAGGCTTTTTATTATCCAGGGTGCTGTTTCCGTCGGCGTTGCCCTGGCGGCATTTTACCTCCTCCCTGACGCTCCGCTTCAGACCCGCTGGCTCAGTCCTGAGCAACGACAAATGGCGCACCAGCGCATCTTTGACGATACTACTGATCGCCGTGAGGGCAACACCAGTGTTTGGAAGGGCCTGCGTGAGGCTTGCACCGACTGGAGAACATGGCTCTTCTGTCTCATGGATAACTTGCATCTCTCAGCAAATGGTTTCAAGAACTTTTTGCCAGTAAGGACTTGTCACCATAACTGATCTTGAGGAACGAATAAGCTGACAGAAAGCAGAGTGTGGTCAAAACCCTAAATTACAACACCACAATCACTTTGGTCCTCACATGCCCGCCGTATATCTTGGCCGGTATCATGAGCATTGTTGTCTCCCACTCGTCTGGTCGCTTCAATGAACGAACATGGCACACCACAGTGAGCAAGCTTATTGCCTGTGCTGGCTTCACTATGGCCGTGGCCACTTTGAACACCACGGTCAGATATGTCGGCATTATGATCTTCGTTGGAGCTACATATGGAGTAAGTTTACCTACGTCTGGACTGCAGCCTTTTGGATGAGAAATTCGCTAACCGATTGCCAGGTCAACAATATCATTCTCGGATGGACTTCAGCCACCTTGGGCCAGACAGATGAAAAAAAGGCCGTTGCGATTGCTATGGCCAACACCTTTGGCAACCTTGCTAGCGTTTATACTCCTTACTTATGGCCAGATTCGGACGAGCCAAGATACCTGACGGCAATGCTTGCGAGCATTGGATTCTCTCTTGGCGTCGTTGTCTGTGCCTGGATCATGAGAATTGCGCTGCAGAGGCAGAACAAGAAGACGATAGCATCCAACCCAGATGCAATGAACTTGTATGTGTACTGAACTGGACGCTAGGGCATGATGGTGACCAGCAGGAGATGAAATATCGGTTGGCTCACCCCCTGTATTGATATCGGTCTACCGAAATGGCATTTGATGACATGGATGTGAACAAGCGATACCCAGAGATCTGGTAGGCAGGGTAGATTGGAATGCGATGCAACCTGATTTAGATCACTTAGCCTCCTCTTCCAAAGCCATTTGAAAAGCCTCTACAAATGACTCTTCCCAGTCGACCTCTGTTTTCTTGGGCTTCCAACCCAGCTCAGGTGCTAGAACAGGTTTGGTCGCGGAGCTGTGAACGCGGCATTAGCGTCTATACTGTTTCTATGCCTAGACCGTCATGGACTTGACTTACTGCGCAGCATAATTCATTTCAGCAATCTGGGGTGTCGCATTCAACCATCTTGAGCCAGCTTCTTCCAGGCTCACCGACCGAGGCTCGGCTGACTTCAGCACACCAAGCGAAACACCTGCCTTACCTACCAAGGCCGCAAGATCTTTCCAGCTGTGACTCCCAGTGTTGGAGAAGTAAATTCCCCTCCTGCCTGATGGGATCTCTTCTCCCAATAGGACCTTGCTCAGAACGAGCTCGAACAAGAGTGCAAGATCCGTTACATGGACATGTCCAAGGCGGGCTGTACCTTCGCCCACGTATTCAGGGACGCCGGCCTTGATCGCACCGCGGATAATGCTCGGAATTTGCATAGAGCGCTGGTTGAACAGACCGGTTCCCCGACCATAGACTGTCGGGGGCATCATGATGTATGCTTTGACGCCGGTGCGCTCTGCAGTCCTAACGACAGCCACGTCTGTCGTTCGCTGACCGTAAGCTTCCTCTGCCTCCTTCTTCTCCTCATGTTCATACACTCTCTCGTTATCCGCCCATTCATGAAACTCGCCTGACTGCTGAGTGATGGTTCGCTCAGCGAGGTTAGAAGTTCCCGATGTCTAGCATATGAACATTGTGTTAATGATGTCGCAATAGCGTTAAGATCAGCCCAAGAACTTACGTGAATGAAATGGACTTCTTTCCCGGTTTGCTTCTTTCGGACTGCAAGTCCCTCTATGAGAGCGACAGCCGATCCTGTATGGAAGCCGGTCGGGGTGTGGATCACACAGTCATGCTCACTTGCAGTCTGCCTCAGAAACTCAGAGTCATCCAATCCTCCAAAGACGATAGCGTTGATCCCTTTCTTTTTGAGAATATCCGCTTGTTCTTGTTTCCGAACCAATGCGGTGATGGTAAGCTCGTTTATCTCCTTGTGCGCGGAATTAAGAAGCTGCGTCAAAACAGAACCACCACTAGGTAGGCCTCAATCAGTTTTCAGGGGTAAGCATAGTCTCGGTACAGATGGCAAACGCACATGAAGCCTGTGGCGCCTGTGAAAAGTACTTTTCCTGACATGGCTGGCGACTCGAAATGATTGTAATTTCGTGATTAGACTTTGGTAATGCGTGGGTGATGTCTGGGCGTAAAGAAACTTAAAGCAGTCAGAGCAGCAATTTTTATCCAGAGAGAGTCTCTTGCAGGTGGGTCAGGTTGAGTTCGTCACTGTTACCAATGATGCCGGGAATTGTATTCCGGGGAATGCCGGCGGCGGCCACGGCGAATGACGACAGAAAAGTAGTCAGCAACATTGCATTAAGCTTACTGATAGCATACGCAGTTTAGCCCCGCGTCTTGAATGATTGTTTATTGACGTCATAGCATATCTAGCCGAGAACCATTTTGGTCTCATGAAGACGAAGATGAAAAGGAGTCTGGACAATGGAAATACCAACTCAAGGTGCCTTTACAAATTGATCAAGAACTTTTTCATGGCCATTGGAAACATACACACACCATTTACTAGTTATCATCAACAGAAACTCTGATTGTCTCTCCATTATGAGTACTAGGTACGCATATTTATCAAAAAAAATATCACATGTGCAATAACAGATGCAAGTTTCAATGAGACGTAAATATTATCAGTGCAACCTGGCGAAGACATCTGCAGACTATATTTTTAACTAAAAGTAACCATTGTCAAACGTCCGCGCAACCCGATGCTATTCATTTGAGCCATTTTCTTACCTCGGCAGGGCAGTAATGTCAACAACGCTGACCCAAATATTCTCCTTGTTCTCGCTGTATGCAATCAGCAACTTGTTCCTAACCTGAACCGCGGTGGGATAGCTGAAGCCAAATGCTCGATTCTTGACCCCGTCGCGCGTATCCGGGACGATCTCCTTCGTTGCATTCGTTCTCAGTACACCAATTGACGTATATGTCTGGTCCACTCCTCGAGATAGTGCCAAGGTGAGTGGTTGTCTCTGAGGATCTGTGGCATTGTATCTTGGGTTCGACAACAGATATCTGTCGCCAGTATCGTCGAGCTTCCCCAGAAACTGCTTCGTCTTTGCATCCGGTATGTTTGTTTGATAAATGTTGTTCCCGTGCGACTCCTTCACCTTGGGGTACCAGCCATTTCCGTGTACGTCCTCGTTATACTCAATCCAAACGGAGTGAGTGTTTTTCGCCTCAGTAGAAATGTCGCGCCAGTGTCGCTGCCAGTATCCTCCCGTTGGCGAATCACTATCGTTATGCCAGACAGCAAATGTCTGTTCTTCCATCTGATGTATCCCGTCGGCTGCAAATAGACCGTTGTTGTAAAGCCATGGCGACCAAGCAGGTGCCTCGTCGGGTCTCCTTAGAACGGCGTTGATTTCGCAGGCTCTGGCGCAGTACTTCATCCCGTACTTAGTGCCGTAGATAGTCTCAGCATACAACTCAGAGTCTGTGAACTGATTCTTTTCTAGCCAGCATGGGTCCGTGAGCGGTTCTCCGTCAAGAGAAATCTTGCGTGCGATTCGACCTGCAGTGGCCCATCGACCCGGGCACCACCTACTCCCAGATTGACCGATGGCGTAAAGTTCGCCATCAGGAAGATGCACGAAGGACAGAGCCTGCCATGCTCGCTGGGCGATGCCACGATCGCACCAGTGCTTCCAGTTGTAGGTTTCCGTTTGGTTTGGGAGAAGTGCAGCCGGCATCAAGCTTCTCCCACGGCTCCATGTCAACCCACTGTCGCTTGAAGTAGATATCCATATGTCCTGGCCCATGCTATCCTCATCGACTGGAGCGGAGGAGTAAAGGAGGAAGACATTGGATTCGATGGCAAATAGCTCTGGATGGTGTGCGTATGTGCGGTTCTCGGCGACTCCATTGTAAATTTGGATTTCTGCATCAACGGTAATTTGTTGCCAGCCCGCATAGATTGTGTCGGTGTAGTTGAGTGGCGGTGAAACTTGCCAGAGGGTATCTGGTGGTGGAGGTTTTGCATGTATCCTAGCTAGCCATAGAGAAGCCAACAGCAGGCTCGTGATGCAAAACGTCTCGCCAGTTCTTGGGATGAGCATGTTGAGCTTTGCCCTTCAGGAAAAAGAGCTTGCCTGAAACCTCAGCGAGGATTACAACCAGTGTTATGTAGGCATCTTGCCGACCCAGAGGCCTGATAAATGGAACGCAGTGTAGCGGAGGATCAAGGATTTTCTTTCTGCTAAACGCACGTTGATTGGGGGAATATCCTTTGACAAACATCCGCTGCGCATGGGTTGATGGAAGAATGAGGGGTTCCGTCTTCTGTCCAACCTCTCCACCGCGCATTCGACATGTCACTGGGGCTCAATCTTGCCCCAATGAAGGGCACGATGTGTAAAATCTTGATTACCAGGTATGTTTAAATATTTATCAAAACTAATTATCCAAAAGCCTTTCGAGCTTTTCTGGATTTGCTCTTTAAGTCCAGTTTTTAGACAGGAAGTTGAAGTTATTAAACGTCTAACAACAGCAGGCTAGCAGGCAACCAATTAGCACAGAACTGAAGTCAGCTGCAGCGCGCCTAGGAGCCAAAGTATCTGGCTTTATCTTATAATGACAATATTAAGAATATTATTCCTCCATTAGCTGGGCTACGCATCGTCAACCACTGCCAAGTTCGCCAGTCTACCTAGCGCTACCAAACAGTGGTGGATGGTCACCCTATGTGATCCTCAAAGACCAAAACCAAACCGGACTCTAAGGTTTCCGTATAGTGTAAGTGCAATTAAGCAAGTCCAATTCCATCAAAGAATACCTCGTCCAACAAAGTGTACAGCACCTGCTGTCCTTCCCACTGCTCCTCCGCAGCACCGAGAATACGGTCGGGAGGCAAGACAAAGCCAAAGTCGCCTGTATCAGGAAGCTCAATGGTATAGGAGAAATCCGCGCCGCCAATGGCATAGACGTGGTCGGGAGCAGCGCCCGTGGTCGTATATAAAGTAGCACCGCTGGGCCCGAAAGTAAAAGTAGTGCGTCTCTCGGAGCTGTCGCGAATGACCTCGCTGAGCACCGAAGCAGTCTTGGTCCACTTTCCAAGCTCAGGAGCATACCATGTCTCCTTGGAACCGAACGGCGAAAGGATGTACTGGCCATAGCTATGCCAGTCAATGTACAGCTTGATGCCGCTGGAATCGCGCAGCTTGCGAACGTAGGCGTCAAGGCCTTGGTTTTCGATGGTGTCGGAAGGCTTCTGGCCGCGGTAGGCTTGGGCGCACGAGTTGACGGAAGCGCCGAAGGCGTTAGCATCCCATCCGTACTCCCAGTTTCTATTGATATCGGTTCCGTAGCAGGTCTGGTTCAGGGGCGGGGGCGTGCGTGTCTTGCGCCAAAGACGGTCAACTTCCTGGGAGTAGACGAAACCTGACTCGAGTTAACCCAAAGAGGTATGAGAGATGCATATCAGGACCAACTTACCATCGGGATTGACGATAGGGAAGATGTGAAAGTCAAATTGATTCAAGACGGAATCTGAAGCATTGGTGGCATTCTTGTGCGCGTTGATGAGCTGAAGTGTGATGTACTCAACCACCTAAGAAGGGATCAGTTCATGTTGTGTTGAGTCGTTCATCTCATCTGTAGAACTCACGGGAGCTGCAATCCACTCTCTTGCGTGAACGGTACCACTATATCGGTGTTAGAACACGAAAGTTGCTGTTTGCAGCTTGCTTAGGCATGATGCTTACTGGTAGAGCACGGCAGGCTTCCCGGGGCCGTCGTTGCCAAAGAGGTGGATTCCGTGGATTGATCGGTTTTCAAATGAGCGGCCCGAGTAAACAAGCTCAGAGTTGTCTGGAAACGCCGCGTGAAGATCGGCAAAGTATCGAACATGATCCGCGTAGGAGTGATACGAGTCGTACCAAGAAAGATCGTTGATGTCGCGCTTATACGTGTTGCGAGACCCGGATTCGGCAGTGATAGATTCTCCGAGATCCTTGTGCAGGATGCGATAATCGAGTCCTAGAGACGCAACATTGTCAATCTGGTCGGGCGAAATGACAATGTCAATGTGGGTGTCGACGTCGTGGTTCCATTGCTCGTGAGGAATTGTGGCGAGCTTCTCTTGAACGGTTGCCAATTGGGTCAGAGTCTTCACGCGGAGAACCTGGTAGCCCTCATAGGTGACCGGACTTCTCTTCTGGAAGTTGAAGCCGGCGGCGAGCGTGGCCAATACGGAAACGACGGTGGCGGTCTTCATCTCAGCAGTGCGTCAGCGGTCGTCAGATACATGCTGGCATTGGAAAGCAAAAACCTTCGATATTCTAGTTACTGTCGACGTCCTTATAACTACATTTTCTTCTCTCGTGTTTGCCGAAATTGTGTCACGACATTCGGTCAGCGCCAAGCTTTATAAGAGTGGCAGGACGATTGCGTGCGAGTTAGGCAACCTCCCGACTGGGGCGCAAAGTCGACGAGTTCCCCCAAGCCCCTGAAAACACTATCCGGGAGAAGAAAGTGTTAAAAAGTCCCTTCTCATGGCGTTGCGGTGCATGACGTAAGGAATAGCCTGACCTTCCCATTTGACCTTAGCCAATGCATGGCATTTTCTAACCCCTCTGAAAATTCAGCTTTTCGCGATTCTCCTTGAGCATGACGTTTTTGTCGCCAGGACGCTTGCCCTAGCTTCTTGACAGATTTTGGTAACGGAGACCACGTGGTGTTCATGAAGTTATCGTTCTGAAGACGGTCAAAGTGAATGATACCTGAGGGTCACATCGAACGGACGTAGGACGATCCTGTTGAGGCATCAAATCTTGCCAAGCCAAGAGTGAAGATCTTCCGACAAGACCGATGCATAGGCACGTGACAGCAGAGCGATTAGGGCATCCGCCTTGGCATTGCTCGGAGTTTCCAGCACTTTTAATTCATGCCGAACATCCAGATAGAATTGCCCTTTGTCATGGGATTGTTAAAATCTAATGCCGTATTGCATGGCTTAGAGCGAGTTGAGCTGTTCAGTCATGGCTTTCTCGTGGTTTGGGAAGGCTTTTATCTACAGAACACATGCATATAATTATGTGCTCTTCATAAGTAAGAAACTCGTTAAATTTCTTCAGTACTTCTTCATTATCAATCATGTCTTTTAGCACCTAGCCGCGAAAGAGATACTCAGACTTTAAACTAGTACTACTCCGATAAAGCCCATTCTACCCGGACGAGATTCTGACCTAACGTCTCATCTAGCTTACAATTCTAGCTCGCGAGGTTCCAAATAATCTCATCCGATCCGCTCAATTGTTGTGATGCCGTAAGACCATGCCCAGGAAGATTAGAGCGTTGGGTCACCCGGTTTGTTGATAGGATCCCACCAGACGTTTTCGAGATTCGACAACGGCCTTGGGTAGCCGGTACGAGTTCTGGTTGAATCTTTTTATCAACAGCATGAGCTAGAGTATACAAGGATCTTTGTCTACGTGAAAGTATTAAAATGAATAGTCGCTTACTAAGTACCAGGGAAAATCGGCCGACTTCTCTCGGAAGTAATTTATTTTCTTATATAAGTTTGGACGTTTTCCAGCAGCGAGACGAGGTATCATTACATTGATCTTGTCAACTTTTCGTGTAGAACCGTTTCGACGAGAAACACCTACTCATAGGGCACGGCAGTATAAATATTGACAGCTGATGACCGAAATTTCCAGACTCCATCATTTCAGTCAAAGGAGGGAGGTTGCAGGGTCGGCCATGACCTCGTCAAATTCAAGCAGCAGGCCACAAGCTCATTGCCTGTGGAGATCTATTCCAGCTGAAGCATCTTGTTGGGGGACATCCACTATGGGACATTTCCAAAGACTGATCAAACTGAAAGCATCACATGTTCATAGCAGCATGGAGAATCGACACGTCGAAAGGAGTCGAGTTTTGGCGTGCAAGCAAGCAGTGATAGCACAGATAAACGCATTCTGAGGCCGCAATCACTTGGTTGACATGTTTCATTCTGCTCTACTTAGCTATTTCTATTGTGGCGTAGAAACCGGACAACAAACTGCCCTGATGCATCAAACTGGGGCCTTGCCACGGCGCCAGCCATGCTCCCGGCCCGTGACGAGAGGTGACAGCATGATGACCGCCCAATCAAGCCCGTGATTACTCACACCCACGGAGTGATGAGCTCGGTACGGGAATGCAGGTTGACCGATGTTGCTAGTTGCATGAATAGTTCCCGTTGGCCCCCCTGTCCGAGGAGACTACCCTATCAACCCCACCAACTTTATCCGATGACAGGCGTTCAATCCGTCGACAACCCCATATCCTCATCCGACAACCCGGAGGCTCTCCCTTTCTCCAGCGTTTCTTCAGTCGAATGAATTCAGTACCTCTCTGCAGATGCCAGCCAAGTGACTTTGCTCCACTCAAATTCATCTCTTCAGGGGCTTCCAAAGCGTGCAGAGACGAAGAGCTTGCCGCATCCAAAGCGAACCGCATTAGCATCTCGGTTCCATGCAGCACAAAGGACAAACGATGGCGCTTGCCCGCTGGCCCGTTTCCGAACACACATCTTCCGAGACGCAGGGAGGCGCCACTATTCCCGGGTTTGCTTATGCCCAAATGACAGCCCTGACAGCACCCAATCAACTTCGATCTCCCAAAGGCCGTTGGCAACGCCTCAACTGTCGGCCGCACAGTGAGACATTCCCGTCTCTGAGACCAACGGCCCGCATGGTAGGCTGGTGTGTCCTTCTGAACATCACTGGCTCCCGCTACCCGAAAGGATTTCCTTGGATGGCTTGGACAAGCGGACTGACGGGAGAGCCCGTTTGGTTCCACGGCATGCCCTGCACAACATGAGCGTCATAAGAAGGATGTCTCGGTCCATCGACTGGGAAATTTATGCCTTCTCGGCATCTCCACGTTGCCCTTCTACTACCACCGACCGGGAAATCAGCACCAGTCGCACAGGATGGCCCAATCCACCGTTCCCCCTCTAGCATTCCCTCCCGCGATGTCGTCACAGTCCGCATCCAGCCCGCCGACCCAAGATGAAGTCGGCCTTGGAATAACCGCAATCGAGGCAGATCCAGCCCTTGACGCCGGTCCGGATCGTGAAGATGACGCGGATTCAGCCATCGACGCCGCCAGTGTTGCCTCATCCACCACGTCCCTGACCGAGAGCATCTTCAACTACCGGAAGCTACACGGGCGGACTTACCAGGCCAGTCAAACGACCGAATACTGGGCACCCAACGACGACCAACAGAACGAGGGCCTCGACATTATCCACAATGCGCTGCTCATAATGTTTGAAGACAGGCTGTTTCTTGCCCCGGTCGGAGATGACCTTCAACGAGTTCTTGACGTCGGCACGGGCACGGGTATCTGGGCAATTGACTTTGCCGACCAGTTTCCTGATGCTGAAGTCATAGGAACAGACATTAGCCCGATACAGCCGAGTTGGGTTCCGACCAATCTCCGATTTGTCATTGATGACTTCCTCCTGGATTGGATGTGGCCTGAAAATCACTTTGATTTCATTCACCTCCGATGTCTGTACGGAAGTGTCCCCGACTGGATTGGCTTGTACAAGAACGCATACCGCCACCTCAAACCAGGTGGATGGGTTCAGAACCTCGAGGTGAACGCCGGATTTAACTCTGATCACGTCGAGTACCCTCCAGACCACATCTTCCATGAATGGGGGCGTATATTTGAGCAGGGCGGGACAAAAACGGGTCGCTCGTTTACTGTTGCGCAGGGCCACACGATGAGGGACAACATGGAGAAGGCGGGGTTCGTGGATATTGTGGAGATCAAGGTCAAGCTGCCTACGCATGGCTGGCCCAAGGATCCAAGGCTTCAACATGCGGGGCTACTGATCCAAATCGCGCTTGATGAGAGTCTTGAGGGATTCGGGACTTTTCTGTTGACGCAGGTGTTGGGATGGTCGCAGGAGGAAGTCTTGGTGTTGACTGCGCAGATGCGGAAGGAAATCAGGAAGAAGGCGAACTTTGGTTACTGTGAAACGTAAGTTGTTCCTCCTCCAAGTGAAATGAAAGAAAAGGCTAACGAGGCGTGCAAAGCACAATTGTTTATGGGAGAAAGCCATTCGAAACAAGCACTTAATCAGGAGTAGATTGGGGGATACGACTGCTAAAGAAGCCATGCCGCAGACACATAGCAGATCAAATGGATGAAGTGTGTACAGTAATCATCGGTCGAATGTATGAGAAGCTTTTATAAAGCGTCGCTCAACGGCAAACTAGTCACGAGTGGTGGAATGTCTCTTTGTTGGCATGATGCTTGGTTGCAAGATGGTACAATAGCAGCGTGGTATCTACTGCGCAGTGGATATATACTTGAATTTAACTACGGAAAGTTTCATCACAGAGCTTTTTGTATCTTCTTGAAGACGGGCGATTATAAGGTGAAGATACCAATGTTTCTATCTACCAGGATGACAACAAAGGCACTGGACTACAAGATGGGGCTGAATCTTGGAGATCCTGAAAGACGGTCGACATGACAAGATGCTCTGATCCGTGAAGCAGTTTTCATGAAAATTACATATAACTAACAAACTCCAGTGACGTTGGAGGATTCATCCGGCCTCGGGAGAAACAGCGGCACCAAGGTCTCCGACGTTGTATCACGCCGTAGAATCTTTCAAACCTCGTCCAATCTCCCACTGAGTATCGTCCAACAGCCAACAGCCCAAGACATATTGTTGGAGCAGGACCCTTGATAATTCATCAGCTTGTACAGGTACATCGTCCATATCCCAAGACTACTAACCCATCGCCCATGGTCTCTCCTTTAATCGGCATCACAGTTGAAAGCCACACCGTCAGGCTTTCCATCAGCCTGGCACGCCGCATTGGTCGACTTGCAATGCGTGCTGTCGGGCTTCACATCCTTTGCGCAACAGAAATTGCACGTGGTTCCTTGGATGGTGGCGCCGCAATTCTTGGGTTCCAAGCAGTGTCGGCGGACGAGAGGGTTGGCGGCAAAGTCCGAGGACGGCGTGGCTGCCGCGAGGGGAAGGAGTACGAGGAGGAATCGGAGAGCAACCATGGTTGGTGAATATGAATACTAATAGTTAATTGTCTTAAACGATAGGATACAAGATATCGCGTGAGTAATTAAGGATGGATCTGGAGAGATTGACGGTTGTGCCAAGGGCGGGATGCCACCGTTCTTTAATCTTCCCTCAATGTCGTCTACCAACCTTATTTCTATACAGCAATCATTTCGCAGTGATTATGTTCAAAGATTAGACTTTCCATGGCGACTGTCACAGAGCATGCTTTGAGCTGAGCAAATTGATTGTGGGCGGGAAGGTTTGCTCTTCAAAAACACCAGACTCAAAGTGTACTTCGAAAGCACACCAAGAGTCTCCGAAGCGACGGGGGTGAGGGGCTGATGATGAGCAGAAAAGAGATAAATTCAGCATCATGCCACGGAACCTGCATACTCCGGAAGCGAATCTACAAACCTGCTCTAGTTGAGTAATCTTTGGGCCCAAGACTTCACACGTGTCGTGACGCTGCTGCCGTTCACGATGCATGCCACCCATATTTCATTAACGTAGGTTCACCAGACCATGAGCTGATTTTACTTACAGTTGAGGTTATTTGAGGCTGTTTTAAATTGTTCTCAATGTCATCGGATGTTTGTTTTGAGGGGTGGGAAGTCGACATAACTGCATGTTGGAGGTAGTTTCGTCCGATGAGATGGCGCACTCTCGCATCGGCTCCCACAGCCCTCCGTGAACTCGGCAAAGGTTTATAGTCATGTGTGGCACAGGGTTCCATCGACTACTCCCTACAAACTACATCCCTGGCCATGCCAGAATCTTTGGACGCCGATGCGGGGGAGATGGGAGAGCTCATCCATGTCGTCGGAAAGCTGCTGTATAAAACACCGGCTAAATTTGCTCAACGGTTTCGTTCTCGGATGCTTCTAGTCCCCCGTCATCTGGAGTAGTATTATGGTTTCAAGAGCGGGAGCCTCGAAGTAAAATGTTCGGCTAAAACACCAGTTGACGCCGATAGCAATCGAACCCAACTCAACCTACCAAGCGGTGTCCCACTTCCACACCTCCTCCCACTCTGGGCACGGAGCACTCTATGTTTGAAACGGAAAAGCTTGGCCGTGGACCGATGGGATGAAAGTCTGGAGATTGGGATCAATTACTAATACGACATTGAAGGGATATGGGATGCCGGATTCAGATCCGTCATGGTTCAGGGTTTCGGTGTGCGAACTGCTCGGGTCATGGGCGCCGGTTCGGGTGGAGCATCGCGAGAGGACAAGAAACAAAACGCGTGGGTTGATGTGAATGTGTGCTCAGCTTACATGGAAAGTCCAAGAGCAGTTGGCTTCGTCAACAGGCATGCTCTCTGGTCATTGGGACCGCTCAACATGGAAATGTATTTGCCTCATGGCACCGTCTAGCGCATACCCCTCTCTCTCAACATAAGAAACCAAACTAGAAACTCCATCTGAGGTCTAAAGATACAAATAATAATACACTAGCCATTATACATCTAGGTCTTCCCATTGGGAGTAATGAACTCAAACTCCTTGTATTGGGTCTTTGCAAGTTCCTTCTCAACCCACCCACCGATGCTCTCCACAGCATCATGCGGGCTCTCCAAATGTACTTGGAAGAAGCCCTGTAGTTGAGATGGAGTCAAAGTGTCTTCTGGTATCTTGCTAGAAAATTGGATGGCAAGCTTCTCAATCTCTTCCATGTCTAGGTGTGACGTGCATCCTAGATCGGGAGAGAACATGCGTACAAACATGTCCGCTGCCGACTTTGGGCTGATGTTGCCCAAGAGGACCTTCATGTCCACGCGGCCCGGACGAATCAAGGCACTGTCCAGTTGTTCGGGTCGGTTGGTCGTCATGATGACAATGCGGCCCTCCTGCGACCCAACGCCGTCCAAAACATTCAGCAATCCGGACAGAGTGCAGTTGGGGACGTTGCTACTCTCTGGTGAATGTGCCCGTCCATTTCCGTTGCTGTTCTTCTCGTGATTGCTCGAACGCTCCACCCACACGGCGTCGATATCTTCAAGCAGTACCACGCACCGCGGTGGGATTTCCTGAAACATCTGCTCCAGGTCGGCATCTGTCGCAACGCTGGGGATCTTGACCTCGTACAGATCCAGCCCAAACTCACCGGCAATCGCCACGGAAAGCGAAGACTTGCCGGTTCCAGGCGGGCCGTAGAAGAGATAGCCTCTGCGGTACGGCATACTCCGGCTCTGGTAGCGCATCTGCGTCTTCGGGTCCAGGTAATTCCGGATATCGGCCAGCAGCTCCTGCTTCACGCCCATGTCAAAGTGCACGGTGTCGAGGTGGCGGAGGGGCTTGCGTGCTTTAGGTTTCCACGACATGCCGTACCGGTCACGAGAGTAGATGATGACAAAGTACTGCGTTTGCCTGTCGGCGTACTCGCGGCAGGTCTCGATGAGATCCTGGACGGGTTGCGCCGACCAACCAAAGCAGCTGATGGTCAGGTCCTCGCCTCCGATTCCATCGTAGCTAGGGTCCGATAGTGACGAATTGAAATCGCCAACGGCCCGATTGACGACGAAAAAGTTACCTCGGAACCAGAGCCACCGTGTATCCCAGTGAGGGCAGTACTGGATCGTGTGGCGCGTCTTCTTGAGAGCGGCAGCACGGTCTGAGCTGGGGCGTCCAACCTCGGTACGGCCTGTGAAGGAGCGGTAGTGCCGGGGCCGGTTGGCGAGGACCCATTTCACGACGCTCCGGTTGACCGGGTCACCTCCGGGGATCGTGACCGAAGCAAGGAAAAAGCGCCGGACACAGCTATAGGCCTCGCGCCAGGCATATTGCAGTAGTCTCCAAGCCGTGGGAAGAGTGCCGGCTATGGCAACGAGGGAACCAATCTGGGTGATATCGAGCTCGGACCACCGGGTGAAGACATCCTTCACCACGCTCGCTCCGTGAGACCAAGGGTCGAGAAGAGCGTGGCTTGCGCCGGCGATGTGAAAGTGGTGGGACATTTGGGCAATTGACTCATTCCGAGTCTTTCCACAGGATCAAGAGGTAGGCCGTCGAGTCAACACGCACCCACACGCACCCAACGGGGTCCCAGAGTGTCGTGGGTCGGGCGATCCGGAAGGGTGAAAACCGGAAAACGCCTCCGAAAAGCGAGGCTCAGGCAGCGCCTGGCGAAGAACAAATGAAGGCAAGGAGAAGCAAAGTATCGATTAACGCATTTTGATGAAACGAATGACAAGAAAGCGAAGTAACAAAGGGCACAGGTACACGGACTGGTTCGGGAAGGGCGTCAGCGGCGAGGCCAAACTTGCGGTTATTTCTGAGGAATTCGGAAAGCTTTTTTGCGACCTGCGCCACACACACCAGCCATGCACCAGCCACATCTAAGAAAGCGATTACCTAGGCCCCCAGGGATGACTTCGGGCCGTCAGCTCACCGAAGTACCCACTTCCCAGTTAGAGTCCTAAACGCCGAACATTTGGGGAGTCGGTCCTCGTCCTTACAAAATACCTCGCTCTAGCAAGTCTTCTCCTACCCACGCATTACATGCGAATCTTGACAGTTATATCAAATCTATGCAAGTACTAGGAGATCTAACTTGGGCCTAGATGACCGCCCTCAAGTTGTTGTTCAATCGCCATCTGGCCACAGCAAGGATGGCAGCTCCAGCGACAAGAGTCGCTCCAGTCCACATTGACAAGGCCAGATACCCCGCGTGCTCAAGTATCTGGCCGCTGATGGGAGGTCCAACGAGAGCGCTGATCATCGCAGTCAGCATGTTGATTGTGCACATATCGATGAGGATAGTAACAAGGGAGAGGAGGGCACAACTCACGTCACGGCGATAGAGCTCATCATGAACCCGACAGCTAACCCTTGGTGACGCTGATGCGCAATCTTTCCTACGCATGCACCCTGCAAGCTCATGATGGCCTGAAAATGTGTTAGTCACTTTCACGGAAGAGCCTCATGCGAGATTACTTGCCCCAGATGCAAATCCGTATGCCAAACTCCATACCGCCAAACCAGCAACAGAAGTGGCCGCCGTCCAGCAGAAACCCACAATACCAGCCGCGAGTGTCGCCAGCGCACAAAGATTGAAATGACCATATCGATCTGCGAGGAAACCAGGAATCACTCGTCCAAAGAAGGAAGCGCCGTTCAGTCCGGACAAAAGGTAAAAGGCCGTTGACGTGGACAGGCCGTGTTGAACGCCGAAGCCCGTGACCAAAAAGATGGGCGTGAAGAGACCAAAGTAGCCAACGGCCAGTCCTCCACATAGGAGGATGAAGGTCCTATTCTGCAGGATGGAATAGTCCGTCTTCTTCTCGGACTGCGTCTCGTCACTCGAGGAATTTGTGCCCTTCTCGTTCCCGTCCGATGCTGCCTCAGATGCAGTGGGAGATGCTTCGGGGGCGGGTGCATCGCGTACAGTGATGCAGGTAATGGCCAGGAGAGGAATCATGGCGAAAGCGACGGCGCGCATAGTCCAACCGAAACTGAGCTGGCGCTTGTTGAGCAGTTGCTCGAGCATGATTGGCCATATGATGCCACCGATGGAGGACCCGCCGATGCTAAGGCCCAGAGCGAGGCCGCGGCGATGAGGCATGCGGCGTGAGACGACAGCCACGGGGGGGCAGAATATCAGCGACATGCTCACTCCGAGGAGGATTCCCTGAGCCAGGAATGCCTGGTAGTACTGCTTGCAAATCGAGGTCATGAACAGAGCAAGGACTTGGCCGACGCTACCGGCGCACAACAGAACCTGCAAAGTAAAAGATAAGCTTCAGCGGTCGACAGGCTCAAAAGGAGCATGAACATACCGTAGGGCCCAATCTGTCGGTCAGAATGCCTGATATTGGTGCTCCCACATATATGATGAAGATGGAGACGGAAGCAATCCATGAAATGTCGGACTCTGATTTCCCCAGGTACGACTGATAGTACTCCTGGAAGACGCCAAAGGCATTGAGGAAGCCCACCGTGCAGAATAGCGATAGTGATGCGCCGAGAACAGCGAGCCACGACCGAACGCTAGAATTCCCTAGTGAGTCTTTCAATTCTGAAAAAAATGCAGCAAGTCTCTTCTTACCTGTCATAGCCGGGAGGGGGTTGAGGTGCTTCCAACATGGCGTCGTTTCGGGCTTTTTCTATGAATTAGGGTACTCAAAACAATACTCGGTATCACAACAAGCAAGAGAAGGAAAAGCCAATATCTAATAAAAGCTGAATGATGGAGAGCCATCATGGTAGATTCTGATTGCATTTAATATGTGTTACTAGCCACGCTTTGTTGTCATGTAAGCGCAATAGCGTGACGGGAATGAGGTAAGCACCGCGGATTATCCGTGGAGGAACCCGTCAGCATCCGTGGAAGGTCCGCGGCCGAAGCCACAACTTGGACGGTGCATCATCAACACCAGCAAATTCCATCCGCCGACCACAACAAGGACTTTGCGTATCACTCGAATCAAAATGAAGCGCGCGGTCGAGTCCGATACCGAAAATGCAGCGCAGAAACGTCGTCGGCAACCCCAAGTCTCGTGCGACTCGTGCCGCAAGAAAAAGCTCAAGTGCGACCGCGGAGACCCGTGCTCGAGCTGTGTGATGCGCGGTTTGCTATGCGCAGGACAGCCGGGGTCACAAAAACCCCCTGCGGAACCAAGGTAACATGCATATTGCGTCGTCATGATTGGCCTGGCTGACCATACGTAGCCGTATCCCAGCGTTGAGCGAGAACGGTGGCGAGTCCATTCTTAGGCGGCTCCGGACGTTGGAGCAAGCTGTGTTCGGAGCGGCGTCGTCCACCGACGCCGGATCTTCCGCGGACCAGCTGGGGGATGTCTTGGAACCTGCAAGGAAGAAGATGCCAAGACCATCCCGAATGCCGCGCAGTCCCAGTCTCTTGTCACGCCGTCCTCAGCATCGTGGGATCGTGGACAATGAACGGCAGCAAACAGCAAAGTTCCTCGATTCGACATTCACGAGAAATGGTCTCAACGTGAGCAACGTCCCGGCAGTTTTCTTGGTTTTCAATAACATACTGACGCAGTGACACTTAGGTCACTCTTCCGGTCAACAAGGTGGATTACCACGTCGCCAATGTCTCCCAATTCCCAAAGACACCATCAAGCATCACCCCAGGCCTCACACCAACTGATGACTCGGAAGCAAGACTGTCAACCTGGCTGATGCCTCGAGAAGAGGCGTTGTTGCTACTTCAAGACTTCCTCGACAACCCCTTTCATCTCCTTCCCATCCTTCATCCATTTACGACGAAATCGATGGTTGTTAACTTCTACTCCGTCCTTTCTCGCGGGGGTGACCCCAACCCAGCACACGCTGCACTGATTCTAGGCATCGCAGCTACGAGCGCTTTCTTTTTCACCGGGGGGTCTCAAGCCAATGGAACTTTTGAGTCTTCTGAAGAAGCAACACATACCGCCCTAGCCTGGTTCAAATCCTCTTTCAATATCCTGCAAAAGTCACAACAAACTACATGCGGCTGTCTCGAAGAGGTGCAAGCACGGTCGGTGCTCGCTTACTTGGTCTACAATATGGAAGGCTGCTCTGCTCGATTCAGGTTTCTTCATGGGTGTTCGTTGTCAGCCGCTCGGGAAATGAGCCTGCATCTGATCGATAGCCCCGGCTCGGAGCAGCAGGATGAAGAGTCTCTGAGGGAGATTAAAAGAAGAATTTGGTGGCACATTACTGCTACAGATTGGTACACTACTCTGATCCTCCTTCTGATCATCATCATAGCTTACCGTGCACTAGGATGCTGGGTCTCATGGGCGGACCTACGGATGGGACGTACCATATACAACCACGACAGATGAACGTGAAGCAGCCTCGAAATATCAACGACGATGAAGCAAGCCTCTCAAATGAGACCTTCACCCTGCCCCCGGACACGGCAACTGGGATGACCTGTTTTATCAGGCGTATTCAGCTCGCCGAGATTGCTCGTTCAGTCATTGACGCCAGAGCTCCCGGGATGCCAGATGCCGAGATCACAGATTACGAACAAGTCCTCGAGCTGGACCGCCTCTTTGAAGATGCGCTTGCCGACTTCCCTCCATTCCTCCGGCCCGACGGTCCCATCCCGGAAGACGCACCGCCCTATCTATCACTGCAGAGAGATGTTGTTCTTCTCGGTTTCCTCTCGAGGCGCGCGCGATTACACCGGCCATTCCTCCTCCACGACAAACAGGATGCTCAATACCAGCCATCGCGAGAGATATGTTTAAGCTCGGCCCGAACAGTCCTCGCAATTGCCACAAGTCTGCTAAAGGCATCTCAGGTTAGAGAACCCGTAGAATCTTTGAGCACCCGAGCAATTGGTTGCCGCCTGGGCTGTGTCATTGGCCACATGTTTATGGCGTGTACTATCTTGGCCCTCAACTCTGGGTTTGATCCGAGTCGTGAAGGCTTCACAGATGGCAAAGAACCATGGCCAGTATCTGATGCAACAGCAGAGACACAGGCCGAGGTTACCGAGGCATGCCGCGCTCTAGCATCTGCCGGAGAAGAATCTATGATTGCTGCGAAACTGGTTCGAAACCTCGCTGCCGTGTTGCGTCACTATCGCGTCCAGGGAGTGGATGACGTTGTTCCGTCCGAGTTGGAAGACGATAGAAGCTCACCTTCAGCAGATGCCTGGCGTGGCGATTCTACCGTGGTTGCAGCAGCTGGGGTAAAGCCCGGTCCTGATGAGGGCCTAGACGCAGGGTATTCTGGAATGGCTGGAGAGGATGCCCTCGGACTGGACAGTCTGTGGAACGACATCCTTGGGGACACGACCTCGTTTGGATGGGATCAGCTGTTGGCCGGACTTGATACCTATTGCGGTCCGACTTGAGCGTCGGATTTCCAATCACCAAAAATACCGTGCCATGGCTGGCTTCTAAGCAGGTATCAAGTTTATTTATTCTATTCATTTCTACCAAATTTCATTACTGCGAAGTAAAACCCAACGACTCCCAACGTTGCAGCACCTTCTCCTGGATTTCGACCGGGTACGACTCTTTGAAGCTCGCAGCCTCCCAATCACGTCCAGTGGTATACTCGCTCGGCATCAGACAATCGGAAACAACCTTTCCACCTGTGCGAATATCACCATTGCCATGCGACATGTACGGAATCAACGGGAAGCCACGGACCTCCTCAAAGTGGTGCTCATCCAAGCCAGGGCGGCAGCGCGTGGAGAAGGCCCAGATGACGTCCTTAAAGTCGTACACGTCGATGTCCTCGCCGACAATGACGAGGCGGTGGATAGTGTAGCCGACCTTGTCGTTGAAGACGATGTCGCCGATGGAGCGGCAAAAGTCCTTGGCGTTGGTCTTCATCGCGCGGAGCTTCTCGGTGTCGACTTGGAGTGCAACCCAGGTGACTTGCGACTCAAAGGGGGAGAAGGCCTCCTTGATAGGCAGACCCTTGGACTTGAGGAGGAACCCGATCTCGGCGGCGGCCAGCGGTCCGATCATGGTGTGCTTTTATTGGTTTAGCTTCTTATCGTCTTCACTGGGCCATGGCGCGGTTGGGAGTAACTTACCGTCTCGTCAGTCAGCCGACCGCAGTTGGAAACGGGAAGAATGGCGTCCTTGCGGTGGGTGATGAGGTCGACTCTGTATTTCGGCTGCGGGTGCGCATCGCCAGGGAACACATATCTGCCAATATCGTCAGTCTCTCTCCTGCAGCATACGAGGAATTCGCCAAGTCCACATACCCATGCATTTCTCCAAACGGGCCCTCAGGTGCTGTCTCCGTAGCGGAGCAAACTCCCTCAAAGACAATCTCCGAGTTGGCAGGAACATACAGCCCGTTTGTATCACACTTGACAACCTCCAACGGTGCCCCGACCAAGGACCCGATATACTCCGCCTCGGACAGTCCGCCCGGAAGCGGCATGCTCGCAGCCATGATGGCGGCCGGCGGTACGCCAAACACCAGCGCCCACGGCATATCCTTGCCCTCCTTCTTCCACATCTGGTGCATCTGCCAGATGTGCTGCGGCTCAATGACGAGTCCCGCGAGGTGGTTTCTGTCGTATACCATGGCGCGGGCAATAGACCAGTTTGTCCACTTGCCATCGGGGGACTGAACAACGTGCATGCCGTACGTCTGGATGTACTTTCCGCCGTCGGACTGGTGCAGCATCGGCGCGGGAAGCTTCGTGAGGTCGAATTGCTCCGGGGTCAGACGGATCTCCTTGCAGGACCCGGACTCGACGACGACGGGCGGGATCGGGGGCGCGCTCTTGGCGGCGACCATCTTGTCGAGAATCTCCTTCATGGTCGACGTGGGCGGGAGAGCGAGGTGCCTCGCCAGTCGGCCGAAGCGCTGGGCCGGGTCAGATCTTAGGGAGTTTGGCGCGCCGAGGATGCGCCAGAAGCCATCGGCGTCCTGGCCCTTGAGCTTGTTGAAGAGGGGGGCTCGCTCGTCAGTCTCGGCGACTTTGCGGATGATGGCGCCGACTTCGAGGTTGGGATCGCATTCTTCGTTGATTTCGACGAGGTCGCCATCGGATTTGAGGGCCTCGACGAAGGAGCGGAAGTTCAAGTGTGGGAGGTCTTGGGGGTTGGATGGTGACATTTCGGTCTGAATGTTGGGTTTTGATTAACAGGAATGTGCAAAAGTGTATGAGGCTCAAGAATGATGATGAGTTGCTTTAAAGTCGATGTTGAGATGCAACTACAAAAAGGTTTATCTGGATGGCTACGTCGTAATTAATATATCCCTTCTCGATCGAGATCAGTTCCCAGCACGATGCACGATCAGTGGTGGCAATGACACAGAATCCCCGAAGTCACCGAGACCCGACATGCTCCGGACTGTCCGGACCCGCAAGTGGATCCTTTCGCCGATGTTGTAGGCCGGGTGGGGTAGTTATTATGGAGACGACGGTGGATCTTGGCGTTCGGAAAATTCGCCCTCGCAACATCTGCCACCCCGAACTCTCCGAGTTCGCCAGAGAGAGATCTGCATCAAGATCCGATAAATATCCACGTCAATATCGCATGGGACTTGAAGTCATTTGAAAAACGATAACAACATTCCATCACTGCAAAAAGCACTTTGTTCACATCTCAACCAAAGCCCAATACCTAGAATCTCCCGCCTACACCAACCTCACCAATTGACCACCATCCACAAGTTTACAAGTTCCACATTCGTGAATACTCTCCAAACCCCCCAACAATCAACATAAAAACAGCACCAACATGAAAGACACCACACCCCGCAAGAAGATCATTGTCGCCCTGACAGGCGCGACAGGCGCCCAAATCGGCATCCACATCCTCCAGACCCTCCGCCGCCTCAACGTGGAAACGCACCTCATCATCAGCAAATGGGCCGCCGAGACAATCAAGTGGGAAACAGACTACACGCCCGCCGCGGTAAAAGCCCTCGCCGACCACGCCTACAACTCACACGACCTGGCCGCGCCCATCGCGAGCGGCTCGTACCGCGTGGACGGCATGATTGTCGTCCCGTGCTCCGTCAAGACGCTCGCGGCGATCAACGCGGGCATCTGCGACGATTTGGTGACGCGGGCGGCGGACGTCTGTTTAAAGGAGCGCAAGAGGCTGGTCTTGTCTGTCAGGGAGACGCCGTTTAGCGAGATTCATTTGCGGAACATGATGGAGGTGACGCGGGCTGGGGCGATTATCGCGCCGCCTGTGGTAGGGTTTTATACTAGGCCGTCATCGATTGATGATGTGCTCGATCAGATGGTGGGACGGTTGCTCGACCTGTTTGATTTGGATGCGAGGAATTTCGAACGTTGGGATGGGATGCAGCAGAGTACCACAAGTAGGAAATAATTTCAAGTTGCATGTCACATTGGCAGTACATCACTACATCTTTGACCAACAATGGCACGAAAATGAAGCCTTGAAACTATTAAAAGTCTGACAAAAAAAGGCGTGCGGGTATTTATTTCTGTTGGTATCAATGCCGAGCCTCACTATTACACTAGGTTGGGCAAAAAGGGGTCGCTTGCGCCAAAGTATTGATCCGACATGATGTAGTCGAACGCTCCAAGAGGAGACATGTTGAAGTCAATGGGAAATTCCCAGTTGGCACCACCCATATCCCAATCGCTGTCCTGTCAGTATCTATCGTAAAACTTTGTGAATAAGCTTTCTCATTGACTTACTTGTTTTCCTCTGCTGCCTCCATCGTGTTCTCTTGAGTTGTCGCCGGCCTGTCACCGAGAGCCGGCGGATGACCAGGACCGACAATGTCCTGGATATTGCTCTCCACCCTCGAGTCACGGGCGTTGACATCGCGCTCCGTCAACGCCCTAAGAGTCCTCAGTGCCTTCAAGGCCTTTTGTAGCGTGCCCGATAGCTGGCCGTTGGAGTCAGACTCCGTGGCCAAGGCGGAGTCACCTTCGTCCTCGGAAAGGCTCTTGATGAGCTCGTCCTGGAGGGTTCTTGTCTCGGGGAGATACCTCGTCTCTCGCATCAAACTCAAAAGAAGCACAGACGTTAATCCATTGTGGATGAATGCCCAAGACCGCCTTGCGTGTCCTGCGATTGACCTCAGCCGCACGTAAGCACGGACACTTCGCCGGAGAGAGTCTCGAAAGTGCTCGAGGACACGGGACCTGTCGCTGTCATTCAGCGCTGTTGATCCACTGCTCGAAACATAGGGTCGGCAAAGCGTGGCAATGACAAAATGGCGGTGGAGTTCGAAAGCGTAGTGTTCCTGAATTTGCGGAATGGTTGTGCTTCGTTTGGGGTCGATCAGGTGGGGTGCAAGAGAGGCTTCGATGGCTTCGATGTCGTCGAGTGTCGAAACTGGCTGCCCTGACGCTTGGGAACGGAACGAAAGATGGCGTAGTGTCACGTGACAGAGCCAGCTCATGGCTTGGAGGTAGGAGAGGCCTTGACCTTCGACGGAGTCTGTGAGCCGTGGAAGATCTTCTTCAAAGTCCAGATCGTATGACGCCGGTGGACGACCGAAAGCAAGCGCGAGCAGAGAGTCTTGCCAAACGATTGCCAATCTGGTTCACAGTTAGCAGGTACCATTGGTAAGATAAGTACTCTGTGAAATACCTCAGGTATTTCGTCTCTTCATCTGGTAGTGGAGAGGTGGGTGAACGGTTTGACTTCCGATGAAGTCCGAGGCATTGCGCAAGTCGGATGGTTGTGCCCCCGAGAACAAAGGCGGCCTGGGGTTTCATATCATTCTGAAGCACATTCCCCAGTAATAGAAGCGTCTGAACGGCCTCCTGAGATGGATTGACGAGATAATCTGTTGATCGGAGTAGATGAAATGCCTGCTTCACTGTGGAGGATCAACATTGTGTCAATGTGCATGGGATGATGAGATGATGGGAGGATGGGTTGAGGAGGTTGGGATGAGGATGATGGGATGTTTTGGGACATACTGTGGCGTTGTGATACTGTAATGCGGTCTTGCAAGTTCATATCGGAGAACTGAGCTCCGGCTGCCAAGACGGCGTGGAGCAGAGACAGCCACCTGGGATCCTCAAGAGACTCGGAACCATTACCAAAATCTGGGTCGCTTCGTGCACTGACCAGCCGGCAGATTCTTTTCTCGATAACATCTAGATTGCAAGTGATGACGTGAAAAGGGTGCACGCGGCGACGAAATATTTCAAAAAGTCTGACAATTTCTTGGTCACTTGGCAGAGATTGATACGAGGATATGGACGTCGCTATGTCTTCGCTCACACCTAGTAGAGGTAGGATACCTGTCTCGAAGGCTGACTGTCGAGCTGGATCATCCCTGGACCGAACAGAGCGCCTTCGAACCATGTCCACTACCGAAGTATTCGCCAGAAATAGTGCATCGCCACCTTGGCGCGTCGTGGACGCATTCCCCGACGATGCTAACGCGTCAGGATTCGGTACTCTGAGAGCTGTGGGGTTAGGAGAAGGGGCCCCCGTCGGTCCATCAAGGTAGTCGAAATTGGCCGCGTCTAGTTGTGGCTCGCTTTCTTGAGTCCTATCTGGGGTTCGACTGGCCACAGGTGTTCCTCGCGCGGATCGTGCTGGCGACCTCGGTATGCCAGACGATTGACGTGTGTGAATTTCATACTCGCATAGATCTGGATGCCCACGCTTGTCGCACGTTGAGCACGGTAATGCCTTGTCGCATTTCACCTTTCGCTCTCGACACGGCAGACACGACTTGGGGTTTCCGCGCACGCCGTTGCGATTTTGTTGACGTGATTTGAGAAGGTCTCTGAATGCTGAGCGGTCGCCGTTCGGAGTGTTCGGAGAATGACGCATTGACGACTCCATCGTGACTCGTGAGATGGAGCGCGAGAAGACGGAGTTGAGAGTGGACCGTAAAAGAGTTGGCGCTGGGACTCTGAGAGTCCTTTGAGGAGTTCGACAGCCCAGCTCAGATGCTCCGAGTCTCGAGAGCGATGGTACTTAGAGAGAGAGAGAGAGAGCCTCGAGAGCAATGGCCCCTGGAAAGACGATTTACATCGTGACTCGTGAGGTCCAAGTTCAGATGGTCCCGTCCCTGTCGCGCGCCGGGCTCGGGCTTCGGAGAAACCTTGTCTCGGAGGAAATCCGGGCCCACTTTGATCGGTAGCGGGGCGATGTCTCGGCTGCAGCTGGGTTGTGATTGGATCGGATTTGTAATCGGTGGGGCACACCGGCGCGGGGCACTAGCGTGCACGAGCCCGGAGAAAGCTCTTCCAGGGCACTTGATTTCAGCACAATCGTCATAGTTCCCGAAGAGGGAACGGGCAATCCTCAAAGAACAAGTTTCTGCCCGGTCCCATAATTACTTACCATTTCAATCATCAGTCCTAACCGCCCGGCCTCAGTCCCATTCAGGCAACACGGCCTTATCTGATCTCAATGCAATCCCCAGAGGAATCCCTCGGGCCAAGGTAGAGCCAATGGGGCCAACTTCGGACATGAAGCTGAGATGAACCGATTGCAGATGATTGCAGATGATTGCAGATGATTACAGATGATTGCATGCTTACAACATGACAGGGGGGGCTTCTCACAGGACTGCTGCTGCCTGATCAGACACGCCTCCGCATAAAATCAGCACGACACTTTGTCACTTGTTGCCAAATCTCACCACCTCAAACACCCAAGGACCGACATCAAAATGCCAGATACCTCTGACACCTCTGCTACCCATCCTCTGGCGTCACTTTTGACCCCAGACTTCTTGACGTCTATTGCTCGGTCCCACCTGCCGCCCGATAAAAGCAAGCACCATAACCTGAGTCTGGAATGGATCCAGGCAGGGCCCAACTTCGACTCAGAGGAGACCAAGGCTGCTTGGTGGACCGCACTGGTCACCATCAGCAGAATCCCCCTTTCCGAGATGCCTGACATGATGTCTTTTCTTCCACCTCCCGCAGACCCAGCGTTCCCAGAACAAAGCCTCGGACTGACTCTCCTCCTCGACCAAGGACCAAGACTGCTGTGCCGCGGGGCCGACGGTCGCTGGACGGACGGCTTCTTTGGGCAGGTCTCTCAGCAGCTCGCTCACTCGTGGCTCGCCTTGCCAGCCGAACAACAGCCAAATGCCTGGAAGCGCTGGGAAGAGGCCGGAGCCAGCTTCGAGCACTGGTGCCTGCTCCATTTGTTCCTTTCGTGCCCGTTTGTGCACAGCGAAAGACTCGAAGATCAGGATATTGCGCTCGAAATGACAGAGGAGCGACGAAAAGGTGCCGAGCAGAGAAGCGGGGAGACGGACCCGTATCGCGAAAAGCGATCCGAGGTTCTTTCCGATGCCTTGGCCTTTCCAAGGGTCATCCGAGCTGGGCCACCGGCTGGAGAAGACGTGACGATGCAGGAATGGGTCTTTTGGTCTTGCATGTTATTCGACGTTCACTGGCCCATTATCAAAAAATTCGGGAAATACCCGTACAGAAATGCCGTCTTGGGACGGGAAAGTACCGAGGAGGAGGTGAAGTGGCTGGAGGAGACGAAACATTTCGCCGAGGCAAGCCCTGAGGTTGCTGAAAGGGTCGAAAAAGATATCAAAGCGAACCGATGGACTGCTCTGAAAGACGAGGTTCCAGCTTAACTCCAACATAGAAGAAACAACGGAAACGGATGTTTCATGTGACTCTGCCAGAAGACAAAAGACAGCTATTGACCAGGGCCGAAGGGAACACGGTGGTTTTGCCTAGTGAAACTGAGCGCCTCTTCCTTATCACGAGACACATTGCCTGGATAGTTGCTCCAGAACTAGTGGTATTTGCCTTCATCATAAAAAGCATGTTTTGCCTTCTCTAGCCCGAGAGGAGGTTCCAGCCTCATAACTGTACACCCACAGAACACCCACAGAACTGTTTCTCCTCGCTAACGAACCCCTCGCAAACCACTACCACCACCACAACCATCACTACTCCATCCACCAGCGGACTGCCATTTGCTTGCGCTCTAGGTGCATCCTCTTCACACATGAAAAAGTTTTCGGACGCGACCATTACTTGCGGCGGCCAGAGGTTCCTCCCGGTCAGCAACCTTGGGGTTTTGGACAATTACCTCAGAACTTTAGAAGCACTTTGGCACAGTGGTAGTTTGCCGTCTTTCATCCAAGTCCAGTCACTTAAGCCTTTGTCCTCAACCATCTCAGGTTGAGATAATTGATGCGGCCAAGTCATCGCATGCGAATCTAGCTTGGGGGAGGGAGACTTCATGGCGAGGCAGGTAATGGACCTATCAGCTTGGACATCATTCTTTCAGGGTAGAGTGGTCAGACCTAAAAGTACTCAATTTCTCAATTCAAACTCATTATCTCAACATTCCCATCAACAAGAGGTACATCGGGACAGAGCTTGACTTCAAATGCCGTCTGGGTTTCATCATGATGTCCTTCATCTGCACTTCGTTCAGAATCAAGTCCTCAAATCTGACAAAATCTATTACCCGTGGTACTGTTGTAATACTTCACGACCAGAACTGCCATTTTTCCGCCAAACTCAAAGGTTCGCATAATTCTAGCAATGCGGCGACTAAGGAAAGTGTGTACCTTTACTTAGACTTTACCATATTGCCATGAGCTAGCCAATCCTGGACACATCAAACCAAAAATTGTACTTCCCTTGCGCTAAATGCAAGGAATCTACTTAGTGTTTGTCGCCCCCAATGCAAAAAGTTCGTCAAGTTCTTGCACCGCTACAATCAAATATCACCTAGTATTCGTCCGATAAACCACCGAGAGATAGCTTGTATACAGAGCTTCCAAGTAATTCATTAGATGGGACTTTCGTAGCCGCGGGATCCCATTCTCTCTGGAATTCATTCCAAATATCATTTAGTTTTCATGATGATATTTGCTGCTTCGGAAATGTATCGTCCAAACCGCATCCAAACAAAGGCTTAGCATTCTATGGCCACGCCTCGTGGGCTGCAAGGGCTCAAATGCGTTGAAGAGGGATTTGACGCCACATAGAGCCGTACTTCTGATCTCATGCTTTATAGAGAGCCCTGCATCTGCATCCGTCAAAGTTGAAGAAGGATGCGATTATTTCCGCCCTTTCACATCAACTGATTATGTATTTTCATACATTGAAAGGAATTGGACTTCATATTACCCAGCTGCCGTATATTGCAGTCATTATGGCTTGCTAACGGTGATTGATTTCTACAGGAAGTTGAAATATGTCGTCGGTCATTTTATCAAATTGTTTCCCTACTGGTCGTTCCTGGCACCATAAGGTGCCGACGATAATGCGACCCGCTCCTCGTTATCGTCATCTAGTCTGTCATACCCTCCGCTGTATCCCATTGAGCGCTCATTTTGCCCGTAGCCGGGATGAGTTCCTTGGCCGTATAGAGTTTCTTGGTCTTGGTTGGCGGTCGCCCCAGCCTTGGTCTTTTTGTTCTTCCTTGATACCATCTTCTTGATCTTTTTCATGCACTTCTTGATAGCTTTCTTGATGTACTTGGTCGGATCGAGCCCAGTCTTGTTACCGTTGCCGGAATTGTCGCCTTTTTTGCTACCGTCGGTTCCATTGCGTCTTCGCCTGCAGCAGCAGCAACAGCATATACCTACAGAGAGTAGGACAAGAACGCAAACGATAATGACGGCGATGATTCCACCGGAGATGATTCGGACGCCGCCATTTTTGTTGTCGTGGTCTGAGGAGCCGTTGCGCGGTATCAGGAAGCGGGCCGGGCTGGCGTAGGCTGCGCGAGTCAAGCGTTGAATGGCAGGCATTGTGAAGTGATTTGATGATTGTGATGCTTGTGGGCCGCCGAAGGTAGAACAAGTGCCTTGGGATGGACAATTCGCCTGATCTGACGCTGAGCCGTGCGGGTTTTAATGCAGAGTACGGATGACGAGCGTGGATTATTGGTAAGATGACAAAACGCTTCTCAAATTTCTGGATGCTGTTATACTTTTATCTCTTGGCCATATTCTGCTCAGTTGTGCTGTGCCCAAAGTAAACATCTCTCACCATCGGCATCCTACCACTTTGTGGCTTGGAAGGCCTGTCACTCCACCATGAATCCTTCAATTAATCAATCTCCCTAGAATTGTTAGTGCGGTCATGCCCTGCCCCGTTGTCGGCCGTGCCGGTGGTTGGCTAGTCCCGGGCAAGCTGACTCGTGCGAGCAATTTAAGGCCCTGTGCCACAAGGCTGTACCACCAACATGTCGGGGATGCCGCGAAGAAAATGCAAACCCTGCTGTAAAGAAAGGCAACGTCTTGTTCCTCTATGGATCTACTGAGTCAAGCATCCGACTTTCGCGTGTGATCTGCACTTTATCAAGATTGACTTCTGCGCCATCAAGGTCGACTCGGGCCAACGAGACAGCGCAAAAGACGGTCTATGTGAACAGATCTTGATACAACCTTCTGCGGTTCGCTACCGTCCGATATGAAATAAGCATATTCTTTTTGAATGTCGATCAATCAAAATGAAGCTTCATTTATCAAACAACCTCGACTTTTGCCCATGGTTATGTGATGCCTTTTCCCGCCCCCGAGCATTGCCAGTCGGCAAGTGAAGTACGTTCAAATATCGACGATATCGGTCCTCGGATTCGTTCTCCATATCCGTATTGTTTGAAAGATTGATGCGCGCCTTCGGGCTCGAGAGAAACTCCGCTAGAAGTGATGTACAATTTCTATGTTGATAAGAGGATGGTTTCAACGGGGATTTGGCATTCAAACAGGCCGGAGTGCAAGAAAAAGTCGGAAAACCGTTGATTACTCACGATAACCATAAGCTGTGCTCATTGAAAACTCCTCGGTTCCTATTGCACAGCTCACCAAATTAGCAAGTGGGCCTGGCCTTCTGATCTACTGATCAGTCACCCCAACAGAGTCTTCTCAAGCTCCCAGTCGTTGTGGTAATTGAGGAAAATGAGCAAATTAGCTACTCAAACTCTGTTTAAATAATTGAACATTCCAAACGAGCTTGTCCCTAATAATGATACTTACCCCAGGTATTGAGCAGCGTTTGCTGATCCTCCGTGGAAATACTGTCTGTACGCTGGAAAGTGTGTGGTGGACCTAGAGTGCTCACCCTGTGGAAAGCCTACAGAATCAGCTCTTGCATGACTTCGATACAGAGCCTTAAACAACATTGCACAACATTGCATTAGATTTTGGGATGAACGTTAGCAACATGGAGCAGGACAGACGTCTGCGCCAAGCCTCGTCCCCTCGTTAAAGTTTGTCTAAAAATAGAACACAGATCGTGTATTTTTCATTGCCAAGGCTCATTCATACTTTTAATAGTAGCACATCCCAACAAGTATGAGCTGAGTGCTGGATGAGATGATTGTATTTGAAGTGAATAAATTTGTCAATATGATTGCATTACCCCCAACCATTTCATCACCCATTAACTGTTAACGAAGGTGGCAGTATTACAAGTGTACTGGAAACAGGAGAAGAAGAAGACGAAGAAGAAAAAAGAACCATTGAATGACTCATAGAAAAAGTTCAGCGTGTACAGTAGAAGACCTCAACCTAATTTGCCGGTGTTATTTATTGGTCCCTGATATCCTCGCAAATCTAACACTTCGGGCTCAGGCTCAGTCTCTCGCTGCCTACGACGAATACGTCGACGCCTCCGCCAGACGATATATCCGGCTAGTAGAAACACCATTATTGTGACTAAGGAAAATGCCGTGTCAATAAGGAATATCGTTGCGGGCAACAGTCTCTTTCAGAAATTTGACTAACCTATTCCTGATACAAACCCGAGAATGGCTATGCCAACTTCGGTAAAAGAGGGCATACCCTGGGTCATATTGATGTTGATGGCGGGTGGTTGGTAAGGTTTTACTCCATCCCCGCTGCGTAAGGCCGCGTTCTGGTCGGCCGCTGGGATCTGCGTTGCAATCACCGTGACAGTCGGGGGTGCTACGGTAACGAAGACAGTGCTTGTTGGGTATCTTGATGACGGGGGCGGGGGAGGTCCAGGTGGCGGGGGAGGAGGAGGAGGAGACGGAGGCGGCGGCGGTGGAGGCCCTGGGGAGGGAGGTATTGGCGGAGGAGGCGGCCCCTCGGGGGGAGGAGGCGGTGGTGGCGATGGCGGCGGAGGTCCTTCTGGTGGAGGAAGCTGAGGAGGTGAAGGTGGAAGAGGCCCCTCTGGCGGCGGCGGAGGTGGGGGTGAACGAGGCGGTCCTTGAGGAGGGGCCGGAGGTACTTGTCGTCCTTGATATTGATGACCAAGGTCGAGGTTCAATCTCGGCGGTGGAGATTTCCTTCGAATCAACGAAAAAATAGCCATGTTGTCCGCTGAGACTGAAAACTTTACAAGGCTTCGTTCCTAGATACTTGTCAGCAATGCACTGATCTACCATGGAATTGCTCAGGGATTACATACTGTAATGAGTGTAGCTCGCTCGCTCACTCAATCATATCGTTCCGCTATCGCATATATAAGTATCTTGATGTCTGAAGCAGGAGGCGCAATTTCTCTGACAGTGAAGAAGAGATTGAGGACAGCTTTCACTGTCAAGGCTGTTGACAGGTAATGAGGATGAAAACCTGAACTAGACAGGGACGCCCATCATAAATATTCTCCATCGATTTTCGTTTTGTATTACTAGCCTATTCCTGGCATTCCACTTGAGAACCCTTTGATCAGAGAATCCTCCAAGTCGCGCTGTCGATGCATCTCTCGGCACAAGGGGGCACCATCTGAACTTCGGCAAGTTGAACTCTCCAGATGTTTTGGTTTCAAGCTTTTTGCCCACAAACCACTTGCGTCCAATTGACAGGAATGAAACAGAGTTGAAGTCTGCATCTGATGATCGCGACGCCTCGCTAAAAATAGCACGACTCACAGACTGAGTGCACCTAGCGTTGACGTTGAGAGGCTGCATGATCTAGTTACTGAAAATGTCTCTCTGGTGGAACAACCCCGCAGTTTACGATGGTGTTCAAACAAAAGATGCAGCTTCTGTTGCTCGTCCTACTCATCCTTACTGCCTCAACCACTGCGACTTTCGGCCCATTTCAATTTAATATATTTAGATCAAAAGCTTATCGCTCTGGGCACGGTTCGCACTCAATTGGAGACCTGTTGAAAAGGTACCTCTTGAGCTCGCAACTACTTAGCCATTACATCTTAAGAGGCAGAAGTCTCTTTATTTATGTCGTTCGTAAAAGGTGTTAAGCTCCCCGGAGAGTATCGCTTGCTATCCGAAGCTACATGTCGTCCGACGTAGAATCTCTCACTATGGGCTTGAATTACTTGATTGAGACACGTTGTCACGTCTCGATTCAGTTTTTGAAACACTGTTCGGTCTGAATGAAGGTTCATCTCTACTTACTCAATGTTTGATAGGCATTTAGAAAGATAAAGGGTGTGTCTACGAGTCACGAACCTAGGGTTAGAGGTTTTGCTCTCCGATGCCCTCTCGTTGGCTGATATTTGAAAACGTTTTTGCACTATGATGTCCAGCGTGACATCGGCTGTTGATCCAACATCGGGATGAAGTCCTCCGCAATCTAGTGATCCATCCACGCATTGACTGGCCCTCTATAAAGGAATTCCTACGTACGTACCTTGATCAACCAAAAAATCGACAATCAGGAGGGGCAGAGGGCTTTTCCTCAGAGTTATAATTAAACATTATCTGTAATGACAGTCAATTAAAGATTCACTAGCGAGTATTTAATTTTGCTACTCATAGGATAGCCATGTGATATTCTCTCGGGATCGAGGTAAAGGCGGTACAAAAGGTAGGCTCGTTTTTACAGAGCTCGACATAGGATCTTGGAGACATCTCATCGTGCAAGTATCGAAGCAATTCGAATGGCAGGCTCGAACATCGAAATGCAGAAACAGACAGTTCAGAAACGTGCATACTGGTGATGGTAATTGTTATACCAAACTCCAATATGATTAGCGTATAGCTGTGGTGAGAATTGGTGAGATGAGCCGAGTCGGAAAGGTGCTTTTTCACTCGTGTTCCCTCTTCAGGGCTAGTCCACCTCGCTCAACCGAGCTGCGACAAGGTGGACAGACCATTTGGCAACAAACGACCCGGCGGCCAATAACCCGGCGGTTAGTAACCCGGCGGAAGAATTACCGGCGAAGGACGATCCGGCGATGGGTGACGCGTCGGCAGTGTATTGGGAGGCGGTTGAATGGCAAAAGATGTTCTACCGAAGTTCTGACGGCAGGTAACGTTGCTTATTCCGGCGACTAATTTAATTGTGGACGGTGTCCCGGGACCGGCTGGGCCATTGCGGGGTTGGAGTACCGGTATTGCTACCTTAGCCCCTAGTATTCGGCACGGTCCGATTCGACTTAGCAGACACTCTAATGTGATGGGACACGATTGATCAAGTAGGATAAGTGTTCAGCACGACCAAGACTCTGTTCTTCCTTCCGATAAGGATCTGATGCTCGAGGGGAGGGGATACCTCACATTTGACGTGTGCATCATGGTTCACAGCTATCATTACTTCTGCGAAGAGTTGAACAGATGATCAGGTATCGGTACAGGTAAGTAAGATGCCATGATGTCACACTTTGCACCACGGCATGATGTCACTCAACAAACATAAGCCGCATTCAGCAAGTGTCCATCAACAAAAATGGGAGTGGTAAAAACATACTCTGCCATAACATTGTCAGTTTGTGAAGAGATTCCACCAAAGCGTCGTTGAAAACAAGGTTCGATGATGGCCTTCACCTCATCAACTCAGTCAGAGAAGCTCTTGAAGCAAGTCAATGATGGATACGGGCCAAAATTTGCCACTGCTGTTCCAAAATGCCCTATCACCTATCGCCGACCGCCTGCACTGAATGCTGAACGGGTAATCGAGTCAGCAGGGGTCGCCCATGCAAACCTCGCTTCGTCCACGGACAAGCCCAAAGGCAGCATTGAATATTCAGAGAAATATCATGAATATGTGAGGCTACAATCTCATCTTCGTTTTGCCATGTTGGAGAAGACGCTCACAGTCTTTATAGACTGTATTGCAGCAGCACGTCCTCTTCTGGGACCGCGATAACGATGGCATGATCACGCCAATCGATGTGTGGGTTGGTTTTCGCGATTTGGGCTTCAATCTCGCCGCATGCTTGCTAGCTGCAACAGTCATTCCATTCGTTTTCTCCTACGGAACAGTCATGCAATACTCATACTTGCCGGATCCATTTTTCCGACTTCACCTTGGCGGCGTACATAAGGCAAAGGTTTTCCCGAATGATTCTCTGATGCTCCTCGAGGAAAAGGCTGACCCAATTAGCATGGTTCCGACTCTGGCATATATGACAGCGAGGGTCGATTTATCCCCCAACGATTTGAAGATGTGTTTGCAAATTGTAGTGTGCGGCAAGACGACACTCTGACGCTTCGCGAGATCTTTGATTTGATGAGCAGAAACCGCTGCGCAATGGACCCATTTGGTGTAAGTGAACCGCCTAAAGTCTACTGATTTGAATTGCCTGGCGAGTTCTGTATCGCAGCTGAAACTCCATCTTGCCATAGTGGTCAGTATCAATTTTTGAGTGGATGACAACATGGACATTACTGGCAAAAGACGGCAAAATCCATAAAGAGGATCTCAGGAGAGTATTTGATGTGAGCCCCTTCAGTTATTTATCCACCCCATCTTCGATATGAGCCTGTCCTAATATTGAATACTGTAGGGCTCCCTATTCTGGGAGATTCGGGAGAAAAGGCACTCGGGGGAGGGATGGCATCAGGGTTGGGGACTCGGGGGAGATGGCTTCGTGGGCAGTCGACCCGGAGTCAATCCTCGGACGCTCACTGCTTAACTGCTCAGATTGTCCAGTCCAATAACTGGTATCCTACATGCCTATTGCTTAGATGCCAATCGTGTCGGGTTGAAATCAAAATGAAACAAGGATGTCTATGTCGTATTTCACAGCATAATCAATATCATTGTTCCAAAGGTCCATCAGCATATAGACGAATGAGTAATGTCACCTCCCCATTGAATGCTACATCCAACGAAACTACCATGACTGTGCTGCGCCCTAAGTAAGCCCGCATGGAAGTCCTCCTCCTTAGGATTTCGCCAGTGTCCTAGGTCGGGCAAATATGCCTCACACCAGACTGAACAAGACATGAGCCATGCTCACTAACCGCGACTGACTAAAATATCCATACTAGCTGACACTTCAAGCAACACTTCCTCCTACAGAAGTCTTGGAAAGCATCTCGCGCTTGTGAAGAAACCTGATTACGAACGCAATCGCAATAAGAGCCACAGACAGAGCAATCATGCTGGGGTATCCCTTGGGGTAGGCGGGGGCTTCCACTTGCTGCCAAATCACGAGTGGCAGCCAGGCCTGGAAGACGTACGCCATCTGGTTCATAGCTCCGGTTACCAACGCTCGCTCTTCATTGTCATCGCTGCATATCTCGTGAGCCCACGCAAAAGTGAGACCACTGATGCCGCCCCCAAAGCCACAGAGAATAAAGCAGGCCCACTTGAGACTATTCGGGATGTTCCAAATAGTAAGCGGGACGTAGGCGATGATTTTGACAATTCCCGAAAACACGATTGCTGGCCAACGTGCGCCTCGGAATAAACTATCGGATGTCCATGCGTAAATAAGAGTGGTGATGATGCTGACGAATTCTGTGATGGTGGGATAGATGTTGACCTCGCGTAAGGTATAGCCTTCGGATTTGAGCCAAAGTGGAAAGGCCGGCTGAGAGTTTCCACCGTTGCCATTGTTGAACACGATATAAAGAACAACAAGGGTCCAGATGTGCCAGCTGGAAAAGACCTTGACGAACTTGGCTTTGGTATAAGGTGCCCGCTGTGCACGACCCTCCAACTGCATGCGCTTCTTAGCCAAGGCGATCTCTTCGGGGGTGAAATACCACGCCTTTGTTATTTCCGGGAGGTCTGGCAAGAAAAAGAAGCCCGAAATCGCGATTGGGAGGGAAATGATGGTGTTGGTAATGAAAAGCCATTGCCAACCATGGTACCCATGCACGCCGTCCAGGTTGTATGCGCCAGCCATTAAATAGCCGGATATAGCGCTGCCCACGTTCCCCATCGCATGGAACAAACATGAGCGTTTCGCCAGTTCGTCCTTACGGTACCAAGAGCCGATGATGTATTGCATGCCAGGGTAGAAGGTGCTTTCTGCCAGGCCAATGAAGAAGCGTAAAACGTAGATATGAGTGGCAGTCTGGCATTTGGCAAGTAAAATGGTAAGAACAGACCATGTCACCTGGAAACGATTAATTAATGAAGAAGATGATTCCGCCTTCTGTCTCACCTCGCAGACTGGGATCCATATCGCCGGCCGAATGCGTGTGAGAAGCATGTTACTGTTTGCCAAGTCAGAACGGTCGAATTCTGAACAAATAGGTTGTATGATGGGTAGTTCACCTAGGAATTTCGCCTACAACATAACCAACGGTCCAGCAGACTTGCATGTAATTCAATTCATTACCATGCAAACCTAGGTCTTCTTTCATTCCTGAAACGAAGGCATTGTTGATATTGACCTACCCTGGATTAGTTCCACTTCCTCAGAAAGTCATTACTTAGCTTCTACGCATACCTGGTCCAAGTATTTGATGAAATAACCCAATGAAGCCAAGGTCATTAATACCGCGTCAAGTTTGAAAAGGAACCGGCGCTCCTCTGGAGACTTGTCAAAGGTGTCCCAAAAGTATGATTTCCACGTTCTCTTGGGTTTTTTTTGCAGGACCTCTACCACAGATAGGCCAGCACTTCCCTTGCCTCCATCAAGTACAGGGGCGGAGCTTTCATTGGTGCCTTGAGGGCTGACTTTGATCGAGCCAGTCATATTGCTGGGCCACCCAATTTTTGACGGGATGCTGAGAAAACTGACGCTCTCGACCAAGTGTCTATGAATGTCTATCGACACCTGAGGACGAGCTTGAAACCAGAAGGGACGGGAGGCATGGTTTTTCTTCTTTCAGGGTTGTGCCTCGAGATATTCATCATATTTCTAGTTGCGCATTCGCCAAGATGCCGTTTCAACAAGTAATGAAGCAAATCTCCACGCAGAAATCTGACGCAATGGAAGGCAGATAAGTCGTCAAGCATAAGTATCTTGGATGGACTTATAATCAACTCTTGGCGTGATCTGATTCTAATGTTGCTTCAGAGGCCTGGGTTCAAGTGCGACTGATTCCGATCCAGCAAATCGGCCGTCTCATAAAGCAAGGAAAAGGAACATGACTCAAAATTGCAGCACTCCCCACAGATGTGGCTGGTCCAAAGGCAAGGGTTCTAGTTCCAAGGCTTGGAAACTCAACAAACAGGCATGTTGGAGCTTTGAGCATACATGTACATGTTGCAATCGGAGGACCACCGAGAGAGCACCGTTGTAGGCTGCCGGCCGATGTAGGGATTCACGTCCCTTGGCCTCCAGTTTTCCAATGTGGCGACCAAGTTAACGTTGTAGTGCCTAAGAGTCTCCGTGCATTTGACCCCAAGCTGCGTTTAGCATGCAACATATCGAGCTGCATCACTTCATGGTTACTTGATGGAACCAATGCCTAACCACATCGCAGGGTCACGCAATTTATGACCAGCCATTCATAGAGGCATTCTTTCAACTTGGCAAACGTCGAGGGGCTTGGCGGAGCTGGATCAGCTCGGATATCATTCAATAAGATTCAGAGGACCTCTGCCGATGGAATGTTTATTACATGTTACATTTAGACCGCGTTATCGGAGCTTACGTAGCCTTGGCGACATGATTGAGTAAGTTTCCATTGGCCTTCATGCCAGACTGCGTGTAAAACTTACCAAAAGATGGGAAATATTTTTATCCGTTTGTCAAGTCAAAGCAAAGTCCTTCTTCAAATTTAAAGTCATTGACATGTGTAAGAAAACAAATTTCTTGGTATTTCTAGTCCGTCTATCTTGTCTCTGTGCTGAGATGCCGAGCTGGGAGAAGTTCTGGAGAGGAGACTATCGCCATTTCCCGGATGAATCACGTCATCGCGGGGTCCGGGGACGCTTGTAGACCACGGGGGATTGTTGGGCTGTGGGCACAAGTCAAGCTTGCTGGATTACTCTACTCCTCTAGTTCACCGAGTTCTCCCCAATCGGTGTTCAATGCCTTTGTCAGATACAGTAGAAATCCCATTCGATATCGTAAATGAACTGTTCAAAACCTACCATCGATAATCAACTCTAATCTCCTTCCCTGGCAAGCTTGCATGTGCCACGTGCCGTCTCGACACCACGATCTCATTCCGTCTCACCGTCACGATGGATTCGTCACCAAACCCTTGGACTGAGCAACGACCTCCCTAATGATGATGCAGTCACATGCTGAAATCCCAAGCTCTGCCTCGCTCCAGCTTCACCTTGACCACCCTGCAGTCGAAGGATGGATGCAGATTCGGTTGTAAACGGCGGCCCAGTGGAAAGGCTCTCTGGCCAGACCAATGTACATCCTTGAGTTCCATGTACCTCTCGACACTTCCGCTCGTCAAGGATGGGGGCATGAACTTGTGGGTTCTTGTTGATAAAAACCACCCAGTATAGTTTTGAGGCCGCGATTACGGGACTCGCCACAGGAATGAGCTAGCAAACTTGTTGCACGGTTGGGAGTCAGAGTGCGGTAGGAGCATTGGCAGGATCCTGTACTCAGATGATGGCAAGGGAAACTAGCCCAGGGTGGATTGGTCGTCAAACCCTGAGTACCAACGGGCATTTTGAGTTGCCACCTGCAAAGACGAAGAACAGAGCGGGTAAGCAGCCAATCTACGATTCGGGGCTAGAAAAGCTGTGCTCTAGAGACAAGGCCGTGATAAACAGCGCTATGAACTACCAAGTATGCTATAGAAGCGGGTGGTGAAATGTTGCCAAGCATAGATCACCTGCTGTGGCATATCCGCAAGGAAGACTACGACACCAAGCATCTCTTTGATCAACAGACGCAGACAAAGGGAGCGATCGCTGAAATGTCTAGGAAACAGGTTTAGGCTAACTGGGTTCGTCGCTACTAACTGCCTCTAATAATAATCAAAACCAAGCGGTATGCGTAGTGTTAGGGCAGTGACGTTACAGGCATTACACCTCCTCATTAAAAGTGCTCGAGCATACATATAAGTATTCAAACGCCTTGGAAGGCGTTCTTTTTCAGGGAATGGTATACTGAGTCCACATGACTCACTTTAGATTGAGAAGCACACACGAACGACGATCGGGCTAAGGGGGCCTGCACTGCTGAGATGTGACTCGCCACCCTCGAGCTTATTGGAGTTCCTTCAAACATACTCGGGCTCTTCCTGCACAGCTGTTGAGAACCCTCAACCAATGCGACAAATCTCTCGTCCATCCTGCCTTGGTATGTGATGGACTTTGGGTAGCCTACTCCAAGTACTCGATGTTGAATGGCACAGTTTCCGCAAAATCCCAATCCTCTTTCTTGGTGATGTCGCCGAACACCCTCAAGCCGCTGAATACAATCTTATAGGTGCCTTCTGGTACGACGGTACCGTCAGCCAACACCCCTGTGAATCCCGGCCGATAGTTTCTTCGAACAACCCAAGGCTCAGGAAAACCCTGCAGCTGCCCAATACTTTTGATGTGAAAATGTTCGGCTGTTGGTAGACTGGTTTCAGTCAAAGCAACCACGTCAGCTCGCGCAAGTTGGGTTCCAAACAAAAGGCTAGCAATCATGCTAGGGTAGTTGGTGCTCCCTGGAGGCGGCGTCGTGGCAGGTCTTGGGATGGTGAAAGTCGTGTTTGGTGGAGTGGGATTGTTGGCGTAACCCAAGAAAGTGCCGTATTCAGGGCCCTCCAGAAATACAGGCACGTCCTTCATGCTTCCGGCGACACCAAGATATGGGATTTTGTGAGATTCTCCGTTATTTGCGACGATTGTGATGAAGCCACTGTAGACAGGCAATTGTGTAGCATTCACATTTTGAGGAGGCGTTACACTGAATGTGACCTCAGCCGATCTACTTGCGGGAACCTTTATCTCACTGAGACATGTCGTCAGCATTCTATTCAAACAAGTAGGAAAAAGAAGCAGACTATTGAGCTCACCTGGCTGAAAAGGTTAGTTCCGCCCAATCTTCGACAGTTGGATTAGGAAATTGAGAGGCTGATCGCGATCCCGCTGCAAATGTGTAAACCGTGGCGGCTTTGACGTGATCTAGCTTATAGACTAATTCCTCGGTCCCCAAATTTCTGATGCTGAACGTATGGGTATCTACGAAGTTGTCTGTGTCATTGAATGAAATCTGGCTAGTACTCAAAAGCGTCTTGGCGTGTGCGGCACTGTAAGCCTGGACTACGCCAGACCCTTGCTGGGCCACAGGAGCGGGTATGCTGTAGACATTTGTGCCATCAAACCAAGATCTGGAGGTTGAAGTAGCCGAAATGACATTGCGAAGCTCAATGGGATCGAGTGTGCCGCGAGCTTGTCCCACAAGAGCGAATATGGCTGCCACAAGAGGGGTCGACATCGATGTACCTGATAGGATCGAATACCCACCCATATTCAATGGCCATGTAGACAGGATGTTGCCTCCTGGTGCCGTGAATTGAGGTTTTGAGACTACTTCCCATGTTGGGCCCCATGCACTTGTCAAGCTCATTAAGTCACCAGCAACCTCATTCATCACAGATTCATAACGAATGCCTGCCATGTACGATGCTGTGAGATCAATATTGACACTTTGACCTCGGCTTAGCGAAGTGATCCAGTGAGCACCTTGAGCTGGAGTCACGGTGCCAACTCCAGCGATGCCGTCCTCGTAGGCATAAACCACATCAATGGAACTACATGTACCTGTTAGCGAGTTGCCATGACTCTTAGGTCCCCGAGATATGCTGAAAGAAGCCTGAGCTCCATATCACTTTACTTAGGTCAACTTACGAGTTTCTTTGGCTGTAGAACAGCAGGTATTTACCTCCTTTAGCTGCTATGTTTTGGGCTTGTGAGGAAGAATAACATGCGGATGTATCGGCTACTCGAAGTAGTACGATCTTGCCAGAAAGGTCTGGAGTAGAGTCTGGCAAGGCAACGCAGGCATCATTCGGAGAGGCTGTGTCGTTGCTGACTGCCCAGAGGGGTAATGAGATGTTCTCGGTAAACTTCGGTCCACCGCTCAGAAGCCCAAAATCTTGATCTTGAGTCGAGTTTTCGACGGTGTAAGATCCTCTTTCAAGTAACAGCGGCGTGATCGTGTTCTCTACGGACCCAACGGCCGTAACGTCCACGCCAGTCGCAGGTGATGAAGGCAGAAATAGGCCAGATCGACCGGAGTTACCTGGTGATACAATGACAGGGACTCCCTGCGCCACGATCCGTGATGCAGCGATAGCCCAGGGATCGTTGGCCCACCCGGTATACTGACCCGCTGAGCAGGAGATAATGTCGCTGCCATCCTCGAATGCGCGATTGAAGCCGTCTAACAGTATGTCATTTGTGGACAAGCCGTTACAACCCCACGCTCGGTACATGCCAAGCGTGACGTCCGGTGCAGCGCCAGTGAATCCCATTTCGTTGGTTTGAGCTGCGATGATGCCAGCAACATGTGTTCCGTGGCCAACACAGTCGTCGTATGGGTCGGGGTCTGGCAGGGGGCTTTCTGGAGGGAAGTAGTTGTCTCCCGTAAGATCCCAACCATAGGACACCAAGCACCCTTCTCCAAAACAGCCGCCCAGAGCTGGATGGGTGTAATCGACACCGCTATCCACGATGCCAAGTCGGATTCCTTTACCGGTGAAACCCTCGGCTCTCAGTTTATCAACCTGTGTCATGACATGTGGTGTAAAGTTATCTGTGCCATTTCGTCGCCTCTTTAGGCTAGATATGAAATGGTGGCCATCCGCGGTTGCGTTTCTTCCTGTCGAGACAGGCTCAGGCGTGGGCATGCGGACAGTTCTGACCGGCCAGATTCCTTTCACATCAGGCCTTGCTTCTATTTGTTTCGCAATATCTGCTGCAGCATCGTGCGTGGTGTTGACAATGCGAAATGATGCACCTTTGAACAGGCGATAGTTGAAGTCCAAACGACGCTCAACGTTGAATGCTAGGTCTTGATACAAGTTAACACTAGCGTTGAAGTCGTTTGCCCACTCCACGATGAAAGCCCCGGGAACAATCTTGAATGGCTCTTGTTGGTCAACATCGTTCGTCAACTTCGTCGCCGAGCTCTCGGGGCCATCGTCCCCGTTGACCCCCAAGAGCAATGAGATTAGGACGGCAAGGGCCAAGGCGGTGAAGGTTTTCGACAGCATTTTTTGTGTCTTCTTCAGTCGAGAAGGTTCTTCCACAAAAGCTTTTGGTGGAAGTCAGTGACAAGAGCCAACAGCAGGCTATCCGTCTTGGTGGGGGCCAATACTCCTTAAGAGCGGACGAGGTGGCGCGTAGGTGATGATTAGAGATGATTGCCAAGTTCGTATTCACTATTACGACCGGGGTTGCTTGAAATGCCCAGCAAATTGGCTGTCATTGTCGGCTCATTTGGGTCTGACCAAGGGGATAAGTTCGTAGACCTTCCTATCTAGGTCGAGTTGCGGTGCCGATGTGACCCTACATGCCTTTCAAAATCACATAGTCACTGCATATACGAACTCTCATCTTGATTTGGGTGTAATTAGTATTAGAGAGCCTCGAACGACATTGTTGCGGGCTTTCTGGATGTTATTTCGAGACTTGGGTACTTTTCAGTATGCTAAGCTTGTTATCAAACGCAACTTGTATCGATTTTTCATGACTGACGAAAAGAATATTCTTTTTTTCACGATCAGAGTTTGAAGTTCACCTTTTTGCATCCAAGAAGCAGTGTAGTGAAACTTCGGAAGAGATGGTCTCATATCGGGACCAAACAAGTCGTAGCTCATTCAACGTCAAGCTCGAGTCTATTTTCCTCGTAACAGGTTCATTCAACCAGAACTAAATAGAACGAACCTTTCAGAAAATTCGAGCTCCAAAATCCATTTGTACATTGCAAGACCGAAGAGTTTGCACAACGAGACAATAGGTGCCCAAAGCCACAGCCCGGAAACCTTTCGCAGTCATATCTCATGAACACCAAATGCTTTAGGCGTTGTATACGACAATATACTCCGCTTGAAGAGTACCGCCAGAGACGGTGTTTGTAAGAGGTGTGGTGCTGCCGTAGTTGTTGTTCGGGAACGCACCACCGATGGCGAGGTTGAGCAGGATGAAGTGAGGGGAATGCACTGCCTGGGTCCAAACATCCGCGGGCAAGTCGGTTTCGACAATTTGCCAGAAAAGGATACCGTCGATAAACCACCGCACAGCCTCAAGCTCAGCGGTACGGTCGACTTCGAGAGTGTAGGTGTGGAAGTTGCCCTGGCAGGCGCTGTTGGGGCACTCGCGGCTACCGACGAGACCGTTAGTCTCCTTGCAGGGGCCTCCGGGGTTGACACCACAGTGCATGACGCCCCAGACACGGTTGATGCCATTGACGTTCTCCATGATATCGAACTCGCCAATGGCTGGCCAGTTCCTTTGCACTGATCAGCAGAGTTCTTAAACCTATGCCATGGCTGTCGTCACTCACCAGTAGTTCCCACGGTAGGCGTTTCCAAGAGTCCAAAACGCTGGCCAGTAGCCAATGCCGTTGCTGCCAACCGCAGGCAAATTGAGACTGGCCTGGACACGCATCTTGCCACCGGCTTCAGCCATGAAGTCCCCACGCTGAGACTCAATGCGAGCAGATGTCCATGAGCCAGACGAAGCTTTGATGGCAGTGATCTGTAGAGCTCCGTTGCCGTTGAGACGAAGGTTGTTAATGCTGCTGGTGTAAGTCTGGATCTCTCCAGTCCCCCAGTTAGCGGGGCCGCCAGGGTAGGAAGTGCCCGTGTCGATGACCCAGTTGGCCGTATTGGGCAAACTGTTGGCGGAGCCGACAAAATCATCACTCCATGTGAGACTGAAGCCGGGAATTGTTGGCACTGCACCCTGCACTGCGGGAAAACCAAACGCAAGAGCCGCGAAAAGCTTATTGAAAGCCATTGTACTAGCGCATGTCAGCGATTGGGAAAGAGGCTTTGGGCGGTGCACATCGACGTCACGAACTCGCAATTGAAGATAAATTTACAAATGGGAAGGTCGTAAGGAGTGATTGTTGTGGACTTGAAGCGGAGAACTGCTGATGTCTTTGGCTCTTCATCTCTTCTGGGAGTCTTGTCTCGTTATATACTCAAGAGAAGATAAATCTCGGTGTCTTTCTCCTGTGCGGTCTCCAGCCACATGTCTTCATTCTGGATTTCATTCCAGCGTGTCGGGGCTCAAGGTTGGCAGACCCCTCATCCGTCTAGCCGCACAGGTGTGGTTGTCCGTTACAACACCATACTGGGAGGATCTCCGAGAAGCGCCCACGATCCAAGCATGGTGTTGTTTCCTTTCTACCCCACACTCGCTAGTATTTCATTGTCGAGCGATGGTAAGCCACACGGGCCGGAAGACGACCCTTTTCAGATATTGACACCCTACCAAGAAACAATCCAGTAAAAGTTGGGAATTTCTGTTGTGCACATAGTGGATTAGAGAGAGCAGCCAATCATCCTTCGTTTAGCCCGTGGGATGCCCGAACCGACAGTTCTTCTAATCGTGGCAGGCGATGTAGCATTGTGGTCTCTTTGGCGAATTTCTAAGCCGCTTCACTCAACCACCGAGTCTTACATTGAGAATATCAAAAGAGAGACAAGACGGAAAATAGGCTGTGGTCTACCCTAAGTCACTGAAGAGGCTTGTGGACTCATCGACGGGGAAGCCCCATCTAGGCTTCACATCGCTCCAACAGTGGCCAAAAGAGCGCATTTTCCGTTGTTTGAGGTTAGGTGTCAGATAAACAACTGCGGTGCCACCTGTCCGCGGGAAATGGCAAACTTGTGGTATGTGTGTCCTGGCGAAAAGGAGGAGCGCAGCGTCTGATGCGGAGCAGAATGTAACCCTACGTTCTGGACTGAGGTAGTGACTTAAATTCTCTTTCCACCTGCTCGGGGATGTCGGTAACCGAAACGAAGTGGTCAGCACCTGCATGTCAACCTGCCTACGACGAGCATGCACTAAGTTGGGGCAAGCAGTGAGGAAAGAACAGACATATGCACTGGTATATGCGAGTATTAATGGGGTGATGCCAGGTCCGCGACAACCAAGGCATTAACGAGGTCACAAGATGGCCGGATGATGAAAAACACTTTTTAAGCTTGTTTCCCCGTACCTGTCGATCGGTCGATTGTCAGTTTCTTTTCCCCTCCGTTCACAAGCCTGGCGATTGTTCCACTTCTCGAAACGCGCCAGCTTCCCTTTTTGGCGCCACGACCGGCCGTCTTTGGTGCTTCGCCGGCTTGATCTATAGGTTTTCTATGCCCATGACTGAGTTGCCCGCTGTTGCCCCGCCTGAAGCGCGCACTCGATCCCTTGAGTCAAGGATACTGAGATCACGCGGAGGCGCGCAGATACGGAGACGCGACCTACTTTAGGGTTAACGAGGGGTGGGCGACCACCAAGGACCAGCCCCAGCATCAAGAGCGGAGCACCATCCTCGCATGCAGCGAAGTATGGAGTTGGGCAGTGAAGAAAGACCCGATCTTGGTATCTCCCGGTCTGGGGTACGGCAACGGCCCGATTCTCAGTATTGAGATGCCGGTTTGCCATCACGAGATCCGGGGTAGTTTCTAGTATGAGACCCTAGAGCGGAGAAGACCTGCATTGAAACGGAACGGAGCTCTGGGGAATCTAGGGCCCTAGTGCTGATACCCGATGTGCACCTCTGGCCGCGGGTCTGTCAATGAATCGATTCTCCCCGTAGCAGACCTGAACTCATAACTTCGACTTTGACTTCTTCACGTCAGCTTCACTTCGGGGGCATGTCGGTGACAGGCAGCATAATTGTTGAAGCATCCCTCCCTGGCCAAGCCGGGATCAAGCAGCATCCTCTACCTATCGAGCCATGCGTTTCTATATCTGGCATCGTCGGGCTCTAGTCTTTTCGTAAGCCCTGGCTGGCAAGTCGAAAGATCTTTTTACACCTTGTCCTTGTCCCGATGTTGGCTCCCGTCGCCTAGGTCCAAGTCTGGGCGTGTCGCATGAGGTTGAAATCTCTAGTTGTGACTTCTACTTTCCGCTATTCACCACTTCATCGAACAATGCTCCCGTCAATCTTGACCCACCAAGCAATGCCACTGCGGATCAACCCACGTCAAAGTATCCGTGTCAAGTGATGAATTCTAGAAGATAGGATCGACTCAGTGGGTGGACACGCTTCGGATCGTCCCGCGTCTGACGTGCAGGCGTGGCGCAAAGGCGGCACGGCCATCGGTTCATCGTTTCCGTCGACATTCGTGAACCGGGACGAAAGATCTGACTCATTCGCCGGCTTACGTTGGAGAAACGCCGAGGCCTTGCTGTATTGCGCGTGCAGCTAGATAAACATCCAAGATCGCCCACAAATGCGCACGATGCCTCATTCTTCTTTCCGAGCGACAGGTAGTGCGGATGGCGCTGCAAGTAGAGTCCGGTCCCGGCTGAGTTACGATTGAGAATCGTAACGAGTCAAGCAATAAAATCCGTCCCCTGCCTGTGTTCGCGGTAATTATCGGCAATGTAAACCAAAAGTCAAACTCCGCAGGATCGAATCGGCGGGACTATTCCGCCGCACTGAGGAAACTAGACAAATCTTTGGTGTGGCTGGCACCATGAACCGTGCCAGCAATACCTCGGCACAAACTTTACAAGCACACGATTTACGGCCTGATTCTGATCCGATGCAGTGGGGCTCATTGTTTCGCGAATTGCCAGCGACTCCGGCTTTGTAATCAGTTCTCGATCAAACTACATAGACTCAACTATTCGACCGGGATTTCCATCTCTTATTGTGGGCCCGTAGCGGCCGTGCGGCGGCATTTGTCCGTCGAAACAGCGGAGTTGATAGATTCGATTGAAGAGTTTGATAAGAACGTGTTTTGATTGAAACATTCAAAAGCTAGAATTACGAACCTGCCCCTTTCCTTGAACTCAGGCGTGACGCGCGGGTCTCTGGAGTCAGCGAAATTCTCTGACACACTTTCCTCGGATTACATGATATACGGAAGTCAGGGCACTAGAACACACCATGTCAAACTCAGCGATTGCGAAGCCATTGACGCTGGAATGCGGTCTCACTCTGCCGAACCGCCTCACAAAGGCTGCGATGGCCGAGAACATGGCCGACAGCGAAGGCTTGCCGTCCCCGGCGTTCCATGCACCCTATGCCGAATGGGCTGATGGCGGTTGGGGACTCGTCTTGACTGGTAAGCAAACTCGCGACTCCAGACTTGAGACTGGCGCATCAACTCACCCGCCATGAAAAGGCAACGTGGAAGTCGACCAAAGGTATCTTGGCTCACCCAAGGACATTGCCTATAACGATTCAATCCCATACGAGCGGCAGCTGGAGGCTTGGAAGGCCTGGGCCAAGGTCTGTAACAAAAACGGTACGCCAACCATCGTGCAGATCAACCACCCCGGCCGCCAGTCTCCTGTTGGCGCCGGCAAGCGGGGCTTCATGGAGAAAGCAATTGCACCCAGTGCCATACCTTTGAATTTTGGACAAGGTCTTCTGGCGCGTCTCATTAGCTCCTTGGTCTTTGGCACGCCACGCGAAATGACTGTTACTGATATCAGAGACGTCGTCCGTCGCTTTGCGCAGACGGCCAAGCTGGCATCAGACGCCGGGTTCGCCGGCATGGAGATTCATGGGGCCCACGGCTACTTGTTGGCTCAGTTCATGTCCGAAAAGAGCAACAAGCGAACCGATGAGTACGGCGGTTCCCCGGCCGCTCGCGTCAAGATTATTGTTGAAATCATCCGCGCCGTCCGTGAAGCAGTACCAAAGACCTTCTGTGTCGGCATCAAATTTAACTCAGTAGACCACCAATCCCAATCCGAGCTCGATGCCTGCATTGAACAGCTGAAGTTGATTACTGACGCTGGGGTTGACTTTTTGGAGGTCAGCGGCGGGACATATGAAGACCCTCTGGTAAGTGGTGGTCCGTTTTAAATCACGAATGCATTCGAGTGCCCTCGCTGACCCGAATCCTTGTTAAGATGGCTACTGGTATTGCCGACGAAAAGAAGTCGGACCGCACAAAGGCTCGCGAAGCTTTTTTCCTTGAATTCGCCCGAGCGATCCGCCGCGACTTCCCCGATGTGCCCCTGATGGTCACTGGTGGCTTCCGCACTCGTCAAGGGATGGAGGCAGCCCTTGAGAACAGAGGCTGCGATCTCATCGGTCTGGGCAGGCCAGCAGTGTTAAACCCGGCGCTGCCGAAGAATACCATCCTCGCAGCCACTGTCAAGGACGAGGACGCCAAGTTATACGTGCGCAAGATTGAGGCGCCTTGGTTCACTAAGAAGTTTGGACTCAAGGCAATTGGGGAGGGCGCTGCGACGGTGAGTCTCTCAGAAGTACAAAAGATTTCCAAATTGTGACTTGACTAACCCACCCGTTCACTTAGGCCTGGTACGGTGCTGAAATTCAGAAACTTGGAAAGGCAAAATGAGAACCTTGAGATACGGGGAGACTTTTGATACTATTACAAACGATGGGGCTGCTGTACAACTCACTTACTTTCGATCATTTATTAGACGGACAAGACGGATGAGGGACTTGTTTATAGAAGTCAAGATACATGCTCTTGGTGCTTATACGAGGCAAGACGATGGTTTATTGCAGTAAGCTAATGAGATTTCTCCCGGGACGATGGACTAGAGGTTATATGTTGGTACCGACTTTCCCCCACAAGAATCTCAACCCAAGCTAATAAATGCTGGCCGCTACCTCGACTCTTATGTTCTGTGATGTCGATTCTGCAGTCCCCTCATTCCCCGCGCATCTGTCCATCATCTAATTCTCCCTGAGGCTCCGGATTATTATCCTTCACCGTACCATGCGGTCCATACCACTGAGTATTTGTCAAAGGCATCTATCAATATCTTTAACATCACATTCACTATGAGAAAATGTTTACCTTATTGGCCTTAACAGGTCACTACTTTATGCACCGCGCAAACTCTGTCATGCGGATCCTGATCGCTACCATGTTTCTGAGTGTGTAATTTGAGATCAAGTACAAATGGACCAAAGGAGATATTGACATAATCAAAAAGCAGGGCGTAGAAACTTATTTCTTGGTCACATCAGGTACTCAAGATGAGGACCAACGCTATAAACTTGTGGAGCTTCATACAGGTAGCAAGCTTTGCTTATGCCCAGTTTCAAGACTTCTTCAACGTCATGACGTTTCTTAGCGAGCAGAAGGACAACGTCACAGAATGGCTCAACGATGCACGAAGGCTTACAGACGCACAGCTCTACGCATAGTTGCACGCCGCTGTATTGCTGGCCAGGTATATCCGGAAGTCTCCTCTGGCATGCACATACCAGGCTGCATTCCCCCTCGTGAGTGTTTCGACCGATTCTACTTTATCGGACAGGGCGCTGTCTCAGCATGGGCTTATGATACAGGCTGTGGTCTTGTCGTCTTTGATGCCCTGAACATTTTTGCGGAGGCTGAAGGTATCCGTATCCTCTCTCTCTCTCTCAGCACTCGGCTGCAGCGGCAGTGACATCAAACACCTCGTCAGTACCCACGAACATTTTGATCATTATGGAGGGCTCGCTGGCACCAAGAAAGCTTGTCTTTTGCCACATATGGTTCGGCTGCTACTTGGGAACCTGTCTTCGATTAATAATGGACCTATCAAGGAAATGACCAACTCGGAGGGGGATAAAATCACAGTTGGCAACTTTTTTGTCAACCTTTTTGTGACACCAGGCCATACGCCTGGTACAGCGTATACATAATTCGAGATATTTAACAAAGGTGTTGACCACACTGCAGGATTCTAGAGATGAGTCGGTACTTCGAGCAGCGCGTCAGCCAGAGAAAAGTGCAGGCAACAACTCAAATAGCACAGCATTTTCAAACATTAGTCGGGCCCAGGAATCTTCCGAGGTAGGTTCTCCGCCAATTGTCTCATTGGATGCGACCGTTGGTGGTCAACCTGGCACGCGGAAAATCGGGTACCATAGTAACATTCTTACTCCATCCTAGGCACTGAAATATTGAAGTGCATGGAACATTATCTAGAGATTGCATGTTATAATCAGGCAACTGAAAGAAGCTCTGGAAACAAATGGACTGCTCGGCCGGGGCGCTTCGTCGTTCTCGACACCCTTAGTGTTGTGGCACACACTCGACTTATCTTGCGTTCGGAGGAGCTTGTAAGCTGCAGAGGCAATAAGCGAGAAAGAATTTACGGGACACTTATGATGTTTAAAAAAAATAAGAACCACTCATCTTGTCACATTTGAGCTGTCTGTATTTAGAACTTTTGTCAAAGGCTGCACTAATCCGAGTTTGTTTCTCAAAGAAATTGTGCTTTTCGCAAGGGGAAAGTTGATTGCCACATTAGTATTCAAGGTACCAAATAAATCAAGAATTGACTAGAACCCAGGTGTCAATATTTAAATCCACATCAAATCTGAATGCCGAGACAAATGCGTTGTTATCATTACATACTGAACCTATTCTATCTTACTGTAGTCTTCCTGACCGATTCAAGGACATACGCTTCTAGCCTTTCTTCAAAGCATGGTCCCATTTTCTTTACTTCAAGAATGAGAAAACACGCCCTTCACTTGAATATAGGTCCCGCCTTGGATTTTAACCCGCGACCTGGTCGCGATATAAATGATTTGTTTCACGGAGCCCTAAGTCGTCAAAAATCCCTTCCTTTAGGTGTCAATAGATTTCAGGAAGGCATTATAGTAGCTTGAGGATGTAGATCAAAATACAATTTTAACTCCATGACAAAGTAGAGCGTCATGAAATAATCAAGCCATCGAGTTGACACCACCAGCTCGCCCTCGTAATCCACATGATACAGTCTGGTCCTTGAAGACATTCGAAACCTTAGTCCTGAGGCGAAAGGCTGGAGCGCATATTCAAATATGCCCGGAATATTTCGATGAAGCAGGCGGGACCGAAAAAAGATGATGAAAGGTATGATCTCCTTCACTTATTCTGAAAAGACTAGCGTAGATACAAAGGTGTTGGCTTTTATATACCTCTATTCAATGCTCTACTATGATTGGAGGGACCCGCTATACGCCAGTCTTTCCTGTCACGTAAATGAAGATTGTCATTCGGATAATGTCACAAGGGTGTCTATGGCGTTAATTGCTGCCCGCAATTGAGGGCGTCGTCTTTGCGACAGATAATCATGTGAAAGTGCTATATATGAGATTGGCATCGCCATTCGTCCCGAACCGAGCCGAACCGAAGACCCGGCCCGGCGGAGGCCATTCCCCGAGTGCCTTGCTGAGCCGGCTCTTGGTGTGCGGGGCCGGATTCTCGGCTATAGAGTCCATCTCCGAAATACTGTCATCTGCCTTTCAGATGCCTACCCCAGAAGATGCTATATAAATGGTATTTTTCGCTTCCACCAGTTGGAACCATAAGGCTTCAATTACGAGCAGTCTTATAATCTGTGCTGAACTCTCAGAGCTCCAACAACATCACGTTCCAATAACACACTTCAGGCTATATATCATCAAAATGGCCACCCAGACGCAAACCGTCGACCCAGTGGAGGTTAAAAGGACCTTTGCCACACAGTTTGAAAGCAAAGACCTCGTCACATTCGACGCCAACAAGCACTACGGAGATTGGCGTGATGAATTTCACCAAAATGGCTGCGTCGTAATCAAGAATGTGATCAGCAAGGAACGTGCCCAATACTATTGCGATAAGCAAATCGAATGGTTGAAGAAATTTGATCTTGGCTTCGACGAAAAGAATTCTGCTACGTGGACGGCTGAACACCTTCCAGTCAGCTTCAAGGGAGGGTAAGTGATCAACTAGATTCCCACAACAAGGTTCATCAAGGCTAACAGACTAAAGCATGTACTCTGCGTACGGTGCATCTCACGAAAAGATGGCATGGGAGGCTCGTATGGAGCCAAACATTATAGAAGTGTTCGAAAAGCTCTGGGAGACTAATGAGCTTATCACGTCGTTCGACGGCATGAACATTTCTCTGCCGAATCGCAAGGATATCACTTGGAGCCCATGGCCGCACTGCGACCAGAATCCCGAAAGAAAGGGGTATGTCACAACACTATCCAGTAATTCAGAGCCAAATTCTCATCCCTGTTAGAATGCAAGCCGTTCAGGGCCTCCTGAACTACGCGCCCAATGGCCCGAAAGATGGTGGACTCATGCTAATGCGGGGTTCCGCCAACCTTTTCGACGAGTTTTTCGCCCATAAGCGCGAGTCCGCCGACCACGAAGACGCCCCTCCCCCAGAGATTAAGTTTATGGATCTTTTCCTGTTCACCGAGAAGGATGTCAAATGGTTTGAAAGTAAAGGGTGCCAGCTGTTCAAGGTAAACATGGAACCCGGTGATTTTGTGTTGTGGGATTCACGGACTATGCACTACGCCCGATTCCCTGAGGGAGAACAAATTAGACATGTGCAGTACATTTGTATGACGCCACGCAAATTTGCGACTGATGAAGCGTTGGAGGCGAAGAAGTTTTGTTTCGAGAATTGGTTCGGCACGACACACTGGCCTCACTGGTAAGTCTCGAATTTTCAACTCGCATTCCAGAAAGTCCACGTGCTAATAAGAAGCAGCAACATCCGCCCTTCGCAAGACCCCCCCAAGAGGAACGGTGAAGTCTGTCCCAAGCACCGTACAGAACCATTCGAGAAGCCGGAGATTACAAACAAGCTACTACAATTGGCTGGAATCAAGGATTATTAGGAATGTCAAGAAATAAATTGGAAGCAGTAGTGTAGGGCTCCGTCAGTTTATGATACTGTCACGTCTCGGCAGAGTTTACTCTTTCCGTCGATTGCCAAAGTCACAGATCCGCATGAGACGGCGACGGAATCGATCTGCATTGCGGTAATAGTAACCTCGTAAAGAATTTGCTAATTGATGATGTCAGGATTGAAATTTTCATAATTCATTAGATCACAATGTTGAATATCGATAACCCGAAATAAAATTTGTCCGAGTATTAATATCGTTGAAGTGCTGCGTTGACAGGATCTCCGCCTCGCGAAGTCTGTTCCACCTGATGAGCGATAGTGAGAAACAAAGTCCTCGTGTCGAGAATCAAGACCGGCAACATAGAGAATGCAAGCGTGGGTTCACCAACACTGGCAATTCTTTAGTTCGGACGCCATGTGTGCTACTTTGTGTGCAAAGCACCACATGACACTTTTGAAGCGGCTCAAGACCAAGCTTGTCGTGGCCTATTATCTACCGAAAGCCAAAATGCTGAAGCTTTCATGCATCATAGATTGCATGCACAGATTGGGATCTGAAGAGTTCTAGACACTCTATGAACCTTCGGCCAAGAACTCCCACCTCGGAAGAACCATTCCTCTGAGCAGAAGTGTCAGCAACAGTAACCCGTATGTAAAGATCAGGGGCCAGAATACCACCACCGGAAAAATCCATACTCTAGTTTTTGCTGGATTCAAGAATACATTCGCCCAAGCTCAGGGTGACAAAAGAAGCAGCATCGGTCGGGGGCCATCTGAGAAATATCCACATCTGCCCAGAACAGGGTGGCCAGCACGATCGATGCGATGAGAAAGATCAAAACTTGGGCAGCTGGGCTTGGCGCCGTCTTAGGTCTTAGGGACAGCCCCACCACACGGAAGAATATGGGAATTTACATCCACCAGTCAAGACTCGAATTTCGTTAGTTGAGTGCATAACTCGGGGTCAAAACGCGTAGAGCTCCCCCGCAAACCCGCAGAGAGACCACATCTACAGACCCCAGCCGCGAGTACCCCACGGGCAATAAGCCGGAGAAGTGACATAGCGGTGGGAACCCCGCGATATGATAGCGGCCAATTTTCAACCTCGTTATAGCACGAGCGCAAAGGCTATTAACAGGTATGTTTGATTGCACACCTCTGTAAATTCGTGTGAATCATTTTGAGATTTGGGAATCATATCAGTCTTCTTTTCAATCGTCAGGAACTCTCCGGTACCTCACCTAGACTCAGTAGCCAAATTTTGGATGACAACGCTCATGTGCGAGCCTCTAGGCTGTTAACTCAAGGAATTGCATTGATAGTAGGGATGAGGCCGGGATACCAGCCGCAATATTACACGCGCTGCGTGCACGCCTCCTGATACGACTACCAGAGAGTCGATGCCAATTCCTGACTGGATCTAGGCACGTAGAATGTGCGGAGGGTGCGCTAAGGCTTGCCTAGCTCGCTCAACGAACGCCACGACGATCTATGCCGGGAGTTAGCCGAAACCGCAGAGTCGGTGTCGAGGATCACCAGAAGGGCACCCGAAGCGCTCGTTATCAGGACGTCAAGTACTTAAGAAAACAACATCCGCACGCTCAGATTTCCAAGTAGGTATCCCATCTTTACGGAGCGGCCAGTCATCCCGGAAGATTCATGCACCTACAGAGTTGTTTCGGTAGAGAAAGCAAGGCGAGCCCGCAGCCGGCTATTAAGAATGGCCAGCACAACCCCTGACGTCGCGGATGTCAAGTCACGCAAGAGCGATGTCGAAAATCTCGAGGAAGATCTTCAGAAACCTCATTTTGAGAATCAAGGCGTTCAGCAGGAGTTCCCAGAGATCTACCTCGAGGCTTTGGCACGATACCCAAACGACGAGTCCATTGACCAGGCCGAGGAAAGCCGTCTTTTACGCAAGCTAGACATGAGAATCTTGCCCCTTCTAGGAATCTGCTATTTTTTCTACTACGTTGACAAGACCACACTGTACGGCCCTTTTTCTCTCACATGCACTCATCCTTCCGGCTATTTGAATCTTTTGGCTAATCACACCATAGATCCTACGCTGCCATCTTCGGCTTGAAGGATGGCCTCAACCTGAAAGGTGAAGAATACTCTTGGCTTTCTAGCTGCTTCTATTTTGGTTGGCTCATCTGGGCTATCCCATCCAACCTAATCATGCAGCGCTGCCGGCCAGCATGGTACCTTTCTTTCAACATTTTCATGTGGGGAGCCCTCCTCATGGCACAGGCCGCGGCCAGGAATTTTGGTGGCCTTCTCTCTCTCCGCGTCCTGTCTGGCGCTTTCGAGGCAATTGCGGATCCCGCTTTTATGTTGATCACATCGATGTACTACACACGTTCCGAGCAGCCCTCTCGTATCTCGGCATGGTATGCTTGGAACGGCATCGGAGTCGGTGGAGGTGGTCTTATTGGTAAGTTCAAGTCATTCTTTCACCATGGGTCTCACCATACCTTCCTTGAAAACCGTCTTCTAATAATCTCCTGCACAGGCTACGGTATTGGGCACATCAAAGGAGCTCTCGAATCATGGCGCTACGAATTCCTCCTCGTCGGCGCTTTTTGCTCCTTCTGGGCCATCATTCTCGCTCTTTGCCTCCCCAACTCTCCGCGAACCATTTGGGGTTTCAGCCACGAAGAAAAGCTCATCGTGATCGCCCGCATGCGTCGCAACCAGACGGGCATTGAGCAACGTCGGATCAACTGGGGCCAAATCAAGGAGGCATACATGGACTATAAGACTTGGCTTTTCACCTTGCTAGGCTTTGTCTCCAACGTCCCCAACGGGGGCATTTCCAACTTTTCCACCCTTGTCATCAAGGGTCTTGGTTTCGGGACATTAGAGACGGCGCTGCTTGGCATCCCACAGGGTGCTCTTGTCGTCATCTGGATTGGTCTTGGTGCCTTGGCGAACAGATATATGCCAGCCAACAGTCGCACACTCGTATGTGCCATGTTCATGTTTCCGACGATTGGTGGTGCCCTGGGATTCCTTCTTGCTCCCGCCAATGCCTACATCGGTCGTCTGATATGCTTGTAAGCTCAATAATCACAACTACTCTCCTAGGGTGTATGTTAACTTCTATAAGCTACCTCACCGGTTCATACCAAGCATCCTTTGTCATCTCCCTGTCGCTTATAACCTCCAACACTGGTGGTCAGTCAAAGAAGATGATTGTCTCTGGCATGATTTGGTTCGGCGCTTGCATCGGCAATATCGCGAGTCCCTTCTTCTACAAGACGAACCAGGCTCCCTCGTACCATCTTGGCATTGGTTCACTCCTGGTTGCCAACTGCATTGAGCTTGCCCTCTTTTTTGTCCTTCGATATGCTTTCATCTGGGAGAACACGCGCAAGGAGAAGCAAAGAGAAGCGATACGCGCAACTGGCAACTATGCTGCGGAGGAGCTCAACGCCACAGCTTTTACAGACATGACTGACAAGGAGAACCCCAACTTTGTTTATGTATACTAGTTGGTTGTTATATTTGTATGAGAGAGGATTGGTGGTAAGTGATGGTAACTCGGGAACACAGGGCCATCCTTGGAGGAAATGTAATTCCGCGTCACGTCGATTAAACCAACGGCGGCAGTTTTCGAATGTTTACGGATGCAAATAATGTTGGAAATGTATCTGCTCAGAGGCTCGATTGCAAATTACAAAGAGTCCAAAAAGTGACTTCAAATTAAAAATTAGGAATAAAATTCCCCGAAACGCTTAAGATTAGAAAGATTAAGCCAAAACTCGACATTGATGCCTTTCACAAACACCGTCTAAACTTCTTTGTCCATTATCGAGTTGCCATTGGTGAGCAGCCTTTGAGACCCAATTTTGGGCGGAAACCGTTGTCCATAGCCGTAACGTTTGCTACCATGTGATCAAGAGACGTTACATGGGTTTGATACAGCCCTCGCTATTTGATGAATGATGAGAGATAATAAGCGAAGCACGGGTTTTTTGCATATTTCGGATATGTAAAGCTAATGCCTGAAATAGCCCAAGACGGATGTTCCTTAGCTAACCACGTGATTCGTAGATGCCCACGTTGGACGACACGACGTAGTCTAGGTCTGACAACCAATCGACTACACCATCAGCATTTATAGGGTTAACGACGAAACCCAAATGCCCAATAAGGTTGGCGTATGGCGCTGCTATAGAAAGCAGGTTGTGCAAGATGGAAGGACATGACAAGGTCTGTGGTATCCGTATAGCCTAATATGAGAGATATTGCAACGAGTCTTGAAGGACCAGGCAATACCTTTGACAAGTACGTCTTCTCAAATCTCTGTCTTTTCATCTTCTCATACAGAATGGCGTCGATGAGCCATAGTGGTTGGGGGTCTAGTTCTCACAGCACCAGATTGCACGTTCAAGGCCAAGGGTTTCAACTGGCTACTTCGTCTCGCTCCAGGACTTTGCTGAAACCTCGAGAAGCTTCACTCCAAGTAGACTTCGGCGGTGGGGAATGCTGTGCGGATGCCGAGAATGAGGATGCAACCGACGTTGGAGCAGCACTCCATGTCGACGTCATTACTTCTGGAGCGGAAGTGCTAGTGGGAGCTGCAGAGCCAACAGAGACGTTACTTGACAAGCGCCAATGCCGCCCAGAGGGCTGCTCGGCGGCTTCTGACCGCAGAAGATCCAGGGGCAGATCATGACAACCCGCGAGGATCAATGCCGTTCCAGACGACGGCGGGACCGCCTTTCACTCTCGGGTACGCAAAGGCCTTCAACATCTTCTTGACATTTTTGGCGACCGATCCCGGAACCTGAAGACGAGCCTTGTGCTTGTCTTGAGATAGCCAGACCGCAATCACACCAGCGACTGCCGGCGCAGCTGGTCAGTGAAGAAAGTCAGTTTTCAGTTGCTTTGATGTAATAGCTTTTAGGTTGAGACTTTGGATTCTTACCATAGGAAGTTCCGGACAGATACCGTGTACCGGGGGATGTGCCCGATGCACACTGCACCCAACCAGGGGCAGAGACTGTCAACTCATTTCGGGTGCCTTGAGAAAAAGATGCACGAGAGCCATCATTCTTAGTCGCGCCAACGACGATGATATCGGTGGTAGGTCCAAAGAGAGCAGGGTAATGCGTCAAATGATCGGTACCGACGGGAGCAGGGAACGCCTTCTCATAATCGATACCAAAAATCTGCGCAGCATGATTAGCGAAAACAAAATCTAAAAAGCTTCACAAATTAAGGAGTCCTCACAGCAGAATTACCGGAGGCCGTAACGATAACAATGTCTTCCGCCATGAGGGCGACAAGGAGCAGTCTGTATGCGGTATTAGTACTGGAATACTTGTCGGGCAAGCCTGTTATAGTGTGTCAGCATAATCTCAATGCCAGAGAATGACCAGGCTAATTTGAACTGCGTATGATGCTCGCGGTTGGACTTACGCCATAATAGCGATATGTTGATGACAGCTTTGCCCCCAAGCTTTTTCTGGAAAACATCGTTACTGATCTCGATCAAAGCGGTGAAAAGAGCAGATATCGCAAGGGTGTCCGGCATCTTGACTGAGACCAAGTTGGCATCCTTCGCAGTGCCATATGCTGGCCCGGCTGCTTTTGACGCCACACACGAGCCATGGCCTACGAAAGGTGACTCGTCGTTCGTCGCGCCGGGAGCGTACATGAAACCCTTGGTTCCAGTCATGCCCTTCCATTCCTACTATGTGTTAGTAGCCAGTCTTGAGCTACGACCTGTCTACTGAACATTCCATGCACATGAGGAGTTCTGGACGTTGACGCCATTGTCAATGACATAAATTGTGACACCCTTCCCTGCCTCTGAGGCGTATCCAAACCCAGGTAAGTTGGCAATGCTTGCTCCAGATGGCTGCGAGATTACTTTGAGCTCATCCACAGCATTATATTGCAGGGAGATGGCAGCCGGGTTTGACAAACTTCTTCTCGGCGAACCGGGGAGACCAGCGGCTGTTTCTTCACGCGATGCTGTGTAGGGCGGTGTAAAAGATGAAGGAGGCTGTTCCTCTTCCAGCCTCTCATCGGGAGTCACCCCGGCAACCTATGAGTTTCTTAAGTATTTTGGTGGCTCATACTAAAGACCAGGGCTCGACTTACAGCGGCACGCTTTGAAATGGCCTCGGCCTGCTCAGAGGTAATATTCGCTTTGAAGATGGCCACCATACCAGTTCGGTCGCTGGTGGCTTCTTCTAGAGATCTTGGAGCTGCATTACTTGAGAGAGTGCTGTTGAGCTCCTGTATCTCTGCCTTTGTGGAGTTTTGCGAAGTAAGAATGATGTACGGGATGTGCACTGCCGTAGATGACGGCGTGGACGACGATGTGGCGGAAGTTGAAGTGGGAACCGCAGACTTAGAGCTGGGAACTGACGGTTCAGATGAAGGAGGCATTGATTCAGTTGGATTTGAGGTCTGCTGATTTTGTGTTGGGGCTGGATTCGAGAGGTTCTCAATCTCTGGAGTATCACCCTTTGCTCCAGTGCCGATGATTAACACAACGGCTCCAGGAGCCAGGGTGTGGGTCACACCGGCGACTACAAGGGAACCACTGCCGACACCAGCCAGGTAGGTTTCGCCGATGACTGCTACGACGACTTCTCCTCCTGAGATTGTCTGTATTTTCGGCGCCGAGTTGGAGCTTCCGATGGTTGTCCATGTCGATGATACACGGGAGGATGTTCTGGGGTCCAGAGTGATCAGGGTCTGTGTGGATGAGGCCGCGTTGCTTGCTGGTTTGGTCGTGTTTGAGACAGAAGCTTGTCTTGTCATGGAATGACCCTTACTATGCATCAGATCAAACTGGCTTTCCTGGTGCTGGAGGGACACGGCCCCGCTGCTGAAGAAGAGTAAAGCAAGCCCGTACAACAGGCCGTTAGGGTGCATACTGGCAAAAACCCGGAAGTGAATAATTGTGCCTCTGAGGCGAATTGAAAGAGTAAACAAATGTCAGAAGATGGTGACCCATAGGAAATATAAGTGATGTCCAGCAGACTATACCTAGGTACTAGGTGACGCAGAATTGGTCGCAACAATTTAATGCATCCCCACTGGGAACTTTTATTAAGTTGGAACCGTCAGCTTCAGCGGTATGCTAATCTCCATTGGAAACTCATAGCTTTGCTTTAAAAATAAATATTAGGGGAGTAGCAAGTGAGGAACGGGTGCCGCGCTACTCATACTCAAAAAAATATACTTTATCCATAGACATTATAATTTCAACGGGGATAATACTGTTTTCTGGGACATTTTAGCGTGTCTAGATTTCCTTTTAGTACGGGCAGGCGTGTAAAGTGGAGCAAGGACAATGGCCCGACTGTTTTCAATAAATCTTTCTACTATACTCTTTACAAGCTCTTTGTCTCTATTCGTCGTGACGCCTTTGCTAGGGGTGCGAAATATGCTGGCACATCGATAATGTTAAAATGGTCCCCATCCAGGCCATATTTCTGAATCTTCAACACGTCATTCGACAAGGTGTTTTCACCAGCTGTATTTAAAGCAATGTTAAGTTTTACCTGACTATCGACCTAATAAAATAGTCAGTATTAATATTCGATAGGATATAAGTCGTTATACCACCCGAGCCAAGATATCTTTAGACTAACAGTGCAGCTATACAATTATTAATAACTACCTGGTATATAACCGTAACTTCTCTTTATAAGCAAGCGCAGTACTTAGCTTGGGGATAACTTGATGTCGATACGCCGGCAATAATCGCAACGATAGGTGATTCAAGTCGTATAGCGGGCACAAAGCTCCGGACTATAAGGAAAGGGGCTTCCACAAAAGCTTTCCAATAAAGGAAACTTGCACGAGCCTTGGCACCCTCTCGCTACGAGCTGTGGCAAAGGTAGGCTTAGGTAGGGACCGATGTTGTGCTTGCGAAATTGATTAATATTTTGCAGCCAATAAAGGCTACTTAACTTGGGAGGAAGATGAACACTATGTTTGTGAGACATCTTAGTGCAAGGAGGATAAATAAATAATCGGAATATAACAGAACGTAAATTTAGAAGCAAGCCTTGACGTGGATTGCAGGCCGCAAACTATATTACGTCTTATAAACTAGCTAAATTTCTTTAATCAAAGGGCCAAGTATATCATTTTACACATTTATGAATCTAGTGGTTTCGCAGTGTACCTACATACCCAAGAGTCCGGACTACTGCCCGCGCCGATCCCGACTATAGCCGCTATACCATTATGGCTCTCTGTATTATTTTAAAAATAGCTTCGCTGCTAACAAGGTTGATAACCTCTCTATGTAAATCTCATAGAGATGGCTTCATAAGGCCTTCAGCCACGTAAAAGCTTGTCTTAACCATGCATACGTGACTATTCTTCACACCGTTGGCAATTTCTTTCAACCCTGAAGATGGTCAATAGTCTAAACAATCCTCGAAAGCCTGGAGTTACGGTCTGGAGTCGAATATAAGAACTCAAGGGGCGCCGCCCTCAAAACCCATTCTTCATCACCGTCTTTGCAATGGCTGTGTGGAAGCTCAAAAGATCCGAAGGCATCTTATTAGAAGCACTTCGTGTAGCGAATAGGAGGACCAACCTCAATCCTTCTGTGTTTATTCTGAGGAGTGGAACCACCCAAGATTCCTCAGAACATCGCGACAGAAGGAGTCAGATGACTCGGGATTTCCTCTCCACTCCAATGATACCGGAAGGCTTCGTTCCTTCACTTGGCCACGGAAGTGCCCCTTATAAGTGATAATCTTGTGAGAAATCCTTAACACAGTATGCGTCCACGGCGAAGAGAATCGATGCAGCGGCTGCGAGGAATCTGATACTTGAGAAGATGAAGCGTCTGAGGGGGTTCTCTTTTTGTTATTTTCTCTGGGGAAAATGAGACTTTTCGTGGCCTTGCGCTTTTTCTGAGATTTCCGCAGACTCCATATAGGGTAACGTTTAATCCGACTAACTTTTGACGTCAACGTCACTCCGAAAGGTAGCTGAACCTCGAAGCCAGCCAACCCTTAAAGCCAGCACTCGGTCGTCAGGGCCGAACTTTTGCCCATTTGTTACACCACCAACAACCCTTCCGGCCATTTCCTCAGCGGCTACTGGCTTGGAGGTCAGTTCGTGATTCCAAGACAGTCAAGCAGTCACACTAGAGGGGATATGGCGTGGATGTTAGGCCTTCAATGTTGGTAGGCACATCACCTTTATTAAATAGCGCCTACGATGCACACGCCACGTTGAGTTCCTTATAAGACTGATAACCTTATTACTCAACCCTCGGGTCCCTTTCAACACTACCGAATCTATCAAAAGCAGAGGTACGCCCAGCAGCGCACATGGCGCACAGGACGGTTACTCTGCGGTAAAGCCGCTTTCAGGGTGCTCCAGAGGAGAGCGCGCTTTTCGGCCTGCAGCGAAAGAAATATCGTGCCGCAACCTAGGAGCTCTGCCATTTGTTGTCAACGCTTAAAGATATGGTGCGATCGGCATGACTGCAGGTCCCTTCTTTGGAGGCGAGTGCCGCTCATTGGTTGTACATTGAAATTAAGTTGTATTTGTTGTCCTGGAAAGTAGCCCGCAGACTAGGGACGCAGACAGCTGCATTAATTGGAACGTGGACTTGCGGCAGACTACCGTACAAGTGGAGGGCTAGGCTCCACAAGATAGATCGTAATGCTTTGTCGTCGCGAATCCTATAGCACCGGACCAGCTGCTGCTCGATGCCGAGCGCTGCGGGAAGAACGCCTCTACTTCCGAAAACCCTAGTGTCGACTCGTTTAAGCAGTTCGTCGGCGAATTGATAGTTGTGCCACGTAGTGCACAAGTCAAGATATAACGAAAGCGGTCCGCCGTAACCACGTATTGCTGCAACATTGAGACCTAATGAAGATGACATGCTTCTCCAACTTGCAGACAGAATGGTTCGTCCTTGACTAGCCAAGGCCTTACTACCAGGCAAGAAGGCTAGAACAGGGCGGTACCCCTAAGAGGAGTGGCCGCGAAGAAATGGTTCTAGGGACGATGTTTAGCGGATACCGCCACATTGCTTAAGCTGCGTCAAATGAGGTGAATCTTGGCATATCACAGAAAGTGGCTGAGCCCAGCGTCTTGCCAATGATGGAAGCAGCTTTTCTATTCGTGAAGGCATAGGCAATGGGGCATCCAAATGAATAAGCACCAGACATACTTGACGCCTGGGATAATTATCATGTATCGCTCCGCGCCGTAATTAATAACCCTCGGCATTAGGAGCGAACACTAGAAGGCACCGTAAGTATTCTGGAAACAGGAAGTATTGTCGACTGAAGTGTCTTGTAGAGGTGACTGCAGTGAAACGCGCTATGGGCCATTTCACAGTCTGCCGGATGGCAAGATACAGTCTCGGCTTGTCCAAAATCAAGCTTTCCGCAAACATCAGGAAGGTAGTTGTCTCTAGAATTATCCTTGATGTTTCAATCTACGACCTGCTTGGCCTCTAGTTTCATGCCATCCACCGCCACAGGCGTCAGCCGCATCCTTGGCGGGCAGGCTCGTGAGAGAGTCCTATCACCAGATTTAGCCCACGACATATTAGCCATTGCCAAGTGCAAGATGTTAGCAGAGAGAAATAAAATTTCGTTTCCCTCAAATGCCCTTCAGCGTAATCGAAAATTGCGTGCGCTTTACCAGATTCATTCACTTGCCTCGCCAAGTAGTAAGCTCGAGCTGTGGTGTGGAAGACGCAAGTCCCAGCTGAAGATTTCTCCAGAACCGCATCAAAATATGAACGTATCCACCTGCCGTCATCCGGGGCTCGGAGTCATCGAGCCGCTGCTTAGTTTCATCCTAGTCCATGCCGTTTCGGTGATTGACAGACGAGGCCATCACTTATGTAGAAAGCAAGGACTGGTGTAACTATTAGGCCATCGGGGGGTCACCCTAAAGCCTGGAAGTTTTCGCATTGCTCGGCATACAGCAGGAATCGTTGATGGACAGGCGTAACTCCTTACCGGCTGTGGTATCCGACAGTGAAGGGCTTCAAGTTGACAATCGCCGATGAGTGCGGAGTCCATTACAATTTTACAAATGCAACCTTGGTGAGATGGCTGACATCAAGCCCCTCGCCCCAGTCTCCTACTGTGGCAAAAGAGGTGAGGTGACCGCCCTTGCCGGAGCACTTTCGACTTTTATTCGAGGCAGGTCGACCGTTCCCAGACTAGGTACTTTTGCAAGCGCCGTAGCTGACTGTTGGCCAAATCTACAATTCTACTTGGCAGCGCATGGTGGACGGATCCTCTACGATTGTCTGGATGAACTTAGTTACGTGTACGACTTTTGCCACGAGACAATGGATACAGTAGCCGGAAAGCAACGACTTCCTTCTTTGTCTGTCTAAGGCTTGTCATCAGGCAGAATTGTTGATCTCGTCCTCCGTACAGTAGGCGTTCACCGCCACGCCCCACATGGACGGTTGGCAAATGCAGGGTGCTCCTTGTACGCGCTGCGTTTGCGCTTGGCCGGCCTTTCCTTTGCGGCCCAACCTATGGATAGGTACGCCTCGCGCTCGTCACATTCGGGCCCATCTTTGCTGAGGCGAGATGCACCGAGAGGCCTAGGATACCTTGCCCAGAAGGAGTCAAAGATGCTGCACGGCTGCCATGTTCCTATGCTTCTTATATTCAGGATGATAGAATACACATTTGTTGGAAATCTCGAGGATTTCAGGACCTGGGGGCGCCTTGTTCTGGAATCGCCGAGCCTATGTAATTGATATCTGGGACTGGGCGATGACTTGTGAGGTGATTGACAAAAATACCTGGGTTGCGGGTAAAGAGCCAATGCTCTTTTACTATGTGCATGACTTTGGTGAGGATGAGGAGGTTGGAGAAGTGATTAGGGATACGAGGGGCCTGGATGATCTTTATCGAAAGAAATTCTTTATGATTCGACTTTTGAGCAGTAACGGTGGCACTTCAGTCTTTATATCCAGAGGAAACACCTAGTAATTACAAACTCCAGTACGGCTGAAGAATTGCTTCTTATTCTCCTAAGTATGAACCAAGCACCGATCCCACACTCTATCTACCAGCCATTGAATCGGATACCGTTGTGGAGATACGGATCCTGGCAGGTATTGATACCAGTCGGAACGGTCCCTTGGTGTCAGATTGTTTGTTGCCTTTACGCAGTCCCAATACTCAGGATAAAACCCGCTCAATTCCCAGTCGACTATACCAGCGACTCGAAAGGTCCCATCATCGCATCGACACACGATAATATTCGCGGGGCGAATGTCGCCATGTGAGAAGACGCACTTCGCGGGTGATATTGGCATCAGGCTGCGTAAGAAGTCCGTATATAGGGGCGACGCTGTCTCGGACCCCGCAAAGATGAAATCTTCGAACTGTTTGATGCCCATGATTGGTTCGGAACTGACGCGAATGCCTCGTCTGGCATCTTGACAACCACCCCCTTGCACGTCGCCTAGTGGTAAACTTTGCGAATAAGGGAGTGACCTTAATGTGGACAGCAGCGTCTCGAGCTCAGACTTGATAGCGCGCTTCTCAATATTGCCTAGCTGAAGCCAAACCTTCTCCAAGCTGAGGCCCGGAATGAAGTTTGTAAAGAGAAAGTAATATCTGTTGAAGCCTACCAGGCCGTGTGGTTTTGGACTCGGGAAGTTGGGTAGATGCTTTTCCAAGTAAGACAATGACCGATGTTCGGTTAGTGCAAGCCGTTCATCACTCGTGACCTTGACGACAATGTTTTCATTGAGCCGGAATACCATACTAGATGCAGCCCATGCACTTTCGTAAAGTACCTCGCTGTTGGCAAGCAAGGTCACGATACCTGCTGAGAGCTCTTTGTAAGGTTGAAGCAGGCCATCCAGTTCTACGGATAGCTCGGATAAAATGGTGGATGGCTTGGTTAGATCAAGTTTTGAGCGGATATCGTTATCAGGGAAGGATCGTTGAGTTTCGGTCGCCAAGGTCGGCAGGGCTGTTTATTGTCCAACCGCATTAGCAATGTTCAACTCGTCTGGAGACCGTTCATTTTACATTTGAAAGACTGCAAGAAGTCTGAGTACTTCAATGTAAGGAGCTGGGCAATATCGGCCTCCGGATCTTTACTGATGGCATGCTCGAGTCCGCGCAAAATCTTCCTGTTGTATCTAGCTGCCGGGGTTTGGGTCGGTTTAGTCTTCATGACGCGATTCGTTGTGGCCTGGGTGGCCGGGGCTGCGGGTTTTGCGTGACCCATCAAAGATTCGTCCACCATAATGCAGGCTCGCTGCTTTGGAGAGACAGAACCGCAACTTTTCGAAACGGAAGATGGATGGGATGGCGACAAGCTGAGCAACGTTCTTGGACGGTTGAACAAGGTTCAAGCTTTGCAGCATGCTCAACATTGGTCACGCCGCCTTGCACCCCTGCTTAGAGGTATGCCGTAAGCACCGTAATCGAGGTCTGTAAAAGCGAAGATAAGCAACATGCTCATGGTAAAAGCAGCCAACTAGGTTCCTATACTGTTTTCAACGTAGCAGTGGCAGGATAACGTTTAGAGCAGCCAATAGGATAGATCTTGCTGTGTTGCTAGGCAACCTCTTTCGCAGAAAACGTCCTTTCCAGGAACAAGATCGTACATAGAGGGCTTTCGAGGCACGAGCCACGTGCCTCGCCGATCTCACGTAACCACATCATAGTGATTTTGCGTACGTCTATCCGCCAGCGCTTTTCCGGTATCGAGTGAATAGAAAGTTTTTTTTGATTAGACTTCATGGTCTATAAGGACTCCAAGATCGCCATGGTCATAGAATTTCAAGGCCCACAATTGAAGCAATCGTGCTGTTCAATCGCCAGTACTTCTCGCCTACGTAGGAGACGTCAAGATAGCTGTATTGGCTTGGAAAAATACCATGTCTCAGGCCTCAAGGAGATACAAGCTACAAGCTAGCGGTGGCTCTGTGGGACTCTGCTGGACGAAGAAAGGCATATGTTTAGGTCTTTGGGTACCCTACAGTGCTGGCTCGACTTGTAATGAACTGCTCTTCTCTTCGAGGTCAAAATGGCTACTATCTACATTGTTGGATCTACGGATCAGTCTATCAATCCTGAAGCTGGTGTATAGGTCAGCTCTGTGGCTGTGGCTGTGAGTACACACACAATACCTCTAATGAAGAGGATGCACGACCCTACCAAGGCAGACGACAAGTCCAAGGCTTGAGATCGTCTCGTCATAGGACAGACCCTTGAAAAGGGCCAGTCGCTTGTATCAGCCAATGGCAAATTCCAACTCGTTAACCATTTTCTAGGTGAGAGTGAACGACCTATCTAGGCTACTAGCACAGGTAGTTGGAACAAGCCGACCTACAGCATGATGTTGCAAGAGAATAGCGATATGGTCGTCAAAGAGAAGAACTCCAGCTATAATGAAAGGTCCATACGTAACCTAAGCTAGTTCAACCGAGTTAACCCCGCGAAGCTGGCCCTCATCCTTCAGGACGATGCAAATTTAGTTCTCGCGGCCAACGGCAATATTGCGTAGGGAACCAACACTGCGCAAAGAAAGACTAAGGTGAGTTGACGTTTCCGATATTGGAGAGCACTTAACTAATATGAGGGATTTGAACAGGAGCAACCAGGAAACGGTAACAGGTCCTAGCTCTACACCAGTGAAGCCTTGAAAGGCGGCGACGCACTGCTTTCTCAAAACGGAAAGTTCGAGTGCTGGATAGGCGATGGCGCCCTTGCGGTGAGATGGAAAGAGCCTTGGTGCTAGCAACAGCGCAGAAATTGCGAGCTTGTCACCCGACGGTGAATTGAAGGTGAAGACCCATTTTGGTGACGACAAATGAACGCGTAGTACTGCTGCAAAGAGCGAAGTCAAGAGTTTCCTGCGCATTAAAGAAAATGGCAACCTGATAATCACATCGCGTAGCCAGCAGATCTGGGCAACGAACAGGGTGATAATTAAAGACGGCCCCTAGCCGACTCCGCGCAATGCCCCTTTCAGCCCAGATCGGTTGAAAGTGGGCGAAGCACTCAGTCTCACAGTCACTCGTGTTTCCCAAAGGTCAACACAAATTGACCAACTGAGATCATGGCAAACTCGTCCTGCACGATGCTGCGAAGAAGTCACTATAGGAGAGTGGCACTGCCAGTGGCAATATCGCCCAAGACGTGTTCATGCAAGGAGACGACAGCCTCGTCATCCAACCGACTGGACAAGAACCTTGTTGGGCCAGCAACACACCCCAAAACAATGGCGGCGGAACAGCTGAGCTCATCGTGGAGGATCGAGGTACCGCCGTGATCAAATCCAATAATGTCGTCAGATGGTGTACCAATGGAGACTTTGTCCAGGAGGACTTTTCTTCAGTGAGTTTTCTAGTTGCTCAGCTCTAGCCGCTTCATTATTGATTGACTGACACACACACGCTGCAGTACTTCGCTATCCCAGCCGGGAGTGACCGAGTTCGACCCAACCTGTCACGGGTCTGTCATGTATTAGCTTGGGGTTCGGTCTTCTGACCGAAAATTGTGCCTTTTGGCCCGCTGGCCTTACAGTAGTAAACCCAAGCACTGCTGTTCCGTCACACAACCAACACCTGCCTCAGGGTCAGGCCTTGGTATCTGGCAATAAGCAATTCTCTGCCATGATCCTAAGCGATGAGACCATGATGATCCAGTATAATCCATTGAACCTGGTGGTCTGGTCGGTGGCCAGCCCTGCCGGCAGGAAAGCCGCCAAGGTGGCTGTAGATGGTGGGCTGCGACTATCGACCTACACTGCCGATGATAGGCTGGTGTGGAAAGGCAATCGAGACGATTACTGGAACTCGAGCAACGATGATTTCGTCATGCAAGACGACGGTGTCTTGTCCTTCTGGGGTGACGATTCGTAGAGCGGTAACGTGTAGAACAGTAATGTCTCGGTAAGTTCACTCATCGTTCCTCAGATGTATGGTCGCAGTATGCTGAATGCAATCAGTTTCCGGCCTTGTGTTGGATCCACCACGTCTCTTGACACAGGACAATACCTTATTAGTGGACAAAGCTTGATCACGGGTAGTGCTCGCCTCACTATCGAAAGCAATGGCATGTTGACATTCGGCACTGATGGCGGATCCACCAAGAAGTATCTGTATCTCATTGACGACAGCGGAAAATGCATCACAAATTGTTCTCTGGCCACTTTAAGCGGAGACGGTTGCCTGGAGCTCCTCGACATCAAGTTCCAGTCACTCTGGAAGAATCCTAAGCAAGAGGTGGAAGACTTCTCGCGGGCCGAGTACCGATCTCGAACTCAGCGAGTTGACCCGGCTTTCCGGATTTGCGACGGTGGCGTTTTCGAGTGCAATGAGGAATAGAAGCGAGCTAATTGGCAATCCAAGTTTGTTTTGAGGGGAGACAGCACCTCGCCCCCGGACAATCTCAATATGCTTCTCCCCAGAGCGATCATGTCGTCCGGTGCCACACTGACGTCTTTCAACGGATTCTGGACTCTGGTGTACCAAGACGATGACATCTTAGTCTTAACTAGCAATTACTCCAACAAAGACCGATACGGCAACAAAGTGCTCTGGGCATCTAACACGATGAACTATCAGGTCGGGAAAGTGACAATGTTCGCTCACGGTAACATGGTCATCTCCGATGCCACCGGTGATTTGCAATGGCACACCGCCACCGCCAACAAAGGTACTGGCGCGACTTTGTCCTTGCAGAATGATGGCAACTTGGTCATCTATATCGATGGGGGTAAGTCGGTCTGGGCCACCAAGGCCGAGCGGGGCAGCCGAAGTCGCTAGTAGAGCGGTGGTTGACCATCTCATGTGCTTATTAATTTGGAAATGAGCGAGAATTGGATAAGGGAGGTTCGACTTCAAACGACTAGTGGAACAATGATCAGTTTTAGGTTCCCATTGCCGTCTCATCTCTGTAGGAGAAAAACGCCTGCACAACACCCATCATTATCTTATTAACTATTAGTGGACTACACTACATAGCGGTACGGGGTTGAGCTAACTAGATATTGCCCCACGAAGATCGATACCTGAATATTCTAGTTAAGTAGAATTAGAGAAACTTAGGGGCATTTGATATTCCTAAGTACTGTAGTCCACTAAAAGTTAACCGGATATTCATGTCCACGATTACTTCTCGTTTATGTTGATATTCATTGTTATGCTCACCACGGGGGAGTTTAGCGGGAAAAGCTGTCCGCATCCCGCTGCTAAACAAGACGCAGCCACTGAAAGACCTAGTGAGCCGACTTCGTCATGCTTGAAGGCTTCCGGACTTCAAGTGCGTGAGCAAAGAAATCACCCGTTCGACTTAAAATTATGCAAGTCGTGATTCAATTAAACTCTATGCTGGTATACCCTTCAACGCCTCTTAACGTTGACGACTGTAAACTTCAAGCACAGGTTAGCAAAGTTTGGGTTCCGAGTCAGCTTGAAGGCCCCGTTCGATCCCCATATGACCACTTCCGTGATGTCCTTCAACCCAAGCACCTCCTTATGCTGAATAAGCATCCAGGATGTTGAGGCACCGTGAGCACTTCCGAGAATAGCAAGACCCCACTCGCTATCCATCTTAAATGTAATTCGTTGCTCCCAGGTAGGGACCTTCGCATATCCTGCCCTGCGTAATGCCTCCATCACAATTTGAAAAGTTTTGTCATAGATCACGTCCGAGAGAAAAACGGCCTTGAG